GAGCTGTTTTGTTGTCATGAAGTATTCCAGAGATCTATGGTCGGAGAACACTTAATGCCGGACATCGGTTGCCCCACACCAGCTTCTGTGTAGTTGCTCAACTTTCTTGTACCTTGCTTGGGATCTTCAAGTGTGCAATGGCGTACCTGGGCACGGACATGAGCAGACCAGCACGGGGAGATGGCACACATACCCAAGTCTGTGAAAATGCGAGTCGACCGATGTTGTCGGGTCGGTGTGTGGTGACCTGCGGCATCAGGTATGTAAGGGTCTTGCAATTTTTTGAACCGCCAGATGAGACGCGAGCAACGTTGATCTAGTTGCATCCGTATATATCATGGAGACACGGGAGCCACAACACACGTATCCCCGTCATTTTCAAGTTCAACACCAGCTTCTCGCGTGTGTCCAGCTTCGTGTGTCGAGCTTCTTGCGTGTGGTATTTGTGGCTCATACAGAAGAATATGACAACGGGAACCCCAGTGGCTGTGACTGATGCTGGATCGGAGGCACTGTCCAGAAACTCTCGTATAGCGACGCGCAGACCGGGAATGGAAAACTCAGTACCAATGATAAGTGGCAGAAAAACAGAATCACCGGAAAACCAGCGACTGTGGCTTTGGCTTTGTGATGGCCCATGGGGCTCAAGCTTTCCAAGACACGTGTGGGAGTGTGACCATCGCCCTTCAGAAGAGCTGAGATCTGGTTGCCCCTTCCTGTAGTTCTCTTGTAAAACTCCCTCAAGACCGAGTACGTCGAATTCATTCGATCTAGCGTAATCCCACAGTGTTGAGCGGGAGATGCTTCCAACTAGCTGCTGAGCAGCCTGTGGTTCGGCGCGAAGAGCGTGGTCTTAAAGTATTCGCTTAGGACTGAGGACGTGGAATTCGGATAGTTGTCCTGCGTTGAATTGGCCAAGGGCATCTTGAAGACCATCAAGTCTGTAGGAGATATGTATAACTGAGCCTCAACGAGGGCCTCATCTGGACTGTTGTCGCTGGAAGGCGCTAGAACTCGAGTTCGTTGTATGCAAATACAAGGGACTCTAGGAGGCGAGCTCTTTCATCTTCATCATCGGAGTCGAAGTCGTTTGGCCCGTTAACCAAAGCCATCAAAAAGTCTCCTGATGTTTTCACTCTCTGATGTCTTCCACCCGATTTTCCAGATTGCAGAAGCAAAGGCTGATCTGATTCATGTTCTGAGTGTCCTTTAACAAGCCGGACGCGCTTTTCCAGCAGATAGCGTCCAGGTCGGCATCCGTCTGACTACACCACGGTATCGTAGGTCCAGGGTCGTTCAATTTGTTTTCCAGGTGCGCTAAGGGAAGTGGATTGGAAGTGACCTCGTCGAGAAATAGCTTTCCAGTTTCTTCCGCCTCCACCACTCCCAGCCTTTCCTAGCATTCCCGAATCTCGCCTTGCCTTTAGTTGCAACTTGCTCAGGGAGGTCGAAGCACGCACCTGGACCTTGGTAGCCGCTCAGAACATGAATCAGATCAGCCTTTGCTTATGAAACCTGAAGGATCGAGTGAAAGACATCAACGGTTTGGAAAGAGCTCGCCTCCTAGAGTATCTTGTATTTGCGTAGAAGGAACTCGAGTTCTAGCGGCTGCAAACCATTTCCTGATTGTGATCAGATTGCAAAAGATCTTTGCTGCTGATCCCACGCGGTAGACTCAGCGTTGAAGCTTTGCGATCTGACGATACTGCTAATACCGCGCCGGAGGATTGGCGTGGAAGCTTTACGATCGAGACGTTCTGAGCACTGGAGTCGACAGTACTCCGTACGCTCTCCGAAATTCGAGGTGTTGACGACGGTCAGGACTCAACGACGGAACCACGGAGGCAGCTCGTTTTCATGCAGTACTGACGCTGTCTCGACAGGCAACCCATCTGGCTGTTAGCTTGGTGACAAGCTTAGGCGTGAAATGGTCCATGGATTTGATGTGGTCCAATGGGGACAGGTTCTTCGGTCATTCATGTCAGGTGGAAGCCCCAAGATGAGTCCCTTGTCATCCCAGGTAGCCGTCCACACGCACCATCGGCGGGTGTACTTTCCAGACCTCAGTCCTTGGCCCATGATGTGCCACTGATACAGCACATGCTGGTTGGCAAGGCTTTGTCCAGGGCCGTAGACCAGAGCCGGAGGTTGGAAAGGGTCAGGAGCCTCTCCACCACCGCGGTACCCCCAGTGTCAACGTTCTCTTAGAACAGGACTGTGTTGTTCAGTGTCACCGTAAAGATACCACAACCAAAGTCCAAGCAGTTGCACTGGAGCTGTTGAATTGCCAGTGTTGATGGTAAAGGGGGGAAAGGCGCCCTTTCTTGGATGGCTTTTCATTGCCACGTTGACACGAGCAGGTGTCACTCAGGAAGCCACCTTTGCCTCCGGAGCTGTCGGCTTTGGCTGCGATCTTTGCTGCTTTCCTGGCGGCCTTGGGTCACTCTGAAAGGCCGTGGTGAACGATGCTCACATAATGGTGATCATGTTTGAGGGGTTTCCCACTTCAGATTCTCCGGACATGCGCAAGATCCCGGATATGCTTTGTTTTTGGATAATGAATATCGGGAGGTCGCCAGCTCGCGGATCGAGGCTGTGGATATCAGGAGTTCGGTGGGTAGATGGTAGATGGGGTTCGGAGCTAAAATATTGTGGATAGATGTCCAAGGCTTTGTGGAAGGCCATCAGAGCCTCGAGATCAATGCCGCTCCTGTCCGCTTTCACACGCCTGGTATTCTGTGTGGTCAAGCTCCAAAGGCAACCGAGCACGGGTTCAATGCCAGCGAGCTTGAGAGCAGCCATCATCCCAGCGATGAACTGCATTTCCTCTTTGTTGGCGCTCGAATGGTTAGCCCCGATCAGGAGGCAATGAGAATTTGTGATATGGAAAATCTTGATGTTCGAGTTAACCACTATCTTGTTTCCATCGGTATTAATAAAATATAGTTTCCCGCATTATAGGATTTGTATGAGGAGCTGCTGAAAGGGGCGATTAACTGTGCTTGAGTGTGGCTGGACCTGTTGTTGGTAGTGAATACTCGTGCCGGCGTAGATATTCTGCATAGTCCAATGTAGGACGTGTAATATGGTATGTGGGCAACGCTTCTTTGTAAGCTTTCCGAACGTCGACAGACCCCAAGCCTATATACCTTCGTCGCTTTGGGTGTAGGGGGCCAACTGCTTCTGGTCACCGGCCATGGCGACTCGTCGAGGGTCCAGCGCAAGCCACGCTTGGAAGAGAGATAGGTCCGCTGCCCGTGGCTTCTGGGAAAGGCCACATTTAAACGATTCGGATAGTTAACGAAAGTGGTGAGTTAGGTTGGTACGTCGTGTTCGAAAGGCAAGTGATCTCCCTGATTTCCTGGCGGGTCGTCCCTCTCCTCGGTGCATCAGTCCCAACAACGATATGTAGCAAGTGGCCAATCTTCTCAGCTTGCAAACGTTCTTCTCAGCTTGCAAACGTTCAGTAGGATGCCACCACTCAATAGAAGCTCTTCTCTGCCCAACGGCCCGGCCAGGTCAGACCGATCCCTGGTTAGCGTTGGAGGATGAAGAGAACTGTCATATCATAGTTGCCAAAGAACAGGGCACCTACCCAGTGTTTTCGGCGTGGAAGTGCAGTGAAAAGTGGTTTTTGGCCTCAGCTAAGACGAGGATGAGGACCCTGCCACCAGAATGTTTTCTCCTGAGTCTTTTGTTGTCTCCTGAGCTGGTCTGTCTCCCAAGGTGAAGACATTCATTTTGCAATGTCAAAAGGTCCCCAAAGTATGGGCCAACAGAACGCCATATTTGCTGCGAGTTGTGGCGCTGTTGTCGGGAAACTGTTGATGTCTTCCACTCGATCCTTCAGATTGCATAAGCCAACAAGGCTGAGTTCTGAGTTTCTATGGGCAAGAACTCCCTGAATGTCTGCTGTTGAGATTGGTGAGCCCCCGGTTCGCCGCACATCCAGGCGAAGTACTTTCGACCCTGGGACGATTCACAAGCTGCCTGAAGCACTACCCCCAATGATTCGAGGATCACATGGTCCCAGCATCGTGTACCATGATCAAGACTTAAAGACAGGCAGGCATTCACCATCTGGCTTATGGTGACAAACCCAAGCCACTGCTTTTGTTGTGTTGTGCATGTACATACACCGGTGTTGTAGTCTTGAAGGAGTTTAACGCATCGTAGCTCATGACAAGGACACCCACATGGGGAGACTCCGCCCAGGCCGTTCTCTCTGGACATGAGTAGCTCTCTGCCTAGAGATCCTAATGCGAAATCCCGGGAAGTTTATTGCGCATACGATTGGAAGGAGAACAAGTTTCGCCGACGTTGAAGTGGGCGTCGGCGCAGGAGACCCGGCCGCGACCATCTTGACTCTCTCAATATCCGGTTTGTGACTTTCCCAAATCTCTTTCAGGAGTCAGCAAAACCTGTCTTGGCTCAGTGGACTTTCCGTGGTCTGCTTGGACACGTTTTCCCAGGTGAAGATATGGCCTGGTTCAGGGTCGGAGGCTGTTGATGGCCTTTTTTTCGCTGTTCTCTATGTGTCCGTAGTAAAGAGGCATCTTGACTTGCTCGTACAAAGGGGCACTGAAACCAACGATCTGCAGTCTCGAGTGCGCGGGAGGGGGAGGCAGAGGTCTTGAACAAAACCAACCCAGTCCAGAAATACTCGATGGTGTTGCAACTCTCTGCCACCGGGCACTTGTTCATCGTATATATATAGGTGAGTACCAATTCTCGCACAGCCATGGTGCAATTTGGCGGAATCTATTGTCAATCAGCAATAGTCCAGAAAGCCAACAGCATGCAGAAAGCAACCTACCGGCTCGCACCTATGTGCCTGTTCGACACAGTAAACGCACTTGCCCCCTTCGCAGTCGCATTGAGCAATCCCTGCAAGCTGTCAGCAATGGCATAGCATGGTAGTCTCAGATATTCCATGCATGCTGTTGACAGCAGACAGCAGCTTGACTTAGCAGATCGAGGCTGGCTGCGGACTCTGCATCTCACGGCCAACGTTTCTTGATCCACCGTTGCGGCGAGGATCTCTTCAGGACACTCAATGTCCCTCTCGATAGATGTCGATGTTGATTCAAGGCCAAGGCCACCTTGAACATGCGTCTTGCTAGTCCGGGGAGGCCCTCGTCGTTCGCTCTCATTGAACGCATGAAATCAACCATGAACGAACGAAGCAGGCAATGTTCCAGCACAACGTTTGCAGCTTTCAGGGCAACCGACATTCTTCTCAACTCCTCCGCTGTGATCTGCACCACTTTGAGTTGCTCTGCATGTTCGTTGAAACCTTCGATGTTCACATCCAGGACTTGCTCGGCGGTCTTCGCATTCTCGAAGTCCATCATTCCCTCGTTGCAGAATTCTGATTCACGTATATTGCCGGAGGGAGTGTCATCGGCCACGCGACTGCGAGTTCCCAGCTGGAGATATTCAGCACAGACTCGTTTGATTGTCCTGGACTTCGCGCCGTAGACTGCTGACTTGTCGATCACTAGATTGGAAGATACGTTGGCTCGGCTGATAGAAGCAACAAGACGATTCATCAGATTGAGGAATCCTGCGGTCTTGCCAATGGTGAGGTCTGTAACGGTGACTTCGAACTCTAGTCCTTGCACAGAGTCGGCTTTGACCACACAAAGGTGCTCTAAATTCTGGTTCTTCAGGACCATTTTGTCTCTCCTCTGTCCATCTGGCAGGTCAAGAAGTGGCAATCAAACGCGAAGGAGTGAGGTGAAAACGACCGGCTAGAGGCATAGCAGCTGATACCGCCGTTGTATGGTATCACCGTCGTCCTTGAAATGTTCTGTGCTGCAACTTCAGACCAAGCCATGTCAGGTGAATGCTTTGGGATAGGCAAATGCCTCATTGTGGCGGTAGTCTTTGATCAGGAGCGACCGTCGGTGCAGACTGTGGCTGTAGTGATACCAGCTGCTCTAGGAGTCGGTGGTAGGCGCTGTGTGAGTGGATACTCGACCCATGGATGCTCCTCGAGTTTGGCGTTGGTCTTTCCCGGACCGCCATCGATGAGGCGATGTGTAGTCTGGTTCGTCATGAGTCGTTGGCAGATGAAGCTGCAGAACAGCTGTCGGCAAGACCAGAGGCATCAACTCAGTGAGTTGCCTAGCATTGCCCTCCTCCGCACACTACGCAGCCAATGCAGATCAGGATCGTCCGCGACTTCCATTGCACTGATGACCTGGTGGAATTCATCATCGTCACGATCATCCACGATCATGATGTTCAGTAAGTCCCGATATGCAGCGGTGATGGGAGCTGGGTCATTGGTGTTGGGTCGACGTTGCCATCAGCTGGACTGGGCCCTGTTGGCTGTTTTGTGCAACGCCAGTGTGCGAAGACGTAAGTTGAACGACGAGCGACACACATGGCAATGGCAATGGATCGCCATGTCTCGCATGCACTTGATACATGCTGCCAATTCTGGTCCAGCACGAATGATCGTTTTCCGTTTGGTTCCAAGGGTATGGCTAGACGACGAATCCGAGTTGAGACCATCTTTGGCCGAGTCTGTGGGGTATGTGCAATTCCGTGACCAACATCAGAGAACTGGTGGTTGGATGAGGCGACACCACGGGGGTGATATTGAAGCTTATCAATCCTCTTGCTGATGACCAGCAGGTGGCAGCGGTGGTGTAACAGAAGCTGACAAGAATTGTACAATGACAGCGGTCCTTGATAGTCCGGTTGATAAGAGGATTGACCAGTGGGAATTTGTACATGTAGATTGACTTGTTGCAACATGGTCACGGTCTGTCCGTGGAGGTAGCCTTGGCCAGGTGGGTGCAGCAGGTGTCCAATGTCTGGCAAACCTTCAAGCGGAAGCGAGGACTGGGAGATCTGTGGGAGCCTCTGTTGCTGCAAAGCGTCGAGTTGAGTCCATCTCTGAAAAGTGGGAGAGCAGAGAGCAGAGAGCAGAGAGTCGGGGACAGGGAGCTGAAGGCAGAAGGCAGAAAGCAGAAAGCAGAAAGCAGGACGTGTCCGCATCTTTGGCTTCCCTGGACCAGATGTGCGTCCATGCAACTTCGAATGGCCATCTTCGCCGTGAACCTCCAGTCAATCAATGACGGGTTCGGGTGGGATTGTGAGCCATCTCTTGGTCCCCAACCATTTTGATCAAACAGACCTGCTGGGGGGCCAGGTAAGCCGTGTATTTCCTCACACCTTTTTCTAGCTCTGCTGCTTTTCTCGTCCTCGTCTCGTTTGACATGTTGAGATGGTAGGATGTGGTCAAGCCAAGAGCCGGCTATGTTTGACAGGGAGTATTGATGGAGTGTAAAGGGTGCCAGGCACAGTTGCATCTGCTTTCATCGAGGGAGCTCTGTGCATCTCGCTCCAAGAGGCTTCCAACATCTGAAAGAATCAAACAAAGAGCCCAAAGGGCCTTCAAGGGGGAAGGGAGGGGGAGGGGCAGAGGCAGGCTTTGACTCTGACCATTCGTCGACAGTGTGCCAATATGTACGCATATGTGAAAAGATGGGGGGGTCAGGATGAAAGAGAGGAAGCAGGATGAAAGAAAAAGAGCAGGATGAAAGAGAGAGAGCAGAATGAAAGAAGGGAGATCGGTGAGAAAAGAGCAGGATGAAATAGAGCCAGGTGGGCAGTCCAGAATGAAATAAGCAAACAATCTCCGCAAGCGATGGCAGAGGGGAAGAGAGAGGGAGGGTCATATATACCTGTTTGCCACGGTCAAGCATGGTGACTCACTAGGCAGTGGTAAAGATCCTCGGGTTTCAAACATTTACTGCTTGATACTCTTTGAGCACAGCATTCATTGTATGGCTCATATTGATGCAGATTGTAGATACATTCATTCATCAAAGTGTGTCCCTAGTTTCATAGTTACTGCCTTCCGGTAAAGGTAGCTCATTTCACGCCAGCTAAATTTACTCACCATCCCCATCAGTCTCTCCATCAGGCCTCAATCGAATCCTTTCACAGGAGCCAAAAAGTCCAGGTCCCCGCCTTCGTCATCTTCTTGACTGCCCACAGGCTCTCCTTCACCTCCACGGCCGGAGGCCGTTCTTGTTTGGTACCATTTGCCAGCAAGCACATTCTGGACAAACCCAAATGCACTGACAATCTGATCCTCTGGACCGACCAACTCAAACATCCGGGTGACCCACTCATCAGAGCCTATGACAAAGCTGTCCAGATCGGGGACTGCAGTCAGAGTTTCATGCGAAATGTTTTGCAATGGCACGGCCAGAGGGCTTTTAAGTCGGGGGAAAGAAATTGGTGTGCTGTCTCTGCCAAGAGAACTCTGCGCTCCTGGTCGTGAAGAATCTGCTGTGTCAGTGCGTGTGGCCTCGCCGTGGACCTTATCGACAAACGAGCCGATTACCTCAATACGCTGGTTGTACGTCCCTTTGAGCATGTTCAGCTTACATAGTTCAGGAATCCCTCCCAGCACCACGAGTGTAGCCAAATCTGCGTCGCTTGGAGGTTTCCGACTCCACCCCCTGAGCCGTCGCTCGATTGATCCAGCATAAGCGGGCGCTCGACTCAAAGACCGAAGATGTTGCCGGCAGAGCTCGTAGAAGTAGTATGCAGGGATGATCTCAGTACCGGGGTAGGATGGCAGGAGAGATCTCACGAAGGCGGTGCATGACCGGCAAGACCGCTCCATTGCTTCGGATGGATTTGGTGGAGCTGGGTGGTTCGGGTGTTCAAAGACGAGCATCTCTCTGTACTTCTCGAGAAAGTGATACAGTGTCCAAGCAGCCAAATGTAGGCGGCAAATCAGCTTCGCCTCGTAGGGAGCAAAGTCATCAAATCGGGGACAGCTGGGGATCATGTAGATCTTCATGTGGACATAGCTGGCGATGACGGATAGCATTCTATCGATCTGACTTTGTCGTTTCAGCATTTGTAGGAGGTAATCTGTAGAGATGCAAGGAAGCGGGTGAGGATATAGGGTCTGAATGTAATTGTAGGTATATTGGGATTTTTTGTCATCTGGACTGCGCTCGTAGGCTTGTCGGACAAGGAGCGACCGTGCTATTGGGGCGGCATGGCCTTGCAGGAAAGAGTAGATGAATTGGGAAGTCAGACGGAGAGCGAACACGTCGCTCGGACCGAGGTAACAGAGGATCTGAACGATGATCTCGTCTGGCAGTGAAAAGAATGCTTCGCCCAGCTGTTGTCTAGTTCATGAATTAGTATACGCCTCTTGCGCCTGCAACTTAACATGTGTGGAAGTACTGACGCCGCAGTCTCACAGCATGTGACCGCCTCCCTCGCCGGTTTGGATCTCTTAGACCGCGAGATGCGGAGAGACAGGCCGGCCAGACTCGACCGTCGAGGAGGTGGCCCATCCGCGGTAGAAGATCGACGTGAAGTATAGCCGATCGAGGAGTCATGCTCGCCCACGCTGGTAGTCGTCGACCGTCGAAGCACATTCGTCACCATGACCATGCTATCTGCCGGCACAACGCGAGTATGAACTTTGATTGTTGCAGAGCCACGGCGAGGGAATGTGGGTAGACGGATTGCATCGAGACCAAGCTGCGAGTACGGTTCGACCACTACTAAATAGTAGGCTGATCTTGGGTAAGAGGTCAGTGACAGACCTCGGGGTGACAAGGCAGGGTGACAAGACGGTTTGCTGGACAACGGTCAGCTCATTTACAGGCTGACTCAATTCAAAACCTGGATCGAAAATAGGAAATATGACAATCATTAAGTCTCGCAGGCACATGGGGGGTTGGATCAGGAAGGGAAGGGAAGGGATGGGATGTTGTATACGTGGTGGTCTCTAGCAGCAGGAGAGACACGACGTCAGTGCTTGACGGGCGTACGAGGTGCGAGGGATGTTTCGATGGCGGCGCAAATGCCTCATTCGGCCTGGCGTTAAAGGTTACAGCAGACAAAGAAGACAAGCATTGCCAGACCCCAACACCGTCTCGAGCAGAGGCAGGGGGGACAGCTCTCGGCGACGCATCCTTGTCATTTTGGAGTACTCGGTACACACCTATTTGTAAAGAGCCGCAGAGCGCGCAGACAGATCGCCCAACAGGTTCGCGTTCGCAGCCGAGTCGGGAAAAGCAACGCTGACCACCGTGACCATGCTAACATTACATGTATCTCGCTCATCGCTTTGAAGGGAAGCACAGAAATGGACTGCAATCGACTTCACTGTGCAGACCTGATATATGCTGTCCAGGACCGCTAAACCCGAAGCTCAAACAATGTGCCCGCTATGCATTGGACAATGTACGCTGTGCATGTATGTGCTGTTCTCCTCCATACCGTCGTCTTCCCACCGCTCCCTAGTACTTTGGCCGGCTGGGTAGCATGGCCAGTTGCTCCCCAACCTTGCCGTCCAGACCCAGCAACTCATGGATCCATCGTAGGATGATGCCGAAACTGTCAGGCTCTCCCATGTGTTTCTTGCCCTTGACCATCCTCGCCTGTTTCGGCTGGCCATGCTCGAGTGTGACAAACATATCGTCGATTGGGAAGATTTCGTCGTCGTTGCCGTTGACCAGCAACACCGTGGCGCAGGGCTTCTCCAAGGTACCGTCATTCAGCAGCGAGAACTTGCCCGCCTCCTGGATGAACGACTCGAGGTCGGGATAGCCAAACTTGTAGGTCAGCGTGTTGGACAGGTCGAAGGGGTACTCCAGCTGGTTGGCATGCTCCAGCCACTCCCGGTCAAACATATGGTGTGCTCCACCACCCAAAGAGATGGTGGCCAGCACTCTGTCCTTGTGCGTATGTGCCAGTCGGAGGGAATAGTACCCGCCTGTCGAGAAGCCCCAGGCGACGATCTTCTTGCTGTCGATGGCTTTCTGGGTTGCAATCCAATCAAGGACGCTAGACCATTGCCGGTCGGGACTCGTGGGGTCTTGTCTGAGTGCGGGAGAGTCGCCAGTGCCGGGGATCTCTGCAATCACCGTGGCCACGCCTTTGCTGAGCCATCCCGCCTGCCACACTGCAAGCTCCGTGCGATACCCGTCGAGACCAGTAATGATCAGAATGCAAGGAGCAGGGTTCGCCTCGGACGCGGTCGGAGGGAGAAGGAAGTTGACGGGAACGACGTCGCCCTCACCCGAGATGCCGTGGGTATGAGGGATTCGAACTTCTTTGATCGGATGCTCCAATAGCCTGTACAGTCCCTATGTCAGGAGTCTTTCCTCTAAGGCCAACACTGGGTGGTATCACTAACCCTGCTCCCTTGTAGAAAACTTCCGTCCCCTTCTTCCATGCATACTTCTGCTTTTCGGAACGAGGGGCAGGGAATCGAGAGATACGATAGACGGCACTGCTGCGGAGGTAGTATTCGGAGGCCTTCTCTTTCTCGCCTGCGGCCTCTGCCTCTTCGGCGATCTTGGTGAGCTCCTCGGCTTTAGGGAAATACAGCTGAGCATATTCGTCCCAATCGTACGGCTCTTTCAGCCCTTTCTGCGCACGGTCAGCACGTTTCGCGGACACCGAAACCATGGGCTCGTACCTTGATGATCTCCTGCACAATAGGCTCAAAGTCTTTGATGCTGCCGAACATGAATGGATAGACACCCATTTCGCACTGGCCCAATGGTGAGTAACCTCCTGTCCACTTCGCAGGGCACAGTCACGTACTGGTTTCCTCCATTTTGTTTCCCACAATTTCTGGAACGACTCGTGGTGGACGGCCGGTTTGGTAATGGCGTCTTTGATATAGTATTTTTCCGCGGCCATGGCGAGATTGGGCACAGAACGAACTAGTCGGTCGAAGGGTACGGGTATGTTCAAGGCCTGAGGAGAAGCTGCGCGCAGGACCAAGACGTGGACGCACTGGATGTTATTATTATCATAAGCAGGTCAACGGTCATCGGTAAGCGGTTCAAGTTAGAGCCGAGACCGAGGGGGTGGTTGCGGGTGTTGTACGAAAAATAGCCCCTCGAGACTGGCGATGCCGGAGGAAGGCTCACCAGGCTGAGTGTCTAACGGCTCCTAAGGCACCTAGCGGGCACCTAGTACGTAGCGGGCGTTCGCCCCCTGGTGGAGAGAAGGATGGAGGAGGGAGGTGATATCACCTCGTGGCTGTTTGGGCCACGACTCGAATTTGCTTGATCGTGCGGTGCTGCGCAGGGAAGTGCAGCACCAGAGTGTTGAGGGCAGAACCAAAGAGGACAAGTGCGCAACTGGAAATAGACCGTCCTGTACAAGCGTGCACCGCGACGCTGGGCACTAAGCGGTGTTTGTTGCTTGGTACTCGGTAGGGGACTCAAAGGATGCTATAATTGTGCCTATGGTAGGTGCTAGCGGCGGAACTCCAGGTAGGTAGGCGGACGGGGTTGGCACTAGGACGGGGGCGAGCCCTTCTTAAGTTAGGCGCCCCTTAGCGTTCCCTAGGCACCGGCCCCGAGGCAGAGGCAGGACCTAAGGAGCTGAATCCGTGGGCGAGATTCCCGGTGCCAGTGCCAGTGCCAGTCGTAGTGACAGTGACAGTGATGGCCGAAGACATCTGCCCCCCCGACTTATGGTAGTCGAGACCTCATCTCACCCCCGTCCTCCACCGAATTAGATCGAGATAATCCATGGCCTGCCAATTACAGGCTCGGGCCTCGTGACCTTCCCCCTGCCGCCGTGACACAATCTCAGCAGCCTTCGCTGCGAGTGAGACGGCGTGATGAGTCCACCCGATGGCTGATAGCTGTCCTGTTCTGGGGGTGCCGTTTGTGCGCCACCGAAATGCTAGGTGCGGTTTTGTCGTAGAAGAAACGGAGGTTGCACTGTCTGCCCCGACACCGCCATTCGAGTGTAGACTCTTGAGTCCTGAGACTCGGGTTTCACCCCGTGCCCCGTGCCTCTCACCGCCTGCTTGACCTGGCGCAAAGGCATGCGACAGAAGCGTTTGCGGGCAACCTCTGTCACAAATGGCAAGAAAATGTGCAACCCTTCCATCATGCAAAATCATTACAATCATCATCATGCTTAGGGTATCCTGTGTAGCGTCAAGCCTGTAATCGAGTCGGGCTGGACCTGGAAATCCAAATATATTTAGCCGCATTGCCTCCACGCCCTAATCTGTAGACCATGGGTGGGATCGCAGACACAGTCGCGGCATCATCCTTCAGAATCGATTTGAGATGCATCTTGGCCCGATTCGTAAAGGGATGTTCGGGCCCAAAGGCATCCCCACATATGTCAACCACATATTGCATCGTCTCGGTGGCTTCCTCTTTGCGACCAAGCTTGTGGGAGATCTCGGCCATGCCTCTCAGGCATCGAACGTAGATCTCCCGCTCTTCCGCCCTGGGCAGGGTTTCAGCCCGTTCCAGCGCCGCCTTGAGAGCTTGGAGGGCCGGCATGTATTGTCCCATGTGGAAATAGGCTTCCGAAGCGGATCGCAGGGCATAACACACCTCATAGCATTTCCTACTCAAGGTTGTCTCAAAGGCATCCACCAGCTGTAGGAATCGGACGGCAGCCTCGGGGAATCGTTTCCGGTTCATCAGACTAGTGGCAAAGGTCTGCAGTAAGGCTATGGTTTCTGGATGGAAGTAGCCAATGCTGTCCTGAAAGAAGTCGAGCAGTCTTCGCAACGTCGACTCGGCCAGCCAGGCTCGAGACATAGGTGCGTGGTTCAGGTAGTTTGCAACGAGGTAGATGGGGTGTTCTGTCGATTCAAACACTGCCTTGGCCATGTCGGCAAGGTGTCGCAAGAGCATCAACAGAGGTTCTTCATACCCAGTGTCGTCGTGTCGGATGATCAGGTCGAAAACGTAGATCATGAAGCCGACCTGGTCCTCTTTTAGGAGGCCCTCAATCAGGGCGAAGGCCTTGTAGAAACTTTCGAACGCACGCTTTTCCTGGCCGTTCCAAAGGAACGAATAGCCATGGTACATGGAATAGTAAAAGCGGTCGGCGAGTGCATCATCCGAGGTGGCCGTCCACGTTCCGGTTGTGTTTTGGATGGACATATTCCGGGCACTAAAGAGAGTCATGTAGTGGCTTTGCATGTTTTGGAATATCACGTCGAGATACCGCTGATCCTCCGGCGACACGGGGTTTTGGGCCACGAACGATTCCACCACCACCGTCCGGAATGGGGGCATGGGCGGGAGCTCGGGTATGTTCAGGGCCGCCTGCAAAGTGGAAAGCCGTTGTTCGGCGAAGTTGGCGGCTGGTGACACGAAGGGAATGGTATTAAGCAGTGACTTGTCATCCTCATCCATCTTTATTGGGCTCCTGGTGAATTCGTAGTCGGAACCATCCTTGGGGCCGTCGAGCATACTGTCGTGAGAGGAGAGAGGGGTGTTGGCACCGGTGTCCTCGGGCGATGAGAGCTCTCCAGGCGCATCAGGCTGGTTGTCAAGCAGACTAGAAGGGTCTTTGATGCCTTTTCGGTTGAAGTAATGGAGGGCGTCAGCGAGGGTGACCTGTCTGCCTCGGACTAGAAAGACCTTATCCCTGTTGTCGCCTGTCTGTTGCAGCCCCTGACGGACCAACTCGAGCATTTCATGCTCCTTCTTCTTCTTGTCGAGGCCCCATGTGTGAAGTCGGCTTTTGTACATGCGCTCTCTTCGAGGTGGGTTAGTGGGTTTCAGATAAAGCCGGCGACTGGACAGCAAAAGTACATACGTAGGCGCAAAATCGAATTCCTTTTTCAAATACTCTGCAACATCCTTGAGAGTCCGGCCTTCTTCAAAGTATAGACGGGTAATTAGAGGGCGGTGTCTCCGCCACTCTTCACTGGTGTAGGAATTGGAAGACCGTTTCGAACCCTTGCCTCTACGATCGATGGGGGCCGCCGGGGCCGAAGCCATGACGGGCGGAAAACGCGACGTCACGACAATGGAGAGAGCTGAAACTGATCAACACATTGTTATAACCAGCGCGATGATTTGCTGACAGGCATTCTCGAGATTGAAGGAAGATCAGCTTCAAGTTGGGCGAATGCCGGCGGTAACAACCTGACGTGTGCGGCTTCCCGAGGTGCCTGGATCTGAGCGGATAGATTTGTTGCGGTGCAGGTGGTTACGGCAAGGTAAGAATCTCAGTCAGGACCGGGGAAGGAGTGAAGTCTGGTGAGAAGAAGCGGCAACTAGACAGATAGACCGGGTTGAGGGTGGTTCAGATGAAGTGGTGGTGGTAGTAGCCGTGGTGGAAGGATGGTGGATGGCTAGCAGGAGTAATGGGAGCGAGCTCTATCTGTCGGGAGCAGCAGATGCGGATGGTACTGCTGGTAGTGCTGAGATAGCTATCGTAGCAGGAGGAGTATCAACGAGGTGACCGAAGCCTGAAATCAAGCCTGAAGCCCAGGCTCTTTTGTGCAGTTCTGGAAGCAACATAAGTGTGTGCCCTTGCCATGTCCATGCCCGTGTCCGTGCCCGTGCCAGCAAGTCAGTGCAGTGGGTGATGCCGATGCTGGGGCATTTCGCACTTCCGGGAGATAAAACAGTGCCGGGCGGTGGGCACAGACGGTTTCATTGGAGACTGCGCCAAACGTACCTAGAGGGCAGCAACGATATTCCAGCTCGTTGGTGCTTTCAGTGGGGGGAAACCGCCTAAAGATGCCTAGGAGCCTGCCTCTAAGCCGAAAGAATCCTGACGCCCACCTGCAGGGTCGCCCACAAAAGTACAACGCTGCCGGCACCACTTCCTAGTACTCAGTACTCTGTACCACCACCTCCCACCTCCCACCTCCTACCACCACCACCACTTCAACTACATCACTTGGACTACCACGTACTACACTATTTCCCACCTGTACAGGGTGTCCAGGGAGCTACAGTACCTTGTGGTAGTGCTAATGCTATCAGGTGCATCCCTACCGCTGCAATCGTCCTCTGGCCGCTCCCGCCATCTCCTCCGTACTCGCACTCGCACTCGCACTCGCACCTTCTCGGTCCACGTATGGCCGCGAGGTCTTCCGGCCGTGGACACGTCAATTGACATGACTGGAACAAGCGTGGGTGCATCAAGCTCCAATCTTGCCACCACCAATGACAGGTGCCTCATCATCCCCCCTGGCAGTCGAGTCGATCCTGCTCCCCGCCCAGCGTGGCAGTGCAAGAGTCTGAACTCCACAGAAAACACCCACCTTGAGTCTTTGCGGCCAAATGCATGACCTGCAAGCTCTTGTTGCAACGGCCTTTTCCCGAGCAAACCCCTTCTTTCGACCTCGTCAGCACGACAAATTGCGACCGAGTCCTCCGTCTTTGGTGCACGTTCCAACCATCTCCGTGCCGGCAAGCTTCGCCGCCCTCGTTCCTTTTGGGATGGGGCCCGAGAGTCTGGATTCTTCACGCGGGATTACCACCTGTCACTTACGAATCGTCGCGCGCTAGCATGTCATTGGGTTGACCTCGAGCCATCCTCCGAAGCTGTACAGACCACCGAGACCAATGGTGCCCATTTTCTCTTCCGCCAGTCCCGGGAAGTAAAGGAGGGCGGCGGGGTTACAAATGGACATAACTTGAAAGATGGGATAGCAATCCGTTGCGAGTCCGGCGCGGGAAGGTGGAATCAGTGGCCCTGGACTGCTCATCATTTCCCTACATCTGCTAGATCCGGCATCTCCCCTATTGATTAATTTACCAGTCATCTGGGGACGTGGGTGCTCTAGAAGATCCAACATACACCAGTGACCAAGTGACTTCAAAAACCCCTTCCACTCCCAGCCTCGCATAGGCCTGGATCAGTCAGAGAAAGCACATACCCTCCTGAATCTCGGTTTGACAGGCGTCGGAGGTTGAAGATGACACTCTTCCCCACTGCGATGAAACGACGTACACAGTGCACAGTGCACAGTACACACGCGTACATATACGTACGCACGACTTTCTGCATTACGGGCCGCCCATCCCCCACACGCAACCTTGAGCAGTGATACTGTCTAGACTCCAGTCTCAGACCAGTCAGTGCCTCTTGAGGTGGAGGGATGATCGAAGGCCCATGGAGATAGCATACAAACGCTGCCCATCAATGTCGAAGAAGCGAAATACTGGCTTCGTGACTTTGCGTCCTTCAAAGGCAATGTCACTTTGATTAATCCACGGCATAGGTAACGAGGAACTACCTGAACTGCGAGATCCTGCCTCCTGACGAGAATCGTCAGCAATGCATACAGAAGCTTGCAGGGGCCACGTAGCCATGCATTGCATCGAGCCTGCCGAAAGGTTTAAAGACTTCGCTGCCAGGGACAACGTACAGGGCATGGTACCCGTGAGTAGCACCTCATCTCACAAATTCAGGGGGCGATGCAATGCACGGCAAATCTGGCATCTTTACTCCCTTGGGTAATTAATCACAGGCCCAGGCGCCGGCCAATGTGACATTTTTACAGAGTAAGGGCGAGCAACAATGAACATATCGACGGCGTAGATGTCGATTCGATTGCTGTCAAGACAGTCCATGCGAGCTGAACAGCATTTGAGTGGGAAGATCTGGAAAGCTTCATTCGTTCCAGCCTCTTCTGGTAAGGTAGCGTTGCTCAGGGGGTGTAGCGGGTGGCGGGTTCTTTTGGTTACAGCACGAGCAAACACTGAACCGAGCCGTTACTGAGGACCCATCTCCGCGCGTTCACAACACCGGCAGTCCACCCGCTTCAGGAGTACACGAGTCCTTTCCCTTTTCATCAATTGCCGTGACTGCGTCACCCTCAATTGACTTTAATTGACTTCTCGACGTTTGCCGCGCGCCATGAGAAAGATTCGCTTCCAACAATGATGGCGCTCCTCCTCCTCTAGCCCTCCCGGTCCACCATCCACCATCTACCCATATGCCGACGCACATTTTCGCTAGATACAACATTGGCACAACGGAAGAGTAACCCCCACAACCATTCTTGTGACAGTAGCGGCTCAGGAGCGAACACCAACGCGGTCTTCCCAGCCGTGTGTAAAAGGGTGAAAGGGTGAAAGGGTCGGGCAGGGTCAGCTCGGCTGCTGGTTTCCCCAAAATCCAAAGGACAACGGGAGTCTGTGTTGGCGACCCGAGTATGCGTTGTTATACAAGCACCCTCCACTTTTAGTCATTCTTCCAGACTAGATCTTCGATCACCCAGACACGCTTAGGTTACCTTGATCAACACCATGTGCCATACGTGACTTGCTGCTGTGACTTTGTGCAGATCTGTCGTGGTTGCAACCCCTGGGATTAGCATAGGGGATCCGGCGTCGTCGGAAACATCTGTGTTTTAGTCTTTGCTTAACAGGCCGCTATCAGGGATAGCATTCGGCTTCAAAATATTCACCACACCCTGACCAGTCTCTTTGTGGCCGTTTACATCCACTCCCTCAGCCGCAGGTACGGCTTGAGTCAATTGAGGGGTTTGGTCTGCTGCGCCTGCATTTTCAGGTGTACCGCCATTTCCTGCGTCATCCTTTTCCCAGGGCTTCTTTCTCCGGGGCGTTTTGTCGACTTTACTCGACCCTGGCTCCAAGACAGTATCGGGAATCTCTTCAATTCCTGGCACAGGAATATTGCGTGTGATCAGATCCACTATGGCGGCGAAGGAGGTTGGATAAGGCGGATCAGGGTCGGAGGAGGATTCTGTGGCTGACTGAGCGGAGGCTGTTTGGGCTGTTGAGGTAGGTTCCTCGGCCGAACGGGCAGGATGTGGTTCTGCTACAGGTAAATGATGAGGCTTGTTGTGAGCGTGAAGCCAGGCCGAATATGCGTCGGGGTCTATAGGGTCAAGGTTGAACTTCCTAAGTCACAAGAGGTGTTGGTTCAGTAACAGCATCGTCTGAAATTGCGAACGTCCGTCCTACCCCGACCACAGAGAGTTAAAGCTGCTCACCTCGCGAAGTAGAAACACTGCGTTTGTAGAACCAGTTCCGCCTTTTCTTCCAGCTCCTCTCGGGTGGCAGGTGTCTCCGGGTGGCCGAGAATGGTAGCAAGGCCTGCTTGGTATTCCTGATCGGCGTCGAAAGCGTACGAGTGGAGGTGACGATAGACTGCTTCGTCGGTGTGAGGAGGGGTAGTGGTCGCCGTGGAGGGTTCCTGGGTTGCAGCTGTGCTGGTCATCGTCGCACTTGAGGAATCTCGAACGCACCCCGGCCACGATGACACAGGCACAATACTCAGGAGGTCAGGAAGTCGACAGAGCAGGACCCGGCAGAGGTAACGGAGTTGCTGTTCCAGGTATGGTATGTCAGTATCCGTACACGTAGTATCCATGCATGTGTGTACCCAAAAGTGCACGATGCGGTTGAACCTCGGCAAAGACCTCGCGTTACTCTCTGCCCCAACTTTCCACTTGGAGTCGCATCTCACCTAGCATCTCAGATGGCTGAGGGCGAGGCTACCATATGCTTATCGCACCCCCAGGCAAGGCCAGGCTGGGTGATAGATCCCTGTGTCTTAGCCTGTTCGGGATTGTTTGTCGACTTGTTCAACGCACTGTCAATCTCCCTTGTTTGTGCTCCACATGGAAAGGCCGCAGAAATAGCGTTCTTCGAGAATGAGCCAAAGACAGGGCGACGAACCGCACGACGATGATCTTACACAACCTCCTCTGCCCGGAATCATCTCAGCAACGGCTGGTTCGAGAGGAGAGCGTGGCTACCATGTCGGGCCAGCATACGTTGGAAAGCCGACTGACGAGGTCTGGATACGTACGGCTGCGTTCACTCATATGGTCAGTCAATGCTATCTGGGTGGACGTACAAATTGGGATTGTCTCCTCATATGGCGTACTGTAGTACGAGTACTCTCCTTTGGCCGATCCAGACCAACAGATACGGATCTTCCTACTTGCTCCAGGCTCCAATGACCCCCTGTTGCAAGGAGAGTTGATCACAGCATCCATGCCCTCGACTTCCTCGTCCCAGGAGCAAGTGCAATCACCATACGATGCACTTTCCTATGTCTGGACAGGAGAAGACAGAAATGTGCTCCAGCCACTGGATGGGGAGGGCGACTCGGCAGCGAGCAGCAAAGTGCCCTTTTTCGACAAGTCAATGCACAAACTGGTGCCCCTTCTGACATCGGATTTCAGAGTCATTCCAATAACAGAGACATTGCACCACGCGCTTCTCCATATTCGACATCCAACAGAAAACCGGGCGTTGTGGGTAGATCAGCTGTGTATCAGTCAACAGCACCCCTGGGAGTTAGCGATCCAGGTGCCCAATATGTACCGAATCTTTGGCGGAGCTCGATCTGTCATCTGCTGGCTCGGTCATGTCAAGCCGGAGATAAGAACGTTGATGCAGTGGGCAGAGGAGCTTGAGAATGACCACAGTACCGCCAAATTGCCTCAAACGGAACAATCCCCGGATGAGGAGCCGACGACATTTGTTCCGGCAGGCCCAATGAACGTCCTGGTCCAAATCCTCTCACGGGAGATCGAGGCGGACACATCTACTGACATGTCTGATAGGCTCAGGACAGTCCTCAATGGATATCTGAATTTGGCATGGCCAACGAGAGCGTGGACATTCCAGGAGGCCGTTGTGTGTCCGAGGACCATCATCCAGTATGGGTCCAGCGCTGTCAAGTTTGACGCGTTCATCACAGTTGTTGATGTTCTATATCACATGGCTTTTCGCCATGAGTCGGCTCCAGACCACCAATTCCAAACAGCGCTTACGAATGGAGTCGACTCGCTTGCCATGGTTGCGAGTTTGCGGAGCATTGTCGAGGAGTGGGAACAGGGCCACACTGACATGTCCTTGCGATGGCTCTTAACACGAGCCAGACAGAGGGTTGCAACGGACGACCGCGACAAGGTATACTCGATTTACGGGTTGTTGAACATGTTGAAGCCTGCGGAATGGAACATCAGTGCAACCAATTATGATACGCCTGTCTCCCATGTATACCAAGCCGCGACGGTGGATTGCATGAATCGAGAGCAAAATCTAGACATGCTCTCAAGGTGCTGTGCAGGGAACGATGCGGGTCACAACTACAAACTGCCCTCGTGGGTGGAAGATTGGTCCGTCACCCAGCCGCTCTGCCCCCGTCCCATCTTCAGCACTTACTTCCGCACCCAAGGCAGCTCTCGAGCAGTCTACGGGGCAGCCAGCCGGCACGCTCCTGAGGTCACATACCTGGACCGAGCACATGGCCTCCTGCGTGTCAAGGGGATAATCTTCGACACAGTTGAACGTGTTGTTTCAAGAAAGCCCGAGGACGCACTCGATGCGGATGAATTGATCCAGGATGGAATCCCGGCCGCGACCTTTGCAGGACAGGCTTTCCCTCCAATCCCAAGTGGCAGTCAACTAAAGTTCCATATCACGGTGGACATGCTGGCACGCTCGTTCCCAGCTGACGGCGATTCCAGGATGGCAGGGCTCCTGAGGACTCTGCGTGCGGACCTGGAGGAAATCTGGTCCGAATGGATTGAACTTGCACTGGCCCCGGACCTTCCAGATCCGTATGGCGGCCACTCACAGAGGCTTGGTGCATTTTGGAGGGCGCTCGTCGAAGACCTGGACCTCGCTTCGGGGGCGCAACTTGAACGACTGCCATTGGAGTTTGACGAGCAGGTGCAGGGCTGGGTTGAAGCGACTGGGAGTGCGACTGGGTCTGGGACTGGGACTGGGACTGCGCCTGCGACTGGCAAGACATGCCAGTGGACGCTCTCGGACGAAGCGTCGGCCTTCTACGACAAGTACTACGCGACGTGGATGGCTCGTCGCTTATACCGGACTCGAAAAGGCTATCTCGGCCTCTCTTGCGACTACGTGCGGCCCGGTGATAAGGTCGCCTTGCTGTACGGGGGTTCGCTGCCTTTTCTGCTGAGACGCCAGGGTACAATCAACTTCAGGGGACGGGGACCAAACGTGGAGGTGGAGGCGCAGGGCACAATCAACTTCAGGGGGTCAGGACCAAACGGGGAGGTGGAGGCGCTGAAGTCCTCTTCGGTAGCGTCGTATGTCCTCATCGGTGGTGAGACCTACGTTCATGGGCTGGCAGATGGTCAAGGACTGGACATTGCAGTGCAAGAAGACATGGCGGCGGAAGAAATTTATCTTCTCTGACTTCTCTTCTCTGACTTCTCTTCTCTGACTGGGAATATATAATTGATCAACGAATCCAGCTTCTCTAACTAGGAATATATAATTGATCAACGAATCTAGTTTCTCTAACTAATATAATTAATCGACGAATCTAGCTTCTCTAACTAGGAATATATAATTAATCAACGAATCCAGTTTCTCTGACTGGGAATATATGATTAATCCAGGAATCCAGTCTACTTAAGAGAAGTCACTCGCCACTCGCGGCCGGCTCGCTAATATATAGTATCTGTCTAGTCCCTATCCCACTATAATAGCAAGATGCGTCTAGTAAGGTACCTATGATAGCAAGATACGTGCCGGTGCGTGCAGTAGTACCTAGTACCCGGGTATCCGAGGCCTCAACCGCCGAAGCTTTCGCAGGGATAAATTGATTAATTGATTGCCCTGATCTCGGAGATTTCATATCAAAACATACCCTGATCCAGAAGCTACGTAATTGATGTAACTTGAACGAGATTCCATATCAAAACATACACTGATCTAGAAGCTGATTGAAACATACCCTTGGTAAGGACCCAGAAGCTAATTGATGTAACTTGAACGAGATTTCATATCAAAACGTACATGTACCCTGATCTAGAAGCTGATTGAAACATACCCTGACCCAGAAGCCAATTGATATAACTTGAACCACTCCCCTTCGAGAGAACCACACCACCTTAAGACTGAAAGAACACTTGCCGTACCTACCTACCTCAGCGGCTTTTCTGGATTCAGGCTCCACCACCCCTCCGAGAATGATGGGCTTAACTCGGCAAAGCACAGTAGAGCCTCTGGTGTGCTGGAACACTTGAATCACAGTAGAGCCTCTGGTGTCCTGAAACACTTGAATCACCCCGTATCTCTCAACCTAGTTGCAACCCTGGAAGCGGAAGGGAAGCTGCACGGCCCAAGTCGGATGATACTCCCAAGGTAGAAATTCGAGTCGAGCAAGGGGCGAGGATATCAGGATGTCAATTCGATCAAGGGGCAAGGTTAATCAGGATGTCGAGCAGGGTAGATGGAGAAGTCCAACACAAGAGACAAGCAGGGTAGAAGGACAAGTCCAAGACACGCAAAGTAGGGTAGAAGAAGTCCAAGACAAGCCCAAGACAAGCAGGGTAGAAGAAGTCCAGGACATCTTCACCACTGGCCGCTGCGGCGTAGTGACAACTGCTATTCAACCCAACTGAGATCTCAGTCAGACACTTGTGCTCCCATGTCACACCCACAGACACAGAAAACTGAACCCTTAAGCGGCGGAGAGGATTTGGGTCTAGGGGTCACGCCCACAGGCGCAGGAACCATTTGAGCGGACGGAGCGGAGTGACCGTGCAGAGAGGATTTGGATATACGGAGAAGATTGGGTATACGGAGAGTATTTGGGTATACGGAGAGGATTTGGGTAGACAAGTTCATCAATGGTCGATTTTGAGGGAAAAGTCTACATGCGGCACGCCTTGGTGGACGGCACTGGTGGATATGATATCGATGTCTGACACCAGGACACCATGTTAGCAGGAGCAGGAGTGGACAGGAAACCATGTTATGGACACAGATGCACAACCTACCGTTGTTGATGTACTCTTTCACATTCGCCTCGGTGAGCCCGCCACTACTCTCCAGCAGCACCTGCTTCTTCCCCCGCCATCGATCTTTCAGACTCCTCGCGGCGACTTTCAGGCCGTCGCCGTCGAAGTTGTCCAGCATGACCACATCGGCACCGGCTGCGATGGCCTCGTCGGCGTCGGCCTCGGTCTGGACTTCGACTTCGATCTTCAGCGCGAAGCCGCCGACCGCACGGGCAGCCTTGACCGCGTTGGTGATGCTGCCCTTGGCCCAGATGTGGTTGTCCTTCAGCATGATCATACTGCTCAGGTCGTGTCTGTGGCCGTCAATGCCTCCGACCAACATGCCGTATTTCTCCACCAGTCGGAACCCCGGCGTCGTCTTTCTGGTCCCGGCCAAAACCCCTGTGTAGCCTGCCCCTCGCACCAGGTCCAGCATCTTCTTGCTTTTGGTCGCCACGCCGCTGCACCTCGCCAGCGTGTTCAGAGCCACTCTTTCGCCCAGGAGCAGCTTCCGCGTCGGGCCCGTGACCGTGGCGACTTTGATCTTGCCGCCGGACTGCGCTGGGTCCAAGTACGAACCCTCGTCGTGATGCCATTCCACTGTACACTCCAGCTGCCGGAACACTTCGTCGAAGAAGGGTATTCCCGCAAGCACGCCGGCCGATTTGCAGAGCAGCTGCGCTGTGCGCGGCGCCGACCCGACGACGAACCCTCCATAGTCGAACGACGGCGTGTCTTCGGCGAGCCAGGCGGTGATTTCGGTCGTGAAGTGCGACGGGAGGAGGTCCGCCAGGCTTCCGTGGGATAGACTGGCTTCGGGCGGAGGAGCCAGGTCGGCTGCGGAGGCGGAGGGAGCTCCGTTCGTGGCCGAAGTCATCGTCCTGTGTGCTCTCTACAATTGACGGCCGGAGAGGGAGGATCTGGCTACGAGCCGTGTGGGAGGAGCTTGGATTGGCCGCGTAGCAGGTAGGAGGTAGGGAAATATCAATCAACTAATTAGATTGACTCACTCCGACCTGCTTACGGATACAGTACATTGCTATTCCACAATCGAGAAATTTACCCCGCAAGGACGTGGGAGAGAGGACTCATTGATGTTCGCTACACCTTCCTCTATCGACCCCAGGCTCTCTGTGCAAATACTGTACTCCGTACATCTACGAATACTCTTCAATTACTCTGTACTCTGTGCTCTGTACTCGTACTCTGTCCCGCGGAGGGCTCAGTAGATGCATTGGTCCCTCGGTCGGGTCATTTATCCATCCATCATCTTAGTTGCTCAGCATCGGCTCTGAGAGCCCAGAGGACCGCCGCCATTTATGGTATTGGATACAACAAACATCACTATCGCTCTCCATAGCCCATATGCACTGATAGCACTGATACAGATACACGCGATCTGCAGAGGTCTAGACGGTTGCTGTGTCCCTTTCAAACTCGGCCTGATCAACCACGCAAACGGCCTTGCCTTGCATTTTGCCGGAATGGGCGAGCTCCAGCATTTTCGGCACCGCGTCGAGACCGTAGAACAGATTCGTTTCGACCTTGATATTGTGCTTTGCCGCATCATTGAGCATCTGCTGGCTATAGTCCTGGCCGGCAATCAACGTGCCCTTGATTCGAATGTCGCGGAAAACCAGCTCTTGAAAAGCAACACTGACCCGATCCGGCTGCGCAGCTTGCACCATCGTACCGTGCATTCGAGTTACGGCGCACGCGGTATCGGCGGCCGTTGGGTGATCGCTGACGTTAATGGCGGCGTGTACGCCCAGTCCGTCCGTCAGGGCCTGGACTCTTTCGACCACTTTCTCCTGGCCGTCTCTTGCATCAAAGATGTGTTTTGCACCTACTTCCTTGCACAGTGCCAGCGCTTCGTCTCGAGCATCGATTGCCACCACGTTGATGCCCTTGGCCTGTGCGAACTGGATCCCGAGATGGCCCAGCCCGCCGCCGGCGCCAACAATGGCGAGCCACTCCCCCCCCTTCACCGAGCTGACCATTAGGGCTCGGTAAATGGTACAGCCCGCGCAGGCAAGAGGAGCAGCACTGGCGAAACTGACTTGGTCCGGAATGTGGCAGCTAGTCCTGCTGTCGACGACGTGATACTCGGCAAAGGCCCCATTGGTAAACACGCCAATGTGGCCTTCGAGGTTCGGACAATATTGATGCCAGTCATTCGGCCCTGTGCAGTTGTAGCATTTCCCGCAGGCGTTTTTGGGTACGCCCGACATAACTCGGTCGCCCACCTTGAAATTGTTTACTTTGGAGCCCACGGCCTTGACAATCCCCGTTCCTTCATGTGATGCCGTGCAGGGTAACTGGGTGGGGAATTTACCCTCGAGGACCATGAAGTCCGTGTGGCAGAGAGATGCAACGACGGTTTTGAGGAGAATCTCATATTCCTTGAGCGCCGGAGGAGTAGGCACTTTGTGGATCTTGTACGGTTGGTTGAACTAGAATTGCGTCGGTTGGGTTCATAGTATCGCCAATTGCAATGGGGGTCCTATACCTCTACGACTTGCACCGCTAGCATTTCACTGGGAATCCCTTCGATAGCCATGTTGCACAAGGCTATTCTGATTCTGGTTCGATGCAGGCAGAGCAGAATTAATATGATCGGACTGCTGTGTCAAGATGCAAGATGTCGGTCTGGCTGTTTGTCAACTAAATAGGATAGAGAAATGTGAGAGTGAAGAGGATGAAATGATGAGGTATACTGGCAGGTAGTGGTAGGAATATGGGAAGTGGTGATGAAGTGATAGGTATAGTAGCCGATGGGCTGGAGGTGATGACATATACTCAGTAACTCCGGGGAATGTCTCTGGGCACACACTTCGACACACCTGATTAGGCAACTCCGAAGTGTCGATGTGTGTGCCCTGAAAACATTCCCTAACTCCGGACACGGAACTCTCGCGTTCAGCGACCATCACCATATTTGAATTCTGACGGGTGGGTTAGTCTTACTCTAGTTGGGTGCAGGAAGCTCTCCAAGCCCATCACACACTCACACACCCCGTGCCGGACTTCAAATGTACTGGAAGTACGAGTATTCTATTGCATCATGCTCTGTTGCCTCCTGTTAGACCTTTGCTCGCTTAACCTTCCTAGACGCGTCCAGAAGTAATCACGTGATGTACAGCTAGTGCAGTTGCACTAGTCCAGATGCGGCTGGTAGCTATTCTTGATCCAACGACAATCAACAAGCAACAATCCACCGAAAGTCATCTAACAGTTCGAGTCCATCATCTTCCTCTTCCTTTGTCTTCCTTTGTGCTCCCGCGGACTCGGATGCAAAGCACGGCGTTGTGGAACTGTAATGCAATGAACAGCGTCTTCTCGCCTGAAGATTAAACCATGGCAACATACTCCGTACTGTGGGCTCCTTCTTCTGACCCCGAGCTACGATGTCGATGTCTGTTGACATTAGCTATGAGTGTCTCGAACACCAGAGGTGAAATACTAGACCCGTTATGCAACCGATAACCCGACAACAAATTCTATATTTCTTTCTTCAGCCCTATGGCATACCACTTGCAGTGGAAAACCAGGCAATGACTCCTTTGTTTGCAATCTGCCAATTTTGATGCGTTCGGAATTCCTTTAAGGATGAGACCTCCTGTTGCTTCTTCACCTGTTCTGTCCTTCATACAGTTGGAAATTACTGACGCATGACCAATTTGCTTGACTACCGCGCCGCTCTTCTTCTGAAACTTCCATCCCGTCGACCGTCCTGTCGCTTACCCATCACCCTTTGCTCGCCGACGACATGGCGCGTATTGGCCTGACGCATCTCGATGAGCCGGACTTCAACCCTGAGAGATACTTGGTCGACTATGATCCCGCCAATTTTCACCCGCGAAAGGTTGGAAAAGACCTCAATCAGCAATGGTACGACGCGAGGAAGCATAGGGGCGCATTTGGCGGCAAAGTGGAGAGCGAGGTCTTCATGCTGAGAGATCTACATTTTGAGGAAGACCCCGACCATGACGCCGAGTGGGGACCGGTCAGGCTCCTAGGTGCAGGAGCATATGGCCGAGTTGGACTCTGGCAGAAACGAAATGCGAAAAACGTCCTCATCGACGAATTGGCTCTCAAAGAAAGCATCTTGGTCCGAGGGGCGGACGTCAAAAGAACCGAGGGAAGCAAGATCAACCAGGATAGACCGCGACTCCTCAAGGAAGCAGTGATTCAACATGACCTGAATGTGAAGGATGAACGCGCTGCTCCTCACCTGAGAAGGTACAAGTTCGTCTCGGACCACAGGTCGAATAAGGAGGGACGGTATCGAATGTATTTGGAGTTCTGCCCACATGGCAGCCTGGATCATTTAAGACGGCTCTATCGCGCATGGGATCATTACCTCCCCGAAGTCTTCGTCTGGCATGTTTTTCATCGCCTGGCCATCTCCTGTGAGGCACTTCGTGACCAGCCTCCTGCCGAGAGTCTAGCTATAGAACTCGACAAGTTCTCGAGCATTTGGGACGACCAGGATGACGAAGCTCTGATCTGCCTGCACATGGACATGAAGCCGCAAAACGTGCTTCTCGGCTACGAGCCCGAGGATCCAGAAGAGAACGACTACCCCGAACCGAAGCTTTCTGACTTTGGCTTGTCAGAATACACGGGTCCGAGCGACGACAGGAATCCGTTGTTTTATTGGTGGCGAGGAACCACGGCATACAAGGCAACGGTAAGCACCTACTTGGACAGGATCGATGATCTCCAGCTGACATGCAGATTAGGAACAAATTAGCTACGGGGCGCATTGGGTAACCCCACCCAACGGAGCCATGGTCAGAACGCACGACGACAGGAAAAGGCGGCTTGACTACAAGCGGGCGAAGCATATGCAGCGCGTATACAACCAGGCGAATTATGCCGGCGATGTGTCGTTTGATCATTCTTTGAATGTAAGTCTGACCCGGGTACTCCGGACACGATTCCTGTCACCGGTCTTTGCGAGACTATGCAGCCGCTTCTTGGGCTTCTCCAAATCTGGGACAGGAACACTTGGTCGTGTGTTGTGTTGTTTTTCTGGTCCTAAACTGACATGATGGCAGGTCTACGGTGTCGGAACCACAATGTACGCGGTGGCGACACTGGCCAAGGACCGGCGACTCATGCGCATCCGAGCAAAGCACTACAAGAAATACCGACAGAACGGGAACCACCAGATTTCGAAAGTGCGCACCAAGCTTCCGGGTGTGTACAGCAGCCGGCTGCGAGAGCTGATCCGCCGTTGCATCGACCCGGACCCGTCCAACCGACCGAGCCAGCTGGAATTGATGGACGCGACCCGCAAAGGCCTGCGGGTGGCCGAGGATCGGGCCCTACGTGCGCGCGAGAAACACCACGCCGAAACCGGCGGCAGTCCCGACGAAATCCCTCCGCCCCTACCGTCGGAGAAGCTGTACTACCATGACCATGAGATCAACAATCTGCCGCAAGGCCCTGCCGGGTTCAAGCCTCTCATGGACGACTTTAATTACCTGATCCGTGATGAGTTTGTGAACCCAGACATTCCGCGCCTGAAGCTCCCCGCGGCCAAGTACCGCAAGTTTCCGGACTCTTGGAACAAGCCCAAGGCGAATTGGCGCACGCTGTATTCCAAGACAAATCGGGAATATCTGTGGTTCCGGCCGGTGAACTGATATGGTCACGAAGTAGTCCTGCGAACGTGTGGGAGAGAAGGTGTGACCTCAAAGCGAACGGGTTCGAGAGAAGGTGAGGCCTCAAAGCGAACGGGTTCGAGAGAAGGTGAGGCCTCAAAGCGAACATGTTCGAGAGAAGGTAGCGAACATAATCTTGATACTACGAAAAGGGAAGAGGAGGGCGAGGAGGTGGTCGTGGTCGTGGAGGAGGTGGTCGTCGAGGTGGGAATGGAAGATGCAACAAGAGCCCAGAAGATGAGCATTCTAGGAGACCACTCCACCACGAAATGAATCATGTCATGATATCCTGGGGAAATATGTTTATGTTTGAAGCCACAGCTTGATTTGTCGCTGTGCGAATGCGAATGCGAATGCGAATGCGAATGCCGGATGGAGTTGGGAGAACAATGGTGATCGGTACTGATTAGGAGGCGTTATTCTAAGATATTAGATACTGTACGTACATATGTATCATCGCATCGTTGCATCATCGCATCATCATATTATTGCTTGCTATTCGTCGCGTTGTCGCTGTTCGTCGCGTTGTCGCTGTTCGTCGCGTTGTCGCTATTCGTCGCGTTGTCGCTATTCGTCACGATGTTGCTTTATTCTTTATTCACCCAGTATGTGTGTGTGTGCGTATGTGTCGGGTGTCGGGTGTCGGGTGTCGGCGTGATCAACATAAATAGGATAGGACAGGATAGGAACCTTGCATCAGTGATACCTTAGGTAGGTACTCGTACCTAAGTTGATTGAATATTGTATTGTATTGGTCTTTCAAGCGGAAGACAGTTGCTCAGCTAACTTATACAGGACTTGTTCAAACACGACAGGACAGACACGACAGGACAGACACGACAGGACAGACACGACAGGACAGAATAGCTTAGCTTACTACTACAAGTATACGGTACAGCCACGTTATACCGTCGTTAACTGGGTTCAATCGGCACCAAAATTAGCTCGAAGCCGGAGTGAGTGTCATGCCCTAATTCATGTCTACCATGCCATGGCCATGCTGTACACAACCAGTCCCATCGCGGCATTAGAAGTCGTCAACAACCTGTCTTCCCTGACGAGCCACTCCTGATGAGCCACTTCCTAATGAGCCACTTCCTGATGAACCACCTTCTTTGCCGGACCAAGATCACGGTCAACTACATTGCATCGCCCCGGTCGAGCTAAGCTCTTCTGGACCCATCGGTGGGAAACTCATCCGACACAATCAATCTCGTGTTGACATTCATGCTGCCCAGCTCGTTGAGTAAGAGCTTAAACGCATACGGTAGAGTCATTCGGACCACGTTCGACCCCGGTTCACCTGCCGTGCTGCAACGCTGGCACCATCGACCAAAGGCCATGAACCCGCAGGACTCACACACGTCGACTTCATGCTTGTCGCTGGATAACATCAGCCGCTCGCGGAGTAATTGGGACGCGCCGTAGGCGATGAGACAGTCTCGCTCCATCTCTCCGAGTCGTAGGCCTCCATTTCTCGACCGACCTTCTGTCGGCTGACGCGTCAAGATGGCTCGTGGCCCTCGAGATCGACTGTGCATCTTGTCTTGGACCATGTGCTTGAGCTTCTGGTAGTAGATAGGACCCATGAAAACGTATGCAGGGATAGGCTCGCCAGTGGTGCCGGAAGTGAGGTAATCCTTGCCATCGTAACTGTATCCGGCTTCGATGAGAGCTTTCGACATGTCTTCCAGCTTGCTACCTCCGAACGCAGTGCCGTATTCGAATTTTCCTTTAAGAATGCCGGCTTTGCCAGAGACCAGTTCCAGCATCTTGCCGACCGTCATCCGAGAGGGGAAACCATGCGGGTTCATGATGATGTCTGGTGTGATGCCACGGTCTGAGAAAGGCATGTCCACTTGTTCGGCGATAATCCCCACCACACCCTTCTGCCCGTGTCGGGATGAGAACTTGTCCCCAACTTCTGGAACCCGGGTCTGTCGAGTCTGGATCTTGATGAGCTGGTTCCCAGATTCCACCTCGGACACCATCACTTTGTCGATGTAGCTCGGATCATAAAGCCGATATTTCTGGGCCTGCGGGATCAGGGCAGTCCCGAGGCTATTGGACCCTGCATCCGACAAGCCGGAGGAATTCGAATTCTCAGGGATATACTTGTTGACGTATACTTCGCCTTGACTGACTTTGGCACCGACAGACGCAATGCCATCTTCGTCAAGCAAAGCATGTGCTTTGATAGGCACGCCATTGTCCATCGTAGGCCCTTCGACGGTATCTTTGCTGCCATTTGCATAGAGTTTCAGACTGACTGGATATTTCCGAAGGACTTGACAGCGACCAAAGCCACGATCAACCGACGCTTTATTGAGAACAAGAGCGTCCTCGATATCGTATCCGCTGTAAGACATAACAGCTACTGTGGCGTTCTGCCCAGCGGGAAGTTGGTCGTACTTGACCAGTTCAATGGTTCTCGTTTTCACCAGGGGCTTCTGTGGGTACACCATGAGGTAGAGCAGCGTGTCAATCCGTAGAAACTGGTTGTTGGCAATAAATCCGATGGCTTGCTTACCCATAGCACATTGGTAGGTATTTCGCGGCGATTGGTTGTGATGAGGGTAGGGAATGAGGCCGGCAACAGCGCCAAGGATGGTGAAAGGCTCGATCTCCAGGTGAGTGGTGGTGGCGTTGATATCAGACTCATACATTGCAATGTTGCTGTCGTTTTCTTCGTTGACATCCAGATATTCCACCAAACCACGTGCCAAGAAATCGTCAAAGTCCATGGACCCTTGCCTTAAGGACTTGAGGTAACGCTTGGTGACTTTGGATTTCTTGTCTTCGACAATGATGAGCGGCCGACAGATTCGTCCCTCGTCGGTCGCAACATGGATCGTGCTGTGATGGTGATTGATAAAGATGGAGACAAACTCGGAAATACGCCCTGATCTCCGCAGACGTCGGAATGAAGTTAGGAAATGTGATGGATGCCTTGTGGTTGCCACCGGAGTTCCGTTCAAAAGAACAAGATATGAACCTGGGGTGTAAAGCTCGTTTCCGCCCACAGTGACCACATCTTCAGCTCCAAGCATGAAGATGAGACGTTTGATCGGAGCTTCCTCATCATCAGTGGTGATGTGTGTCATGAGAGCAAGGTTTTTGACCAGTCCACAAGCCTCACCTTCAGGTGTATCGGCAGGACAAAGCATTCCAAAGGACGATGGTTGGAGCGCTCTAGGACCACTGACTTTTCGAGTCTTCTCGAATTGACTCGATATTCGGGTCATCATACCGAGAGAGGCAATGAAGCTCAGTCGACTGAGCAGATGAGTGACGCCTGCTCGGTCCATCCTGAATCGCTTCAAGTTCCAGTTGCCGGTCGCAATGGCTCTGTTCATTCCCTGCGTGATGTGGTTTGCGTGACCCATCATGACCGTACATGGATCAGCCATTTCAGTTCTATTCGGTTTGCGCAAGACCTTGTCCATGTTCATCTTGATGTCGTAGTTGTATTTCTTGAACAAGTCTTCGAACAGGAGGGACAGTAACTGGCCAGCCAGTTCCAAGCGTTTGTTGCCAACATAATCTCTGTCATCGACGAGCGCCGGATTTTGCTTCGCCATCAGGACACGGCGGGCCATGTGTGCCACGTAGATGGCTTTTGGTCGGAAATTCAGGTTCTCAATTGGGACGTGAGCAATGAAAACGTTACTGACCGCCTCCAGGGCCTCCTGGACGTAGTTTCGGCGCGATTGCCCAAACGGCGTAGGTTTCCGGGTGATCTTGATCCGAGCTCCAAGATAGTCCAAAGCCTGCTGTTGTGTATGGATTCCAAGTTTGATGGTTTCCTCGAAATTAATCGCAAAGTCGTCTTGCAAAGCTTCGTGGGGTCCGGCTACGATGGCCATCATATCCATGTCCGCCGTCACGCCCATTGCCTTCAATAGGATACAAATAGGAACGTCCTCGTTCAAGATGTTATGCCGCATATACAGCATGTCTTTCTTGAGGACAATGTAGCTCTTGGATTTCCTGGCGTGGGTAGAGCTGGTGACTGAGGCGGTGATAAGCTCTTTCTTTGAGTCAGCTTCCACGATGATACGGTTTTTGCTCAGCTGTTCCTGAACCAGGATGACCTTCTCAGTTCCGTTGACGATGAAGTAACCTCCAGGGTCCAAGGGGCATTCGTCCATTGCACACATCTCAGCCTCCGACTTGTTCGCGAGGACACACCTGGAGCTCCTCAGCATGATGGGCAGGCGACCTATCGGCATCCCTTTCCGTCGATAAGCAACCTTGGATTTCGTGTATCTGATGTCAACAAGAATTGGCGCTGCATAAGTCATGTCACGTAGCCGGCATTCGTTGGGTGTGACGGTGGATTCTTCCTTTGAGTCTCTGAAATCGCCCATGTGCTCATCGTATCTCCTGGGCTTTCCGACGTAGATGTTTTCATATTTGATGTAGAAGTCCGGATCAATATCGCTCGTAATGACTGGCTCGGCATCGATAATCTTTTTCAGTTCGACCTCGACGAAGTGGTTGAAAGAATCAATATGCTGTTTGACCAATCCCTTGACTTTGAGAAACGCTGGTAGCAGGTTCCATTTGTCACGAGCAGTATCGATCGGGTCTGTCAAAGACTTGTCATAGTAGAAAGGTTCCAGAGCAGCATCGAAGCTGTCAGGATGGTGATGGGGTTTACGGCTGTGTTTTTCACCCTTGGGGTCATCCTTTGAATTTCGCCCGGCTAAAGGACCGTCTCGAGGAGTAGATAGTTCGTCGACATGGCCGTCTCTAGGACCGCTCTTGCGAGGAACAGTCTTCTGGATACAACATCAGCTTTTGTATACAAAAGCTTGGCCAGAGAGTGAGGGCATATCGACATACCTTTGGGATCGGGTTTCGGGATGCCGGCTGAGGTGCGGCGACTGAACCGTCGACTTTCCTCTTTGGCGGCATCGAGACCGTTCATCGAGGGAAAGCAGGAGTACTAGGTATTTCCAGAAGTCACACCGACTCACACTCGCTAGACATGTTTGCCGCAAAAGAACTTTGGAATGCGGGTGAGAAACTGTTTGCTGAGTTAAGCCCCAAGATCACAACGCGGCAAGGTGGGCAACACAAATCCGCACATCGCATGCCACAAAAATTCTGCCGCACCAGACGCCCGCTGCGAGTTTTTTAGGCAGGCGGTGAAGAGAGGACATGAGGAGGAAGGTTTGGCGAGTCATTGCTTACTCATCCGCCACCAGCTGATCCCGAGAGCGCAGGCTGCCTGCTCTGCGGTACCGAGCTTCACGTTAGGTATCCGTACTCCGTACTGTACCTGTTACACACGCGAACTACCTAGCCAAAAGATCCTACCCCCAGGAGAAAGTCTGGACAGGTCAGCCGTTCTGGAATATGACCTTCTCACGAATGCACTGTTGCCTGAAAAGCCTACCTACGCATACTGTATCCGTACTCCGTAGACCTTCCGACTTTGCGAAACATTACCAACAAGATAGTCAGAAAAGCTTGTCTTCGGACTCCTTGCAGCCTTCATGACGGCAAAGTCAGTTGGGCGGGTGATGTGCTTTGACGGCCTTTCATGCAGGGGACTGCAAGCCCGGCAGCGGGCACCCTGTAACCTCCCGCCCTATCCCTGAGTGAGCTTGGGACCCATGCCTCCGACCTGGCTTCGAGCCTCAATCGACTCTAGCTCGAAAGCAGCGTGGGAGGACTTTGGACCTCCAGTGACAGCAGCAATCCCGAGTCCAGGCAACGGCTGCATGTGTACGGATACTATATTATAAATGGGTACGGGCCAGTTGCTCTTGGTCAGGCAAGATCGTAACAGCCATCCTGAGCACGAAGAAGCAATGGGAAGAGAGACTCTACGGCAGGGTTGGGACGCAGGGTCGGCTTAGGGCGACATCATCATGCATCAACTCTGTTCCTCTTCCCGACGGATTGTCGTCGAGGGGGCGCTCTTCGGCACAAACGTTAGACGGGGGTGCTTTTGGCCACAGCGAATCTGGCATGTTAGGTCCCGAGTCGCCTGGGATTCCCAGCTTATGCAGGCGAAGGCTTCACAACATCCAGTCACCCACTTTCTGGACTGGATCGGGTCACACTCGTGTCGGGAACAGTGGTTTGAACCTCTTATCCCACGAGGTGCCTGTCCATGTGCTCGTGTGTCTGTCCGTCTCGGGTGCCGAAAGGGTGGAAAATGAAAGGCAGGGCCCATGGTTGATGTCTCAGCGATCCCAGCCAGGCTGTGGGGTATGTGCCTCCCGGAATGAGAAGTTGGGATTGGATTGGATTGCGCCACGCAGATCCGCGAGCAGAGTGAACCGGGGGGTTCCTCGTTTCTGACCAAATGCCATCCCTCATGCAGGAGTACAGTACCTTTGAGCAGCTGCATACGGAGGACGGACTGCATATATGTATTCTTACGATTACCACCAAGAAGCGTAACGATGCGTCCTGATCTTGATGGCGGGGAACGCTCTCCTGAGCTGTAGCCAGCTATGCGTACTCCGTACAGTACGGAGCACTCACTATTCGAGTGGAATCATGGTCCTCTGGCCCAAGAGCGGGCCCCTTATTTCCCTTCCTCTTGACCGCCTTTTGCATGCGCCGGTGGCTTCTGCTGGGATTGGGGAGCCAGAGGCGCCTAAAGCCCATCAGAAGCCAACGCTGCGTTTCCCCACATCTTGCAAGATTGAAGAAACATCCGTCCGAGCAGACGATGTGATGGGTTGGTTGTTGGGTCGGCCTCTAACCCCTCGAGAGATGAAGGCCGATCATCTTGCGATGCACAGCAAGATTTTTTTCATTCGATTGGCGCGCAATGGAGGTGTGCAGCGCCATGGAGGTGATTTGCTCAAACAATATCGCCGCCTCCTTGTGGCCTACAGGCACTGGCGAGTGCCATCAAAAACATCGTCTAACCCGGCCTAGAGGCGTTCCTCGCCTTTCTGCTCTGCTCCGTGGGCCTAAGGCCTGGTGTCAAGGGGGGCCGAGTGCTGGTCGGTCCATCATCATCACCATCAGTCCACCAAATGGTGCAACGCCCACCCACCTACTTTCTACAGCCACTACTGGCACGTTCAATCTTCGCTGAGCCAACAGGTAAGTCCAGGGGTTTCGCGTCGAACGATTTGACCAGCCTCGTCTTGCGGATAGCTCCAGGTACTAAACGGCCTGGAAGAGGGGCAGGCATATTATGTCCGCCTCAACAACCAGTGGAACTTATCGGTCTTCTGAAACAAACGAGGCCTTGAGACCCTCCTGGACTACTATATTATATCCGTACACACTCTCCGTACTATAACTGTGCACTCCAGACCAGACTTTGGCTGGCGATCTCAAGCAGGTTCTTTGTCCGCCGCGCCCCTCGCCTCTTGAGCCCTGGTCAAGTGGGATGGTTAGCCCCGAGTGCCTAAGCAAGGAGAGGGGCCTAAGGGCCCAAGGGGGTTAAGGAGCCCCAGTAGTTCCGCCCACGGCTGTCGTTTAGTGGGCAGAGGGCAATCCCCAGCCAGAGAGCGCCCACGCCCAGCTGCAGCATGGCTCAACCCTTATTAAACAACCTCGTCTAGGCCGGGTACCCACGCTGGCTTCTGGCGCTTGCCTCAAAGCGAACCGCCCGAGAGAAGCCCCCCCAAGGGCGTCGACAGAGGGAGGGGGAGAGTGTTGCTCGAGTCGCAGCAACCTGTCGAGGTCGAGGTCCAGTCCATGCCAACCTCCATTGCTACAGTCCTCTCCAGACTGATCCATCCACTCTCCTGCACCCTGTACTTCGACACCTCCCTGTAACATTATTTCTTTCGTTTCTTTTCGTGCCGTTTTGTTGTTTTCTTATCACGGTCCTTAAGGAGCATATCTTGGCCGTCGTGCTGCCTCCGAGTCAAGCACGTCCGCAGCGTTGGTGCTGCTCTTCCTCGCTTGTCGTGGTCGCTGTCCCACCACCCGCACACTGGACGGCCACCCACGGCGTCTAATTCGCGCACCCGACCTCAGAGGACGACTTGGAAGGAGTGGAGGTCAACGTTGTCGTTGGACACAAGTTGCATCCCTGGAAGTACGAGGTACGTGATGGCTACAGCCCACAAATGCAGCGTGACCTCTCGCTTCTGCTGTCTGGGAGGGATCTGGGTCACAGCAGGCTCCATTTCCAGGAATACCACTCTCTGCCTCTGGCTATACCCAGGCAAGCCCTCGAGCTGTAGCTCTGGTCCTGCTTTCAGTAATGTTTGCTGACGGTGTGCCCAACAACCAGACGTTCGCCATGGCCTGGTCCAACACCCTCAGTGGCCGTATGGAGGAGCTACGCTTCCCGAGCTTGCGTTCTCCTGACCCAGAGGGTCCGCTCAGTCCAAACGCCTCTACCGCGCGAGACCAGAATCCCTTCTTCGCGAACATCCATTCCTCGTCCAACGATGCCCGCGCGAGCCTCCAACGCCGCTTCACAACCGACTCGAGCAAGATGCCAGTGGCCCGGCCATTTGGACAGCAATACACTGCAATAACTCCGAGTGTGGTAGGTGACAAGCTTGTGTGATTGAAACCCAGGGTTATTGTTCTTGCAAATAACAGCCTATTGTCGAGCTGGAATGTTGGTTGTGAAGTGAATCGGGTATCGAGCCCTATAAATATCTCGGCTCTACCCCTTCGAACTGTTTCACCCTCGTCCGCTATCTCTATCCACCGATCTACATCCTTGTTACATCCACCATCTTTAGACTCGTCATGGAGACTAATAATCATCCGCCACAGGCGAAGAACAAGCAGATCTACGAAGACATACAGAGTGCCAAACGGAAGGCTGAGGAGCAGTTGCGTCTTCTGGAACTACAAGAACGAAGTCTGCAGATGGGAGCCAGCACCCACGACCTTGATCGAATCTCAACCCGCCTGAATAGAATCAGCCTCAACGGCCCTGTGAGCGAACCAACTACTCCTCCTGAGTATGCAGAGAGTGCATTCAGCAATCGGTTCTCCCGTTCCAGCCGTCTGTCCATGAACAGCCTCATGTCCCCTCCAGGCCTCGGCAAGCGCTTCTCTCAATCCAGCTCTCAGGTCACCTCGCCTCCGGGCAGTCGTCTTTCGGGCAACGGTCTGTACAGTCAACCAGAGAAGCCTTCTGCCAAGTCAGTCCCTGGATCTCGTCGCGGATCTGACGAGGACGAGTACTATCCAGAGGATATACCCACCACACGGGCTGCAGCAACGTAAGTCCCCATGTCTGGTCCTGTGTGGATTGATCCCTTGCCATTGTCCTCAGTTGCCCCTGAGGCACGTGATGCGGCGGTATTCACTTTGGTCTTACCCACGTGACGTCCATTTCTGTCTCTCACATGCCCACGTGATATGCTCTTGTGCTGCTTCAACAAACAATCTGTCACTGCACCATGTCTCTCAACGCGCCTCATCTCTAACCCCTCGTCCACCTTTGTTCTACCTTTGTTCCTCGTCTAACCTTTCTGTCAATAGGCTTAACCGCTTTTCCATGCCTGTCAATCCCACTCGCCACCCCCATCGTCTCAGCATGAGCGGAGCTGCACCCGCCAACTCATTTGGCCTGGCCAACACCACCAGCTTTCTCTTTGATGAAGACGACGACAAGCACTTGTCACTCCCAGTCGATCTGAAGTCTCCAGTTGCAAAGGCATTTGCCCAGCTTGAAGGTGACGACACGTTCCCCACTTTGACGAGTGACGGCCTCAAGGTATGAATGTCAACTCATGCTGCCCTCGAACACCCAACTGACTCTTCTCTCTTAGCTCTCAGCCAACTCGGCAGCTCTTGACCTTGCCAATTCCAAGACTCCAGACCTCGACTGGACTCTTGGATCGCGCTACCGACCAGCACATCAGAGCATGCCGCATACGGATTCCTCCATGTACCGCCCGGTTCTCAGCAACCTCAACATCAATAGTCCTGTGGTTGACCGCCCAGCCGATCTGTCGCGCCGCAAGTCTCAACGCCATTCTATGGGAGTGACCTTCGAGGAAAACTCACCTCTGCCGTCCTCGCTATCTACATCTCGTCCCACTTCTCTCCAGACATCGTACTCCACCAACGACGTTCCCACTGTCAGAAAGTCTCTCACTCTCGACTCTACCCCCACACCGTCCAAAATGCAGGCTGATCAGCAATTCCATAACCACAACATCAGTCTCGGCCGCGTTCCTGCCAATGCACTGAACAATCGTCAGAGTCGCGAGTTGACCAACGGATCTGCCAAGGTCGAGGACAAGGCCAACGGGGCTGCGACCTCTCTGTCGAGCCTGCATGCGAGCGCTGCGCCATTCAGCACAGTTGTCAACGCATCTGATGCGAGCATGACCAACCTATCTGGTCCAACCACGGCCTATCCACCGCCTCAGTCTTACCCTTACAACATGCAGACCTTCAATGTCAGTCAGATGAACCCACAACCTGGCATGGGCGGTGCTGCTCCAGGCTACGGCCAAGGTCAAGTGATTCTCGGGATCGGCAATGGTATCAACCCCCCAGCTTCGCGTGCGGTCGCCGGGCGTCGCAACCAAGCCGACGAAGCTCGCTTCAACAATGTGCCACTCGAGACTTACCGCGGCGCACTGTATGAGCTTTGCAAGGATCAACACGGCTGCCGGTATCTCCAGCGCAAGCTCGAAGACGGCAACGAGGAAAACATTCAAGCCATCTTCGTCGAGACTTGCCCTCACATCATTGAGTTGATGACCGATCCCTTCGGCAACTATCTCTGCCAGAAGCTATTTGAGTATTGCAATGAGGAACAACGCACCACTCTGATCAACACCGCAGCTCCTGCTTTGACCACCATTGCTTTGAACCAACATGGTACCCGTGCACTTCAGAAGATGATCGAGTTTGTCCGCACTCCGGAACAAGTTGACACCATCATACAAGCCTTGTCTGGCCGGGTGGTCGACCTCGTCCAAGATCTCAACGGCAACCATGTTGTGCAGAAGTGCCTCACTCGTCTTGGGGCTGAGCGCTCGCAGTTCATCTATGATGCGGTTGGCAAGTACTGTGTGGTGGTCGGCACCCATCGACATGGATGTTGTGTTCTTCAACGTTGCATCGACCATGCTCAAGGCTTTCAACGTGCTCAACTCATTGCCCGAATCACCCATTGTGCCTTCGACCTGGTTCAGGACCCATTCGGCAACTACGTTGTTCAGTACATTCTCGACTTGGACGAAATTGCGTTCACCAAGCCACTGTGCGAGAGCTTCTTGGGCAGGATCCCAGCATTGTCCAAGCAGAAGTTCAGCTCCAACGTCATTGAGAAATGCTTGCGCACCGCGGATACCGACACCAAGCGACGCATGATTGAGGAGATGTTCATTGGCACCGAGCTTGAAAAGATGCTTCGTGACGCATTTGCCAACTATGTTGTGCAAACCGCCATGGACTTCGCCGATCCGCACACCAAGATGCGACTGGTCGATGCCATTCGTCCTATCCTTCCACTGATCAAACAAACCCCCCACGGACGGCGCATTGCAGGCAAGATTCTCGGGAACGAACCTCAAGGCCGGGGAGCGCCACTTGCCAATGACAACCTGCTCGCCAGTTTCAGTGGTGGTCGCGCAAACAGTCGCCGCAATGTGCAGATTGTCGGTGGTGGCTTCAACACCATGCGCCCTCCTAATGGATACGGACCGGGTGACATGGGCAACGAGAACATACCTTCCAATGGTAATACCTACGGCATGATGCACCATCCCACCGGTGCTGGCGCCCACGATTCCAACGCCAACATGTACAATGCACGCCCCTTTGCAAATGACATCGGACAGAACGGCTATCCTGGGTTCATCAACGGGGCAGTTGGCGGATCCAACAATGTCCTCTGATGGGTGATTCCCCAGCATGTGGCTCTCGACACGATTATGATCACGACATGATGAAGTTTTTAGCATTTTTCTTTCCACCCATGCATTCATAGCGCCACAGCGAGATGTGCTTTCCCTTGTCACGACGCGCTCGATCACGACTGTACCAAACCCACACTCAAAAGCGCTCCACAAATATCACGACCAACGCATTCACGGCCCAAGATGTATTATGCTTTCGGAAAATGATTGGCCCAGAATCAGTCTGGCACTGGCAGGAGATTGAAGGTTGTATCACAGGTTAGGGGCTTTTCGGAAAATCGAGACCCGGGGCCTGCACATTGGATATCGTGACTTGATATCGTGGCTTGCTCGAGCTTTCTTTCCATGGTTCTGGCTGGGCAATTTTGTGTTATCTTGAAAAAAGACCCACAGGCGTGTTCACATCCAACCAAGGTACCGGCCATATCATTCCGTGTTTTGCCGAGTGTGACATGGAATGGCGACCAGTTTCGTTTTCCTGCATCGCGATTGACGACTCTCCCTTGGCTGGGTTGGACGGCACTGTTACGACTGGTGGGAAATTGGCTATGTACTTAGCAACCAGGGTTCATGGTTTTCTGGCTAGGTTTTTTGCGTCGATGGTGACAGGGCCTGTACCATCAGCCGCGAGCTAGACTTCTCGAGCTACAAAAATTGTATCTTAGAAAAAAGGAACCAAAAAAAGAAGACGCTCCTTGGTCCATTGTTGTTGGTGGTGGTGGTGGTGCTGCTGCTGCTGCTGCTGCCGTGTGCGCGTGCATTTCTGAGCATAGACCGAACGAGCATGCTGCCCACCGACCATAATGTAGTCGCTGTAAGCAGAGTCAAGACTTCACTCAGGCCGTTGGATGCGAGTTAGTACATACAGTATACCTGACTGATGGCGATGGCGAGGCTTTGCACTTTCAGCACCTGGAACCATCTCCACACGTGACACCGTGGCCGTGGCCAGTGGAAACGCGTCGCAGCGAAAACACGCGTTAATTGATTTACTGTATCACTCCCGCACCCTGAGGTGCCTGTGTCCTGCGCTGCTCCGCCCATCCAGAGCGTACCCATCTAGGTAGTCATTGATTGTTATCACCTGTGGCCGCAGCCAGCCGGCAAGATGGGCGTATTGCTTCCACCCGATCTTTTGCAATTGATCTCACAGCAATTGCCCTGTCGGGACTCGCAGATCTTACAACTTGCCACCTATTTCAATGTGAGCCGATTCGCCTCCCCGCCTCTCTGCCTCTCCCAATCCGGTCTCTAACATCACCTCGGATAGGGCGTATTCCCTAGTCCCGCGGTCTTGGTCGCCCACGGCCTCGAGCATACCAGTAAAAAGGATGTGATAGTCGGAGTTTTGGAAAGGAGAGGGATCGACTATGCTGTCCTTCGGAGCCGGGAATGTCTTTCGCAGCGACATCTGGTGTCCAAGGTCTTTGCCGCCGCTCTACAAGCCCTCGGGCTGGAAACACGGGTGGAGCAATACGGCAGGGTGGACAGTATCAATGCTCTCCTGGAAAACCTACGGAAGCTATCTGAACACGCCGCCGGAAGGAGATTCGTGGTTGTACTGGAAGACACCGATAAGCTGAAGCAGGCGGGTGCCACGCTGCTCCCGGCTCTGGCACGGTTGGGAGATTATGTATGTGGCAGGCATTCAAGCGTGCTGAACCGAGCAGCATTGCTAACAAGCGTTCCAGATTCCTGGATTCTCCATCATAATGACATCTGGTTCTCCCCAACCACTGATACTGCACAGAACCGGTGTGCCACACATTCACTTTCCTTCCTACACACGCCGAGAGGCAGTCTACATCATTACGGCCGAGGGCCCGCCTCCGCTGTCATCGTGTCCACCCGAGACCACGATCGCAGTTGATGAGAAGGCCATCTCTAAGCTTTATGCCCAATTTGCCTTGACCGTCTACGATTCGCTCATCGCCGCCACTTCTTCCACCTCGATTCCAAGATATCGGTCAACCTGCCACAAACTCTGGCCGAGGTTCATCTGGCCGCTGGTCTCGGGACAAGAACCCCCCGGCACTGGCACTGGTCGAGGGCAGACCTGGGATTTTGCGAAGCTGATTGTTCAAAACCGAGCGTTGTTCCAGTTGGAGGGGGAACGGGCGCTGCATCGTACACTTTCCACGTCTACTCAGAAACGAGCTTTGGCAGAGACGGATTCTCTAGGAACGGTGTCGCGCTCCCAGTCAATCGGCGAGAGAGGCGCACCCGACGCGCCGAGTACGCCGTCCAACGGGGTCCTCTCCGCTTCAGGGCCGCCTCGCGACGCTCGTTCGCCATCTCTACTGTCCAGAACTGCGTCAACCAACCCACCCCTGCTCAAGCACTTCTCCACGCTAATCCTCGTATCCTCCTACCTAGCAAGCCACACTCTTCCCAAGCACGACATTCTTCTGTTCTCTCGCCTAAGTTCCAGTTCTGCAACCATGAGCCGAAAGATTCGAAGACTCAGGCAAATGCCAACGAAAAGAAAGTCGACTTCCACTCCTACAGCCTCGCCGTCCAAGAATAACTCTGAGTCGAAACCACGCCCCAAGACCCGTGCGAAATCGTTATTTGCCGCCAACGCGGGTCTGGGGGTCGCACGGCCTTTCACACTTGAGCGCCTTGTCGCCATTCTCCGTGCCGTTCACCCACACGGCATTCCAAACCGCCCAGGACATGGGGTTAGTGACCGGGTGTATCGTGAGCTGGGCGAACTAGAAAAACTCAGGCTTGTGGTTCGCGCGTCTGGGCCCAGTTTCAGCGGAGGGTCGGCCACGTTGGGTAGTTCTAGTACATCGGCTGGAGGGGGTGACGATGGGAGCGAGGAAAGGTGGCGGGTCAATGTCAGCAGGGACTGGGTGGTCGACATGGGCAAAGTGTGGGGCATGGGGATCAGCGAATATGAGATCGACCAGGAGTCGTGAGTCGTGAGCCAGAATTGCACGCCAGGGTTGAACGCCAGGGTTGAAAGGACGTTGTCGTTGTTGGCTGGAGACATTCTGCTTCCACGGGGCCTAGGGCCGCTGTCAAGCCCAGGCCCCGCATGATCAACGCAACGCAAGGGAGGATGCGACCAGACGTCCATCGTCCATCGTCCATACAGAGCAGACTGGACAGAGTAGACCTGAGCCGTGTAATACCGACAGCCCGGTACCCCCTGCAAGCTGCCATTGATACATATTGACTGGCTGAGGAGTGATAGTGGCTGCATGGGTTGCATGGGCTGGTCAGGCTAAGAGGCTGCGCTTTACCCTTGTAGGCATTTTCACGGCTGCGGAATCCCATGCAATTCCCATTTTCATGCCAATCCAGAATCAACTCAATGCCTCTGACATTTCAGTCTCAAAACCTACCTAGGTACCTACTCAACCATCACCATCATCTTCTCTCCTCCTCCTGCCCCTCCCTTTAAGTTGTGGCCATTTCCCCTTCGTCGCTTTCTTTCCCTCCCTCAGACACCCTTGTCTTGGATCTTGTCTCCCGCTATGCCCTCCTCCACTCACACATATTGGCCGAACGATGAGCAGATCGCCTACCAGTACTACTACTACCACTAACAGTACTCGGTAATGGTTTTATTCTCTCATTGAGCCTTCTACGGTTCTCCCCGTCACGGTGATTAATCATTGACGAACCGGACCCATCGGGTTCTGCCGCACACACATAAAACACACCCACACACTCTTCCCCTCTGCCTCTTCGTCTTCACATCCCCACCATGCCCGCCGATATACCGGGCTACTATTACGACCCCTCGACCAACCGCTACTTCAAGATCCAAGCGAACCACATCGCGCCCCCAGGATCCAACTACAGCCGCCAAGCTGTCAGCGCGGAGAAAGCGATCCAGACCACACAGAGGCTCGAAGAGGCGTCGAAGAGATCCAAACAAGCCTCGACCGTGACACGTTCGAGGCTGTTGCACCACCCGCTGCTCAACTTCGATCGGCGTCTGGGCAATCTGCACACCAACGCCAGAACATACGTTCGGGAGTACTATGGCTCCAGCCTTTCCGGGGCCGACGCCTTCAGTGAGCCTCTCTTGATGCCGCCGACCCTGGGCTACGAATCCGGGAGGGCAGACGTCACGAAGCAGTTCTCGGTAGAGGAGTCAACGGGCACCTTGCTCACGGCGCTCTCGTACAATTCCTCATTGCTGTGTCTACTCGTTGCTTTTGATCGGCCCAATGGGGGTGTGCGGCACGATTCTGTTCTCGGTGACGCTGACCCTTACGACGAGATGGCACGCAACAGCGGCAGCAGCAGCATCAGATGGCCAACAACATACGAACAGCCCGATTTCGGGTCCGGCGGACATCTATACTCGCCGCACCGAAAACGTGTGTTGCGAGAGTCGCCGAAACCCGAATGCCTCGTCTGGGCCGGTCCAGAGCTCGCGTGCTGGTCGCACGAGACTTTCGGCGGTGTCGTGGCCGGCGGGGGAGCGAACTGGCAATCCGAGCTGGTGCTATCTCGTTGTTCGACGTCCAGCAGTGCGGCCGGGCTCGATATGATGGTCAAGCTACGGTTTCAGTCGCAAGTGCTCGATCTTGCCATGTCGCCGTCACGCACGAGCCTGGCCATTGCACACAGCGCCGGCGTGGCGGTCGTGACGGACGTCGAGTACACACAGCAGCAAGCGTGGATCCCCGTGCACAGCGAGCAGATGAAAATCGCGTTCAAGGACGAGCACATCTTCATGAGCGGCTCGCGCTCCGGCAAGTTGATTTTCGGCGACATTCGAACCTCGCCCCCACCACCACCACCACCAGGTTCAGGTCCAGGTCGAGGCCAATTGTCGGCGGAGTTGGACTCGTCGTCAGCCTCGCTCGCGGCCCTGCGCATCCAGCACTCCAGCGCCATCAGCGGCATCGTCGCCCTCCCGGACGGCAACCGCGTGCTGGTCAACGGGCTCACAGACATGAAAATCTACGACCTGCGCTTCATCAGTGCCCCCGTGCCGAACCGGGTTCACGACCCCCGGCCCACTGGCAACCATGGAAATACCCTCTGGGACAACATTAGGCCCGACAAGTCTCGGCCTGACAAGTCTCACCGCCACCACCACCGCCACCAGCACCATCACCACGACCACCACCGCCACCGCCACAACCAGTCCAGCTACGCGCCCACCTACATGCCCAGCACGCCCGTCGTCACCTTCGACGTGCCCGCCACCCGCCGCCAGAACAGGTACGGCATGGCCTTTGCCTACGATCCGGAGCTGGATCTCGTCCTGAGCGCCTCCACCGACAACTACCGCACCCACCGTGTGGGGTTGTGGTCGGCGGCGTCGGGGCAGCTTCTGCAGAGTCAGAGTCAGAGTGGTGGTCAGAATCAGAGTTGGAGTGATTGGCCGAACACCAGTCAGAGTCGGAGTCAGAGTCCTGGTCAGAGTCAGAGTCAATGGGAGAATACCTCTAAGCGTAATCGTGGTGCCAGTACTGCCGGTTCGTTGACCGACCACCGCTTCGACGAACCTGTCACCTGTGCCGCCATCGTGCGCGTCCGCGACGGGCCCAAGAGTATCTTGCTAGCCAGCGCCGGCAACATGGTCGAGTGGGCTGCCCAGGGCCGGGGCTTCGAGTGGGAAGAGGATGAACAAGAAGAAGTCATGGAGGCGGGGGTGGCATTGTGACCTTATTAATCATTGGGTTTAGGGAGTACGGAATACGGAGGACATTACAATCATTGGTCTACGGAGTACAGAGTACGGAGGACATTATTATGTACGGGGACGGAAATGGAAATGGAAATGGAAACGGAAACGGGGACAGGGATGGATATACCTTAGGTAGTCACGAAAATACGAATACTTCACCGATATATCTATCTAATTCCTCTATATGATACAGCACTATGGCACTATACTGTGGCACTATAGTGTGGCATTATACTATGGTATTATACTATGGCACTATATTATGGCATTATACTATGGCACTATACGGATACTATGGCATTATACTATGGCATTATACTGTAGCACTAGCTAGTCGTGGTGGTGATGGTGGTGGCGCTGGTCGTCGTCGTCGTCGTCGAAATCGATATGAAGCACTCACCTAAACCCTAAACCCAACCTAAAGCAGGTATTAGGTACAATACTGATGAGACCAAGACCGCACGCAGGATCTTGCTCTTGCTCTTGCTCTTGCTCTTGCTTTTCTTTTCTCTACTCTTCTCTGCTCTTCTCTTCTCTTCTCATCTCCTCGATGCGTTCGATTCGTCGCCCGTCGCCCGTTCCGTTGCTCGCCCTACCGCGCCTGGGTCTAGATCTAGATGAATTCGAATTCGAAGTCGGATGGCGGTGGCTCTGTTCTGTTCTGATACACGATACGGTATAGCGAGAACGTCCGTGTCGTTCCCTCATCTCATCTCATCTCGTCGCGACTGGTGGCTGGTAAGAAAGAGTATTAGACATTAAGTATTAGGAATAAAGACCTCGTTATACTTCCGTAGTCGGAAACGTAAATATATATAATCCGCCTCTTACATCTTAGTACTGTCTGGTGCTGTCAAACTTACTAGGTAGGTATTCCCAGCCTTATCCTTTCAACTATTCGAAAGCTAGTTAGGGCTATTATCACGGAGCACAGCGACGAGTAAACGTGTATACCAAATATAATATGAATTCTAAGATAGAGAGTTCTATAGAGAGTTACGAGGAGTGTAACGAGCATAAGGCTCTCTCGCTATTACGTATGTAGTAAGGCTATGCTAAGCCTTAGTAGTTACGTAGTAATACGTGACCTATAGTTGCACTCTTGTTATGTGGTAACTGTGGCCTGCAACCGTGACAGCTATACTATACTATACTATACTCTATGGTACTCATATACGCTCCCCCTACGACCCTTTAATAGAGAATATACGGAGTAGAATATTTCACCCTTCAACCTTTCGACAGATATATAATAGGTAAAGGTATATAGTATCTGCTCTAAACTCCCAAGTAAATCACACTCACCTCTTAGTTAGTAGATGGAATGTCCGTTCCCTCATCTCGTCGCGACTAGTAGCTAGTATAATTTATTATAAAAAAAGACTACGTTATACTCTATAGTCGGAAACTTAAACGTATATAATAATCCGACCTTTACCACTCGGTACTACTAGGTAGGTAGTATCTACTCTAAACTCCCAAGTAAATCTCACACTCACCTCTTAGGTGCCTCTTACTTAGTACATAGACAGTCTGGTCGGCCAAGGGCATTTGCCATTTGGCCCTGCACAGCTCCCTCTCCTGGGCCAAGAACACATGTATGTAGCCTCGGTCAGTTCACTACCAACTGCGAACCGTTGACGTGGATGAGGCCGAGGACCACGCAGGACAGGCCCGGAACAGGCTTTGACCCATATAGGCTGAGTACCTAACGAGGTGTACGAATAACACACACACACACACACACACACACTCTCTCTCTCTCTCTCTCTCTCTCTCTCACACACACACACACACACACACACATCAAAGCTCAATCTAATGACTCAAGTACTATCATTACCTGATAATCCTTGTCGAAACTACGAGGGCGACCTGGTAGAAGATACATTATTGCCCCTGCCATCTAAACTGCCACCTGCTGCCACCCTTCATAGCCATTCCGGTTATCCCTTGCTCTGCTCCATGGCCAAACACACACAAGTTTATTCATCGCTGACGCTCGCAAACTTCTCCGACATGCTCTGCAACAACTTGTCGTACTTGGCAGAGACTTCCTCCTGGTCATCGGGTAGCTCGAATTTCATGCTGCGCAGCCCATGCTGGATCTCGCTCGTGGCTTCTCTGATCTTGGACCAGCCCAGACCGCTCGCAACCGCCTTTTGAGCTTCGTCGTGGAATTGCATAAACGCTTTCATCATGTATTCTGTCTTCCACAGAGGGCAAAACTGGTCGTAGTCGCTGTAGCCGTTCTGTTGCAGAAAGTCGTCCTTCAACATGGCAGCCACATCAAGAACGATCTTGTCGGGGTCGCCGAGAGCCGATTTCCCCACAAGTTGCACAACCTGATCAAGGTCCTCCGAGTTGGAAAGAAGCTCTTTGATGCGGTCGCGGAGTCTCGGAAACTCAGGGTGATCCTTCGCGTAGAATTTGTCAAGGATATTGGTGTACTTGCTGTAGGAAAGCGAAGTGTTGATGCTTGGAAAGTGTTTGCGTTGTGCCAGTTTCTTGTCCAGCCCCCAGAAGACCTGCACGATACCCAACGTCGCTGATGTGACGGGATCTGAAAAGTCCCCCCCAGGAGGTGAGACTGCTCCGACAATTGAAATGCTGCCAGTGCGTTCCGGAGACCCCAGTGTTGTTGCAGCTCCAGCTCGTTCGTAGAAGGACGCAAGCTTGGCGGACAAGTAGGCAGGAAATCCTTGATCTGCAGGCATTTCACCCAAACGTCCAGAGATCTCTCGCAGAGCCTCCGCCCACCGAGAGGACGAGTCAGCCATCATAGCCACTGCTTTGCCTTGGTCCCTAAAATACTCCGCTACTGTAATTCCCGTGTAGATGGAGGCTTCACGTGCTGCCACCGGCATGTTGGAGGTGTTGGCGATCAAGCATGTTCGTTTCATGATGGGTTCTTTCCGGCCCTCGACGGTGATGGAGAGCTCAGGAAAGTCCATCAAGACCTCTGCCATTTCGTTCCCTCGTTCCCCGCAGCCGCCCGGAAGTTAGCAATCATCAGTAGAGATTAAGACGAGAGACTTACCCAACATAGACGATGATATCGCTGTTGGAAAATTTGGAGACTGATTGTGAAATGACGGTCTTCCCGCAACCAAAGGCTCCTGGTATACACACGGTGCCCCCCTGCACAGACGGAAAAAGAGCGTCGAGCACCCGTTGGCCAACGATGAAGGGTGAGTTGGCTTGCAGGCGGTCGTTGACAGGTCGTGGGACTCGGACAGGCCATGATTGCATCATTGGGTATTCCTTGGCTTCGCCATTGAACTCAACGGTAAGCAGTGGTTCGGCAACTGTGTATTCTCCCTTGGGAGCAATCTTCTTGATGGTCCCTCTAGCTCTGGGAGGCAGGAGAATTCGATGCTCATTGAGAAGACTGTTCTCCACGACCTTGCCCCAGACATCTCCACCACTGATGTGATCTCCGACTTTCATGGTTGGAGTGAAAGGCCATTTCTTCTTTCGATCTAGGGCAGGCACTGCGATGCCGCGTGGGATGTAAATGCTGTTGGTTTCGCCAGCGATGGTCTTCAGAGGCCGCTGAATACCGTCATAGATGGTTTCCATAAGACCAGGGCCAAGCTCCACGGATAGAGGCTTGCCCGTTCGCAGGACTGGATCGCCGACAGTGACACCAGCTAGAAAGAGTCAACATTGTGCAGACACGGTGCGGCAAGACCTTCACATACCAGTCTCTTCATAGACCTGAATTGTAGCTTTATCGGCCTCGATGCGAATGACTTCGCCGACCAGCTCATCGTGGCCGACTTTACAAAGCTCGTACATGGCTACACCGATCATGTTCTCGGCGACCACGACCGGCCCGGAAACGGAAAAGATGGAACCATTTTGCTGGTCATGGCCAATTCCACTCTCTTTCGACGCAGGCATTCTTCTGTATGTGCGGGCAGTAGTGGGTAGGGTCCGAAGGGGTTGCGGGAAGGCGAAGATAGAGGTGTCACTGAAGCTGGGACCAGCAAGCTCCCCTTCAAGATCGTCCTCGACGAGACTAGGAAGACCGAGCTGCTGATGAAGGTACTTGAGGTCAGAAAGATCGTCGATGCTTTTGCCGGTGATGAATTCGACAATTGACTTTCTGTGGTTAAGACGAGGACGACCAAATCCAAGCATATGAAATCATTTATCAACGGGTTGCTGGCAGGTGGGTTTAGGATGGCACCTGCACTGCGCTTCCAGCTTCCTCCACCCTGCCTCCGACTGCGCCTGCGCCCGCACCTCGACCGACCGACCGACCGACCAGGATCTCTATCACTGCACCATGGGCTTACGATCTCAACATAATTGGCCAATGTCAATCCCAGGTACTTGGATGACCTTGGCCATCGACAGGTCGCACATTTCTGCCCGTGTCTGGTTCTTGTTTGTTTCGAACTCTCAAGCATATCCTTACGGCCTGTTAATATTCATACAATAATCGATCATAGAGGATTGATCAGGGATGGCACAAGAGACTCGGAGTAGGCGTCAAAACCAATGGCAGGTCTACAGCTAGTTCTTCCCATCAACGAGACACATTCAAGCTAGGAATGGTCAGGTTAGGGTTTCTAGACAGGCCTTGAACAACCGTACAGGCTCTAAAAGATAGTATCTTGTGGAAGCTGGAGATTTCCTTATTCCTATCAGAGTCACCAGAGTGGTTAACTTCTGGCACCCACCTGCCCTTCTTCAACATAATCTGCAGTCGTTGGGCACCCTGACTGTCGAATATTCAGCCTCGAGGACCATTCACGTTGAGCTCACGTGTGGAGGCAACAGACGTTGCCGAACAAAGACATTGGGATGGGACGTTGTAGCAACGCATGCCGAGCTTGACATGGCCTTTCCAGATGACTAGTCACAGAGCAGACTATCTTGTTACTAATGGAGCACATGGCGGTGAACGAAGGGCTTAGGGGCTCTCAGGCTGCAGCTTTCGGCTTGCACTTGGTGGTTGGAGGGGTTGAGACCAATGTATTGTGGGATGTAGAGGTGCTACCTGAGAGCGTCTGGGTGAGGGTTGGGCTCTGGGGTCATCAGACACTGCACTAATAAGCTCCCTGACGCCAACACTCCCGCTAAACCAGTGCCTGTGCTGGCTGGTGGATGGATACCTGTAGATTAGCTACATCTCCCTATTCGTGGGCAGTGCGCAGTGGGCAGCCGAGAGGACCTGGATTCTCCGACACTGGCATCATCCTCCCGAACCCCATCACCACGTCTTGTCATCTGGCTGGTTTCCAACGACCACCACCACCACCGGTGATCCGTCTACAGAGTACACCAGTATTGCAATCTACATATCTCTTGAGCACTCCTCTAAGTTGCTGCAACGCCCTGGCGTTGGGAGCGCTGATCTTCCTTCCGCCTGACCACCTACCTAATCCTGACCACCAGTAACGCCTCGACTGCCTCCTCCCGTGCTAGACGACGCCCTGGTTGACTTCCCACTCCGGCTGCAGCGGCTGGTCACGGCAGAACTGGATGTGCTCTATCCTGTTTTCTACTCCTCGCTGCTGTCACGCGGAGCTCTCACCAACGATCTTGTTCTATTGAAAAAGAGTGGCGACTCCTCTACGACCCGAGGTGGTCTTCCAGATTGATACCGGCGGCTTTGCCGCCACGACGAGCTGGCAACCCACCCGCCCACGAACAACGACCTAATCACTACCGACGACCCATCCACTTCGACACACCCTTCCCATCCTTCTTACCCAGAATCCTCTTCCCAGACCCCAAACCAACATATCAATAATCCCACTTCCACCCAGACTGCGGACGTGCCTCCTATACTAGCGGATACTCCCACTGCAACACTTCTACCTATAGAGCAGGTGCAGCCATCGGAGAGGCGAGGAAGACGAAGAAGAAGACAGTCTTCCTCCTCTAGTGGCAGTGCAGGTGATAACGATCCTACCTTAGCAAACATCGGGCCTACTGCGGAAGGATTGTCAGTTGAGACTCGCTCACGAGCAGGAAACGGCCGGTTCAAGCGCAGGCGAATCCAAACCCGCAATATGAGAGTCGATGAAGATACCGGCCAGGTATTTTCCAATGGTCATACAACAAGTTCCAACGGTTCGACTCCTAGAAAACCTGCACATGCCGCCATCAATGGCCATGCATCGAATAACTTCAGCGGGTCGAGTCCATCCCTTAAGAATGGAGCGGTAAGAAGGCTGTCACCAGTCCAGCCACCCACCTATCGTGGGCACGACAGAGAAGAGGTGGTGAGGATTCTCATTCAAGGCCTTCTGGACATGGGTTATTCAAATGCTGCCAGCGTGTTGAGCACCGAGAGTGGGTATGAACTGGAAAGTCCACCGGTTGCCGCATTTCGAAGCGCAATCCTCCAAGGCGTGTGGTCCGAGGCTGAAGGGATCCTGCTTGGGTCGCGCAGATACGACCATAGCGAAGACTCACATGGCGACGATGACCAATACGACCAAGGCCTTGTACTAGCAGAAGGGGCCGATACGGATCAGATGCTCTTCTGGATCCGGCAGCAGAAGTTCCTCGAACTGCTTGATCAACGAGATCTCGGGGTGGCGCTTATGGTGTTGAGACAAGAGCTCACGCCTTTCGCACACGACATACATCAGTTACATGCTCTTTCCACATTGCTTATGTGCCCTCCGGAGGATCTCAGAACCAAGGCCCATTGGCCCGGTACGGTGGAAGAATCACGGAAGATGCTCCTTCAGGATCTGTCTCGGTGCATTGCTCCTTCCGTCATGATTCGAGATCACAGATTGGCCGAATTGTTTGACCAGGTCAAACAAAATCAGATCAACCAGTGTCTGTATCACAACACGGCGATTGCTCCGTCACTGTACTCGGATCACATCTGTGATCGGGAGTACTTCCCATCTCGGACGGCTCTCCAGTTAGAAGATCATACAGGTGAAGTCTGGCACGTTCAGTTTTCCCATGATGGATCGAAGTTGGCCACTGCAAGTCAAGATCGTACGGTCAACATCTATGAAACCGTTACATTTAAATGCATACATACCCTCAGACATCACAGTGCAGAGGTGACATATGTGGCTTGGAGTCCCGATGACACCAAAATCATCACCTGCTCTCAAGATTGCAAGGCTCGGGTGTTTGATGTCGAATCTGGGAGAATGCGAGTAACACTGGAGCATCAATCTGTGGATTCAAGCTATGGTATCACTGCTGCTGCTTGGGGCCCCGACTCTATGAGTTTCGTGACTGCGAGCCACGATCGAAATTCTCAACTGTGCCATTGGAATCTACAGTCTTCGCAACCAGATCGGCCCGTCCATGTTTGGCCGCGCGGATTTCGTGTGCAAGATGTTGCCATTACCGAAGATGGCCACTGGCTAGTTGCTCTAGACCCGCAAAACATAATCCGCGTGTTCGATATGCAAACCTATCGAGAGGAACCGCCTATCAAAACGGAGAGTAAGATGACGAGTATCTCTTTGAGCCGCGACGGTAGTACTTTGCTGGTCAACATGGCGATAGGGGAGGTTCACATGATCGATCTAGCCACCCGCGATACGGTTCGAAAGTTCCGGGGACAGAAGCAGGGTGAGTTTGTGATCCGAAGCTGCTTCGGCGGAGCTGCCGAGAATTTTGTGGTCAGCGGTTCTGAAGGTTTGTTCATTCGTCTGAGTAATTGACCTGTACTAACTGGCTCCTAGATGGCATGATATACGTGTGGCACAAGGAGAACGAAGCGCTAATTGAAAAATTGCCTGGGCATGGTCACGGTCAGAGCGGCAAAGAGTGTGTGACGACAGTGGCCTGGAATCCCAAGGATCCTGGGATGTTTGCCTCCGGCGGTGACGACCGCAAGGTGCGAATGTAAGGCGTCGAGACCTGCTGAGATCGCATCTACTGACCTAGCACAGATGGACGAATGCATTATCTCCCATCGACGGCCTCCGAACCTCGCTCGGCAGGGCCAACCCAGGCCGAACAAGTGCCATGAGATCAACGCTGTAGGATTGGGAGAGTCTGATGTACGTTGCCGGACGGACATCCCTCAGGAGTTGGCGGAATAGGAACATATACTTATGGCGATTACGAACTGCACAAGTATAGACGATTGGGTATATGGTTGCATTGAAGGAGTTGTTTTCTTTGTGTCTTTTCCACCGGCATCACGAGTGCGGAACACAGCCAACATGGGTACACAGGAGCAATCATCATTTGACTATCTAAGGGAAGCATTGAACCACATTGGCGCCACATTGGGAGGGAAGGCGACTGTGAGAAGAAGAGGCAGTAGCGACTGCTAAGCTGCTCGAAATAGAATCACTCCCCTAGCTAGGGACTACCTTGACTTGATTCCCCTCTTACATTGAATTATCTGTTCTCAGCTGTAAAAGAGCACCCTCTTCACCGTGACCATCTTATGAGGAGTCAGGCAGCAGTTTTAGATGTACCGTTTTACTCTAGAGAGGCAATGAATGACGGTGCGGATCACAAGCCAGCAATCGGTACTCCATGCAGGTTATTATCTCAGCGTCTAACATACCTTTCTACTAGGCAGGCTGTAAGATACTACCTACAGAGAAGACTCCCTCGTCCTACGCGTCAACAGGCCCCTCCTGAACTGGGTACGTGGAGGTGTGTCAGTCGACCCCAGGCCACATGAGTGCTGCCTGTTGCGGTCGCCAACTGACTGTCACCTTTGAAAGCTGCTCCTGCCTGCGCCACGCTCTGTGTGCCCCTGAGTGACTTGTTTTGAAGGGTGCCTGAGCGGGAACTGCTTCTGCTGGAAGCGTCATGGCGACGACACGCAAGCCACATCTTCCCTTTCTATTTGGGCGCCAAGCACCGGGCCGCTCTAGAGCGCCTAGTGCCAGCCCTAGTGACAGTGCTACCGTCACTGCCCTCCGAGAGGAAGGGGCTAGCAGCAGCGCTAGCCAGAATAGCACTGTTGGTGACTCTAACTTGCGCGCTGCCACCGTGACCGCCAGTCCCCAAACCGCGAAACCGAGCGCAGGTGCATCATCCCAAGATTTGGCCAGCACTGCGCAGAGTATCAGTCCGCCTCCTCCATACCAACAACACCTTTTCCATACACCACGCGACCTACTCGATTTTGCCCTTCAACGTTCTGCTCGAAGCAGCGTCGAATCCGCTCGCTCTGATCTACTCTCAGATCCTCTCCCGCTCACCTTTGCGCCAACCATGGCGGCACCACCTGCGGGCTACTCGTAAGTGCCTGCGGACTGTCAACAAAGTGTTCCTGACCTAACTGATTCTACAGAGTCAACGTGAACGACCCTACGCTGATCGCTCTCGTCAACAAGTTGCAAGATGTCTTTACAACCGTCGGAGTAAGTCCTGCCTTGGTTCCTGAGACATCCAATGTCCCCTTCCATCGTGCCCCGGTCTGACCGGCCCTCGCGCAGGTTCAAAATCCCATAGACTTGCCACAGATTGTGGTGGTCGGATCACAGTCCAGCGGAAAGAGTTCGGTTCTTGAAAACATTGTCGGTAGAGACTTGTAAGCTATGGTTGCTCCCAATGACTCCTATCTGCCCATGCGACTAACCTCCCTCCCAGTCTTCCTCGAGGCTCTGGCATCGTCACTCGTCGACCCCTCGTCCTGCAGCTCATCAACAGACCAGCTCCGGCAAAGGTGCAGACGAATGGAGTCAGCGAGAAAGAAATGAAAGAGACCACCGATAGCCAAGCAAATGTCGATGAGTGGGGAGAGTTTCTACATCTACCCGGCCAGAAGTTCCATGACTTCAACAAGATCCGTGATGAAATTGTCAAAGAAACAGAAGCAAAGGCCGGCCGAAATGTGGGCATCTCCCCAGCACCGATCAACCTGCGCATATACTCTCCTAATGTTCTCACCCTGACGCTCGTCGATTTGCCCGGTCTGACCAAAGTCCCCGTCGGAGATCAACCGCGAGACATCGAGCGGCAGATTCGGGAAATGGTGATCAAGTATATCTCCAAATCGAATGCCATCATCCTGGCTGTCACAGCTGCCAACCAGGATTTGGCCAACTCGGACGGCCTGAAGCTCGCTCGTGAGGTGGACCCGGAAGGTCAGAGGACTATTGGTGTTCTGACCAAGATCGACTTGATGGACGCCGGCACCGACGTTGTCGATATTCTCGCTGGGAGGATCATCCCACTCAGACTGGGCTACGTCCCTGTGGTCAATCGAGGCCAGCGGGACATTGAAAACAAGAAGCGAATAGACTTGGCTTTGAAAGCTGAGAAGGAGTTCTTCGAGAATCACCCCTCGTACAGAAACAAGGCGTCATACTGTGGTACTCCTTATCTGGCCCGAAAGCTCAACCTCATTCTGATGATGCACATCAAACAAACGCTGCCAGACATCAAGACACGAATTGCCACTTCTCTGCAGAAGTACTCGCAAGAGTTAGAGCAGCTAGGTGCGGGCGACCTACTAGGGCACAACAGCTCCAACATTATTCTCAACATCATTACCGAGTTTGCGAACGAATACAGAACTGTTCTCGACGGAAATAGCTCGGAATTGTCAAGCAACGAACTTTCCGGTGGTGCCAGAATCTCTTTTGTGTACCACGAACTCTATTCAAACGGTATCAAGGCCATCGATCCTTTTGATCAAGTCAAGGACATTGACATCCGCACCATCCTTTACAACTCTTCCGGTTCTCAGCCGGCACTCTTTGTCGGGACCACAGCTTTCGAACTGATCGTGAAACAGCAAATTCGGCGACTGGAAGAACCGTCGTTGAAATGTGTTTCTCTGGTGTTTGACGAGCTTGTCCGCATTCTCACCCAACTCCTCCAGAAGCAGATTTTCAGAAGATATCCTCAACTAAAGGAGAGATTCCACGGAGTTGTCATAGCTTTCTTCCGGAAATCAATAGATCCAACCAACAAATTGGTGAAGGATCTGGTGGCAATGGAGTCTTGCTACATCAATACAGGTCACCCGGATTTCCTCAACGGCCACCGTGCCATGGCCATTGTCAACGACAGACACAGCGCCAGCAAACCCACTCAGGTCGACCCCAAAACAGGCAAACCTCTTCCACCATCAGTGCCACCCAGAGCAAACTCGCCAGGCCTTCCTACCGACGGCAGCGATCAGAACTCCGGGTTCTTCGGCTCCTTCTTTGCTAGTAAGAACAAGAAGAAGATGGCAGCTATGGAGCCACCGCCTGCCACCCTCAAAGCCAGCGGCACACTGTCCGAACGCGAGAACCAAGAAGTGGAGGTGATCAAACTGTTGATCAACAGCTATTTCAACATTGTTCGGAGGACGATGATTGATATGGTTCCGAAAGCAATCATGTTGAACCTAGTACAGTGAGTGGACTTGAATGGACTCTGTGATAACAAGACTAACGCCACGCCAGGCACACGAAAGAAGAAATGCAGCGAGAATTGCTGGAGCAGATGTACCGGGCGCAAGAACTCGATGAACTGCTCAAGGAGAGTGACTACACGGTCAGACGTCGAAAAGAATGCCTACAGATGGTGGAGAGTTTGAGTAAAGCCAGCGAGATCGTCAGCCAGGTGCAGTAGAAGCGCATATGAGACCAAACGTTCTGACGCACCAATTTCATGTTGGCCTCGAACGACCGAAAAGCCATTCGAGCTATGAGACTGCCATCGCAATGGGTCCCTTGAGCACAGCACAGCGTTGGAGATGGTGGATTGTTCGACAAAGTTCTTTCTTTGGGTCCGTTTTGCAACACTAAGCACGTACGATACCTCTACCCGTTGGAGTGGGTGTCTGGCTAGTTAGGCTGGCGCAAAGTAGGGAGCAGATTATCGGGGTGTTGTTTGTCGTGACAGGGCTAAGACAAGGCAGAGCACCTAGGGATGATGCAGGGCCGAGCAGAGTTTTTGGTAAAGCCAGGCACTGACCGCGATGGGACGAAACCGAAGACGTTCCTCGGTGGATAAGAGGCAAAGGTGCTGCCGAGGAGGAGAATGGCGACCTGACCTGCCGGCTTAGACTCAGACTCAGACCCAGACCCATCCATACCTTCATTCATTCATGATAGTTCAATAGAGCTCCAAGACAGGCTTGATTAGGCTCCCTGTATTCTCCCTGTATTTCGTTTCAGATACTAGAACGACTCGATTCATCAGTCAACCAGTCCGTCCGTTTGAACCGCTGCTGGTTCCACGTGTGTAACGAGGCTGCGCTTTACATCCATGGGAAAAGGGGGTGGTATCAACTGATGAGTCCAGAGGCAGTGAGTAGTATTAACTGATGAGTCCAGAGCCAGAGCCAGGCCCAGCTCGTCAACAGGATCGTGTCTTCAGGGTAAAAGGGGATTAAGGGGAGCTAGGGTTGCTAGCTAGCTAATATCGACAGGGGCTGGAGAGGAGAGAGAGCGAGAGAGAGAGAGGGAGAGAGAGAGGGAGAGAGAGAGAGAGGGGGAGAGAGAAAGGGAAAGAGACAGCTCATCTCTTTTCAACAGAGGTGAGAGTATATTTATTCATCCTGTCAATCCATAGCGCCATATCTGTGCCTATCGAGATTGAGAACCATAGCGCCATGCTTGTGCCTGTGCCTGTTGAGATTGAGAAACCGACATCAACATCAACAACGACATCGACAGGTCTTCTTTGCTTGTATGGTACATATGTCACATCTAAGTGTGTTCCGTAGAGGACCTCGTTGTAAATCCACTCGGCCAATGCACCCGGCCCGAAAAGAACTTGGCCGTCCTTCTCTTCCAAACGCCTCGCCTCGCCTTGCCTTGGCTTGCCTCGTCGTGGTCGGACTTAGTCATGAGCCGGCCCCTATCCCAGCCATAGCGCCTGCAATGCTCGCTTGTAATTCAGTACTTGGTATTTCTTCCTCTCCCTCTTCTCCCCCCTCTTCCTCTGTGTCGAGTGTCTTCGTCGATGGATTTGTTTAATTGTCCCTTCGTCAATGTATTTTTTTAATTCTTTCCCTTCTGGATCTCAAATCCGTGCCGGAATGCCAGTTCGCAGATGCCGGGAAAAAGATGGACAGGTATCGGTATCGAGATCGACCAGCCGATTATCTGCAGCGTGGCGGTCTATAATACCGTACCAATCAGGCATTATGGTCGCAGATTATGGTTTCGAACCATCTCCAATCGTGTCCTGATCTTTCCTTTCTTTTTGTATTTCTGCATAGATCGATCCCATTATCAATCATTCAATCAATCACTGTCCGGCATCCTCATGTACGCATCAATGGCGGTAGAAAACAACGCGAACCCGGCACAGCCCAATGCCGCGGCCTGCGGGCCAGCCTGGTACGCGAGCCCGCCTCCGGTGAGGCAGCCGGCAAGGGCGGAATTTGTGAGATCGGATTTTGCACGGAAGCCTTCAATGGCACATTCGGTGCCGCTGTAGATGGCACCGATCTTGCCGAAGTTTTTGGCCGACGAGTAGGATTTCGAGCCCATGTCTTTGAGGCCGCGCCGGAGTTGTTCGCGCACTGGTAGAGAGGTGATTTGCTGGCCCTGCGGCGAGAGGGGTGTATCGTAGGCCATCTGCGACCAAGGGAGGATGAAGGTGTTAGTTATTGTTTGAATAAAATAGAATAGTGGCTGTGGAGTTTCAATCAAATAGAAGGGTGACTGGCAGTATAAAGAAGTCTCCTTCTGCCACATGACAAAGGAGCTTTGCCTTGCTCTATCTTGCCTGCGATTTGCCTCGCCTCGCCATGCTTTACCTCGCCAGCGGTCCGCAGTGGAACGGCCCTCGCATGGAAAGGGAAGGGAAAAGTAACAAAAGGAGACATACACTCGACATGAACAGACCGAAAGCGCCGCCGAGGACGAACCCCATGCCGCCGGCCATGACGGACTTTCCGACGCAGGATTCCATGCTTTTTTGCATCTAATGTCACCAGAGCCAGTCGTTCGAATTAGTCGATCAAGATCCATTACAGAAAGAAGTAGTAGAAGGAGAAGGAGAAGGAGGAGGACAGCCGAAGAGAAGCCCGGGGGGATGGGGGGGGAGAAGGGTGGTGCAGGTAGGGACGAGCTCGTACCAGCTTCACCATCTGCTGCTCTTGTTCACTCATGCCCTGGGGGTTGTTCACCCCCGGCATACCCAATCCTCCCGGGAGCGACATCGTGCCTTGAGACCAGAACCCGAAGGACACGGAATGGACAAGGCGGGCGTGACGGGAGCGTCGCAGGTCACCCAACTGGGAATGGGACTGGGAGATGGATGTTTGTCGAGGCTGCGTTGGCAGGCACTTTGGCAGTTTGCGGCGCGGCCAGAAATTGTTGGCCAAAGGTCGGCGCTGGGCGAGTTCCACGTCTCCGATTGGCGGAGTTTCGGGGCGGAGTCACGTGCAGGGGTGTTCTCCTACTCGGCACGTGAGAACAAGGCTTAGGGGTTGTGGTCTAGCACCAGCTGGAGGGTGTTCAAGTTCTGATGCTTCACTGAATCATTTGATTGTATGATGCTTCATCTATCATGTCTGCTAGCGGCACTGAGCCGATGATATTTCCAATGCCAGTCACCAAGGTTTTTGGCTAGCGATTGGGACTCCTGCAATCCGGATATCTGGGACAATTGAGTGCCTCCCCAGGACCACGCCTTTGCCGCGCGGGGACAGCTGGAGCCAGCTCGTAGATACACTCGCCTGCACGTGGAAGAGCAGACCAGGCGATCTTCCTTCTGGCACACCGGCTGTGCTCCAACCTGATTTCACGACAATCCCCGGATTGGACGTAGTCACTCGTGAGGAACATTCGAGTATGTGGCTGCTGGCTTCCAGCGCACTGCCTTCTGGCGCTGTGCAGGCAACAGAGTCCGCCAAAGTATAATCTGCCGACCGCTCTTGAAACTCTCGGGGTTGGGGTGAACCCGTGACAGCATCGCAGTGCTCTCGCTGGCGTTATCCATATGACGAGATGTAGATTGCATGGCAGCTGGGGAGCTAGGTAAGCTCGCAATCTGGGAAACCGTTCACCTGCCACGACCTCCATTCCCGCCCATACCGAATTGTTGCATCATGGCGTTCATATCCATCCCGCCCATCCCACCTCCAGCTCCAGCTCCACCTCCCATCCCTTGGAGAAGTTGCATCATCTTGCCCATATCTCCTCCCCCAGGGAACCCTCCACGGCCCTGGCCCATGCTTGCCATCCTCTTTTGCAATGCCGCCATCTGCTGTGTTTTGTTGCCGCCTTGCATCATGGACTGAGCTCTTTGCATGTTCTTCTTCTGGGCGCCCATATTTTTCGCCAGGGAGGCCATCACTTTATGTTGGGTGAGGAGTTCCTCCACATCTCGTACGCTAGTCCCCGAGCCGCACGCTATCCGCACCATCCTTGTAGGCTGGGAGATCAAAATCTTGCCATCCGAGTCCAGCTCTTTTGCCGTCATACTGTCATAGATATAGACCATTCGTTTCAGTTTTTCGGTTCCATCCTCATCGCTCATACCTATTATTGAATGTCAGACTGGGCCCGAATGATCACGACGTACAGTAACATGGAGATCAGAGCTGGAATAGGGGTGACTTGCCTTGCATCATGCTTCCCAGTCCTGGAATCATTCCCGCAACACGGGAAAGTGGGCCCATCTTCATGATATTGGTAATCTGTTCTTTCATGTCTCGAAGCGTAAAGATACCCTCAGCCAGATGCTTTTGGGTCTCTTTCATACCAGCCGATTCCTTCGTGATCGATTGAATGTGTTCGATCAGCCCAGACATATCACCGTACCCAAGGAGTTTCGAGATGAACGGTTTAGGCGCGAATCTTTCTAGGTCCATCATGTGTTCGCCCGTCCCTAGGAAAATAATCGGTGTATGTGTAGCCGCAACTGCTGATATAGCACCTCCTCCAGCGGCGCCTCCGTCAGTCTTGGTGATGATGATGGCGCCGAAATCTGCTGCTTGCTTGAAAGCGGATGACTGCGCTTCTGCTGCTTGACCGATGGTGCCGTCAAGAACCATGATGGTCTGATCTGGCTTTATAGCTTTCTGCACTTGAACCATTTCGGCGAAAAGATCTGCTTCCTGCCTATGTCGACCCGAGGTATCGACAATAATGATCTCAAACTTCTCCTTCTTGAACCGAGCCACGCCCTCCGCGGCGACAACAGCCGGGTCTGTTTGGGTCAAGGAGCCATAATATGGTATCTTCGCCTTTGTGGCGTTTTGTTTCAACTGGTCGTATGCCCCGGCTCGGAAAGTGTCTGCGCAGACCAAGCATGCTTTGAACCCTCGCTGTGCGTAGTACCTCGCCAACTTGGTACACGATGTCGTCTTCCCGGCGCCTTGGAGGCCCACAAACATGATAACATTGGGTCTTCCTTTCTTCGGCTTATAGGGTTCGGCATGAGGGTCGACTAGTTGCACCAGGTGATCAAAAACGGCTTGCTGGATCAATCGCTTTTTGCTATTGGAACTCGTTTGCGGTGGAAGATCTTTAAAGTTCACTGTGCTTTGTATCGACTTCCGTAGAGTTTTCACCAGTCGCACGTTCACGTCTGCGGATAGGAGGGCCGAACATATCTCTTTGATCATGGCATCGAAGGCTTTCTCGTCAAGGTTGGGTTCTCGGTTCAGATTCGACACGGCGGCGTTGATACGCCGGCCGAGGTCTGAGAGCACCATCTTGCAAAGAGTATCCGGATGGCTGCAAGATGTATTCGATCCTCCTTCGTACACTGTGGGAGTTCCCAAGACCGAGACAAGCGCATAGAAGTAAAGATGTCGTGATGATAAAGGGTTGCGGTGGTGGGGGAAGAATGTCTCGGGGCGAATACTCCACAGTAATGGAGGTTGGCCGTAGTTCTGCCGAAGAGAAATTCAAGAACATTTTCTGCCAGCACCAGTCCGATTGTTGAAGCACACCAGCAACACAAGACTCCCCCGATAGTCATGTCTAAGATGGTCCCATTGTCGCAGAAGAAGCGCAAGCTCCAAGATGGAATGCGAGGCAAAACCGAGCGGCCAAAGAAGCGGTTCAGAAAACAGCTCGACTACCACAGTTCGTCGGAAGAGTCCGATAAAGAAGAAGAGGATAACTTCACCGCTGTCAACCTCGCCGATACAGATGACGAGCATGACGCAAGACCAGCATCAGCCCCAAACCCAACCCCGAAACACAACGCTGTCAAGTCGAAAAGCGCGGTGGCCGAGTCGGATGAAGACAGCGGAGATGATGACCAAGAAACGGGCTCAGAAGGAAACACAACCTCGGGAGAAGAGGGCGAGGGTGTCCCTACCAGAGCAGAGAAACGAAGACCTACGAGTAAAAGAAATGATCCAGCTGCCTTCTCCACATCCATTTCAAAGATTCTGTCCACCAAGTTGTCGCAATCCGCGCGAAAAGACCCTGTCCTGTCCCGGAGTAGAGACGCGGCAGAGACGAGTGCCTCTCTTGCCAATGAACGTTTAGAGCACAAGGCGAAAGCCAAGTTAAGATCTGAACGCAAGGAAGACCTGGAAAGGGGGAGGATAAAGGATGTTCTTGGACTGAACTCGGGACGGGCGGGCGAGATCGCTGAAGAAGAGAAGAGGCTACGGAAAGTGGCCCAACGTGGTGTCATCAAACTTTTCAACGCCGTCCGAGCAGCCCAAGTCAAGGCTGAGCAGGCAGCCAAGGAAGAGCGGAAGAAGGGGACTGTCGGTATGGCCAACAGGGAAGAAAAGGTCAATGAAATGAGTAAACAGGGCTTTCTGGATTTGATTGGAGGGAAGAAGGTCAAGACCGACGCTATGCAATAGCAGCTGACGGTGCTGTATCGCTTGTTTATGGTGTTTAGGTTTAGGTCGCTTCCTCACCGAGGAGCCTCAGAACATGAGAACAGATTCTAATGGTACATGTCCAGATTGCTGGTACGCTGGCGGACACCCAACCCGTCAGCTTCGATTCTCAAAATCTGAAGCTTGAAGGTTGCGTGTCATTTGCGGCAGCTTTACAACCAGCCCATCTAATTCAGGTGTCATTTCCACCTGGCAGCCCAGCCTCGACGTTTCCGTCAACCCGAAGGCAAGGTCCAACATGTCGTTCTCGTCGTCAGAGGCCTCGGGGATCTTGTCGAATATTTCCTCATCTTCGACAATGACATGGCAGGTAGAACACGCACAGGAACCGCCACAGGCACCTAGAGACAAAAGTCAGTCGAGCTCCCCACCGACTAGAATCAGGATGTTTGAGACTACGACAGCCCAGCATCTCTGGCCACAGACGCAAACTCACCCTCCATCTCCAGGTCATTAGCCTGCGCAATATCCAGCAGGTTGTCCCCCTTTGAAACCTCGAACGTGTGGCGATCACCATCTTTATCAATGAAAGTGACATGTAGTCTGTACAAGGTCATCAGCGCTAGGTTCATCTCTTATATCGCAATCCAGTCATACTCTTCTCCGGGCTTGGGCGGGTCGAGATGGCCGTGTTTCTGTGCCGGACTCGTGGAAAACCGCCTCCGCCCAAGCTCTAGCAATTGTATCTGCCGTCGTATCTGGTCTTTCTTTGTCTCGACTTCGGCCTGATGTCGCCGGCACAGGGTCAATGTGGATGATACATGGATGCTCCGCTGGAAATCTCGATGGCCGATGTTTCGCGATGCGAGAGTCAGGTCTGGTTGAACATGTCTTGTTACAGATCGCCAGAACAGGCGCCGCGCTCCATTACACACAGACATACTGCTCGCAGCAACGACCGGTCGATGGTGGTGGTGTTGGTGGAGGTGAATGTTCGACTTGATTATTATTATCTGCAACCCGAGCGAGCACAGAAAAGAGCGAGCGCTATGGCCGAAGCCTGCGCCGGTGGGACTGAGCTGGCTATACAGTGGAGTGCAGCTGGCAGGAACGCAATCTTGCCGGCCAAGACCAGCTGCCAGTTGGGAGGGAGCCTTGATTAGCAGGACTGTTGGAAAAGAAGCCCTGAAACCACCAAGTTAGGCCACCGACTGCCTTCAGCCTCGCAGCCCAGTCATGCTGCTTTGAAAGACTAACATCCTCCTCACCATTCCGTCCTCGCTCAACTGGGCAAAGACGCCCTCCTATGGGCTTGCCACAAGTCTGGCGCCTAAGACCAGTGACTGTCTCGTATTCCGGCAAGGCACTCAAAACTACGGGGGATCTTTTTAAAAAGATGGTGAATTGCTGAGGCTCTGGAAGACCTGGTGGAAGAGGTGCTACTTGTAGTTTGACTTTACGCATCCTTGTTCCAACGAAGCCGAGCGATCCCTCTCCAGAGAAAGGTGATCGATATTACTCCTGAGCGTTAGGAATGGCTCTTTGACCAAAGGGGACCATGACTGCCCCCGGTGATTATGTACGGTAGTGGCATGACAGGTGACGATAAGCTACGCAGACTGTTTGTTTTGTATCTTGCCCAGAATTGTGTGTTTGGTGTCGATGATGGACGAGGCTGCCACAAGGCTGAGGTGAATATCCCGTGTAAGTGACCTGCACGCACAGTCATTTGCTCCGCCGGGGATGGCCTGTAATTGTGTCCGGGCGTGAAACCAGCAGGCCGCATCATAGACCTGTCACCTTCTTTGCAGACAACAAAGAGGGTAGAGCATCAGTCGCGATTCTCAGTCCCTATCATCATCTGGAAACATGCAGGATCCCAGATATGTGGCGAATCCCTTACGCCCCTACTATGTCCCGCCCTCCATCGGGGGAGAGCCGGTGCCAAACATTACCGCAGGTGCCTCGACGCCTCATTCGAGACCGACCTTCGCATTCCCAGACATCGACTACTCCGACTATATCTCCGAAATTTCACCCTCTATTCCAGGTTCAATCAAATCCATCCTTGACCAGGCGTTGTGGAAATACACGAGCGTTGTCATTGGGCAGCCTTTTGAGGTCGCGAAGCTCATCTTACAAGCCCGCGTTGCACAAGATGAAGAGGAAGACTTAACTCACGGACAAAAGTACGGCGGGGAAGATGAGGACATCGATGACTATTACGGGCACTCATCAGATGAAGAGCCCAATTATTTCACATCAAATGCACCCTTTGAGCGGCCTATCTCGAGTCGCTCTCCCGTCCGTGGCCGACATGGCAGGCCATCACGGCAATCCGAGCGTCCTCAACAATCTAACGGCCGGATACGTCTCAAGAACCCCCATTCTCTGCTCGATGCGCTATCGGCCCTCTCCTCCAGCAGTGGATTGCTGGCTATGTGGCGTGCCACGAACTCAACATTCATTTACAACCTATTGAACCGGACGCTGGAAACATTTTTCAAAAGTTTTCTGGCAGCTGTGCTTGGGATGGCGGAAAACGACATTCTCATTCCGCCATCCGCCGGGACAATCCCGGATTCATCAATACTTATCTCTACATCTCCTGCCGCTACAATTTTGATCACAGCTGCTGCCTCAGCTATCGCCGCGCTCGTTCTGGCGCCCGTTGATGCAGCTAGGACCAGACTCATCCTCACGCCATCCAACGAAGAACCGCGCACTCTACTTGGCACTCTACGAACATTGCCAACCCCTTACTTGATACCTCGACACCTGATCCCGATCACCTTTTTCACATCGACTCTTCCTGCTCTTATTTCCACAAGCACCCCTGTTTTCTTGAGGTCTTATCTTGGCCTCGATCCGGCCATGAACCCCGCTAGCTGGAGTCTTGCCACATTTGCTGGATCTGCCTTGGATCTCTCGATCAAGTTCCCGCTCGAGACGGTCCTGCGTCGCGCACAAATTGCAACCTGGACTTCCCCTGCTTATTTGCCACCCTCCACGTCTTCTAAACGTAAGGCAATTACCACAGTCGTTCCAGTGCCACAAACTTACAAGGGGATCCTGCCGACCTTGTGGAGCATTACAAGGGAGGAAGGATACTCCGAAACCCAGAAGGACAAAACAGCTGCCCTTCTGGGAAAGGCTCCGCGAAGGAAGCGCAAGGGACAAGGAATTGAAGGGCTGTATCGTGGCTGGAGAGTTGGTTTCTGGGGCCTGGTCGGCATCTGGGGCACCTCGTTTGTAGGAGGTTTGCAAGGTGGGAGCGAGGCAACAACGGACAGCGCTGGTATACACGGTGGTAAATTCTGACCTGAAAAGGCGCGCTGTAGCCTGTCCTTACAGGCCTGGTCTCTCTCTCTCTCTCTCTGTTGGAGTCTACTTGCCACCTGGGGTAAGTAGCAAGGCGTTCGAGGTGTTCCCAAAGATACCCCTACTCTTCTCCGCCATGAAAAGGGAAGGAGAGCTGTTGTTGAATGTAATATCAATCACGAACCTCACGTCTCTATCATGCAGAGTATCCGGACACCCGTACCAACAGAGTAATTAGCATCCCGTCTCGCACTTCCCAGGTATGTTTGCCGAGGTGGTGTGACCTTATCATCAACACGCGCCGAATCCCGCGACCCCTCTTGCCAAGTCCGATTATCGGGCGCACATCTAATCTGATATGATCAAATTTGATCTCCGCCCTCTTCCCTCTTCCAATCTTCTTCACCCTCCTACCCGAGCATACAGTCTTTGGGCCCATTCGGCGTGCAGCCATTCTGTATATACCTGTGGACAACAGAGGCCTCGAAGCCCATCCTACGCGTCTGCTACTGGCATTGCGGCTCTGCACCATCCTGCAAGCTCATCCCATGCCACAGCAACCACAAGCATAGCATATCCTGTCGACCCCGGCCAATCTCGGAGGTTGCAAACCCTCGACTGAAAATGGCTTCCAACGCCGGTTCCCCGGCGGCAGCTCCCACCCCGACAGCGTCTATTGATGTGAAGCCCATTATCTCGCGACATCCTTCTCTGTGCATGAAACCAGTCCAGGAATCCCCCGCCGCGTCCCCCACTGCGGCATCGCCACCATTGTCTCTCACCAGCAAGGAATGGATCATTCCACCAAGACCAAAGCCGGGTCGGAAGCCCGCCACCGACACTCCTCCCACCAAGCGTAAGGCACAGAACCGGGCCGCCCAGAGGGCCTTTCGAGAAAGGCGTGCGGCGCGAGTTGGGGAGCTTGAGGAGCAGCTCAAGCAAATCGAGGACGAGAATGAACACGAACAGCAAGTGTTGAGGGACACCGTTGATAAACTTGAGAAAGAACTCGAACAGTACCGAGCCGACCTCGTCAACTGGGTCGATCGGTGTCGAAGACTGGAGAGTGAGCTTGCTTCTCTCAAAGCTGGCCGGCCACCACTTGGAAAGTCCGGAGAAGCTACTCCTACTCAAGAGAAACAGTCCCCAACGGCTGGCCTGGACAGCACCGAGCACGCAGTAGGCTGTGGCAATTGTACACTTGAGACCCGATGTCAATGCATCGACGACGCATTTACAGCCATGGGGGGCGAAGCGGCCACGAACACGCATCAACACGAGAAACGTCCCCACTCTCCCGGGCCGGCCGAAGGCGATAAAAGGATCAAAGTCGAGCCCAGCGAAAGTCTTGAGATCGACTTTACGGCGGTTTATGCTTCCAAGTCCTTGCCAGGCATCACTCGAGTGGACGACCGCTCTCCGACTTCGGCCGTCGCAGATCCTTGTGGCTTTTGTTCAGACGGCACGCCCTGCATTTGTGCCGAGATGGCTGCCGAGCAGGAACAAGCGCAGAACCAGGCTTTAACCCGGTCGACGGGGATGCCAATAAATCATCCAAGGCAGCTTGGCCAGTTCACTCCTCCTCCGTCTGAGGGTGATGTCTCAATCTCAGTCGCAACGGTGGCTCCGGCTTCTTCTTCAGCTTGCGGTGCTTCCGGACCCGGGACATGTGCCCAATGTCGCGCCGATCCCAACAGCACTTTGTTCTGCAAATCATTGGCGGCTTCACGCGCCCAATCTGCTGGTACTCCGGTCGGATGCTGCGGCGGGAAAACGGCCGGGGGTTCTTGTTGCCAAAGCCAGAGCCAGACTCCAAATGATTCTGTCCCTCTACCTCCGCGAACCACGCGCTCACGAGCCGCTGCCGCATCATCTCACAACAGGAGCCACAACACACTACCTCCCCCGAAAGCCGGTGTGATGCTGACCTGCGCCGACGCATACACAACGCTGAGTCGGCATCCGGCCTACGACCGCGCGAGCGCTGACATCGCCACCTGGCTTCCCAAGTTGCACGCCAGCGATGCCAGCCCCACACTTGCAGGTCGACCGGCATTAGAGATAGACGCTGCCAACGTCATGGCAGTTTTGAAAGATTTCGACCGGCGCTTTGGACAGAACCTTTGATTTTGTACGACCTTATGTTCTTGACAACAATCAATCCGAGACGTTTACCGTCCGCCTTTGGCCGCTTGGGACAAATGACGTACAGTACGGCCCTATCCGCCACGCAAGTCGATGTGGCGACTCATCAGTAACATCCCTCTGCTGCAAGGCCCATGCATATGGGAGCTACAACGTCAAGCCTTCCAGCTCGAGCTTCAAGCTCTGCCCCTGACAAATTTTGGATGGGGACTCATAAGATGGTCCATCCTTGACCAATTCTTGACATATACACACACGCGACCAAGACCTGAAATGTCGAGAACAGAAGCATCAATGTTGACGCCTTGTTCCTCCCTCCGCCACGGAGACATTTCGTAGGAACCGGAAGGTATATGCTCTGTACGACGCCACCAACTCGCGTGTCCATCCTGATGAGAGTGTTCCGAATCCGGAACGGAAACCACGAACAGCGTCCAACGCAGGCCATTGCTACGCGGTGCGGAACAAACCGACAGAATATTCCGTACTCCGTACTCAGTACTGCATTGGCAAACGAGCCGGGTCCAATCGAGACTTTGGTTTTGCTCCAGCTTCCGGCTTGGGCTCTGACCAGACCAGCTAAGGGAGACCAGCTAGGCCAGCTAGACCAATACAATTAAAACAATACTCAGGTTTGAGGAGTGAGTTGCACCGCCACCTCCTAGACTGATGCAACATGCAACATGCAGATGAAAACACAGTTCAGTTGTACAGCACAGCAGGATTTCATGTCCGCCACGGGCGGATGGACTTTCGGTCACCGAATATCGCTAGAAAAGGTACTCCATGCAGGTCAATTGGTGTGTTTATGCCCACTCGGGCGGGGTCGTGCATGGGATAGATTATACAAAATGTCAATCAGAAGGAACGAAACTGAAAACTGGGTGGAAAATCGCGATGGAAATCGAATTCAATTAAAACGGAACCCTGGCCCTGACCCTGACCCTTCAATCCGGCTTGCTACTCGTATTTTGCTCTCTTTGTAGACTCAATATTAACCGTTCGTTACCTACTCGCTAAAGTTCATGTCGTTGCAAATAACTTCAACTTCCCACCTCCTACTGGCTTTGTAATTTGGATAACCCATCAACTCCACAGCCAGCTGTCACTGGAGACCCAGGATCTTCCTTTCCGCGTCGAACCAATGGCCGGACTGGTGAGCGTGTACTCCCACACCAACGAACCGTCAATGTAAAGAGAGTACTTGAGCAGACTGCGCTGCTCCTCGCCGGCCAGATTGCGGATTTCGATGGCGCCAACCTTGCTGTTTCCGTCAGGTAGATACTTGATGGCGACGTCTTCCTCGTCGATCTGCTTGAAGGTGCGGAAGGGTAGGTAGAACATGCTGAGAGGGCCGACGGAAAACTCGTGCGGCCCGGCCTGCGGAGTACGATCATAGACGATGTTTGACACCTGCGTCGGCTCTGCTGAGGATGGTAGCTTGGCATTGCTCTGACTTTGAGGGATGGGTATCAAGGCAGCCAGATCGACAATGGGAGGAGGGTAACGAATGGCGGCGAACTCATGACGGTCACCCGAGAGGACAATGACGCGGACACCGAGATCACGCTCAGCGGCATGCATCGCAGCCAGGATTTCGGATCGTTCTCCCAAGAATCCGCCCCAGGTGTCCGATGTGCCAAAGCGCCAATTCTTAGTGAATGGAACGGACGAGGCGACTATCTTCCAGTGGACGTGCGCAGGTTCAGGGGTGGACAGGAATTTAAGAAGAGAGGCCAATTGAGCGGCGCCAAGCATCGTGTGGTTTGAGCCTCGAGACGGAGCACTAAGGGTTGCGGAAGAGACAGGTTCGGGATCCGTGCGATATCGTCGGGTGTCGAGCATGAAAAAGGACGCTGGGCCATTCGAGAACTGAAAGTAGGTTGTATTCGCCTCTGGGCCCGTCGGAGCACCTGCTGGAACCGGGGGGTTGACTGAGACATGATATTGGATGAAGGGGTCAGAGGCTGCTGGGAAAGGATCGGTGTCATTCCCGCCAGACCAGTCGTTGGCTATTTCGTGATCGTCCAAGGTATGGTACCACGGCAGAGTGTCGAGCCCCGGCAAAGACCATGAAGGCGAAGCATAAACTCGGCGGTATTCAGACCTATAATGCTGAAGAGAGGATGATAGCCGCATTGGGACATCGACGTAGATAAAGTCGCCCAGGAACAGCATAAAAGAAGCTGGAGATGGCAAGGATCGTACAACTTTTGACAGATGCTCAAAGCCATGAAATGCGAGAGAATGAGACCAAGGCCTGTAGGGAAAGTTGGCCTTGATGCAAGAGGAGGTGAGAAAGGTCAAGCTGTTCGCCGCTCCGGACCGGGGGGATGGTGCTGTTGTAAACGTGCCAGATTTGTCGTTGGACAATGAGTAGATGTACTTCTTGGATGGTTGGAGACCTTGGAAGGTGATTGCGTATGTATAGTCGGTATCTGGTCCCAGATAGTATATGGTGTCGGTGGTCTCCCATTTGGTTGAGGCGGCAGGTGAGAGGTAGACATACATGGGCAGCTGAGCAGGATCTGGCTCTCTGACAAGGACTTTGGCGGAATCCGAACCCACGTATCCCACCCTGGTGAAGCTCAAATCTCGCACTGGATTTAGGAGAGGCGCACGAAACACCATGTCCAGCGTCAACAGAGCCAGAAGCACATTTATGCCAATGGCAATGTAACTCCATCGTGCCTTCCTCCAGTCGGGTATCCCGAAGAGGATTGTCCTGAAGAACGACTTCTCATCCTCATATAACACCGGCTCCTCATGGTCGTCTTGAACCTGCTCTTCCGCTTCTTCCTGTGGCTTCGTATTGCCGTCCTGGTGTGGAAAGAGCTTGGGGAATGTCTCGTGCAACGGCGGTCTACTCGACCCGAACGCGTCCGGTTTGCCGAAGACGGAAGCGAGATAGACAGCCAGTGCTGTGATGATGACAGGAGGGAAATGGTGACCCGGTATCTGGTTACGAGGTCAGTCATCTCTTCGAGTTTGGCAAAGGATCCCGCATCCGCATACCCATCGAAGAAAGATGTAGGCGCTGAATCGGGCTATCGACGAGCTTATGCCGGCAATGAGTTCGGGGGTGGAAGTCATGGCGAAGGTCAAGCACAAGTAGAACACTACTCATACTCAGCACCCGAGAAGCGAGCAATGCACATTACATGGCGGCCAGAAGATAGAAGACAGAAGACAGAAGAGCGCAGGGCGCAGGGTGGGAATCAGGAGACAATATTGGTAGCTGGCTGGTTGCTGGTTGCTGGTTGCTGGCCCTGGTCACGGTCACTCGACAATGACGCAGTTGGGCAGTTGGGCAGAGGAAACGTCGTCATCTGTCTGACAGCAGAGTGACGTTAACGACGGCCTGGCCATTTCGCCCATACGCTGCAAACACTTTTTGTCAGACAGTACCATTCCACAGTTTCTGCTCAGCCTTGTGCCTTGTGGCTCTACCTTGCAGTGTCATCTGTCATGCCATCCTGCGGCGCTTCGAATACGACAAGGACAAGGCTCCAATCAGATTCGAGCATCTACTCATTTATGTAGACATGTAGACATGCTGTGTAAGCGTGTAGAAGCGTCCTATTCCTATTCACTGTAGCTCCCCTTCTCCTGAGGGACGGGGACGATATAACCGAGGGACAAGTCTATAACGGCCACGAACTATTTGCCTTGATGCACCGGCAGTGCAAGTGGCGACCAGCTCGTAGCTCCTTCATCACCGAGTGAGGTTCATGGCTTCTATACCTCTCCCCATACGCATCATGACAGCGATATCCCTCAGCTTCTTGAGGCCCATGCACAAGCCCATACAGTAAGCCCACATCCAACAACTCTGCTCCTGTGGCAGGGCGTCCCAGTATTCCCAACCCATGACGCCGCCAAAGGTAGGATATCGCTCCATCAGCAAGCTCAAGACGGCAGCGGACAGCTCCAGCGGCACGTAGCCACTCCCGCCATGTTTGGGGTTGGTCAGCATGCCGGCGACGACCTTCTCGGCGGGCCAACCATTGCGCATGATCTCGTCGTAGGCATTGGTGTTGTGCAGTCCACCCCAGCCATTGTAGAACTGGGCATTGTACCAGGCAATGCTACTGCCGCGGGCGGCCTCGAGCATGCGATGGTCAAAGCCGGACAAGTGAGGGCGGCCGGCCATCAGCGCCGTGGCGACGGGCGCCAGCGTGATGATGAAGTCGCGGCCGAAATCGCTCTTGAGCCGGTCGATCAAGTGAATGATTCCAGGGAGAGACATCTCCTCCTCGACGTCCAAGTCCAGCCCGTCGAGGCCGTACTTGCGAATCATATCTCGGAGCGGGCCGTAGTAAGCCTCGAACCTCGCCAGGGGCACGTCGGTTCGCGATTCGCTGTAGTCCAGCCTCGCGAAGCTCCCGCGCGCCGCGCCGCCAAGCATGCCCAGCACCTTGATTCCCGAGTCCTGCAGCACCACCACCTCGTCCCAGAGCTGAGTGTACTTGTCATGGTCGGGAGCGTCGTCGTTCAGCGTCAGGCTGTTGGGGTCCCAGTTCACATGAATCGCGGCGAGGATGACATGCGTCACTCCAGATGGGTGAGTGATCAAGGGGAGAAGTGAAATGTACTCGTTGTTGTGATGGTAAGTCTGGAAGTAGCAGATCACACGCGGAGTCCAGGAGGAGATGGAAATTGGCGGGCTCGTGGTCGGAAGGGGTGGCATCCTATCCTCCCATCTGGCAGTCCAGTTGTGCCGCCCTCCCCGTAATTGTGTGCAATTGGAATCGGAATCGGGATTGAATGGAAGGCGGCCCGAGTCGCGCTCGCACTTCTGTCTTGGTCTCGAGTTGGGCACAAGGCTGAGCTTCTTGTCGGCAGTTGGGGAATAGGAATGGCCAAGATGGGTTGACACTGATACTAGGTACTGCTGCTCGCGCCCGACCCCGGATTAGGCCAAGAGTGATGCCGCCCTGTGCTCGCTGGCGCCCCCTGGCTCAGCTTTACTAGCCCAGCCTTGCTGACTTATCTCAATCACGTGACTGTGCTAATCCAGCCTCAGCCTTGCGGAGATGAGACGTTGAACTGCCTCTATAGCCCCTGAAACCCATGTCCCGGAGAGTTTGGAGACTGTAACTGAAGTGAACTGAAGGACCTTGGTGGCGATGTGAAAAGAGGAAGAGGAAGAAGGGCCTCCTGAACATAGCTAATTCTGTATATAAAAGAGAAGCTCTGTTGAGGACAAATCGCGGACGCTAAGGTAGATAGAGCCCTCGATACATCCATTTCACTCTCATACCTGTCTAATCCAACGCATGCTTGTGGCAATCGGTATCACGGTGCACGCGAAAGTGGGCGGATGAGGATCCCTGGCACCAGCACCACTCCCTGTAATTTATGATATGAGTTCTTGCACAAAAGTCAAAGTGCGGTCATATATTCCTTACCTTCTTGATACTACGCTCAATATTTAGGATGTCTTGGTAACTTATTGTACTGATTAGAAAATATCGCCAGTACCCCACACCCTCTGCAGCTAAGTTATCAGGAAGGCTATGCGCCAACGTCGAAGCTGCTAGTCCAATAGATCACGACCGCGACAACCGGGTTGTATGGGATTGTGATAGCGATCCCTCCTTGTCGATTTATTTTGTTGTTCAGCAGATAAGACGCCATATTACTACATAGTTTCCGAGAGATCAGATCATTTGCCTAGTAACCGATACGCCGCCCGCTCGCCGCTTAACACTGCCGCTTCCACACCGGCGTGGGCGAAGTAATCGCCGGCGAGAACAATGCCGCTGGGCATTTCGCTATGCAGTGAGTTCAAGGTGGCGAAATGGCCTGGCGGCGAGAGCGAAAGGCCACGCTTGTAGTGGAACATCTCGATGAAGTCCGGTTCGGGGGCGGCGCCGAACACTTCCGTCACGGCCGTCAGGGCTTCGCGCTTGATGTCGTCGTCGGTCATGTTCGCCAGCGGCGGCGTATAGAAGTATACGCCGACCGCTTCGCCGCCGGGGGGAACCGAGTTGGGATGGCGACGGCTCAACAGCACGCAAGCGCCCCAGTTTCTCAAGTTGGTCGCAGGCAGCGCGATGGAGGCTGGGAAGTTCGGCCACGGGTTTTTCTTGTAGCAGAGCTGGACGTGAGCGTATTCGGAGTAGCGGCAGTTGCGAAGCTTGGCTAGCGAGTCCGGTGGGATGAGGCCGGTCAGGAGATCGGCAGCCACGCCGGGCTCGGGCGCCATCACCACGCCGTCGACATCATAGGAGTTGCCGCCAGCGCTGACCGTGTAGCCGCCGGCATCGTGGATGCTGACCGCCTCCACCGGAGTGGACAGGTGGAGATCGAGACCGGGCGTGCCCTCGACAAGCCATTCACTGAACTGCCCTACGCCCTCCGGCGGCACCTGCAGCGACAACTTGTAGAACTGCTGGACGACGCCTTGGAACAGAGGGGTGGACTGCCAGCTCAGCGGCACCGCATAGAGGAAGCCCATGTACGGCAGTGTCAGATAATTCGTGCCTTTTTTCCCCAGCACCCGGTCGGACCAGGTGTCCAGGGTCTCGCCGTGGTCGTAGTGGGCGAGTTCGGCGCCGTCGAAGAGCGACTTGGGGCCGGGGGAGAGGAACTGCTTGACGATGCCAAACACAATCTTCAGCCGATCGAGGAAATTGAACACCGGCAGCATGATGAAGCTCGTGATCTTGTCGAAGCGCGCGGTGTAGCGTTGGCGGTCCCAGTCCACGACATGCGTGGTGGCTTTCCAGGGCACCACGTCCTTGTCATGGCCGAGTTCCTTCAGGATGGCGTTGGTGCGAGGATAGATACCTCCCATCAGGAACAGAGCGCCCGTCCCCAGATTGAAGCCTTCCTTGCGGATTTGGCTGGTGCGCCCGCCGATGCGATTGTCTCGCTCGAAGAGGTGCACATCGCACCCGAATTTGCGCAGCGTGTAGGCAGCCGTGCAGCCGGCTGGTCCGCCACCGATGATTGCTACTCTCATCATATAACGCCCTGCATATAACGCCTTTCACTAGAAACGCGGGGCATCGACCCTGATTCACAGGAGAAGCAGACTTCTCCAGCTGCCCCTGCTCTTGCCCTTTGGGTTATATAGCGAGGATCTGTGCAGGATGGTCACGTAGCAACGGTGCTGCCCCCGAATTAATCTGGTATAGGCTCACGGGAAGACTCCGAAGCGGGCCGAGAATGTGTTTGTTTGGTCTTTGAACAGTCCGGGGTTTCCGGGGGTGGACCTCATGGCACCCACTATTAGCCTCCTAAGCCTTATGAGTCCTTAGCCCGGCCTGGACAGTCCGGGGTCAGGGGGTGAGCTCGGGGGTGGGCTCAGGGGCTTAGGCTCAGGATCCTCTGCCCAAGGCCTTAGGGCCTAATTATGGATGCCCCCAGTACTCCGTACGTACTCCGTACATTCCGAATGCCTAGAATTTAGCCAACGTGACTGCTTAGGCGTTGCCTTTGGCAAATAGATCTACGGAGAGATCTTTGATTCAGCTGGCCCACCGCTTAGATAACGGCGCACTAGGGAAAAAAAAGGAAAAGGTCTTGTGAGCGTTGTAAGACCAGATTTGTTTAGCATACACCAGTCAAGGTCCTTAGTCCTTCGTCGTCAAAGGGAACTGCTTGGTAACCATCTCAGCCACGATTTGGCCGGTCCACGCGCAAGCAGCAGTGCCTCCGGAAGCCCAAGGTTTCGCGCCGTCGCCGACATTGAAAAGATTGGCGACAGCGGTGGTCTGGGGCTGGTCTGAGCAGGTGACCGCACGCTGCGCCGGCCAGTCGTGAGCCGTCACGTCGATGGCCAGGATCTTGGCCTTCTCAAAGCCGGGAAAGTGATCACGCAGATCCTGAAGCAGCAGGGCTTTTTCTTCTTCCACATCGAATTGACCTCTCGCGGGGACGGGGACAGAGGCACCGCAATAAAGGTACCATCCTTTGGGAGCACGGTGAAGCTCGGGGGCGCTGAAGTTTCCAGCGTACACCATGCGGCGGGACTTGCTGAAAATGGCCAGGCAAGGGAAAGTAGCCAGAGGCTGTTGAGATGCAAAGTGGACGGTGATGATGGCGGCCGGATCAGACCACCGCTTGATCTCCTCGGCATAGCCACCAGGAAGATTGTCAGCACCGGCGAGGCGGACCGTTCCCAGGGGCCCGATATTGCTCACTGTCACTTTGGACGTGACCTGGACCTCCGACCCTTCGGATTTCCGGACAATGGCACCCGTCACGAGGCCGTCCGGGCCAAACGTGAGCTTGGATACCGTAGAATTCAGCCAGACTTGGCCCCCGGTGGTCTCGACATAATTCGCCAGAGGTTTCCACACTTCGATCGTGCCCCCCGGGGGGAGGCCGATTCTCTTGTAGGAGGTGTCCTTGACGAAATAGTGCAGAAAGGCTTCGGCAGGGATCTCGTCGCTTCGGGCAGCAAACATGGCGCCCAGAACATTGTCGATGAGGTGGTGAATTGCCCGACTGCGTGTGAATTTGTTGAGCCATGACCGAGTGGATTCACCCTTCTCCGGACGGAAGTAGGGGAGCATTCGGGACGCGGAGGCAAAGACAGAGGGTAGGATGTTCCGAGCAACACCGGCCAAGTTCTCGACGACATTGAAGTCACGGCGGCCGACACGCAAGACGGTGGCGGCGCGCCGGGGTTCATGGAGGCTCAGCGGCAGCCCGACCTCCTCGTACGTCTTGGCCACGGCACCGTCCAACTCAATGACCAAGGCGCCTGTGTTCACAAGGAAGCCATCGATGGGCCGCGTCGACGCCCGGCCGCCGATGCGCTCTTTCGCCTCGACCAGGAGCGTGCGATAGCCCCTTTTGGAGAGCAGCGCGGCCGCTGTCACTCCGCCGGCGCCGGCGCCAACCACCAGTGCGTCGAAGTCGGTCCCTGATCCCGATCTCGCCGGCGGCAGCGGCACAGCAGCATACGCCGCACGGCAAGTGATGGTAAATAGCCTCGTCTGGGTCTGGGTCTGGGTCTGGGTTGGCAGCGATGCGATGCGCGCGGGTTGGGGTAGTCGGTGTCTGGAAAGTTTGCCTGAGGCGCATAGCACTCGGCTTGCTGTAGCGGTCGAGTACATCAGCGCCACGGGGAGGGAAGGCTGGGGCAATAATTATGCAAGTATCTAGAATTTGGGCAAAGTCGAGGGAATGGGCCATAATATAGTTATCCTTTTCCTGTTGCAAGAAGTCCATCGAGGTCCCGGACCGGTTAGCCCCGAGCTTTGGACCAGGATTGTACTGGAGACAGAGACTCGGCCCGATAAGCCGGCGTAGGGAGTCTAAGCCTTTGCCATTCTAGCCCAGAATCTTGATCTTGCTATTACTGTAATAGTTCCAATTCCAGTACCAGACATTAAAAGTCCCCATACGCTCCGCTGGCCATCAACAACTCCTCATACTCAATCCCCAAGGTGACTCTCCCATGACGGCCTCGGAACCTCCCAAACCCATAGCGACGGCCCATGCGTTGCAGTGCAGCGTCGCGATCCCGACTACTGACATAGTGTACCCCGGCGAAATCGTCCAACATGGTGCTGTGGATGACCCAGGGGATGATGCTTCCGATGGTGTTCGGCATCCTGGGTCCCGCATAACGATGCCGCCTCCGCCAGATGACAACGATGAAGCCGACGAGATAGAGAAAGATGAGCAGGATCGACACCACGAAGGCCGGGATCGACGGCATAATCCGCGACTGGCGCAATGTCACTGTGCCTGTCGGAGCGGAAAAACTGGCGTCGCCCTCGTTCCGGAGGACCAGGAGGTTATCACGGAAGAGCGAAAACCATATAGCGAAGACGCGTGTCCAGACATCTGCTGCAAGCTGGGGAATGGACCGGATGGTCGAGCTGTTGCGCACTCGGGTCATCAGCAGCCCTGGCCAGTCATACTCGGTCGTTGGGCCAGGGCCAAGCAGCGAAAACGATGCGGCCAGCATGAATTTGGACCGGTAAAACGAGAGCAGGTCAGGTGCGTCACGAAAGACCGCGGTGCCGTGTGACGACGCTGTATCAATCGCTTGCTGGGAGATGATTGTTTGGTCCGCATCGTACTGGACTCGCCAGTCCGAAGTGGAAATAGAAGACGAGCAGACATACATCGAGATGGTCTGCGTCGACGCTTCACCCGAAACAAGTAGGAGTATCCCACCACAGCCGTCAAGATCGAGATTCGACGTGGAACCGTTGGTGAGATCCAGAAGCTCCATCGCCTGGAAGAAGATGGACTGTAGCGAGCTGTTGAAGTCGTACGTCGCCGTACACGTCTGGTTGACACCTACACCAGCAGTCTCGGGTCTGAAGCGCACGCTCTGCCCGCCGGTACTGTCCGTAAAGATACCGGGTCCAGAACCATTCAAGGTGGCTTGGTTGGGGAGATCCACACAGTCAAGAGAACTTCCGATGGCAGACGTCGTTGATCCGAAAACCTTACTGGTCAAGTTCGCTACGAAAGACACAGGGGCCGACGCATTCGACACGACCGGAACAAATGAGAGGTTGTGGGAGGTCCAACTCGGCAAGTTCCCGCCGTCGCTAAGCTGAGCCCGCAAGACACTGAACGCCTGGTTCACGTCGTTCTGATCAACCCAGTACCCAGGCAGCGCTGTGGAAGTGTATTGCGATACGGTGTCGACCGATGAGGTAAAGTCTTCGATATCGGGCAGGAACAAGCCAGCCATGGCAATGTTGAGGATGCCGGTCGTTAGGCAGAGGAATGAGACGAATGCCAACAGGAAGTGTCGGCGCTTGGAGGCCATCCAAAACACCAGCGATGGCGGTCTCGACGAGTATCGCAGAGACAAGCTCTCTTGAGCGCGTGTCTGGCGCTTCCGGATGGCAGCCCAAGTCTCCAGGACACTCAAATCCCGGTGTAGGGACCCCCAGCTCGCTTCAATGAAAGTTGCAATCAAGGTTGGCATGAAGGACCAGAACAGCTGGGAGCGAAAGGACAGAGAGTTCGTCAGATAGTCGAATCCGTGGTGAAGATGTGACCAGGCTGCCAAAAAGATTAGGGCGGCCAGGATGGCGACAAGAGCTGTCACGGCCAAAATCACGCCTCGCTTGCTCATGAAGAAGGGCAGAGGGTCACCACGAGTCACTGTTTCAGTCGTGCTCGGGGTCGAGGGGCCCGCCATGGGAGCCAGCTCTTGCTCGGGAGTCACCAGCCTAAGATAACCTGATCCTTCGTTGTACTCGAGATGTGAGTGTCTGAGTTCTTCCTCCAACCGCCTCGTCGACAGCAGCTCAAGATTTCGTGATGTGGAACGCATGATCCCAACGTCGTTGAATTCGTCGACAATGATGCTGCATTGTGCGGCGATTGAGTCGGGATCGCTGCGCAAGATGCTGGTTCTTCGGTGGTAGCCGATGGCTAATGCTATCAGCATCACTGCTGCAAGCGCAAGTAAGGCCTCCGACATGATGGCAAAGGCTGGGACAACAACCACGGCAAATGTGTCGATATGCACTGAGCCAGCCACGGTTTCAGGGGCCGCCGGGAGCTGTAGGAATTCATTGAACATGAGGGCGAAAATCAACCGGTACCCTGCCTCGAATGCATCACCGACGCTGTCACCGGAGAGGAGTGAGGGGTAAGACGATTGTTGGATGACTTGCGAGGTCAGATTACTGACCACGACGTCGCCGAGACTTGGGTTGTATCCAATTGCCCACAAGCCTGGATTCGAAGCGTTGGCCTTCAGGATGTCTCTGGGCTGGATTCGACCATGTTCCAGATAGGATTCAAAGACCGACATGTTGAATTCGTCATTGGAAAATAGGGTCTGGCTTTCAAGCTGATCGATACTGACCACAGCTTGAGCGTTGGCATCCACGGTGACGTCTGCAGTAGCCCAGCCGCTCTGTCCTGTGAAATCATACAATGCGACGCTTGAGCCAATATTTGAGGTGTTGTTGGTCCATGGAAGGGCCCATGAAACATTGAATTTGCTGAAGTCCAGCGCAACTATGCCTGCTAAGCGATCTAGATCGGGGCATGAGTCTGCAGGTTCTCTCCAAACGACGGGGGTTGAGAGATTCGCAATGATGTTGTATTGAGGATCCCCTGGCTGTGGTCGTTGGACTGAGACAGCAGTAATTCCGGAAGTAGCCACTGCTGCATGGAGTTCGTGGGTGAAGATTGGGAAAAGGTAATCGTCTTGGCTCAGCGGTTCGAACATTCGGATCATGATACCAACCGTAAGGTAGCACGATGGGGCATCTGCGATGGACAAGTTTGCTACCAGCAGCAGATCGTTCACAAACACAAGCTCTGCACCTAAGATAAGGCCCGACGCTCCCCCATCGAAAAGCATTTCGTTCTCCAGCTCAAACCTACGGCAGCTCGGCTGTGCATAATATACAACAGATCGGGTTGTCCAAGTCTCATTTCCGCCAATGCTTCCAGTCTTCGGCGAGAACGCAGTTGCTGCGTACTCCGCTGTTGTCCAAGACGGCAGCTCCGAGCCATCGGATACACTGATTGCTTTGGCTTGGTCAACGAATTCTCCACCTGCTAGTGTTCCGGACACCAGGTATTTGTGACTGAGGTCGAATGTAGCATTGTCGGTCCAGTATGAGACATGATCGATTCCGAAGAGAGCTCCTTGAGAAGCAGGGAGAATGAGGGAAATAAGAAGGAACGTGGTTGACACGGCCGCCAGAGTCCAATGGCGACGGCGCAAAGCTCGGACTGGTGTTGCAAAAGCTGATTCAAAAACATAGTCCAATAGGAGATTGCTCGCCGGGGATCGACTTGAGCGCATCTGGATATAAGGCTCGAGCCGCTTGGTGTCCGAGTCGATGTACGACCATAGTATGGAGTAGAGGACAGCGGTGACAGTGGGTATGTAGGAATACAGTATGTTCTGGCCTGTTGTCAGCCTGGTTGGGTTCAGACCACCAAGGCGTTGGAAGCCATGACGCCGATGGCTGAGCTGTCGCAGCACCTCAATGCCCCCCAATAGAGCCAATGAGAGTATGAGAAGGGAGAGCAAGTACGGTCGACGAAGAGAGTGTGCTCTCCACGACGAAGGTTTGACGTGTCTCTCGAACCGAGCACCAGACGGGGCTCCTCCAGCTTGCAGCCTCTGGTCTAGTGGAGTAAATGGCAAGTCTTTGTCTGCTGGTGCAGTAGCTGCATCTTCCATTGCATTCACCTCAAGTACGTAGCAGTTTCAAGTAGGTCGTCAGAGATGTCTTCGACTGCGGCATCGAGACCTTCACATGAGATTTCCCGCCGAGATATAACTCTAGACGGAGACATCATGCAACACCGGCAGATGCTACTCGAGTAAGGCTGAATCCAGTTCGCTAATGTATAGCAACAGACGTAGAATCGCTGATTGGGAACAGCACATCGGGCGCAAGAAGAAACGGGTTGCCTTGAGTTGGCTCTTCTCGTGTCGCAGCAGCACGAGTCTTTACCCCCGGCCGAACTGCAAAAGCAGGGGATGAGGAGGGGCGGAGTGTGAGTAAGTATCCCGACAAAACACTAGCAATCATGTTTCTTTGCAAGTGTGTGTGGCTGGCACAACGCCCTGCCTCGCAGTAAAGAAGACTAACACGTGGGGGCCGCGAAACTGCGTTCGTTGTTTGGCTGCGGTGCTAGCATGTCGGGCTATAGCGTTTCTTTGGCTACTAGGCATCTGCGCTATAGTCTTGCGTTAGAACACACTGATATCAAACGTATCGGCGATGATACCTAATGCTCAAAGCCTGGGAATGAATGAGAGATGGAAAAAGACCGTAGCCTAACAACAGACGCCCGGGGCCATATAACGCTGCCATTCGCTTATGCCGCTGTTGTTCTGCTTGCAGTCCGTTCATCCCAGGCGTTTTCGAAGAACGAGATGCGTCTTGTACGGAGCACTCATGAGCTGTTTGGTAGGGCTGTCTAGGAAATGGCCTTGAGGTACGGATACTCCTCGGTGTTAAGGCATGATGGATGCAGGGCACCCTAGCTCACCAGTTCGCTAGGTCACAGCGGTAGCAGCGCCATCCCGCTCCGGGCCACAATGCTTCCCAGTAGCACCAACTCTGTTGTGCTGCTGTTCTTCTGTTTTAACGTTGGTCTCTGACGGACGTGCTCCGTACATGGGAAGCTTCTCTTAGTGTTCCTTGCACATTCCGTGTGTTTTGACAATCTGCGCAGTAGCTCGTTCGCATCCATCAGCTGTACGAAATGGCGCTATGTATAGTCAGTCACACATGCACCGTGAGTGAGAAATTGCCAGTCTATCCGCTAGTCAATCTTCTCCCCAGACGTTCTCTCGTACACCAAGGGAAGACGTTCCAACAGGGGTCAATCGAGTCAGCATGCTTCGTCTCTCGACGCTTGCGGCCGTTCTTTCCATCTCGCTTATCGAGCATACTGCATAGCATCTTGATTGAGACGTTCCCACAGATTCGAACACATCTCGTTCAATGTGCCGGCAGAACAGGAGTGGAAGAGGTCAAGAGAAGATCGGAGGGTGACTGGCAGAGGAACGAGTATTACTAGAAGGCTGTCAGTGACGAGGCTGAGGCTGCACCGCCAAGGCCCAATTGTCAACAACTTGCACTCGAAGCCTTGTCACCCATGCAGTACTGCACTGCACCGTACCGTAGGACACGCATCCTGCCTGCGCAAGGGATTGTTACTGTACATATCCGCGACGACTATTAACTACTACAACATCTGTGTATCCAATCACGACCATGACGACAAACACAGAAACGCGAGGCAAATAATGTCTCCTCATTCACTGCACATCTTCACGGGTAGGTGCTGATATCTCTTTGTTAACAGGGTAAGTCCACCACCAAAGAACAAAGGCGCGCATCAAAGAGCACCCACTGAGGTGCCAACCCCAGTTCTGTTTACACCTCCGCCATGTCGACAGCAGCAACGTCCTTGGTCCCCTCTTCAAAGGGCCCCAGGCATGACTCTGCCCTTCAATCCGCACGAAATATCGTAACCCACGAGATCGCCACGACCACCCACTTTCTCGCCAACAAAGCCCACGATCTCGGATTGACACCCTCCAAGTCTACGCCCACCAAAGCCATAAGGCCCTCCACATATTCTCCGTCACCAGGAAGATTCAGACACCCCAGGACCACAGAGATCCTTGCTCGAAGCTCTGCTTCTGCGCTGACAGAGACCAATGTCAAAGGGGCGTTGACAAATGCCGCAGTATTGATTCTTTCCTTCATGTTCAGCGATGCATATTACAGCAGGTATGGTTTGCACGTCCACCCCGGGGATATCTTGCGGCTAATGTTCTCGACAGTATCACACCACTGCTGAAGTCGAGTGGTGTTGGTGATGCCTCTCAACTGTCCTCAACCGCACTTTTCCTCTTTCGCCTTGTCGTTTGCGCGAACATGGTCCTGCTACTCCGGCCTGTGATCCCATACATTTCCAAGAAAGATGAGATCACTGATATTCCTCTGACGCCGTCACAAAGGTCACTCCTCGGCCTCGATCCATCCGTGTCACCTACCCCAAACTCAGCAGGTTCGGCTGGAAGTTACATTACACCGCCGCGTTATCGGCGCTCCTCTGGCTCCTTTTCCGGCACTCCCGGCAGCATCCAGAACGGCAATGCGTCTGACCGTCGTAGCATCTCCGCCACCTATTCGTCCTCACCATTGTCAACCTCTCGCCAGACACTCGGCTTTTCAGCCACACCTTCCCAGTCCGTACGCCGGACAGCTTCTGGTTCACCGTTTTCGCCATCTCCGACAGCGAGCCCACTCTTCCACAAAGCGGTGAACCAAGCATCACAGTTCTCCGACGTCGACTTCGGCACAAGCACGCGCTCTTCCTTCGGCACCAGTAGTGGTTCAGGCCTAGGTCGATCACAAAGCTTGCGTGACAGACCAAGACGGGAAAGTCTTGAACCGAGTTCGCCGACACCTGGGACTAGGAGTCCCCAGATCGTGCCGGGGCTCAATTACAAGTGGCTCTATGACATGGGAATGAAGCTTCCCAAAAGCGAGTCGTATGGGTTTTGATTCTATAGAGTCTTAGATGGTGGGAGTTTGTGGGGGACGACTTTTTTTCTGGGTTGTCAAGAGTTCTGTTTCTGTGGGTGACTCGCTACCTCCTCGGTGCGAGAACGGAGCATGAGCAGAATCCACCCAGATACGGCGCAGTTGCTAAAAGATCGGCCATTCAAGCTCCCCTGACTTGTCTGTTCTTTTGCAATGGCATGATGCTTTTTTCGTTCGTATCTCCTGCCCTTTCGATCCTAGTATCCTTTTCTTTCTAGTAGGAAAACAAGATCAGAAAAGAACCAACACTGGCCTTGCGCAGGAGATGGTATCGTTTGGATCCAGTACAGGTCAGCGAGATGGCATGACAGCAAATGTTATAAGTTGGCATCAATTGGTATGGATTGTCACTGTATGGCCTGTCAATTGCGACAAGGGTCAACTTATACCCAACTTATACCGAGTACTCCGTACATAGATACGCATTTCCCGCTTTCAGACCCCGTACAACTTTGGCAGTTGATTCCATATCGACCTAGTAGTACACACCAGAATTGTCTGGTCCAGTCTGGCATGATTTCCCTCAGGCATCACCCATGTTTACCTGCAACATGTGTCACCCCAGTTTCTCCCAATGGCTATGGCCTCCATTTCCCCGCTATATTGGCGTGGTCAAAGTTCAGTCAAACACCCCCGGCTGAATCTTAATAAGGCAACATTCTCCCATTGTGGGGAACGGCTATTGAGCTAGTCGACAGAGCTGACTTGACACTGGACTCTCGCATTCCCGAGCTGTCGCCCGTACGGTCCCGGCGACTTGGGTCGCGAGACTTGGATTCTCTGTCCTAAGCCTTGATGGCTCTTTGCCTCCTGCGCGCTGCAACGGTCAGGTCATACAAGACATCCTTGAAGGCGAAAAGGAATGCCGCGGTCAAAACACTCTGGCTAACCTTGGGCGCGATCCCTGGAATACAAATTAGAACTGGTCTCGAATATTAGAGAAAGAGACATACCTTTGTAAAGACCGCCCCAGCCTTCCTCTTTAACAATTTTGTTCAAACTCTTCCAGATACCTTCAACCGGCGCGTCCTTTGTGGCAACATGGGCCCTCGACTTGACGGTAAGATAAGGGTATGTGATGGTCGTTGCGAGCAACTTTCCGATGGCGCCCAGGAAAAACGCGTCACGGGGGCCTACTTTCTTCCTTTTCTCCAAGGCGTTTTTCAACTGTTCGTAGAAGGTATATTGGAGGATCGGGTTGATGACCAGGATCAAAGCCGGCAGAACCCCGGCGAAGAGGGAAGCCGGACCCTCCTCCTTAAGCAGCTTCAGGAAGGTGCCAATGGTACTGGGCTTTTTGACCTTCTTTTTCTCGCCGCCCGGCAGCTGGTCGCCCTCATCATCGCCCTTGCGGGCCGTCATTCTTGTATTGACCACCCAGATGGGATTGGTAAGGAGCACGGTGGCAGATCCTGCAATCGCGCCAGCAATGATGCTCTCGACTGTGGTGAGTTTCTTGCTAGCCCGGCCGGCTTTCAGGGCCGCTCTCTCGAAGAAGGCCCGGGTCCACTCGTACCAGTAGTAGTAGACGAAATTAGTGATAGAGATTCCGAACAACGCGCTGTCCAGGCCGGCGTAGAGACCAGTGATGCCCTCCCGATTGATGATGTGTTTCACCGCATCCAGGGTGGAGGAGTCGGCACGTTTGGATTCAACTTGAGCGCGTGTGGAAAGGGTGATGAGAGGATAGGTGAGCGTCATCGCGAGCAAACCACCGCCTGCGCCAGCCAAGGCATGAGCGATATTGTCGCCCTGCTGCGCTGCGGAGGTAGCGGGGGTGGCATCGCGTGAAGGAAGGGTATTGACAGGACCGGAGGATTGCTTGTCCAAGTCGCCCTCGGTAGGAGCGGGCGCGATATTCTTGATTTGCGACATGGTGGACGTTAGAGGGATTGTAGGCACAGCTCAATGCGTCGGAGGGAGTGATGTGTTGGAGGCAGAGAGAGTGGGATTCTGGGTGAGGGAGAAGAAAGAAGAGGAAAGTGCCACTCTTGTATATCACCTGGATTGGCGCATGTGCAAGAGAGATGGAGAAGAGGATGGATGTTTTCGGAGAGCAGAGGCTGTTAGTCTGATGCCTGCTGTCAGAATCACATTTGAAGGGTCAACAACGATGCAGTCATCCAACGCAGTAGCCGGCCCCGATCACTGCATACCTCGGCATCAGCTTCTTGGCACATCCGAGGCAGCATCATCTTGTACAGGACGGATTCCCAGCTCCGGTTGCATCGGGCTCTTCTCCGGTATATTTTCTTGACATGTCTGGTATTGCACTTACCCTCCATCCTCACTCTCCTCACATCCCCTTTAATTATCCTACTGAGCGAAGCGAAGTAGTATATAGCTGTAAATTCCTATAAGGAAGCCGGCGAATTTGATTAGACGATAAGAATACGGAGGACACCTTACCCATTGGCTGGTCACATGCTGCATTGGCATATTTGGGACTCGCAATATAGTTGTCCCGATCCGAGTCTTCTAACCTCGCTGCTGCCTTTGATTTAGGATCTTCTCTAGCGTGCTACTAGGTGAGGGTCTACTCCTATATACCGAGACGCTAGTTTTCTAATCTGGGTAATCACTAACAGAGGAATAGGCACTAATAACCTAAAGCTATATTCCCTTCCATCTTCGGCTGTTAGATTTCAGGGAGAGTTAATCCTGGAACGCTGTGAGCGAAATATACACCTACCCTACCGGACACTGCTGTACCCTTTGCCAAAAAAGCCGATGTCGCCCTCGCGTTCAAACCCTACCATGACCGAGTGCGAAGCAGCTTGGAGGCTGTTCGGAGAAAGCGGCCAGCCATGACCTTGAGTCAGATGTCCGATGCATACACCAGCAGTGTGGTACTTGGCTGTGGCATCGAAATTAAAGATTCGGGTTGGGAATACAACTACAACGAGGCGTTGGTGCAACTTGGTGTTTGGTGTTCCCCTGGGCTACAGAAGAGACATCAAATGGGGACAGCGGGCACTTCCCTGTCTCACAAACGTCTGTTAGGTTGGACTATCATCGGCCATCAATGGAGACTGCATATTTCCTGAAGAGACGACGAAACCGGCGATGTGGTCAGTCCTTTCCAATCTTCATGTGTGTACGTTGGCTGATCGTGTATATAGGTTGTGATGGGTCCTTTGGACATTGTTAACGGCCAGCACCACCAGTTACCACGACCTTTTCTTGCTGATCCACATTGTAAGCAAGGTGCACCATTGGCTATGTGAAGAATACTGGCCATGATATGAAGAGTCGATATTGCGACATCTGGGTTAACCTAGATGGGCGTTGGTGATAGTCGAACTATGCACAGACATTGATGATGATGGGCTTATATGCTGGGGAGGGGGTTTGGTAACGGTTTTAGCACAACATGGGCCATGCAGAGCTGGGAAATCAAGCTCTGGTTTCTAAAGGAATGGTGGATGGTGGCTGGTGGTGGCGAAGGCGATATGCACAATCAAGCACGCCGTGGTGTGAAATGCGAGGTGGGCACTTTGACTACCAAAGACCATACTTGATGTTCGTCCACCGCTATGCTACTTATGAGGTATGCATTATCCATCCATCCTGCTCTGTCCTTGTGTTCCTCCCTTGATTGACTTGCAGTATTTCGATCCTGCTGCAAATCTAACTCGTCTTCTTGGTTGCCACCCGGGAGATGGGTGCTGGTTGCTTTCCCTGGCGTTGCTGGTACAGGACATATCCAAAGTAGACTGCGCACAAGGTCCCGAGAATGAAGATGTTGCCTGTCATGAGTCAGTGAGGTTTCTTTTGAACTAGGCTCCGTGCAGACTGGTGACCTACCTATGATGAAGCCAACAACACCCTCCGCGAGGTTGAAGACACCCTTGAAGACGCCAATGACAGTATTCACCGCACCTTCGAAGAGATGGAATACAGTAACGAAGAGACCTTTGATGATATCCACGATTGAGGCGAGTAGGTTGCCGATGCCTTTAACGAGGTCCGACATGTTGGTTGGGAGATGTTTGCAGAGATTCGACAAAGTGGTTTAGAAGGGGCAAGTGATGGTGGTTGGTGGCTTTGCACTTGAGACGATGCAGAAGGAGAGACAACTACGGATATGGTTGAGAGAGCAGATGGCGCATTTAATATATTGCCTTTGTGCCGGATGCTTTTACCATCTGCGTCACTCGAGACGCTGAGTCTTGTTTGGACAGTCGCGATGTCCTTGCTGAAGCCTCATTGTCTAACCGTGCGCGACCAGCGGTCTGGCTGTGACGTCACGCTTGTTTGGCAGCCGTGCAGGCATTGTTCCTGGTTTGTGGCTGGGAGCAGCGCTTTGACTGGCTTTGTCTGTCACGAGGCAGGATGATCATGTGGCGGGCCATACAGCCAGGAACAAGTTGTGAGGTGGCCCTGATCTCATTTCGACATCAATGATCGGCCCGCTAGACTTGCTCGTGTAAAAAGACAAGTCGTGGTTAGTAAGTGGTTAGTAGTTACTAACACGGCGCAGGGAGGCTCCGGTGGAGCACATCACTCACAAAATGTGAGTATAGACATTTTCTTTCTACGATGAAAAAATAGAAAACAACCTCGGTGATCCCACTCGTGAAGTCACAGTAAAATGGATGCAAACCAGCCGTTGGATCAATAACACCCAAAACGACCTCTAGACCCGTGGTCACGCCACTATGATGGCTTTCGCGACCATTCAGCCTTTTCAATATGTGGCCATTCGACTTCCATCTGAAAACATCAGGGTGGAACAAATCGTCCCAAATGGGTAGGTTCCGTTCACAAACCTGTGAGCCAACAGTGATCGGCCAACGGCTTGGGAGCAGTCGCTGACTCTGTCACAAGCCAAATCAACCTTGGGAAATATGGATCTTTTCATACCAACCAAATCATCGGCCGCCCGTACAATCTGACATTCGAGATCCTTGACCGTTCTGAGGCCCAAGATGGCAAGGAGCTCAGGATAGTGTCGGCTGCAGAACTGCATGCAGTCGCTCTCGTTGAACAAGCAGAGACCGAGGATGCTCCCACGCCACGCACCGATCTGGACGACACCGGAGCACAGTCTACTCCGAAGTCTAACGTCAATACCCATGATGACCCTACAAACCAGAAGCTCACAATGGCTGAAATTGAAGCACTAAAACAAGACGACTTAGGCAGTGGCAAGGGTCTTATCGAAAAGATCATGCAGTCCCATTCAACCCTCGACCAGAAGACCGCCTTCTCCCTCGCAAAGTACACCTTACGTAAACACAAAAAGTACCTGAAACGGTTTTGCATCTTGCCTCTTGATGTTCCGACTCTAGTGGACTGGATGATGGCAGATCGTGAATTTTCTAAAATTATGGAGATGCGCAATGAAGCAGTAGCTCTAGTCGGGTGTTGGGCCAACATCCACGCCAGCGACCCTGTGATCTCTCTTTCAGAGGCCAGCCAGTCCTCTCGCTATCTCGTCGTGGATGATACTGGGGGTTTAATAGTGGCATCTATGGCTGAAAGAATGGGTATTCTACACCAGCAGCATCTGGAGGACGGCATTGCCAAGATTGAAGAAGAAGATCCAGACGAACAAGCTGAACAGCCCGAGGTGGTACCACTACACAAAGATAAACGGCAGCAGCATCGACAGTCTGCCATGAGTGCGGCATCAAATTCCATCACCCTGGTGCATACCAATCAACAGCCCAACCTCAGCCTACTGCGGTATTTCAATTTCGACCCGAATAATCCTACTCCCTCACATCCTCTATACACTAACTTGAGAAGTCTTTCCTGGCTTCAACTGCTCGAACCCGAATCCGACCTCACATATCAAGAACCAGAAGTCATTGCACCTGAAGAACTCGCGAATGCGAAGTCAAATCGCAGAAGTGCATACTATCGCAAAAGACGCCGGTGGGAGCGCGTCAAGACAGTTGTCGACGAGACGAGAGCTGGCGACTTCAATGGACTAATTGTGGCAAGCTACACGGATCCCGTCTCGATATTACAACACCTTGTTCCACTACTAGCGGGTGGGAGCCAAGTGGTTGTTTACTCCCCCAGCGTCGAACCACTGGTCAGATTAGCAGACCTCTACTCCACCGCTAGGAGGACAGCCTTCATCAACGCCCCAGCAGAGGAGAAACGAGTGCCCTCTGAAGATTTCCCGGTTGATCCAACACTCCTGCTGGGAGCAAGTGTCCAGACAGCCCGAGTGAGGCAGTGGCAAGTCCTGCCAGGTCGCACGCATCCACTAATGACAGGCAGAGGCGGTGCTGAAGGGTATGTGTTCGTAGGGACCAGAGTATTGCCCGCGCAAGGAAAGGTCGAGGCTAGAGGCAGAGCGACCCGGACTAAGAAGACAAAGGCTTTAACGGACCCTGATGATGAGCCGTCACAGTTATCGTTCAAGAAACAGAAGATTGCGACCGGAGAGGCAGTCTCTGCGCACACAGCTTCCACACTTCCGCCGTCGAATGAAGACTTAGGTGTGGAACCGATGATAGTCGAACAGAATGGCGAATCATGAAGGCTCCCGGCAGGCCGAATAGAATCTGATTCGATTGTCATGCAATTGCTCTGTTTCGTGAACGGTTCCTCGCCGGCCAATCCATTCGTGTTGAAACTCATCGCATCTATAAGCTCTTCCCCATGAATTTCCTCTTGGAAAAGCTCAGCCACCATTTACTGGGTCCAACCCCGCCTGAATACATCCTCCCATGCAGCCTAATAGCCAGCTCCTGCCGCACCTGCGACAGATAACTCCTCAGTGCTTCCGCTTCGGTCCTATCTCTCGGCGCCTCGAACGCTTGGTTTAGGGGGAACCCCGGCTCGCCAGGGATGCTGAACTGCTCGAGGGCTCCATTGATGAGAACCTTCTCGGCGCTCTTCGAATCCATGTGCGGCTTCACCTTCGTCAGGCAGTCCGACACAAACAGGATCCCGTAGATCAGCATACGGTCCGCGGGGCCTTTGATTTCAAAGTTGCGGAAGAATGTGTTTGCGCGGAACAGTTGCAGCACTTCATCGAGGCAGTCGTACGATTCCGAGTCGGGGTCGACATCCAGCGGGTCCGTTCCTGGCGGGAGCTGAGGGAGGGTATATGCTGGCCCGCGGGTTTTTGTGCGTAAGGGGAGAAGAGGGAAGTTGCCTTTGCAGGGTCAGTATACAGAATGTTGTGGTCATGGACCTGCTCGCTCAGTACCTATTAACTGGACCCCCTGGTCACCTAGGAAGATGGAGTGGTATGCCTGCGCAAGGTGTCAGCGAGTTGAGCCTTTGGTAGAGGTTGGTTGATCAAACTAACCGGCATCTTGAACTATCGGCGACCACGGCCAAAAGTCCGATAAGGTGATCAAAGTGATACGGCTAGGATTGTCAACGTCTCATTCTGCTGTGGTCTAGATGAGGATCTTTGGAAACGCCTTGCTTCTCAGTTGCACTTCAGGGACGCTCGCGAAGCCAGTCCAAGGTCAGCCACACGGGCTTGGCGTATGTGGTCCGAGTCGTCATTCATGCAGCGCCAGTGTGCGAGTACTCCGTACGAGTACTAGTACTAAATAGCTGCAGCTGTCTTAAAGCGGCGGGGATACTGCAAGATATCACTTAACGCGTCTGTAGCGCGTCACAGAACGGTAGTATCAGCCTGGACGATTTACGATACAGAGGACGACTTCTCACAGAGCTACAACACCCTGACTGCTCGGCGTTTTCAGCCAGGATGTCCGACTATGAGGATGAGATGGAGTTGGATGCTCCCGTCTCCAAGGACAAAGCCATTCAGTTCAGTTCAGACAACACTGCAGGGAAACAGAAGCGGATTGTCGCTGATCTGCCTGTTGAAGCAGAGGACAATCTACCATGGTAAGTCAAACTCTTAGAGATCCTCCTCCTCGAAGATATCTCATCCGTGCTCATCATCATCTCAGGGTTGAGAAATACCGCCCAAGCACCCTGGGTGACGTCTCCGGCCATCAAGATATTATAGCGACTATCAACAGATTCGTCGAACAGAACAAACTACCCCACCTTCTACTTTATGGACCACCCGGGACAGGAAAGACTTCGACGATTCTAGCGCTAGCGAAGCAGATATACGGGCCAAAGAATATGCGGCAGATGGTGTTAGAGCTCAACGCCTCTGACGACAGAGGAATTGATGTGGTGCGGGAACAGATCAAAACATTTGCGTCTACGAAACAGATCTTCAGTGCATCGACGCAGCAGGGGTCTTCGACGGCAAAGTTTGGCCTGGGCGCATTCAAGCTGATCATCCTGGATGAGGCAGATGCCATGACTTCCGCCGCGCAGATGGCGCTTAGGAGAATAATGGAGAAATACACGGCAAACACGAGGTTCTGCATCATTGCCAACTACACACATAAACTATCGCCTGCTTTACTGTCACGATGCACAAGGTTCCGTTTTTCGCCTCTAAAGAAGGAAGATATCCGCCGCTTGGTTGACCATGTCATTTCGCAAGAGCATGTCAATATCGCACCAGACGCAGTGGACTCACTGGTTTCGCTCTCCAAGGGTGATATGCGGCGAGCTTTGAATGTCCTTCAAGCTTGTCATGCAGGATCCAGACCACTTCCCATGAAAGGGCAGCCACCCATTAAGGAAGCGGACATCAACTACGAATTGATTACTAACGACACCATCTACAGCTGTATCGCTGCTCCTCATCCCGAAGACATTCGTCTGATTATGACCACGATGCTGAGCACGCCGGATATTACCAGCTGTCTTAACACGATCAACGCATTGAAGAGCAGTCGTGGCTTGGCACTAGCAGACATACTGACCGCGTTGGCTGAAGAGTTGCAAACCCTTGAAGTCAGTGCTGCAACAAGGGTCACATGGCTGCAAGGTCTGGCAGAGATCGAATATAGACTTGCCGGAGGAGGCAGTGAGGCTGTGCAGACGGGTGGCATGGTCGGGGTGGTGAGAACTGGATGTGAGCTTATGGGAGAGAAGGGAGTTGGCGAAAAGATGAGTGTCGATGGGTGAGACGGACGTGGAGTCGTTGAGAGTTCTACAATCCTACGGGGGCGACGAACCTGTCAGCTGGCTATACTTGACAGACAGCAACAACTGGTACCATTGATGATGGGCGGAGCCAAGGTCCACAGCTCACAAGGTTGCTACGAGTTACCATGCTTCGAGATCACGATGGTAGCTACGAGACAAGGCTGAAAGAGTCGGACGCTCTGAGCAGCTACTCTCCGATGCCGATGGTGAAAGCTGACCAAAGAAGAATGGCAGTGGGCACTACATATGCCGATTAAAAGATCAATTCACAAATGATCTTCGCTGATTGCTACATACCTGCCCGCCTTGAGGTTGCCCCTCAGATGGAACCACAGCGTCAAAGCAGCCCGGTCGTGCCGGTGTTGCGATGAGCGGATGGCGGATTAGCAGAGGTTTCGTGGTAGCAACATTGAGATAGCTGCACATGGGCTTGCAGAATCACTTGCATCGATTCCTGCTTCCAATGTTTCCTATCAGCAAGCCTATGCCACTGTGCTGCGAATGATAGCAGACTGCGTCTCCAGAATAAATGCTCTCCCTGATTTGTGCCAAGATGGGCGTCCTTGGCATGCTACGGGCGATTTCAGGTTTCTTGATACAACCTCACCCCATGTAACATCTGCGATTGAACAAGCATGCATAGCAAGCAGATGGCGCGGCGACGTGATCACCCGGCGCTCATTGCCCTGCTTCCCACAGTTTTCAGCTTGCGACAGCGTAAATATGGACAGGGCCCGGGCTCCTTGAGTGCGGCTACGAGGAGCGAGAAATGGAGGTTGTGATATTCGTGGGCGTTGGGTTAGGCGGTCAGCAGGACGCCCCGGCGTCCAACCCGCCCAGACAGTCCCGGATCCTCTACCCGGCCTTGCCACCCATCTATCATTGCCTGGAGCCCCCCAATCGATCGATTCCGAACCTGATCATGGCACTCTCGAACATACCGTCCCCTGCCTGGGTCTCGTAGTTCTCATATCGCCAAAGTCACATCACCGGCTGTTCGGATTACTGCTGTCTTGGCCAAAGGACTCGCCTGCAAGCTATTACCATGCCCCCGTTCAAATCCGAGATCGGTTCTTATGTGGGATGCCTCTCGTCAGGCATGTTGGTGGTACTCTCCCTCACCTATCCATATTTACTGCGTAAGAATCCAGTTGTGGACGGCTACAATATGAGCGTGCTGATGTCCAGTCTCTTGCGGTTATCTATCGTCGAATATGCCTGGTATCCTGGGCAGCCTTGATGGAGTGTCACTGCATTGATTGATGTGGCCTTTGTTGCATGCTGACTAACGTCCAGCTCGATACTTTTCTTGCCAGGTGAACAGATCTCGCATCTTGCCATGGCAACATCTGGTCCACAAGGGCAAATAACTTGAATCGGTGTGCAGTGAAGCAGTGGGAAGATTATGTGCAGTGACATTCATTGGGATGGGCCTAAGAAGGTCATGGGATACTATTACCGATAAGGCTCAGCAGTGAGCTGCGGGATGGTGACCAAGGCTTTTTGCCTGCCACGTAGATAGACTGTCGCGTCTCTGCTGTTGTCTCGCCGGAGCAGTGCGACACACCGACCTTATTAACTCTTTGCATTCGCCGCCAACAAAGCGGCATCACGACTTCTTGAGACCAACTCTACAGCCGAGGTCTCACAACAGCCACAACAACCACCGGACGTGTAGATCGAGCGGTAAGCTTTTGCCATCAGTCAAAGCTGGATGAATCTCCAGCTGGAACGATGGCCAAAAGAAGAGGCACCAAGTACAGGACTAGGAAGACCAAGGGGGACAAACAGCCTGAAGGGGAGGCCAGAACAGGTGAGTCCAAGGGCTCGATTTTCGGCCACGGTCTCAGTTGCAAATCACGGCACTGTGCCAAGCCGCCTCACGACCCATGCAACAGAGACCTGCAACTCACTCACTGACTGTGCCAGACTGCGCAGGAATCGCTCAACCCCCTCACCCTCTACCAAGCTCTCCCTCTACCGTACACGCCTCTACACCCTTTCACTCTGTCGCAAATGCCTCCCCGGGTTACATGGCGCGGTCTCGGCAGAGTCCATCAATGAAGAGTCGTTGGCGAGCTGAAGACGACCCGCGCGAGAGACATCCACATCGTTCGCGGGAGAGAGACCGGGACAGAGGACAGCCACGGCTTCATTCGCCCGCTCCTACACATCGACGAGAGCACCCTGAGCCTCGCGGCGAGAGAGGCCCACCTCCACGGAGTCAACGTCGGCCCCAGAAGAAGTGGCATCCGCCTCGAGACCAGAGGAAATTGTATGGTAGAAAATCATCATTTTCGCCGCCTCGTTCCCCAAAACCGACACATCCACATATACCGCCCGAAAGACCATCTGAAGATCGACCTGCCCGACCTCGAGACTTCTCGCCCACAAGATTTCCAAAGCGGCGGCGTACTCGGAGCCCGTCACCCGCAGGAAGTGTCGATTTTGGCTCGGAGAATCTGAGACCTGGTCGCGGCCGAGACCATCCTGATACTCTCGACAAGCTATCGCACATTTCCAGATCCCGTTCTCCATACAGAGAATCCCCATCCTACAGGTCTCAACCCGACTCGAGGTCTCGAGGTCAAGATCGCGAAACTAACGCACCTGTCGGCTTCAGAGGGCAAACTCCTTCTAGTAGACGCGATAGAAGATCGAGGTCACCTCTAACGTCGCCAAAGTCATCTTCATCACGCCGTAACGTCCCAAAACATCCGTCGCTCGATACCCGAGATCCGTCATCAAAGTCTATTCCGCCACCTGAGCGTCCTGCACTTGGCAAGGGTGAAGCTCCTGCCAAGGAAGGCTACCCCGGCTCAAAAACGCCGTCTGTGACAGAGGATATTGACAATCGCCTCATGGATGGTCAGTATCCGATGCGTGGGAACTATGGAATGCATAGAGGGCAACAAAGACCTTTTGTCGATGCCAGGCAGCCACAATTTGGTGGCTCACCCCCATATTCATCCACTCCAAACAGCTCTTACCATGGCTCACCGCAAGCCAATTCACCATACCACAATCAGAGAGGTGGCTGGGGTGGAGGCCAGGGACAATATGGGTAGGTCTATGCATGTTACCTCTTTTATTGTTTCAAATCTAACACGTCTATAGTCAGATGCAAAACTCCTCTCCCCCTTACCGGCAAAACAGCTATTCTGGTCCAGCTGGCCTAAACAATCCGAATCCATACTACCAGAACCCACAGCAATATCACGGAGGCAATCAACAGGGATATCAGCAACCGCCGTATCGGGGTGGGCATGGCTCACATCGCGGTGGACATTATTCGCAGCGAGGACACCCGGATCAAAGATTCAGTGGTCCACGTCACCGAGGCAGAGGGGGACATTTCAATAATCTGCAATGGACGGCACCAGGTTCAATACCCAAAGGGCCACAAAACCAAAACTTTCACAGCGGCCATAGCAACGCCTCCCAAGTATCTCCAAGTCCTTCTCACGCCACATCACAGGACGGTCGAGAAGCTCCGGCTGATGAAGAGAATCCATTCAGACCGTCAAAAGAGTTGCAAGCGGAAGATGAAAGAGACAGCAGGCTTGCTGGGCACGAGGATCCACAGAATAATGACCGGGCAGGGGCTGCTGGTTCAAAATTCAGCTTTGCCTTCAAATCCAAAGTGCCACCTCAGGCACCCGCAAGGGCTGCTTCAGACTTTTCCGCCAGGTCCAAAGGACCATTCCAACCTCCAGAGAATCGACCTTCCTCGCACGTCAAGAACAGGCATTTCGAACGACGAGACGATTGGCCTGGAGGTCGCCCTTCCAATAAAATACCACAACACCATGACCGAAGATTCCCTAATGAACGGCAGCATAATCCGAACGAGCGGAGGGCAGATCGATCACGTTCTCCTCCTTCAAAGAAATTCAAGAAGGAAATCAAATCACGGCCCACGTTACCTCCCGAGTTCGTCGACTCCGAATCCATCTATTTCCGAAAGCCGGGAAATGAGTCGGTTGTTGGTGCAGGTACATACGGAAAGGTGTTCAAGGCCATCCACATATACACAAAAGACAAGGTTGCACTGAAGAAGATCAGGATGGAAGGGGAAAGAGACGGATTTCCCATAACCGCTGTGCGTGAAATCAGGCTGCTGCAACATCTCCGCCATAAACATGTTGTGGCGCTGCAAGAAGTCATGGTGGAGAAGAATGAATGCTTCATGGTTTTTGAGTATCTGTCGCACGATTTGACGGGTCTCATCAATCATCCAACTTTCAAGCTCACACCCGCGCACAAGAAGGACTTGGCGAAACAGATGTTTGACGGATTGGATTACCTCCACCGTCGCGGCGTCCTCCATCGGGACATCAAAGCGGCAAATATTTTGATCTCGAATACTGGTCAGCTCAAATACGCCGATTTTGGTTTAGCCCGCTTTTACACCAAGTCCCGACAGTTGGATTATACCAATCGTGTAATCACCATTTGGTACCGTCCACCTGAGCTTCTTTTAGGTGAGACCCAATACGGTCCTGAAGTTGACATTTGGTCGGCCGCCTGCGTCTTTGTGGAGATGTTCACCAAGAAAGCCGTCTTTCCTGGAGAAGGGGGCGAGCTCAGCCAGATTGACAAAGTCTACAATGTCCTCGGCACACCAACGCGAGCGGATTGGCCTTCGATTACCGATCTGCCCTGGTTCGAACTCGTGCAACCCGTCGACAGACGCAAGAGAGTTTTTGAAGCCATGTTCAAAGACGTCTTTACCGCCGCCGGCCTTGAACTGGTCCAGTGGATGTTCAAGTACGACCCTAGAAAACGGCCAACTGCGGATCAGGTGCTGAGGCATGATTACTTCACCAAAGAAGAGCCGCAGCCACTTCAGGCGGTGGAGCTTGCACACGTCGAGGGCGATTGGCACGAGTTTGAGAGCAAAGCACACAGGAAAGAGAATGACCGCCGCGAAAAGGAGAGGAAGAAAGAAGAGTACATGCGGGAAAGGGAGAAGAGAAAGGCCCGAGAAGCGGGACTTCCCGAACCGGGGAACGATGACAAGAAAGTAAAGCTGGATGATGCATCTGCCTCCGGAAGAGACATGCCTCCGCCTTCTAATGTTGGCAGTGGTCCCGCGAGTCATTCGGTCCCGCCGCCAGCCGAGGAGTCCAAAGCGGACGACGATGAGGATTCGGAGGGCGAGGGCAGCGCACGGATGAGCATGTCGTGAGCTGAGCAGTGCTAGACAGCCGAGATGGACTGTTGTCCGTGTATAGCAAGGGCAATATCGAAAGGAGTATTGTGATTGTGCATTCGGGGCGGTTATTCTGGGAAAGCCCGTTGTCGCATATGCCTGATGATAGGCCAGGACGGGCTACGGCTGAAGCAGAAACAATTTGGTGTTGGTGATATCTTCAAGTTATCAATTCTCCGTACTGGACTGAGAGTGCGACAATCAAGCATCAGGTTTAATGTTCCCCTTCCTTCGCGGTGCCATGTATCGAGGACATACCTAATATGTGGTGGGGGATGTACGGAGGACAATTGCAGTTGTCTCGGTAATTATGCGCCGTACTTCGTACTTCGTATCTCAGATTACCCAATAGGTGCCTAATTGGTGCCTAAGGTACCTATGTAGCTGTCGTCCAATCAGACTGGAAGGTTAGCCGAATCCAGATGCGACAAACGGGGCTGGGCCTTTAGAGGCCCCAGTTCGTCATTTTGCATGAATCGACTGCAAGGGTCAGAACCTCCCGAGATGCTGTTTCGGTAACTGCAGAAAAAGTCTACAAACAGCCGATCCATCACTCGCCAACCAATTCCACTCCAAGTATAACATCCGATATTGGCACTCTGGGCTACAGGGTTCCTGTGTCGCCCAGGTCTCTCCTATACCAAGCTACAACCCCGAAACACTATGGCTTTGGAACGATACTAGACAGCCGTTCAGCATGAGTCAGAATCCGCCGAAAGTCCCTTCTTCCGACCAGAAGGTCTCTCCTCCTCTCAATCCCAAACCTCGCTCTGCTATCCCGCCCTATTTATTAAACGGAAGTTCTCCGCTGCACAATCCCGCGACGAGGACGCGGGCGCAAGAACGGGAAAACCTTGCCTCCTCCATCCAGAGCAGTTATGAGCCGAGAAAAGCAATAGATCTCGGAGGGGACAGTCAGATCTCCGCAAATACATACCAGAATACATCTTGGGAAGGTTTGACAGATGATCTATCCAACCTGGAGTTGAAACGACCCGTGCGTCTGCGAGAGCCCGCACGAGACGTTCGCGACGAAGCTCCTATGACTCCTCCAGCCAGCATCTCCCGTCCTGCAAGTCCCTATACCCTGAACCCTCCCATCGACTTTGACGGACTGAGTTGGCCGTGTATCGGCACACGCGAGCGACGTGAACAGACACCAGAAGAGGCGCAGGCACGGTTGGACAAGCTCTCCGGGGCCGTAAAGACCATTTTCGAATGCATCGGCGAAGATCCCGACCGAGAAGGTTTGCGTGGGACCCCGGAGCGTTATGCCAAAGCCCTGATGTACTTTACGAAAGGCTACGAGGAGAACGTTCGGGACCTGGTCAACGGCGCAGTCTTTCATGAAGACCACGACGAGTTGGTCATTGTCAAAGACATCGAAGTTTTCAGCCTCTGTGAACATCATATGGTCCCGTTCATTGGAAAAATGCATATCGGCTACATTCCTAATCGCAGAGTGCTCGGCCTCAGTAAACTTGCCAGACTTGCGGAGATGTTTTCTCGAAGACTCCAAGTCCAAGAGAGATTGACCAAGCAGGTGGCACTGGCGATTGCGGAGGTGCTCAAGCCCCAAGGCGTCGCGGTTGTCATGGAGAGCAGTCACCTCTGCATGGTCATGAGAGGAGTTCAAAAGACCGCGAGCAGCACAACCACAAGCTGCATGCTCGGGGCCATGAGGAGCAGTGCCAAAACAAGGGAGGAGTTTCTGAGTCTATTGAATCGGAAGTGATGTGATACACTCAGCGCCTGTTATCGACCGCACAGATCTGAAAATAGGTGTCTGTAGTTTCAACAACATAAAACGGGGTCCTTCAACGGCGGCTTCGTTCTTCCACAGATCCACAGTACTTGGGAGAAGATCATTTTGGGTACCTGGCCGCTTTGCTTTTATGTTCTGGACAGTTCAGTCTCGGCAGCTACTACCTTGGTTCTTCAACCACTCTGTCATCCGTCATGCATCAACACATGGCACACCGGGGAGCCGCCGACATCGCTCGCCGTCAACCGAGCCTCTTGCTGCTGCGTCCGTCGGCCAAGCATGAAGCCCTCCGGTCCGATGTCTGGACGTCTTTATCTTGCTCGCCGAGCTCTTTGGTGACTTCGGGTGCTCCCTTGGAATATTGACGAGTCCGACGGCTGCTTCTGAGGCACAACCTTACGTACTGGTTGCTGAAGTGTCAGTCAGCATATCTCAGCCGAAAGGCTTGCCAACTGCAGAGCGGGATCGGGTGTCGTTCGATCGCGCCCGTCCACTTGGAACTTGGTAGACATAGGAGGCAACATGTGGTGGCAGTAGAGACGCTTTTCTGCGATGAATATAGTGATAGTACTGGACATATAGTGTTCGTGTTTCCGGTTTCCTATTTCCTATACTCCGTACTCGCGCGTCCCGGGTCTTAGCACAATCTAATGTGCACGTGCCAGTGTCTTGAGATTCTTCCACCGTGGTGTCGCAACTAGCATGAACAGCTCACGCCTGACAAATCCTCGAGCGCCTCTTGCAATGCTCTATCTAGGTCGGAGGACTCTGTAAATGGGTATAAGGGTACGGAGTAATCCCATTGGGCACAATGGTCGAGGGTGGAAGTCACGTGTTCAGCGTGGAGGGTCACGTGTGTGGGGTGGCCGGTCGGTTCCCCTCCATTCCTCACCGCCGAATCCAATGCCGAAGCCCGAGGCAAGCAATAATTATAATTGTCAGCAGCGCGTTATCTCCATTGTCGAGGGGCATCTCGGGGTCGTGTTCGATTTCACCACGGCCTAACTAGATACCTATAGGTAGTAATAGATATAGGCAGTCGGGGCTCCAATTCGGGCCTGAGAGTGAGACTGACACTGACACTGGAGACTGCCAGCTGCATGCATAGCTGCTGAGTAATACATACTACTACTCCGTACATAATACGTACTTACAATTGCCCACCACCATCATCGTTTCTGTTCACCTCCCCAATTGTTCGTCCCTCCTTTTGCATGTTCAGACCTGCCTGTCGACGACCTCCGTTCCTTCGTCTGCATCGGCATCGGCATCAGCATCCGCTTAAGCATAGATTTGTGCATTCAAAAATTGCACCGGGCGTCATCCATCCCTCGATTTTCACGCCGCCGAACACCAACACCAACATCATGGCGGCTTCAGCTCACCCAGATTTGCCGCAGCCTGCGCATCTTGATCGCGACTCGGCGCTCGCGCGCAAGTTTGGTAGAGAAGTCACGAATTATTTCGGAGGTAAGCAATGCTCGCTCCAGCTCCAGCCCCAGCCCCAGCCCTAGAAGCAGTGCTAACAAGTTGCAGGCTCGCCATTGAACAGATTGTCGTTCCTTCGCGAAGACTACACCTTCCTCGCCGGAGCATTTGCCCATCCTTCGACCAAATTCATTCTCTTCAAGGCCCTGTCGCCGGTGGTCAAGTCGCCGTCGGAGATATACTATGCGACGTACGACGAGATCAAGGCTCTGCTACCGCAGAACCCGTTTGAGAAGCCCGAGAAAGAGCAGATCGCCGAGTTTGACTCCTCGATAGACATCCCAACCGTGGTGTTCTTGGGCGTGGATGAGAAGATCACGGATGGGTTTTCATTCAAGAATTTCGTCGGCGCTCCGCACTTTGCCGTCGACATCACGCCCAAAAAGACGTTTGAGAAAGAAGCCAATGAACTGGCTGACAAGTTCGTGAACTCGGGGCTGAAGTTCAGCGAGGGCATGAGAGCCATGAACTTTCCCGCCGACGTCGGTGAGTTTTGGATTTTGGGAGAGACCGCCCCGTCTCAAAGGAGGACGCCCTAGTTTTGGATGAGTTTGGGGGGCTAATTCCTTTGTTTACCTTAGCTGCTGAGTACGGTCAAGGGCGCCATTATCTGGACTGGAACTACCGCAACACGTATTGCGGGACATGTGGGCATAAAACACTCGCGGTGCATGCGGGAGGCAAACGAGTGTGCCCGCCCACGGACAAAGCCGAGACACCTAGCGAACGAGAGGCATGTTCGACTCGCACGACCATCTCGAACCTGTCTTTCCCCCGAACCGACCCTACCGTCATCGTGGCCGTTCTCAGTCACGACAGCAAGCGACTCCTCCTGGGCCGGCAAAAGCGATGGCCTCCGTATTGGTTCTCGACGCTGGCTGGGTTTATCGAACCGGCCGAGAGCGTAGAAGACGCGGTGCGACGCGAGGTGTGGGAAGAGAGCGGCGTCGTCTTGTCCCGCGTGCTCATCCACTCGACCCAGCCGTGGCCGTACCCGGCCAACCTGATGATCGGGGCGATTGCGCAGGTTGCAAGCCCCGAAGACGAGGTGATTCGGCTAGAATACGATCCCGAACTCGAGATCGCCAAATGGTTCACTTTGGAAGAGGTCCAGGAGGCCCTGCAGCACGGCACGAGCGGACTGGGCGACGCCGCCCCGGAAGGGTACAAGGAAGGGGGCTTGAGATTGCCTCCTCCCACCGCCATTGCCAATCAGCTTATCACCGCCGTGGTGAGGGGTGGCTTCCTCGAGGGTGTGACGCCCTTGGCCACGAACAACAGCACGGGCACAAACAACAAGCTGTAGCATGTAGCTGTGGCATACCTCCGTTCCCAGAGCAATCTGTAGCTATGGCTCTGGATCTAGCTAAACCTCCGTTCCTCTAGAAGCAAGTAGAGCAGTCAAGAGCAGGAGGCTTCCCGGATCTCAACAACCAGGCTGGGTTTCTCCCCAAAAACAATCATTAGCATATATTTTGAACGTCCGACATTATTCCTCAACGCAAAGACCCCCATGTGAACAGGGGAGTCTAGTCACTAGTGAAGTGTAGGGCCTTTGGCTCAGTAGTAGCGGCGGACCTGTTTGATAGGGACGCCTCTATTACACTATAACACAACGCAACGCTGGACTCCCTAATTCACTGGGCGAGAACGATCGAGTTCAATCCTCATGCGATACCTGACCTCCTGACCTGCCTTTATTATCTTCTGCTGTCAACCGCCTCGAGGTTGCTGAGACCGTAAAAAACCTAGGAATCTAGGTTTCACTTCCCAGGACCCCCGCCAGGGGTTCCTGGAAAAAGTTTTTGTCGGTTTGAATTTCTCAAGCCTAGCCTTGGGGTCATGTGGTTTTTTGGGTGGTTGTCGTGACCTGCCCAGAGCAATCCTGGAGCAGGAGCAAAGCAAGCATCTCAGGAGCCACAAGCATCTCAGGAGCCACAAGCATCTCAGGAGCCACAAGCATCTCAGGAGCCACAAGCATCTCAGGAGCCAGTGGCCAGTGGCCAGTGGACAGTGGACAGTGGACGTGGCCATGAATTCAGATAGATAGGACCGACCGGGCGATGAGCGGTGACGCAAAAGGTCGTGTGGAGCGGCAGCGGTACATCATAGAGGCCGATATGAAACAAAACAAAACATTTTGAAGAAGGACCTGAGACGTCCTTGTCCTTGTCCTTTTCATTTTGGCATACAGATACAGATACAGTATGGACATTGGACGTAAGACAGGGCAAGAGATACGGTATCGTGCTTGAAATCCACAGTATAGTATAGTATACGTATACAGTAGTACGCAGTACAGACGCTCTTCGACAGTGATAGTGATATTTATTTCATCAACCATGAATTCCCCGGTCCCTTTTTCGCTATGCCACAGCATCCGTCTTAGCGATGCACTCTGTATGTTTCCGTACATACGCTACGTCCTACTTATCCTGACTCCTGACTCCTGACTCCTGCTTCCTCGCGGTTCCTGCTTCAAGATGGCTGAAGGCTCCTCGTCTGCCTCCACTTCGCATCCCTTCCCTTCCCTTCAATGTATACATGGTCGCCACACCACATACACATACTGTACGTCAATGAAGACCTGAGTCATACTAGACACCCTCAAGGCTACTTACTCTAGAGGCTTGAAGCACCTTCTTGGAAACAGATTGTCGGGAATCACGCAGTCCAGCCACCACACCACGTATGGCCCGTTGCCAGACTCCCAGAGACGGGTCGGATCTGTTGTTGAAGCCGGGCTCTCAGGTCTCAGGTCCCAGGTCGCAGGGCTTGACCACGCGGCTTTGTTCACTTGATTGAGAACGATGGTCAAACGTTGCAGGACAAATGTTTTTGTTGTTTGGCTCTATGGGCGTCAGACTGCGCTGAGGTTGAAGTGTGGCGCGAGAGCATCAGCTGCGCTACGAATAGTGTCGAGAGCAATCAGCTGCGCCACGAATATTGTCGAGAGCAATCAGCTGCATTGGAATATTGTCGAGAGCAGTCTCACTCACACCCTGATTCAACTCCCCTCCTTCTTGATGCCGACCACGACAAAGTTCCTAGGGCTGTGCTTGTAGTCAAAGACGATATCGACCCAGCAATCCTGGACGCAGGGCTGCTCGCGCAGGAAAAGCCAGCGGTCCGTGACAATGATGCTCTCGACGACGCCGGCACTGAAAGCCATCAAGCTCCAGATGACAGCGAGATTTTTCCTGGCATAACCCCATCGAGCTTCGTAATCGTCTATCACATCATCCGTCAGCCCCTTCGTGAGGTCTGTAATCAATGGTCCGTCGACAGGGTCGTCCCTGAGTTTGGCCAAGGCGCCGTGGCAGTAGGCGCGGAAATTGGCGAAGCAAGATTTGCGAAGCGAACCAACGATCAGTGGCGTTCCATTGGCATCTTTCCCCGTGATACTCCCGCCGGCAAGACCGAGGCCGCCTGGGTCAGGGCACTGCTTGACCACGCCCATATCCAGGAGGATGCGCTGTAACAGGGCGCGGTAGAAATGGCGGCGGAAGAAGGCTTCGCTGTCGTCGGCGCCCCAGTTGTAGGGGGCCTGCACGGCCATCATGCGCGCCGTGATGTTGAGTTTCACGCCCGTGTCCGACTCGTGCTCAAACTCTTCGAGGGTCCGAGACATGGGGAAGCCGTGCGGGTCGTATGTCGACCCGGTGGCTTCCAGACGCGGATGGTTCGGTCGGAGGTGAGGAAGCTTGTACGTCGCCGGTCCCAACCGCTCGGTGAGAAGGTTGTAGCAGCAGCCGATCATGGCCACGGCGCACACCGACGGATTGACCACCAAAGATCGGATTCCGTGGTGTGAGAGGTTTCCGCACGAATGGAGAGACACCACCATGGCTTTGGCTCGTTCGTTGCCGTTGCCGTTGCCGTTGCTTACCGATGGATCGGGATCGGGATCGGGATTGGGGGTTGTGTCGGCGGACGCATAGTCTGCAAAGCCATCGTGCTTGCATTCTTCAGACTGTGTCGGGTACAGTATGTGTTCGAGTCGACCGTCCTGGATGTCATGCTCGATATAGGTCATGGAACCTCGATTCGGGTCAAACTCTCCCTCGCCAAAGTCGGAGCGTACTAGACCGGCATCTGAAACAGAAAATGACCCGGCCTCCGTTTCCATTTCCATTTCCTCTTCCTCCGGTGGTGGAGTGGGCATTCCTCCATTCTCCCGAGCCAGCAGCCGCTTCCATTCTTTCTTGTTGCGCATGATCTTCTCCTTCTTCGCCAGCTTGGCGTGGACATCCATGTTTCTGGCGCCAGCGATGTTGTGGTGCCTCCGTTCAATGGCAATCACATGTTTGTTGTATGGCGGTGAAGCCAGTGTTCGGCCTAGGTAGTTCTGTCCGGATCCAAAGTCCACGATTGAGACAGGCTGTTGAAACCGAGCCGACACATCTGCCGAGAGTTCGTCCACATAGGCGGCAAAATTGGTCACCTCGTGGGCCTTTTTGACTTTCATACCGACCGAGACATGTTTAGGCATGTCGGGCACGTTATCTGAAACGGGAGTGAATTGTCGTTGCAGACAATGCTTGCGTACGCTCCGAACATAGTCTAACAGGCTGTCCGGAGGTGGAGGTAGAGGTCTCGGGTCAAAAGAGTTGGCCCCCGCCTCACTATGGCTCACCGGTCGGGTTTGGTCCGCTGCTGCTGCTGCTGTGATGTCCTGGCGAAGAAGCAGATCGAGGACATGATCCACCGAAACCAGGTCGAACCAGTCCCGCCACTCTTGGGGAAGAACTGTACTGTACAAGTCGGGCTCTCGTGTGAGGAAGTCCAGAATGTGCACTCCTCCGCAGAGGTTTCGAAACAAGTCCGAACAGGTTGCGAATGTTAGAAGCGAGTGGACATATTCGTCTTCTGACGACCACTCTGGAAGTAGCGGGAGGGCACGACCTTGGGGCCGCTTCTGCCTCTGGGGGCCAGCAGACATGATGAAGTCGAAGCCAGGAAACAGAAACAGTGAGCTAAGCCTACATCATGCACCGCCGGGAATGGTGTGTATTTCTGGATTTGATTTCGCTATGTCAAGCATAAAACTGAATTCTAGGTGCAAAACCTGCAAACGCGCCAAGAAGGGATAGGAAGGTGGTTCATCCCTTTTGAGACGAGACTGATGCCGCTTTAGTGCCTGTTTAGGAGGTGCCAGCCTCGCGTCAGCCTCGTCCACGGGGGTGCGATTGAGACAGGCCAGTGGAATGTCGTCGACAGGGTTTCGTTAGTACACACCTAGCCTACTGATTCTAGATACTCGGTAGTATTGCGCCTGTGGGTACACGTAGTAATAATAGATGAAGGCCAGCTCGGGTCACTGCTTGGGACACCGACCATATCCCGCTACTACGGCTTATCCTCCCAGACCTTGGCCAGAAAGTCCTCCATCCGAGTGAATTTGTAATCTTGCAGGATGCGATTGAACTCATTCGACACAGCCCACGCCCCCTTTGCCCCGCTCAGCAGAGTGCCGATGAGAACCGCGTTCAATAGACTTGCAGCTTGGTCGTCGGGAACGCTCGCGTGGCGCGCCTCAAGCGTCCATGATGTGTCGAGATGTCCGGCTTCAAGATCTTCGAGTTTCACCGTCTCGATGGCAAACGGACGACCTAGGATCTCCTGTCAGCAAAGCAACCCGCCGTTCCTTTGTTCGGGGCCCATAGCCTCTGTCAAGCCGTACCTCGAACTTTCTCCCCGATCTTGAGGATCTGAGAGACCGTGACTCTGTTGCCTGCGATGCCACCAATGACGGGCCACTCGCCCTCGTAATCAATTGCTTCGGCAACCACCGCAGCAAGATCTCGGACCGTGGTGAAAGTCATGACAAAGTCGTGGCCATCGACCACAATCGCGCGCCGGTTCTCGAAGTCAAACATGGTGTTCAGCGGAGCCACGTGTTTGGCGGTTCGGTACGGAGTTGCCAAATAGTCCAAGAAAAGACCGGGTTGGAACAGAGTATAGTCGAGAACCTGGACAGCAGCTGGATCAGAACGAGGACCAGGGTCGAGGGTCAATGGTGTAAGAAGGTGACGGGGATCCTGACCCTCCCGTTCTCGTTCACCTTCTTCAGGTACTCTCGAACCTGCGCCTTGCCGGCCCACCAAGGCATGTCCGTAGTCTCTGCGCTGTGAGATTGTTAGATGCTCCCCTTGCACCATCTATCAGCATCCAGATCACGGGTCGACTGACCTCCCCCATTCGCTGGGGGCGAACCGTTTCACGCCGGCGACGATGGCAGCATCAATCAGATTCTTCTGAGACCGGTTTTCTGGATCGGAAAGGAGCTGAATGAACGATAAGACGGTGTGTATCCCCTGCAGGGCCTCCACCAGCCCGGTCTGGTCGTCATAGTTCACTGCCCGCGAGGTGACTCCAGGGATGTTGTTCCCAATGGGAGGCTGTCGGGATCCGTTAGCAACCAAGTACTGTAGCTGATGAGAGAAGATAAAGTCTCGGAGGCCACCCACCGTAACATTCCTGCTCAGGATGATTATCTCATGCTTCTTCGCCGCCACCAACGCATCGATGACTTCCCGGGCAACTTCTGTAGGCAACGGTCAGGGGGATCTGTCAATGCGTGGGAATCTGGATTACCGCACGTCCTGAGCCACCGGCCACTGCGATCTTGACCATTGTGGTTTGGCTAAGATTTGTGTAACATGAAGTTGATCCAAGTTAGGGGAGCCATGCTGCCTCAAGATCAAGACTGTGTTGACCTTTATACGTACCCCTCTGGTTTGTGGCTGCTGAAGACGAGGCCAGCGGGTAGATTTGATGGCAACGCTAACGCAGGCGAGTTCCTCCCACTATCTCATCCTCCGAAAATCTCGGACCACCGAGCAGGAAAGAGACAGACCCTTACATCTGCTACAAGAAGTGTGGCTGTTGTTCCATTCCTATTGTTCCTGTGGTACCAGCAGCTCAACAGCCTGGGAGCTCTCTACCGACCGCAGCTGCTCTCAATATGGCCACAAGTCCAACTCGTCCAGATGCGCCCCACGTCTCGTCGCCGACGACTTCGGGACCAGAGCCTGGCACCCCTGCTCGGACACGCTCTCACTCCAGTCTGCGGCGTGACAAACCTCAGCTCTCCTGTAATCTGTGTAGAAAGAGAAAGTGAGCATTGGACTACAACTGGCACTGGGAGTGCATGCAACTTCCTGCCGGTCGACTGACTGCCAACTCTGCAGGGTGCGATGTGACCGCCAGTGCCCATGCACCACATGTTCCAGGAGAGGGCTGGCTCGGTTCTGTGTGTACGGCACCGATGCCCTGGAACACACCCTTCCACGGTCAACAGGGACTGTCCACGAACGAATCCATCAGCTGGAAAGTCTTGTCATCAGCCTCATGCAGCAGCACACGGCGCCCCCAGCCCCGGCAACGTCCGACAACATCCCAATATCCGAATCTCCGACTTCGAGCACATCCTCCGTCCCCGCCATGGATATCCAAGCCCACACGGCTGGCTCATCGGTGCCACTGGACGGGGGCTGTATGAAATTTGATCGCTTGGGCACGGCGAACTATGTCGGCAGCCCCCATTGGGCTGCAGTTCTCGACTCGATCACCGAGCTAAAGGAGCATTTTGAACGGGAGGAGGAACTTTGCCACATGCCGACAGATTTCACTCCTCCTGATCCCGGCCACTCCAGTTGGCCACAACTGTTATATGGCTATGGCTATCAGTGGGCCACAAAAGCCGAGATACTCGCTAGCATTCCACCCCGGCGGGCGGCAGACAGGCTAGTGTCCAGGTACTTCGCCTTGGATATCTCACCTGGTGAGTCTACTACATCGCAACGAGAGGTTTCGTGGACTGTTGCTGACGAAGTTCCTAGGAGTTCTCCATAGCGGCCAGTTTCTTCGTCAAGTGCGTTGCTGCTCTCACAAGCGTTCTTGGTGCCATGACTGACACTGCTTTCCAGTATGACCAATTCTGGAAGGATCCGTCCGCCGCACCGATCATGTGGGTTGGCCTTTTGTTCACTGTTATGTGTCTCGGGGAGCTTCATCAACACGCCCCGGCAGCCATGGACAGCACTCCCGGCATGTCGACGCTTTCTGTTGACACGTTCCGAGAGAGAATTGTCCAGTGCCTGATGATGGGCAAATACTCCAAAGGAGGTCCTTATGTCCTGGAGAGTCTGATACAACACTATATGATAGAACATTATCTGCGCCAGGATGCAGAGTTCGAGATCTGGATCTTGCTCGGCATGCTCATACCAATATCCTTGCGTATGGGGCTGCATAGAGACCCCAAGCACTTTACTGAAATATCGGCGTTTGCAGGAGAAATGCGACGCAGGGTTTGGGCAACAATTTTCCAGTACGATGTTGGTTTCTCGGCACTGGCGGGCTTGCCGCGTGTGATCAAGCCACACCAATGTGATACCGAGGAACCTCGCAATCTGTTGGACTCGGATTTCGACGAGAACACCCGGGAACTTCCCCCGTCACGGCCCGAGTCAGAAGCCACTCCCGTTCTGTTCCTTCTGGCGAAGAACAGGACCATCTCGGTCGGGGGCGTGATTAGTGACCTGGCACACGATACACGACCGTATCCTTACGCCGAACTGAGCAGAGTTGAGAAATTACTTCAAGACACTCGAAATTCCCTCCCAGCAAGTCTGCGATGGCAACCGCTCTCGCAGTCAATCATACAAGGTCCGCAGGCGATCCTGCAGCGGGTCTACCTCGATATATTTTCCCACAGAATGCAGATTATCTTGTACAAGAAGTATCTGTTGGCCTCGATGACACAATCCCAATACCACCACGCAAGGGAAGTCTGCTTAGACTCGGCAATGAGGATTCTAGAGCATCAGCATCTGCTTGATGAGGAAACAGAGCTAGACGGTCGGCTATCCTCGGTTCGCTGGACATATTCTTCAATCATCAACCACGACTTCATGCTGGCTGTTAGTGTTCTGTGCTTCTATATCAAACGATACAACGAGAATAACAAGGTTGTTGATCAAGAGACCTTTCAGAAGATCACATCACTCTTGAGAAAGTCACATCAGATCTGGCTCCGCTCCAGCACTGCGTCAAACGAGGCTCAAAAGGCGGTTCAGGCACTGAGCATCGTTCTCGGAATCCAAACCCAAGTCCCCGGCGAGGATGGCGAGATCACCAGGTGCAGCCATTTTTCCGATGGCTCGGCAGACCTATTTCCCCAATTCAGCAATCCAGCGGCCAGTTGGCCCGTCTACCAAGGTAAGGACTCTATCAATCTCTGTCAAAGTCAGTACCTAACTCGCCACAAGAAGATCTCTCATGCTCTAATCTGCCCACATTCAGACTCGACGCGAATATTAACACAAACTGCGCTGCGCCTCTAGAAAGCTGGACCTTGGACACTGCGGCTGTGCTTGAACCTCTTCCTTTCCAAGACCAAAATTGATGGGATAGTTCATAGTTCATAGTTCACAGGTCAATCAGACACCTTAGTCCCGTGTTGAAAGTATACAGCGGCATGGCGACTGTGGTAACTTGTGGTATCATTTACATGAAGGGTCTCAACTAAAGAGGGTTGGTGATTGACCTGATCTTGAGTTGAGAATTGCTTGAGTTGAGAATTTAATTCCATGTAGATTCAATGCTGGCACAAGGCTGCACTCCAGGTGCCGGTGACATCACTGTCTTGGCCAGGCCCGGAACGCGTCTCTTATGGGCGCGTTCCTCAATTCGACCTGAATTGAATCAGCACATGCACGTCCATCAATTCGGCCTGACTTGTCTGTCCCTTGAATCGTTGTCCAAGTCCACCATCTACAAGCTCTTTCAAAACGAGGTTCAATCGGTGCTCACTTTTATCCCTTCTATTCTACTTTAATCTCAACGGCGCCGAATTCGTTGACCGTCCGGGCCTCATCATGCCTCGCAAACCCAAATCTCAAGCCCGTACGACCGAAGACTCTGACTCTGCGAATGGCGAAGAGCGACAACAAGAAGAGCTTGACGTGACCGACCCTCCCACAATCGACCCTTATGATGTCCTTAAAGTCTCGGAGACTGCGACGGCCGATGAAATCAAATCATCCTACCGCAAGCTCGCGCTGAAACACCACCCCGACAAAGCCCGTCCTGAAGACCGCGAGAGCGCACACAAGACCTTCCAGGAGATTGCATTCGCATACGCCATCCTCAGCGACGAACGACGACGCAAACGCTACGACGCTACCGGTAACACGGCGGAAAGCGCCAACATCGAAGACAATGATTTCAACTGGGTTGATTTCTTCCGCGAACAGAGCGCCAATGTCGTCAGCGGGGATCTGATTGAGCAAGTGAAGAAAGAGTATCAGGGTAGCGAGGAGGAAAAGGAAGATGTGTTGGCCGCTTACGAGCAAGGAGAAGGGGACATGGACGCTGTTTTCGAGGCTGTCATGTGCAGCGAGATCCTGGCCGATGAAGAGCGATTCAGGAAAATGATCGACCAGGCGATCGACAAGGGAGAGGTGCCGGCGTTTGCGCAGTATACCAACGAAGGGAAGAAGAGCCGCGAACGTAGGAAGGCCAATGCCAAAAAGGAGGCCGAAGAAGCCAGAGAATACGCACGCGAGCTGGGCCTGGAGGACAAATTGTTCGGAAAGACGAATTCGTCGAAAACGAATTCGAAAAAGTCGACCGGGGATGGCGAGCACGACGCGCTCAAGGCGCTGATACAACAACGGCAACAGTCCAGGGCACAGAACTTCTTTGACGATCTCGAAGCCAAGTATGGCGGAGGAGGAGGCTCCTCGAAGAAAGGCAAGCGCAAGGGCACGGACGAACCGCCAGAAGAAGCGTTCCAGAACAACGCGAAGCGAGGCAAGAAGAAGACCCAAAAATGAGACCGATTGTGATTGAAAGAATGACCTGGGGCCATATGATTTTGCTTTGCATTGCATTACGAGCCAGCAAGGCGTTGGGACGGACCGAGGATAGCTTAGATATGTGCTTTGGCTCACGACTTGAACCGGCGTGGCATCGATTGGAATGGATGCTTGCTGACGAGGGCGTTTCCAGACAACCATGACCACTACGTACTGACGACTGGGCCTGAAGTGAGGCGGGCTCTCCAAGAACGAACGAACAATCAAGAAGATAGATAGGTACCTTTGGGATCACCTGCTGTCATCCGGTACTTTAGCTACGTAGCACCTTGTTTGTATCTTGGAACTATGCCTTATTCTTCTCGGTTGCGCTACTTACCAGGTAACATATAGGAGGTATACTGTACATAGTCTCGGCGCATACGCATACAGGATGGAACAGGAATTCTGGAAATTAAGAATAAAGCATTAGCTGCTGGGGGCAAGATCGGGGCCTCAGGCTCGCGAGGACCTAATTACTGCTAGATTACTAGGCACCTACATATAGGTACATAGTACTATGTGTCGTACTGCTGCCTTGAAAAGGTCGCCGCCATGAGACGTACAAAGTAATCTAGGTAAATGAAGATGATTAGGTAGGAACAACCGAAGAAAGTGGCGACATCGACATCGCTAGACTTGTCACTCGCATCGCGTCAACGTCAACGTCGACTACCAAATAGTTCGGACTTTAGAGTATTATTATTATTGCTAAACGCGAAAAAGTATTTGATAATCATGATGATACGCGCACTTGGTCCGTGTTCGTGCCCGTTCACGTTCGCGTGGGTCCTGGGGTTCTCTCATACTGGAAAACAGAAACAAATCGAGGTCGGTTTGCAGTTTCAGCGCTCCCTGCATCTTGCAACTTCATTGCAGCAGGAGAAGAGCCGCTGGGGCTTCTTAAGGTTCTGAGGCTTTAGTGGAGCCAGCTACGGAAAAACGGGATGGGAACTTGGGTGGAGGCGGAATCTCAATGTAGTGCTTCAAACTTGACCAGGGTTGAGGGCTTCAAGGGAAGAGGATGGATTTATGTAACATGCATACATGTACGCAGTGAGCCTGGTAAAGTCTCCTCCTCATCCTCACCTGCAGGGTCAAAAATGTCAGTGTAAGGTGACTGGGCCTCACGCCACAGGTTGAGATGATTCATGGAGGCTAAGGCAACCCTGGACAAAGGTAGACAGAGTCCAAGGTTCCAAAAGTGCGGAGGAATGAAGAAAGGGAGTCAGAACAATGGACAAAGTGGTGGAATAAGCTGTGGAGTGATTGGAAGGAGGCGGTGATCCGTCGTCATGGACACATGTCAATATGTTTTAAGGTACTGGCGGTACTGGTGGCACTGGTGGCACAGGCCGGCGAGAAGGAAGCGGTAGTGGTTTGGGGGGTTGCAGTGCCGTGGGTGAAGCCGGGAGGGAGAGAAGGACTGGATGCAAGCAGAGTGTTATCTAAGGCAGTCAACTGAACGGCAACTCTTAGTGGCAACACAGCCTGCGTTGCCAGTAGGTGCCAGTGTGGCGCGATGCTGTGCAGTGTGCAGTCGAATCCTCCATGGCCAGGAGGCAACTGCAGGTGGTGTGGAGCGGTGCGGTGCCTGTTTTCTTTCCTTCACCACTGGTGACTCGTGGCTGGTGGCTGGTGACTGGACCTTCTGCTGCGCTTCACCTGGGAACAAACAGCGTGGTGTAGTACCGGTGTTGATCCTGTATGATTCGCCGTCCGAGAAGGAGGAGGGAGGGAAGGAGGAGGGAGGGAGGGAGGGGGGGAGAGGCGCAGAGACGGAGAGAGAGAGCAGAGAGAGGGAGGAGTCAGACGTGTATCCCTAGAGTGAAGTGCATGCAGAAGAATACACTATTACAGCAGTAATTAACAGCAGTAGTAGTGGTCAGGCGTAGCAGTAGTAGTCGTATCCGGCCAGTGCCAGTGCAGTGTCAGTCCAACTCCAGTTCATCCTGGCGCAGTCCGGTCTTGGTCTTGGCAGATCCCCTTTCCTTTCAAAATTTCTCTGGGACAAGCACCGCTCTTGCTCCCAGCTGCGGTTCTCGCTACACACTCTTCCACCCAAATCACTTCTCATTTGCGCCTCTGCATCGCCTGAGGTTCATCTGGCACCGTCAACCGCTTAGTCGTTGTCGTGCCTCGTTTTCCCTTCTTCACCAGGGCTCAGCTTTGTCTTCTTCGCCGCAGAGCTCCGACCTCAACCGTTCGGACCACTGCCTGCGTTGAGAATCTCCCCTCAGGTTTTCCAACCGACCCAACCTCGCCTCCTGCCATCACCACCAGCAAAAGAGCGGCTTCCGTTCATTCGAGACAGTCGCCGCTTCGTGGTCATTTGCCGGACGCAAATTCTCGGCGCCGTTGACTCCCCTGCGGGTTCGGGCGACGTTTTTCAGTGAACGCCGTGTTTGTCATCCGCTTCGTTTCAGCCTTTCAGTCAACCTCGCGAACCTCTATCGTTCCCCCGAGACAATTTCATCCTCTCTGATGACATCCACGCCTCAGCAATCTTCTGCCACTCGATCAAAACCTCCTGCTGCCTCGGCTGCAGGCGCGCAACGTCCACCCTCCGCGACCGGATCGAATTTGGCTGCTCAGGGCCGGACCTCGTTTCCGCCCACCGCCAAACACCCTTCTTCTTCCACGCCAAATGCATCGGAGCCCAACAACATGTCTGCAGCAGTTGGAGGCGCTCCGCCCACACACGGTCATAGCGAGTCTGTGAACGGAAGAAATCCCACCATCCCTGCTATCCCTTCGGTCAATGGCAGTGTTTCCCTGCCTGATCACACGCGCAAACATTCCATGACAGTCACACCTGCAGGCGCCACAGGTTTCACCGCTAGCGGACGCGGACCAGCCGGCTCTCAGAACAAACCTGGCATTCAGTTTGGATCGCTGGACGGGCCCCATCCCGCGAGCTCTCCTGCCGCAGGCACCCCCCCTTCGTTGGCGCATGAGAACACGTCGAATCTCAGCGTCAATCAGGGAAACCCCCGAGCCACTTCCCCATCCAGCTCTCCTTCTCCAATCCCTCAGATGGCCTCTGTCAGCGGTGGGCGACCTCCATCGTCATTCCAAGGACAAGCAAACGGGTTGTCCTTTGGACAGCTTGATCCCAACGATCCAAGTGTAAGAACGCTCCCTGCAGTGCTTGTACACGCTGACTTACTTTCCCAGGGCCTGTCTCGACCCCTCTCTCAGATGCAGTTTGGACCACAGCAGGAGCACATGAGGCGAGGATCATCACAATCCGTCCACAGCGATGTCGGTGGCACAGGTCTGCCAACGGGTCCCGGCCGTGGCGGATATCAGTCTGGTCGTGGAAGAGGCTATCATTCCTCCTTCCAGCAGTCTGGGAACCCGTCATTCCGCCCTCCGACCAACGGCCGCGGATTGCAAGGTGGTTATCAGAACAGAGGCCAGCCGATGCCTTACCAAGGCTCCCCAGCCATGGCTACTCGAAGCCCAGCACTGGTGAACGCCACTCCTGGAACCCCGAATATGCCTCCAATGCACATGGTGCCCGGAATGCAAGGACAACCCAATGGATATTATATGGGACCCCAACATGTAAAGCACCACCACCCGCAAGTTTCTTCTTCCCGTGATGGCACAAGAGACAGAGGCAAACCTACGAGAGGTCGAAGTCGCGGCAATCGTCAAGCTGCTCGCGGTCGAGGCCCTGGTAGAGGTGGACACGAGGAAGGACCCTTTTACAGCAAAGATCCCGCCTCGGACTACTATCGCCCTGATCTCGCAAACCCTCCCATTGTTTCAAACACCCCCAAAGTTTTCCCTTATCCAGATCTTTCTCCCGAGAGTGGCAATTTTGAACATTTTCTGACTGCGAGAGCACAGGCCTTTGGTATCCCTACCCAAGCTGATCCCAGTATCCAAATGTTGTATAATCAACAATACTACGGACAACCTGGCCTGCAGGGTCAATACCCTCCTCAATATATGCCGCCGCAATCCCCTCGCCCTCCCTATCAACAGCATGCCTTTGCGCCAAACATGCAACACGGTTACAGTAACCAAGGCGCAATCCCCCCATCCATGTCCAGACAATCCTCTCAGGTGTCTGCCCCTGACCGTCCTGGCTCGAGTGTCGGACAACAACCACAAACACCTGCCCCGTCCGGTGCTTCTCACACCAGCGCCCGCACTCCGAGTTTATCGGCACAGAAAACCAATTACAAAATTCCTCCAAAGACGAGTGCAGCCTTGCTGATCAAGAACGGCGCTGGCGAGGTGCTCTCCTTTAACAAGCAACCTGCTTCTCCAGCCAGTGCCACCCCAGCCTCGGCTCCCGTGCCTCCTCAGCCCACCCCTACTCCGCCTAGTCGCACCGGCAGTGCAGCCGACAACGCTCATGGCCGCACGGACAGCGTCAACGCAAAATCAGCAGAGGAGGCCAAGAAGTCCATGCTGGAGGCAATTGCAAAGAAGATCGCCGAGGATGAGGCCAAGATTAAGCGGGAGAAAGAACTCGCTGAGAAGGCGCAGATGGAGAAGGACCAGACGGATAAAGCGGCCGCACAGACCGCAGAACGCGAAACCGCTGAGGCCAAAACCAAGGCTGACGCATTGGAGAAAGAAGCCAAGGAAGCCGATGCTCGGAAGGCTGCTGAAGAGGCCGAAGCTGCGAAGAAAGCCGAACAGGCTGAAGCTACAAAGAAAGCTGAACAGGCCGAAGCTACAAGGAAAGCTGAAGAGGCTGAAGCCGCGAAGAAGGCTGAAGAGAATAAGGCCAAAGAGACGCCCGCTCAACCCGCCAAGCCAGATGAGGAAGAAATCGACTTTGATGCCATCGAAGCTGAAATGGCCGCTTTGGAAGCAGAGGAAGCCAGGCGCGAGGAGGAATACAAGAAGAAGAAAGCCGCAGCACTCGAGGCGCAACGAAAGAAGGAGGAAGAAGAAGCCGCAGCTTACGAGGCTAACATGAAAGAATTGGAGCGGAAGGCCGAAGAGGCGGAGCTCGCACGAGAGAAGGAGAAGACCGAAAAGGGGGTCGGAGACGATGCCAGCAAGAAGCTGTTTGCTGAGCTTAAGGCAAACCCCTTCGGTACTCCCGCATCGGTCGAGAGTCCCGCAGCCCGTACTCCTGCTGAAAGTGGTACGGCCACTCCCGTTTCGGATGTGTCGATGCCGCCTCCAGCCAAGGCTCCGGGACGGCGCGGCAAGGCTGCCGAGCTCACTCTGGACACAAAGAAGCCTGTCGAACCACCGGAGCCAAGTGCGACACTGAAAGCCTTGCAGTCAGCCAAGAAGCTGGATGATCTCTCCAAGGTCACTTACCCCTCCGAAATCGCGTCACCGAGTCCGGCGCTCAACGCGAACGCCCCCTCGGATCGCAAGTTCAAGTACAACAAGGAGTTCTTGCTTCAGTTCCAGAGCGTGTTCAAAGAGAAGCCCACCCTCGACTGGGATGCACGACTCCGAGATGCGTTGGGTGACGGAGACTCGTCGGCCCGAGCCAGTGCCTCCGCACGAACCCCTTCGGGCATGGGTAACCGCAGTACTTCCTCTCGTGGACCTACAGGATTGACCCAGTTCGCACCCATGGGCAACTTTGGTGGTGCTGCTCGTACGGCCCTCCCACCTGGCACCACGTCCGAACAACGATTTGCCGCCTCTAACGCTGCCATGAGGACCGGTCCTTTGGCGGCAAATCCCTTTGCTCAATTTGGTCGTCCTGGTCAAGGAGCTCCTGCCATGGGACGAACTCCCTCCAACAATCCTCTCGGCCCCATTCCTGGATCCCCACGCGTTGGCGGCGCGAGCCGAGGTGGTTCTCGTGCTGAAAGTAAGAGAGGGAAACAGGGTGGCAAACATGGTGGTGAGGATAACAAGTCCATGCCCCTTACTGCTGGGATGAACATCGGCGCACTCGAAACATCCGCCACTGGATGGAAACCTCGCAGCGTTGGCCAGGCCGTCGTATCTGGACCTGCCCTGGGCGGTGATGGCTTGATGGAGCCCGATGTCGTCCAACGTAAAGTCAAGGCCGCGCTCAACAAGATGACACCCGAGAAATTTACCAAGATCTCGGATCAGATCTTGGAAATTGCAGCTCAGTCGAAGCATGAAAGCGACGGCCGCACCTTGCGCCAGGTCATTCAGCTCACTTTTGAGAAGGCCACCGACGAAGCCCATTGGGCTCCGATGTACGCAGCTTTCTGCAGAAGGATGTTAGAGAGCATGAGTGCCGACATCCGGGATGAAGGTATCAAAGACAAGCTCGGAAACGTCGTCACTGGTGGCAATCTGTTCCGAAAATACCTGCTTAACCGGTGTCAAGAAGAGTTTGAGCGTGGGTGGAAGGTCAATCTCCCTCCCCAGCCAGAAGGCCAATCTGAAGAGGCTGCAATGCTGTCTGACGAATACTATATTGCCGCAGCAGCCAAGCGACGCGGTCTCGGTCTCGTCAAATTTATCGGCGAGTTGTTCAAGTTGTCTATGTTGACCGAACGCATCATGCACGAATGTGTCAAGAAGCTTGTCGACTATGATGGAATCCCCGAAGAAGCAGAAGTCGAGAGCTTGACAAGTTTGTTGCGCACCGTGGGCAAACAACTCGACAACCCCGAAAGCAAAGCTCAAGGCCGCATGGATGTCTACTTTGACCGGATCAATTCTATGATTGCTCTCCCCGACCTCCCGAGCCGTCTTCGATTCATGCTGATGGACGTGGTCGACCTTCGAACCAAGGGCTGGGTTTCGAAGGAGGACGACAAAGGTCCCAAGACCATCCAAGAAATCCGTGAAGAAGCCGAACGCAAAGCACGCGAGGATGAGCTCAGAAGACTGGCTAGTCAAGGCAACCGAGGCGGGGGTGGCAGGTTGCCCATGGGCCGTGGTGATGCTCGGAGCTTCAGCGGCTATGGAGGACAGATTCCTCCGCCAGACAACTCCAACCGGGTGGGCACCGACGACCTGCGAAGACTGGGCAATCGCAGCACGCGCAACCCCAGCCACACTGGCACTGGGTCATTGGGACCTCCAAGTATGCTAGGGGGACGCACCAATAGTGGCCGTCGAGGGCTCGGCCCAGGTGGCCTGCTGAGTCGAGGAGGAGATGACAGTGCTGCCAGTAGCCGTACCGGCACCCCTCCTGCACAGAAGGAAAAGGAGAAAAAGGATGAATCCAGCGTCAATGCGTTCAGGTAAGCCAGTCTCGCCGACAATGTACTTGTCCAGCCTCGATGCTAACTGTATCTAGTGCTCTTGCCGCCCTGGAAAATGATGTACCCGGCTCGCCGCCGTCCAATCCCGCATCGCCTCCTACACAAAAGTCGCAGCCGAACATCGAACGAGAACGGTCAAGATCACCGGCCAAAGCGGCCGAGTGAAGCGTTTAGCAACCCGTTCAAAGTGTACAACATAATGCGTTTCGAACACTAATATTTGACAGACGGCCGCTTGTGGGGAGGTTGGAGATGTGCATTGATACCCGGCGCGAGCCACATGTTTAGCATTTACAGCACAGCGGACCTTTGTTTTCTCACCAGAATCTCCGGCCATCAACCGCCTTTTTGAGAAAACCTTCGATTCGACTTGAGAGCGATAGAGAACGTGTCCCTAGCATGATACATGGCGAGGACTTCGACTTCATTCACTGGCAGGGAGCGCCTTTTTTTTTCGGCGATTGTGTTTTTACCGGTTTCCAAAAGTGAAGATCAGGGCGCACAGGATTACGGATTGCAGGGTGCGTGCTACTACACGGGGCTCACACATGCTTGGACCGAGGCCGAGGCCGAAGTGGCATGCTTCAGTCGCCCGTGTGGCCGTGGTGGTCGAAGCTGGTTGCGGCGTGGGGAGGAGAGGAGAGGAGATTTTGCGTTTGCTTCAGCTCATTGGAAGGGCGCCAACTCGAGTAACGGACGCTGTTGCAGGAGATCTCTCCAAAGGCGAGTACTACTAGAGATATTCATCATGAGAGCACAAACAAGATCAATCCGACAGTGTTTGAATTCTGGGAGTCCAGTGCGTGTCCCTTCCATCCGTCGGCGAATTCAGGAAAGGGTAATATTCTCCTAGTGTACGTGGACAGATTCCGAGTGTCATTATATTAATCCAGAATACCTGGTAGTGCCTTGCTTGACGGTCGCGGTTGTATAGTGCTTGTTCAATGTTTCACAGTGTGCTCCCGCAACGCGTGTCCCGCCCGCCGCGTAGCGTCGGCAGCCTTTGCCCTTTGCTTTTCTTCTGCTTCATACTGCTCCTGTATCAATCTTGCATGCCGGCGCTCCCGCTCTTGGAGTTTAGCCTGTCTCTCCCTCTTCCTTGCGGCATGGCGGTGTCCTTGCTCTCTGTCATCCCGTGCTTCCCGGGACAGTCTCCTCTGGTCATCAAGCGACAGCACCCAGGGCTTGGAGAGGGTGGACTTGATGAATGATGTGCGTGCAGACATCAGAGCCATCTCGTGGGTGGTATCAGGAACGATCGACAGGCGGAGGAGGGTCAGCTGGCGCGTGGAGCGGAAGGTCGAGATTGTACCTTTGGCTTGCACGACCGTGCCGATCTGGAGGGCCGACAGGGTTTCATGGAGGCATTGTTCTTCCGTGGGTCTATTGGCAGCTTGGGAGGTTGATTTGCCTTTGCCGGCCTCGGCCTCTTTCTCGGGCTTCCGACATGTCACGTCGATGGTGGCCCCGCTACCATCATCGACGGTAAATAGCCAGAACTTCTCAAAGTAGTCCTCCAAAACCACGACCACGCCGACGACCTGGACGAATTGGATGGGGTGGTTCAAGTAGAAAAGCAGCAACGGAGCATCGTCTCGGCTACCACCACCACCATAACCCCAACGCTCCGGGGCCACGGAGGAAATGGCGATGTCGGCATACTTCTTATGAGGCTGTAGGACCAAATGAATGTCGCGTGCCGGCAGTTTGACCCAGCTGAACCATGTCGCTGAAGCCTTGAACGTGTAGGCTGGATAGAAGGTCAACTCCGGGGCGGCGGAGCTGCTAAGGATATTTGGGGACGGCCGTTCCGCACGAGGTGTCTGCGGCATTCATTTGGGCCCGGAATGCCTCTGCCTCTCTGGATGCGCGTTGAACCGGGTGTGAGGGCGATGAAGATGACTGTCCTGTCGGTGTGGAGGGTCGTGAGTCGTGAGTCGTGACAGCGAGGATCGGCGGCGGTCGAGCGAAGTCGCGGTTCAACGCGTGTTGCTAGCAGCCGCGATCTGGCGGCGTTTGGCCGGGGTTCGGCTATCGCGGCACAGGCCCCGATGCGGTATTGTAATGACAGCTGCAGTACACAGATGTCTCCGTTTAATCGAGCAGATACTGAGATACTGCTGTCAGAACGTTTTCATTACCCGCAGGCTGCCCTCCGCTGCCTTGCGTCTTTTGTCGCCATGCGCACGGCTACGGCTGCTTCGTCGCCAGCACCTTGTTGGCTTTTGCTTTTCAACGCCGGGCCTCTGATTGAAGCGATGACGGATGGCGGTCTCCGTGATCGGTGGGCCATCGACCACTAAACTGTGGCTATCTAGGTGTCTGTCCCATTACCATTGCCGCCATGCTTCTAACATCTATCATCTCCGTCGTCCAGCATCCTATCCTGACTTCCGACAGCCCGCGTCCTCGTCTAACTACGACCGCACTGGTGGCCTGCTATGCTTTCGAAGAGTAAACAGATCCCAGCCAGCCTTGAGCCTTGATGTCGAGCGGTCCATTTCACGGGGATCAACATGCCAATGCCAACCAGATCCCCTCACCGCTAGCGAGCGTCCGCCTTGCGCCTGGGCAGGATAAAGTGCCTGATTCTCATCTCATAGACGCAACCCGGACCACCCCAGACCTTTCTTCGAGCGACGGTTCCCCTCGACTCAGCCATGGCTCCCTCGAGAGAATGTCGACCGCGCAGGACGTCGCTCCGCACGATGTCCAAGTGCAGCGGACCACGACCAGTGCGTCGTGGGCGGGTCCCGTGCATACAGTTTTCACGCCGGGCCAAAAGAGATTCATCGTCTTCATGGCGGCGTGGGCAGGGTTCTTTTCTCCGGTGTCTGGCAATATCTACTTGCCCGCTCTGAACCCCCTCGCTACAGACCTGAAAGTGTCCGACACGCTGATTAACTTGACTTTGACGTCCTATATGGTGTGTCCGTGCAAATTGTCTCTGGCCAAGGTGGTTTGCGGCTAACAAGCCCCGATGCTAGATTTTCCAAGGGCTCGCCCCTGCATTTTTCGGCGATTTCGCGGATGCTGCTGGTCGGCGTCCTGCATACATTGGTACAGACCATCTTGAATATGCTCCAAACTGTGGCCTGTACTGACGGGTCGCCTAGTCTGTTTCGTCATCTACATATTGGCGAACATTGGTCTAGCCTTGCAAAACGACTATGCCGCTCTTTTCGTGCTTAGGTGCTTTCAGAGCACAGGAAGCAGCGCCACCATTGCCATGTGCAGTGCCGTTGTGGCGGACATCGCCACCGCCGCCGAACGCGGCAAGTATATGGGTTTCACTCTGGCCGGGTCTCTTCTGGGTCCAGCCATAGGTCCTGTCATCGGTGGTCTATTGGCCGACTTTCTCGGATGGAGAGCTATATTTTGGTTTCTGGTTATCTTAGGCGCGGCGTTCCTGGTTGTCTTTGCCATCTTCTTTCCTGAAACAGGTACTTGAGTCCCTCCACTCCGATTTGGCCGCCAGAAACAGTGGTTGACCAGGTCGCAGCCCGCAGTCTTGTCGGCAACGGGTCCATACCGCCCAAGGGTTGGAACATGTCCCTGATGAATTACCTCGCTGTTCGAAAGACACGCAACCTCGCATCCGAAGCCGAACTATCTGCGATCCAGGCCCAAGCTGACGCTCTGCCATCGCGGAAGTTCCGCTTTCCGAACCCTCTACGGTCCATGTATCTGATCCTCGATAAAGAAAACGCTCTTCTTCTGTTCTACAACGGCTTTCTGTTCGCGGCCTTTTACGCCATAACTGCTGCGATGCCTTCCCAATTAAAACAGATCTACGGTTACAACCAGCTACAGATCGGTCTCTGCTTTATTCCTTTCGGAGTGGGGTCTATGTGTGCAGCCCTGACGAATGGACAGCTACTAGACCGTAACTTTGCGCGCTGGTGTAAGAAGCTGGGAGTGAAGATTAAGAGGGGGAGAGACCAAAATCTACGAGATTTTCCGATCGAAAAGGCCCGGCTACAAGTTGCTATCCCCGCTGCCTACTTCGCCGCGGCCATGGTTTGTATCTTTGGCTGGATCCTCGACGTCAATGGCCCACTGGCGCCGTTACTCGTGGTACTATTCTTAGCAAGCATGTCCATGTCCCTCGCTTTCAATGTCACCAGTACCGTCCTGGTGGACTTTTATCCGCATGCTCCGGCGACCGCGACGGCGGCTAACAATGTGGTCCGATGCTGTCTCGGCGCCGGGTGGACGGCGGCTGTGATACCGATGATCGAAGCCATGGGTCGAGGTTGGACCTTTACATTCTTGACGTTGTTCCTTGTCGCGACGTCTCCGATGCTCTGGCTGGTTTATTTCCGGGGTATGAAGTGGAGGACGGAGCGTCATGAGAGAGAGGACCTGGCGAAGAAAATCAAGGAGGAGAAATTGAACCGACAGAATTCAGCTGAGCATGGCATTTCCGAAGAGTTCAGCGGTGGTGCCAGTAACAACGAGAAGCAACCGCCTGTCCAAGGAACCGTGGGTGTGGGTGTTGGTGTAATTGAGAAAGAGAGGGACGGTCCGAGGGAGAGGGAAGGGCCGGGCGCAGACACAAACACGAACACGAATACGAACACAAATGCAGACGCCGAGCAGACACGGGCGGGGCGGCAAGAGTGACCCGGACGGTCTGACAGGATCGGGGTCGGAAAGGATCAGGGGTATAGGTACCTGTAGGTAGGTGGTTGATGGAAGGCTGGTGACGGACGATATAGATATAGATATAGTGACGAAGTCATGTATATACAAATTACCATCTATCCCTGAGTTTTGCTATCTATAACACGAGTGAAGCTAAGCCGAAGCCAGCGAAGAAGAAGAACCATTCGGCGACCCTACAGATAGAGATAGAGATGGAGATAGAGATAGCGTGGACGGGGACTCAATTACCATACATCGTGTGCTGTAGAACCAAGCACCAAGCACCTAACATATATAACCAAGCAAGCTATTTATTCGAAACTGCATTGCATTCACGCCTCATAACAGCATGGATGTGGTCACATGCACATCCAGATCTAAGATACAGATCTAAGATACAGATCTAAGATAAGATATAATTCCACCATCATCAAGTCATACACATGGTCTTGACTCCTTCGACCACGCCGGAAAGCATGCGCAAGCCGTACGCCGAAGAGACTCGGTCCATGACGTCCAAGGTCGAGCGAATGTCGGTCCGGTCCATGGTTGCACACCACTCGCCTCCACAGGTGCAGTGGTCACGGAAGAGCGAGTCTTCGCCTTGCAGGGTGCCGCATTTCTTGCATTTCAGATCCTGGATTTGCCAGCTCAACAGCGCCGCCTGGACTCGAGCAATCAGCTTCTCTTCCAGCGCGATTTTGTTGTATTCGCTCTGGCAGCTGGTACACCTCCACGGCTTGGTGGTGGCATCTTCCGCTCCGGCTCCGCCATTCTCCGAGTCAGGCAGGATATCTTCATCTCGACACAAGTCGAGGTCTCGCGTCATGGTGCAAGTGTCGCATACCAGACCCTCGAACCGGAGACTGGCGCTGGGGTTTTCGAAGCGAGCCTCTTGGCCAAACTCTCGCACGTCGAATAGGCTCAATAGCTCTTTGCGGAGGAGCCGGGCTTCCAGTTGCAGAGGTTTCGACAACGACACAATCTGCATCAGGGCCTTGACCAACTCGAGCACGGGATCACGAGAGTGGCGAGCGTCTGTCGCTTCGAGCGTCCCTCCCGGCAAAGATGGGAAAGACCAGTCACTCGCCAGTTCGGGATGGAGTAACTCCTCGCGCTGCCGTCGAATCAGCCCGGTAATCTGCTTCTTCAATGGCTTTGAGAAGTCGTCCTGCAGCACTGTCGTCACTTCGCTACTGGTCGCGTCCTCCGTCAGACTCAGGAACCCGGAGGGCAACTGGATCGGTCGGGGCGTGGAAGATGTATCGTTCGGCGAGCTCGTCGGCCGCTTCAAGGTTTGCAACAAGTCGGTGAACGCGATCACCCAGTCGTCGAACACAGGTTGCAACGAGACGGGGAGGAACTGGGAAAGCTGCCAGTGGACGATGGTCTCAAGGTCCGCATTGGTGGTGCCCTCGGTGATCGTGGACGTTCCTTTCCCGCCGTAATTGTATGCATCATACCATAGGAGGACGTCCCAGTAGTCCTTGACCTCCAGGCCGAGGAAATGGAACAGTGGCTTTTGTTGGATCGATTTGAGGATGTATTGCGAGTACGCGTATGCGTTCTCCACCTCTTGCTTCGACGTCTGCAAGAGCAATCTCGTCGAACTCGCAAACACAACATGTGAGCCGACGCGGCGGAAGTCGGTGATGAGTTGCTGGAGCGCCTTCTTCGACATCATCTGCACGTAGTAGTGCAAGTGTCGATCGTAGAGACACGATGCAGGAGCCTCGACCCACCGGACCAGGTGCGAAACCATCACATCGGCCAGGCGGTTGCCCCGACATGCTTCGGCCCACCATGACTTGACCATTTCCCGCAGAACCTCGAGCGCGGCCTGCGCGAAACCTCCAGTCGATTTCACCATGCTGGAGTTGGCAGGAGGGTCGGCGTCGCCGGTAGGATTGAACGCCACCGATTCGGCAGATCCTTCGAGGTCGTTGATGATGGACGACGTCAGGATGGTGTTGATGGTGAGATTCTGGACGGCAACATCTACACACACCGAAGTATAGGCGCCGGGATTGTTAATCGATGGCATCTCAACCACTTCGGTGAGCGGACCGAGAATGTCATCCCGCTCATAACCAGCATGATCTGGACGGGGCTGTTCGGACCACCACAGAACAACATTGCTCCTCTTCAGCCTCCGCGCATAAGCCAGGTCGATGAGAAATCGTGGATCGTCCTTCTCCAGGTTGCACACCGGCACCCCCCCGTATCGTGCAAGCTCGATCAAGTGTGTCAGCCACCCCGCGACATTGAAGTAGTGGGATATCAACTGCTTGAAGGCGTATCCCTGCCAACCCAGGGAAGGCAAATCGGCATCGGCCTGCTCGGTGGGTAGACATAAGACGGGATACTCTTTCATGATGCGGACGTCGTGAACCAGTTGTTTGTGGGAAGTCGTCTGGAGGAGAAGAAGCGTCGGTTTGGACTCGTCGGATCGCCACCGTTTGAGCACATCTGCCATCTCCAGATTGGCTTTTCTTTTGGTGGTCACTTGAGAAACCTTGAAGGCCAGCCGAGATTGGTACGGGAAGATATCTTCGACCAGCGCCTGATCCTGAGACTTTTGTCTGTACTGTTCGGCATAGATCTTGTCGGCATTGGGGAGTTGGGCATCTCGGCCTCGGCTGAGCACAATGATGTGTGCCTCAGCCTTGGCCGTGGAGAAGAGAGCAAACACGTTGCGGTCCCCCGCGGCGACGTGGTAGATGTAAACAAAGGCGAACGAACTGGGATCCTCTAGATAGGTCGACGGCGATGCATTCCTCAGCAGGGCCGATAGGTCAAAGCCCTGTTCCAGGCCCTTCCCGAGCACGCCCTTTTGGCTCTCGTCAAACGAACACATGTTGCCCAATTTGAGCAGGGCACGCATAAAGAGAGGCAGCTGACGTTCGTAGACGCCCTCAACACTGGGGTGGTTGCACAACAACGAGACAGACTCGGCCTCTCGTAAATAGACGTCTTCTGGCATGGTCAACTGGAACAGATGGACCGACGGGTGGCCGTTGGGTAGGATGTGGTTCACTTTTTCAACTTCGCAGCCGGGCACCTCCACGTTGGGTAGCTCCTCGCCTTTGAGGTTGAGATAGAGAGTCCTGGGCACTTTGATCTTCAAGGCATGAATCTTGCTGCCAATGGCCACGAATGCGGTGACCTCACCCGGTGAATCACCTTGGCGCAGCTGAAGAAGATGCCAAGTGTTGATGTACAACAACTCGGCTTGGTTGCGGAAGAAGCTGCTGATCGAATCCGTGGCGACGTTGGGTCGTTCACCGAATAGTTGACGACGTCGAGCCCGGGCCTGTTTTTGAATCTTCCATTTCTGTTTCTGGTACTCCAGCCAACCGCTGTAATCTTCGTCGATCGCGGGAGGATCAGAAGGCAGCGTGGCAAACGGGTCCACCAGTGACTGGTTGGTGTTTTCGTCAGCCTTCCTCTTGGCCGATTTGGTGACGGGCCCACGGGACTTCAGCCCGGCGTTGAGAGCGTCTTCGATGTCCCCTGAGCTAGAGATCCGATGGTCGAGCAGGTTGACCGACCGTTCAGCCAGGGGCAGCTTGTCAAAAAGGTCAGTCACCTTCTTTTGTTTGAGTTTATCGTCTTTCGCCGTGATCCGCTTCTGCAGCCAGTCCGGGTGCGCAACACGAGGCACCGGGTTTCTGACCTTCTGCAGGGCGGCAGGAATGGTGATCAGCTTCTGAATCACCGAGCCCAGGCGTTCCAGGTAGTAATCCCAGTCGATCACAGTCCTGGGATCCATATCTGTAGGATCCTCTTTCAACCATTTCCTCAGGAAAAACCGCTTGACTCCCTCCTCGGCGGAGAAAATGGCAACTGGAATGGCTCGTTCAGTGACCGGGGTGTTTCGCGGTCTGGCGGAGATGATGTACTTGCAATTCAGACCCTTGTCTTTGACCATTTGATCTCCCAGGAACTCGGCCAGTCTCTTCGCCGTGGTGATAGAGGTAGACTTCTGCGCTCCGTATTCTTCCAGGGTCTTGGTCATACTTTTGTTTTCGCAAATCAGATCAATTAACTCTTCATCCGCAAGAGTAGAACCATGCTGGTGCAGTACGTCGAGCCATCGATTGGCAACTCGGGCAACGGCACCGTACGTCTCGGCCAGAGTGGTCCCTTCCAAGAAGAACTTGAAGATTTGAGTTTGAAAGATTTTGATGAGCTTCAATTCACCTCTGCGCTTGACCTCAAACCCTTTCAACTCGGCGAGGGTGCCATCGTGGTTGAAGACGGCATATCGCTTTTTCAAGTTTTTGTCTTCTTCCTTGGAAGTAGGTAGGATCATTGCCTTGTACGGCCCATCAACTTCGAAAAAGATGGAGTTGTCGCTGTGCGTCTCGTACTTGAACGCGGCCGGGTCGACAAGAGTTTGATATTGGTGGTTGGTGAACCGTGCATGAACGAGATGGTTGAGCATCACGCAAGGGTAGGAGATGGCCATCTTTTTCCCATTCTTCAGTGTGAAAACCACATTTTCGGGAAATGTCGCCGGAAGCATGCACCAGATCCCGTCAGTGTCCAGCTCCAACGGCCTGCCGATACGTTCCACAAGTTCTCGCGCCATCTGAATGATGTGAGCACCGGTCAGACAGGTAACGCCCGCCATCTCCAGTGAATACCATCTTGAACCCTTCCGCATCACGTAGCCATAGAAAGAGTTGAGGATGACCTTGTGTGCTAGCTGAAGGGAGTCGTAGAGGACGACCATCTTTTTGGACTCCTCGATCTCTTGAGCTGGTGCACCCGAACTTTTGAGAGCTTCCGTCTTGCCCTTCCAGACCTTCTGCTGACCCTTGAAATCGTAACGTCGATCCCGAAAATCGCGCACAGTATTCACGTAGAACGGATTCTCTCGTTGGCAAATGATGGCCTCCCGCTCAATGGTTTTGGAATCGTGGATCTTGTGGTAGATCTTCTTCGAATATTCCTGGAGTCTCTTCCGCACCATTGCAGCTTGCTCATCGGGGCTGAGTTCTTGAAATGTCCTTCTCGGTGACTTGGGGAATTTCCCGGGAAAGGTCTCGTTGGCAACCGCTCTCCGGATCATGTTGTACTCGTCTCTTTTCGTCGGCAAGAACTCTCCTCTCCATGCCCAGGGCAGCCGTCGATCGCAAGTCTTTCCTGGCCGGTTGAAGTCACAAGCTGCACAATCCGATTCCGCCTTCATCGAATCAGGCTGCAAGCGATTGGTCGTCATGATGTTGGGATACATGGAAGCTACATCCAGATGATATATCAGAGGCCGTTCGTTCCGGTTCGGGGTCTCTTTCAGGCTATTCAACTTTTCGCAAATCTGAGCCCGAACCTCTTCATAATTCGTAACATCGTCCAGGGACTTCTTTTCTTCAACGGTAATGCAAAACTTCAGCGCGGCGTCCAGATCACGTAGTAGCTCGTCGATGGCTGTTGTATCAATGGCAAAATTGACCGGGATATCCGCCCGAAACACACCTGCTTCGATACTCTCCACATGCCCGCCGACATAGGTCTCTGACTCGAGCAGATGACCCTCCCAAAAAGCCTCTCTCTGTTCCGCATGTTTGTTGGGTAGAACAATGTTTTTTTGGTACGCTTGCACCATTAACAGCATCTCACAGAGGGTGCCGGTCCCTTTTCGCAACGTGTCGTCGGGGTTGAGTGGGAGGATGGTACAGAGTGCAAAAATGAAAGGATGCACATACTTCATGTACAGATAGTAGGTCGCCACCGCATCGGAGACTGAGTACTCGGCCAGTATCTGTGGGTGTTCGCTTGCGTAGGGAGTCATGAGCTCGGGATCCAATTCGTCCGGGTCGTAGCCTAGTTTGGCAACGGTCACAGCCTTCAAACCTCTGCTCCCTTGAGGCAAGTAGCTGTCTCTGTTGACCCAAGCAAAACAATCCATATGGACACAGTAGTCGCTTTGGTAGATGTCATCACTGTTCTTCCGGAACCCGATCTCCGCATACATGTCAATTCCGAGTACACTCGCTCTTGCTTCCACGAACGGCCAATCGAAGAAGTCGCCGTTGTATGTAGCAATGACGTTGGGTCGTGCCTCTTTGATGTGAGCAAAGAATCGTTCAATGAGCGCGCGTTCGTTCGGTTCGTTGAAAATCAAAAATGGGCCTTCATATTCTGCCTTTGGAGTATAGTCGAAGTCTGCGATGTCCTCGGAGACGATTTCTCTGTTGGTGATGAGAACCCCCTGCCCATCGATCATGTACGATATCATCATGATCTGGTCAATGACTGCGTCGGGAAATTTGAGGGGTAGTTTGGTCGTTTCAATATCGAAGGCGAGCACGACCAGATCAGCTCTCTGTAACCGCTCTTCGAGACAAGTGAGAGATACCGAGCCGTGTTTTGCCTCCACCGTGTACCATTTTCCGATGCGAATGTCTTTGTCGATGGTCACACGGACGTGATACGGCACGTCGTACTCCCTAATGTCGAGGATAAAGTCGCTGGCCTCGGAGATGCTGTTCGAGCGTATGTCGCTGGCTTGTTCCTCGTCATAAATGTCGAAGCCGGCGCCGGCACTGGCAACTTCTGCATATGTGTCCATAGCGTTCGCCTTCTCTTTGTTTTTCTGCGCGATAGGCATCACGGTTTTCCTGACTGACAGTAGGTCGGAAACATTGGCGAATGTGAGCTTGAGGAATGTTCGTCTGTATCCGACCAGGTGGTTCGGCATTCGTAGATCTTCCTTCGAAACACGAGCCACTGCCTTCACCAGACCTTCAAACATTCTTTTGCACCACTCTTCCACCTCAGCTTCTCTCCCTCGCTTCACAGCCAGCAAGAAGTATGGATCGTACTCGACTGTGGCTTTGAAGTTCTCGCCGTCGTCGCCGATAAAGTAGAAATCCACTCCCGCGCGGCCACCCGGCACTTTGGGGTCCTCGATCGATGTGCTATGCATGTTATATAGCCATCCAACTCTTTTCCTGCCTGATTCATATCTGGGAAATCCCATAGCCTCATCTATGCTGTTGGCCAGTCGAGTGGCTTGGATCTTCTCATCCTGGGAGGTTCCTTCGGTAGCACGGAGTGAGGATGCATCGACTGTCTTGGTCCGGGGTCGTCGAGAGGAATTGTTGGCAAACCGGACATTGGAGCCATATTTGCTCGGTTTCCTGACCGGCATGGCTGCGCGACGCTGGCGTCAACGTCAATTGCAGTATCTTCTAATCATACAACTTGTTGATGTCGTGTGGTCATATTGTTCACACGGGAGATATCGGCCGTACAAAAGGCTCGGGCGTTGTGAGATATCCTGTAAAACTACGGAGTACGGATCCCTGGTACCTGGTACGTCGTATGCAGATGTCGAGTGAGACCCGTCGCGTCCAAGCGCGTCTCACTTTACGCGTCTGACTCGGCAGACCTTCTCCAGAGAATAGCGCATCCAATGCCTGTGCTCCGCCCCCAATCGGCCTGGGGTGAAATCATCATTCCACTTGCGCCAAAGTTTCTACCGCGCCCGCGCAGCAGCTACCACCATTATGGCGGAAGATACCCGAGATTCCAACAGCGCACCTGAAGATGACCAGTCTCAATCCGAGCCGCCTCGAATTAGGCGGTCCAAGCCCAGGCATGACTTTCCGAAATCACAAGTGGGAAAGATGTGGGAGGCGCTGGGAAACCCCCAAGAACCGGTGAACACGATGCCTGGAGGAACCTTCAATTCGGCTGGCGGCAGGCCTGTTGAGGTATCCTGGAGAGATGCATTCAACTTCTCATACAATGGGAAAGGTCCTGCGTGGTATCAGACTCCATGCGCAAGAGATTCTTTGCTGGTCGGGATCGCTTCTGGCGGTGCGGTTGGGGGATTAAGATTTGTCCTGAGAGGTACATAAACTGATGCTCCAAAGGCCCTCGAGTGGACCATTGACGTTTCGACAGGTCTTTCATCTATCGCGACCTCTGCCAATTTCGCAGTTGCTGGATTTGCTCTCACAGCCAGCGGAATGTACTACTGGTGTGATCGGAGGAGAAAAGAAGAAGCTCGAGGAATGGCTGCCGCGGTTGTGGGGATGAAGATGCTGCACGAAAAGAAGGCCAGAGAAAAGAAAGCCGCGGATGAGGCCGCCCAAGCTGCTGCCGCCGCTGCCGCAAAAGCGGAGGAGGAGCGGAAACGCAACCAGCGGTGGTATAAATTCTGGTGATTTGTCAAAAATGTGTGATTGAGCGATAGCGCGCATCGGATGGCGTCCGATGGTTGGGCAAAAGATGCAAAAATCAGCGGCTGCTGAATATTGGCTGGGGTTTCCTCGAAGAATTGTATAGTTATGGTCACCGGAGACAGCCCAGGACGTGAAAGCGAGGGTTAGCTTCATCCATCTGCGAAATGAACACGAATGCTCTTGCGTGGTGAGGACTCCACGGACGGGACCTCGTCGCTGTCGCTAATGAAACGCTTTCTCCTCTCACTTCGCTGCTGTCTGGCGTCTCGCGCCTCCCGATGTTTATAGTCGCTCAGCTGTTGTTTTCGTCGTTGCGACCTTGACCAGGCGATTGCTGCAGTCGGTCGAAATCCAATGCCGTTGATGCCGTAACCATCGTCGTCCGGATCATCAGGATCGTGGCCCGTGATTTCGGAATCATGCCAGAATGTCTCGGATACGTCCGCAGACAATGGCGGAGAATTTGACCGTGATGAGTTGGCCCCTCGTTCGGTAGAGGGAATGCCTGAAGTCGAATTTGATGGAGCGTTTGCTCTTGACTTGGTGTCTGGGGATGTCGCTTCGTCACGTTGACCAGCAGGATGGGCCAAGGGCTTTGCGTGGCCTATGAAATCGGCTTTTGGCATACTTCCACGCTCGGAACCGAGATGGAATGGCGGGCTGTCAATCTCAAGGTGCTCGAATTTCCTGGCAGCCTTTGTCCGCGGGCTCGCATCTCCTGCCTCCTCGCCATTTCCGTCGAAGGCGAGGCGGGGTACAGGTCCCTTCGTGTCCAAGGGCAGGGCACGATCCCGCTTTCTTTTGGGCGAACCGGAGGCCATTCTAAGCGTTTCGCTCAGTACATGTATCTAGACATTGTCTCTTGGTTCGGAAGAGCGCAAGCCTCAAAATGAGAGTCAGCGAACCGCGACGAGACTGGCAAATCTCTCCTGCGCGGCCAGGGCTACCAATCACTGAATAAGAGTTCCCTTGTGAAGGTGAATAGCATCATAGAATAACACGACGTCGTTTGGTGGGGGGCCTTCTGCCTTCTCCGCGAATCAAAAAATTCTTATCACCGACGACGTCTCTCGTGTCACGACGTTGAGCAGGAGTGTCAAGTCAACAGGACCGGGACATGAGAGCAATCGCTACCCTATATTGCACAGCCTTGCTAGGACGATGGAACAGACGAGTAGATGGATATGGATTTGAAGTCGTGGCGATCTGCTTCTCGCTTCTCGCCGCAGTAGACAGTACACATGCCTTTTCTGGCCCAGTCTTCCAATTGAAACATGTACAAGATCAAGACCTCCAACCAACGCCATGCACGCACGCAACAAGATCATTTTGATTTGAGGCCTGGCCATATCATGCCTTGGACTTCTTCTTCTTCTTCCCCTCGACCTCGCCATCTCCTTCGATTGATTTCCGCTTCTTCTTCTTCTCTACCGCGTCATCCCCACCTTCAGATTTGCGCTTCTCCTTTTTCTCCTTCTTGTCCTTTGACTTCTCCTTCTTGTCCTTTTCACGTTTCTCCTGTTTCCGCGCAGATGCTGGCTCTACGTCGAACATCTCCTCGTCAATATCTGCCTTGGAGGGCTCGTCGATATCTATGTGCTCAAGGACCTGGTCCATTGCCTCTTTCTGCATTGGGAATTAGCATGATCACTCGCACTAAAGATGACGAACATACCATTGCAACTTCATTTTTCGTGGGCTGTGTTCCCGACGCATAGAACTCTAGCCGCTCTTCGACCTGCTTCTTCAGTGCCTGGCCGAAAGCCGTCGATGGGGTCTCGGAGAAATTGTCGATTCTGGACGCAATAGAGCATTTGTTCGCGAGAAATCGTGATATCCGACCTTTATTTTTCTGGCCTGCTCGTCCAATGAACGAGGAGTGGTATAGGAGACCATACTTAGGGGTGTTGCCTTTGGTCTTCAAAGCTCTGAAAAGCGCCTTCTCTGCCCCCAGAATTTGAACAGTGGAAGCCGGGTATTTCGACAGGTTGGTCAGACTGCCGGCATGGGAGATCAGACGTGCGCCCACAATTTCGCCAATGAGGGTTGCCAGATTGGGTGCGACCACGCTCATCTTAGACACCAGGTAAGTGTGGAGGGTCTTTCGGTAATTGGCGAGGCTGACCACTCGTTGGGCAAACAATGTGACGTTGTCCATGTCCGAATCCGAAATTTCCTGACCCATACTGGTCTTCGCGGCCTCGATAATGCTCTTAGCGACATCCTCGTCATCGTCCACCACGGCCGCAAGATCATGAAGACTGTCTTCGGACAGAGACTTCTTGTCCTTCACGAACAGCGCGGCTTGCGCGTACTTGTGATTGTCCGAGACGATCTTGACCAGCTCCGGGAAGTGCCACGAGTACCATTCGCGAACACGCATAGAGAAAGTGTTGATCGCCTTGTCCAGCTGGTCCAGGATTGCGATGGCTTGGATGATGTGGTTGTCATTCTTCTGAACGGAGAACTTGACCTTGGCTCTCGAGTACGCATGACCAAGTCCGAGCTGGGCCGTGCCGGTATCTCCTTCGCGGAGCTGCTTGAGTAATTTCTCCGAATGTTGGCGGATGCCTCGCAGTAAGTCCCGAACCACTTCACTCGTATCCCCAGTTTCGCACTCGATATTCGGGAAAGCGCCCTTTATGCTGCCAGCCAGAATCTTGTCCGAGACCCCCAAGGTCACCTTGTTCTTCTTGCCCGGTTTCGGCAGGTTCAGCTCGAGGAAAGATTTGAGGTAGTCTGAAGCAATTCCCTCAGAGATATCGTGAAGCTCTTCAAGAGCTTGTTTTCCATTCCTGGTCTGGTTAGCCGGGGTGCGACAAGGATCACGGTGGTAGCGCATACTCGAATGGTAGAAAACTGACGAGATCCACCATCTTGCCGAATCGTGCAAGATCTTGAACACCATTTTGCACTTCTTGGAGCCGGTTCCCAACAGTATCTGGCTGAAGCACGACCTTGAAGAGCGCGTAGCCCATAGGGCCTTCATGGAGAAGAAACTCCATGACAGAGGCGGAGGGAGTGATTGATCTTTGACTTTGGGCGTCCGTCCGCTCACGCTCAGGCTCAGGTCCAAGATCAGAAACCTGCTGCACAAGTCCGAGATGGATCTGCGACCAGGCTGCTGGCGGAAACAAGAGGCAATCAATGCACTGCTATCAATGAATGGTATGGGCGGTCCGTATCACCATGAAAGCTGCGGCTCTCAAAAATTTCCCAAGCCGCAAAGTAAATTTCCAAAGAGGCTTGGCGCCGCTCCCCACCGACAAGCAGTTGCTGCCGCTTTAACAAGTGTGCTGCTACATAGAACGGAGTAGTACGCCGTACACATAATGGTACGGTGGAGTAGTACCGTGTACAGCGTATTGGGATGCTTGCAAGTGGCGGCCGCTTTAAGACCCGACCGAGTCAATCAGTGAACAAATACATATTAAGAACCTAAATTCATCCATCCATCCATCCATACACGTACTATTACCACTACCATCCTCGAGCATTTGTTCCATTTTCTCTGAATATAGGTACCTAATACAGAAGTACACATGGCTCTCAATCCGGGGACTACCAAGGGTTAAGCTCTAAATCAAGCATGAAGCAAAGCCACTCCAAGGGCGAGGCTGTCCATCACCACCTACACCTATGGTCTTGAGCCTCGACATGGAGACGACACATCTGAGCCGGAGCCGGGACATTGGTGGGCCAGCAAGTGCTCGATGCACTCATCTTCTCTGCAGACGTCAATGCAGCAGGTCTTGCACCAGGGGATTCCGCTGTCGCGGCCCGCCGAGTTACCACAATAAAAGCACCACTGGGGCTTCAGACCTTCCTTCTCGAGACAGAGCGACATATACTTGCGCAATTCTCGACTTTTGGCCGATACCGATGTGAGCGACTCAATGGTCGATGTCTTTGTCAACCGGCGATCCATTCGGGGCATCCACCGGACCCAGCGCACCCAAGGGCCTGCGTTGCTGGCGCCCATGACGAGAAATGTCGCCGCAATGTCCTTACGGATGAAGATGAAGCTGTCTAGACCACCAAGAACAGGGTCGGGGTCGCCGCTTGGGTCCCTATCTCGCTTCAGTGTTTCTGCACGAGTCATGGCGATCCTCCTCAAATGCCGCCCAATGGTTTGGGCCCGGCCAACCCAATCGCCCGCCGTGGCCATTTCAAGGATGCCCAATGCTTCAATGAGCACGGGCAGATGCAGAGCCTGGGTCACCACCGCTTGCCAATCATGAATTGCCTGCCTCCTTTTGCTGGCTGCATCGATCCCCAGTCGCTGCAAGTAAGGGCCATCGAAATTGATTCCGATGCCGTTGGCGCCCAATCCCTTGCCGAAAAACACCAGGTCGGGCTTGCCTACTGCTCGGTACTCGGGTCTCTGATGTGCGAAGGGAGCACCACACCGCACGGCCGTGATGGTCTCGTCGATTACGAGCATCAGCCCGGTCTGTTTGCAGGCATCCATCAAATTGCGCAGCTGCTCCGGCGTTGTCACCCGACCGTGAAGCTGATTGTTCACGATTTCCACGATGACGCCAATGCATCCCAGCTGTTTGGCGTGAGACAGAGCGTGGACGAGATCCGCTGGGGATCGGTCCACGAGTCTTATGCTGATGCTTGGGCTGCCCGCCGCATGGGCGCGGAATGCCGGCTGGGCACTGAGGTTCGCCTGGAGGAAGACTGGCTCAGCTCGAGGCACTTGTGCACAGAGTCTGACCTTGAAGCCTTGTTCAGGGTCGCTTACCAGGGGACCGAACCCTGCTGCGAACGAGTCCTCGACCGCCACCCATCTTGGGCTTTCGAAATGTCGTTCGGTCCAGCCCAGCAACGATGCCAGCTGTGTCCTATCGACCGGGCTCGAATCATGGATCGAATCAGGACTATCTGACTTGGAGATGATGGCCAGTCGCAGGAGCAAGCTGGCCACAGTGGTTGGACACATGGCGTCCGTCACATGGCCGTGGAAGGAGATTGGCAGTGTCCCGCCGAAGAAGCTTCTAAGCGTAACCTGTTAATGTGTGAACGACAGAAACCGCCATTTCGGCCATGGACATGGACATGGACACTTGCTCAAATTGGTCGGTGTATTGCGCCAGTATTCTGCTGAACTGCCTCCCCGTCTGGATCGGATCGTCCCAGTACTGTTTGATCAAGGAATTGGCCATGGGCCGACTTTGGAGGTCCGCCACCCCCAGGACCGACCCCCAAAAGTTGTTGAAGTCATGGTCTGGGAGACTGGGAACCATGATAACCTTCCAAAGGCGTTCGAAGACATGTATCGACTCGAGGCTGATCTCCGCTGTTCGAAACCCGACCATTCCACCGTCCCTGTCTTTGTCATACTCTCCGAGTTTTATGCAGGCAAGATTGCGGCTCTGCAGTCGTAGCCCAATCTGCCACCCACCTGTGGATACAGTGCATGCCACATGCACAATCGGTTCGCGGTCAGGGTGCGCATGGTGCGTTGTCCTCGGATCATGGATCATGCGTGGGGGGGGGACATATTTTGGCCTCCTGTGTGGACGACGTGCCGTGTCCACTGTCCACTGTTACCCCCCCCTGAGGGAAGATGGCTCATGCGAATGGGTGACAGGCGATCCCGTCGAATCAAACGCTGTCTGCTGCCAGCCAACCTGAAGATCTCCTGGATCACAACCAGGATCCAGTCTCACCGGTCAAACCTTGTCTGCGTCTGAATCTGAGGGCCCACGGATAGCATATGGTCACTGTACCCTGGCCACTCGACCCAGCCTCAGTACTGGGTTGCGGCCTGGAGCGTGCCGTCCGGCTGCTCTCTCGTGTGAGATAGGACGGAGTACGGCGAATAGGATGGAGGTTGGTATGCAACCAATTCGCTTGCCAGCGACGTTGCATCGGCCACAAGCCACAAGCCACAAGCCATGGCAGCGACACACAGGACAGGGGTGTTCTCATGCCCGATTGTGACCATGATACGCCCACCCGTTCACCATTCACCATGCTTCTTCCCCATGGCGGCCGGTCCCGAGTGCTGATTGCTGTGACCGAGTGGTGTGGTAGGCTTGCTGGCCTTGTCGTGGCAGAGCCTCATTTTTGGCCACGGTTATAGTCTCTAGAGTCCTCCACACACACACGACGTGAGGCCCTCTGCCCAGCAAATACTGCGCCTCATCCTGCTAGACCTTGATCGACGCTTTTGCTCATGGACGACAACGACACCCCCGTCAGAGGGTCCGACAATATGGTCTCCCAGCCGGTAAGACTCTTCTACCTTGTGTGACTATCGAGGCCAAACACCCGTCCAGAAGCCCCTGGACCACTGAAACCGAAACTGAAATTGACACTGACACACGCGCGCACGCCAAATCAGAGTCAGAATGCAAATAGCTACGACATCATCGACATCGGAGGTAGCAAGTTACGCGACTACTTGCTGGCGGCGCTACAACGTGACTTTCTCAACAAGAAAGACCCGGAAGTGCCTTACGTATCCGACATCTTCACATCGAGCGACGAGGGTCTGGAGCTCTGGAGCACCATCACCTCCCTCCCGACATGGTACCAGACCCGCGAGGAGATCGACCTCCTGCGCCGTTGGGGACCTGATATCGCAAAACACGTGCGCCCGGGCACGTCGCTCGTGGACCTGGGAAGCGGGTGAGTGTCCTGTTTGCTATCTGGTCTGCAGACCTGTCTTGCGAGAGCGAATCAAGCCAAACCCGAACTAAATGCCACCAGGGACGTCAAGAAAATCACCCCTCTTCTCGAATGTCTGGAAGCCCAGGAATTCGGCGTGACATACTACTGCGTCGACCTGTCGCGGGCTTCGATCGCGCACGGCCTGGAGACGCTGTCGGCACGTCGATACCGGCACATCACGCTCGTCGGGCTGTGGGGCACCTTCGACGCGGCTAAGCTGTACCTCGACCAGATCGCCAGCCCTCGCTTCCTGGCCAGCCTGGGCGCAGAGATCGGCAACGACACGTTCGACTCCGCGCGCGCCGACCTGGCGTCGTGGGCGGCCAAGATGAGACCGGGCGACCAGCTCCTGCTCGGTCTCGACGGCACTCGGGACAAGACCAAGATCTGGAAATCCTACCACCATAGCGACGTCCATCGCTTCATCCGCACCGGCATGGCCAGTGTGAACGCCACGCTGCCGTCCCCTTGGTTCAGGGACGAGGACTGGGTTCTGGACGGCGAGATTCGCACCTACCCCGAAGAGTTCTCGCATCGCTTCTTCTTCACCGCGCTGCGCCCCGTCTCGTGTCCCGAGGCCGGGGTCTCCTTCAGCCCGGGAGATCGGTTCGAGTGCTGTGAAAGCCATAGAAAGACTCCCGCCGAGATGCGAGTCATCTTCAAGGCCTGTGGACTGAACGAGATCCAATTCTGGAAGTCTCCTGTTGGTGATATGTGTGAGTCTTGTCTTCTCCATGCCTGCGACTGTGCCTGCGACTGAAGCTGACACCAGAATCAACCTAGATGAGTATCTGCTCGTGCTCCAAGATGAACCCTGACCTCGTCGGATGGCGTGCTGCTCCAATCTGAAAGCTGATGTCAGGCGTTCGCAACCAGTGGCGTCCGTTGATCTGAAATCATGCTTTGATGCTACAAGTGATACCATTATATCCCCTCGGCGGCCGTGGTACCCGGAGCGAGATACATCAAATGGTGGAAAGGTCCCTGTCGAGTGAAAGTTCATGTCAAACTCATCCAGCCAACTTCCTCCATCAGATACTCTACCATATCCTCCCACCATGCATGTCGAAGACCGACCGGAGTGTCCTCGTCGTATGACATACTCTCCTCCCCGACAGAATAGCCGTCTAACCAAGCCCATAAGAGCTTTGTAGCTTGCCAGATGGGAGGAATATTCTATGGATCGCGGTTAGTGTCGAACATGTCCAGTCTAACTCGAGTCGACTCACCGATCGTCCACCACGTGCGAGGACACTTTCAAACCACTCACGTGCCACGTCTCGATCTTCCGGCGTGTACGAGATGATGGCCATCAGAACGACAGGAAAGAAGGGGGTTTGAGCTGTCAACAGAGGACCAGATTCGGGCAATGGCTTGAGGCAACGTTGCAGCATTACCCGGGCGGAACGCACGTCTGGATGTGACCGCGGTTTCCTGCGCATATCAGTATCGCAAAGACATCGAGATAGCCAGACCCAAAATGTCTAGAATCCCTTGCTCACCTGAAGAACCTGCACTGCAAATAGATTTTGGCTGTATACACCCAGCACTCACCCGAAAGTTCGGTGACTTTGGTCGCGCTGTTGACTTTGCCATCCTCATCTAGCTCACAAGAATCCAAGAGCTCCTGCGTGGTGGGATACCCCTCTGACAGCCGAGATCGCTGACGGAAAGACTCGAGTATCTCCTGAATCTTAGCCGCACCCATGGGGACAATCACCGAATCTGGCGATTCCTTCAGTTGCGCGCAGAGGCGTGTGATCTGCGCAAATATGTGGATGAGCTTTGGCGATAGACCTTTGCAGCCGTAAATCGTGTGCACCTCCTTTTTCGTCCCCCACAAGAGCCAGGAGTAGTTGCTATCCTTGGGGTTCGTCGGCAACAAAGGTGACATGAGCTCGGGCAGAATACATCCTACTGCGACCACCATGGACAATCCCGCCCATGATTTGGTGCTTTGTACATTGGTTGCTTTCCAGTATCGATAACCCGGGTCGGAGTGGTCGAGAAGCCTTTTGGCAAGATGGAGACCTCTGATGAAGTTTGGGATTTCCGACTTGGGCCGGCGCAGCTCCCAAATTATCTCCTGAGAAACGGTCAGTCTTTGCAATAACTTGGTGGCGGTTTACCTCTCACGTCGTCGGCCTCCAACAAGATGACGGCAGCAACAAGAGCGGCACTTTTGCCGACATCGTGAGATTCAGCATTTGACAACGCCTGGCTGATGAGCTCGCAGGCTTTGGCATAGTGGCGGTTGGTCCGCTGTCGGAGATCGTCGCTCTGGACATAGTCTAAGACATAGGCTCCCGAGAGGGCCAAGAGGGAGTGCTGAACTATTGGGTCCGACTCTGCCATGGGCGTGATTTCCGTGAGCCAGGCATTGTTCTGAGGAATCAATGTTCGGCCTCGACAGTAGGCAGTGGTGTCTGTTTCGCCGAGAGAGCCGAGTCAGCAGGGGCAACGAACGGTTGGTAGAAGGGTAGATAGATGCCCACGTAGGGAATGTCATTGTCACGAGCTCACGTACAAAAGTTCAGCAGTGTGCGGTCTTTGTCGTCGAGCTTTAATGCTCTCCCGAACCCTGAGGGCAGTAATGGGATGATTGTCCTTTCCCATTGCGCCAACGCGGACGGACGCTGCCGGGTTCCAAAGGAGGTGCGGCCGAACACCCTGTTGCCCTTGCGCGTCTCAGTGAAGCCTGTCTGTGTGCGTTGCAAGCGAAACTTGAGGTAGCCATTGACCTCTCCTTCCGCTGCAACGACGGTTCTAGGGGCGTTGTATCTGCCAACCGAGCCCTCGGCGAAGGGGTTCAGGAGGCCAAGATCGACTTGACGGTGTAGCAAACTCGGCAGATCCGGGAAGAGGATCCTGGTGACAAGGTCGCCTTCGACGGTACTACTTGACTGCGACTGCTCACTGGCGAGACTTGCCAGGTCCGCATCCCAAGCCTCTCGAGCGGTATCAGGGGCGAGGAACTCATCTAGAAGAGCCTGGCTGAACGGCCCTCGCGGGTCAATGGGGAACGGGTCGACAGCGAAGAAGTTCTGATCGGACCACAGCTCTGTATGATCGAGGGTGTGGTCTGAGGAAGACGACGCCTGCTGCTGCTGCTCGCCTTGGGCATCAGCGTTGTTTTGGTTGTCGGATGCATTCGTCGTCGTCGTTGTCGTTGTTTCTTCCGGCTCGGTCCGAGATCCGGGGGTGGATTCCACCCGGCGCCGTTTACGGCTGCCGCCGGCCAGGCGTGAGCCCCGTCGAGGATGGTGGTGCTCAAAGGAACGCATGCTGCCACTTGCCAATACAAGCCTGTATTACTCACAGTGCTCTGGAGCAAGAGCAAGCTTCAGATCTCGGGAAGGGAAGGGTTGGGGTTGGGGACACGTCGGGCTCTCGAGGTGGATTTGGTGGGACCCGCGGAGGAGAGGAGCTGAATCCTTATGTCTTCGATCCCGGCCACAGGGCTTAGGGGCTGGGGCTTGCAGGGAAACGGTGCCCGGTCTTAGGGGCCTGGCAGTGCATGCTGGCTAAGCCGCAGCATTGGGCGTCCGCGCGGAGGCTCATTGGCTTGCAGGGGCAGGGCCCTTAGGCTCCTGAGGCTTGGATCTTCACAGCCCATCACATCATGTGCATGCGACCAGGCTGGTAGCGATTTTCGCACGCGGGGTCGAGGATGGTGGCGGCCCTGGTCGGTTTGCTGTGCTGTTTGCTGTTTTCTCTTTTCTCTTTTTCCTATTCTCTCTTTTCTCTTTCCTCCATCTTTCTCTCCCTCAGGCTCGTGGTACAGTTTGCCATGTCGATATCGACCGGGTCATCATGGCCTCTGATGGCCTCAACAACTATGCGTTTTTTGAGCACACGGCAGGCAGCGAATGGTTGTTCGCCTTGGTCAACGCCAGATTGGCCGAGATCGTAGCAACTCTTCAACTATCATCGCCTCCTGACTCCGAATCCGGCTGTCTATTAGCCGACATTGGCGACTATCTCGTGCGATGCATTGTCGTTTTGTCTCGTGTGGCGGAGGAACTTGCAGACGGCGTCCATGTCAGGAGATACGCCACAGCCGGCATTGAGTATATGGAAGAAGGCTCGGGCTTTTCAGACCTAGGGTTGCTCAGTTATATGGACAACAAGCATAAATCGTTACGGTCCGTACTCCCCAGCCTCGTGCTTGACCCGAGAGACTCCCACAACATCGCTAAGTATAAGTATACGAAACCAGACAACTTGCGGCAAGTATTCGACTCGCAGCCGAAGAAGCAGAAACCCACTGGCAGCAGAGTCAGAAGCCCCCCGAAATCACAAGAGAACTGGGAAGACGCCTCAGATCCTCGAACTCTCCAGTGAACACGAACCACTCTGCGCAAATGGGCGATATCGGGCATGCTTCCGCTGGATATGCGGGCGGCCCTAGCCAACCTCGTTATGCTGGGCTCGCCTCCGGAACAGCCACAGCCCTTGACACGGTAGACTCACCCAACTCCGATGACTCCGTGTATGACACGATTCAAGATTGCCTGAGAGAGCTCTCATCAACACCAAGGGGTAAGGGCGAGCATGTTTGTCCGCTCGGGACCCGTTGCAGCAAGGGGGGCGTGTCTGCGGATGGGACCCTCATCAGGTTTGAGCGGAATTCGGCGTTCAAGTAAACGATTGATCGCCCTTGTGGGGCAGCATGCTGACTCTCGAAACAGGGCGCATCTCCAAAAACATGAAAAGTCCTACAAATGTGATATCCCAGGATGCAAGAATAAGAAGGGGTTCGCCAGGATCGACCAGCTCCGCCGGCATCAAGAGATTGTGCCGCATCATCGGTAAACGGATGGCTGCAGCCTAGTTGGTAGATCATCTTCAAGGTGTGATGCTTCATCCTGATATTAAGCTTAGGGCCGGGCCGTAAGGTCCCACAACTGTGGTTGAGAGGTTGGATGGAAACGAGGAAAGAGAAAACAAGTGACCTTCGTTAGGCTGAATGCGCTCTCGTCCAATAGCGTTGTGAGGCTGAGGCCGAGGCTGAAGGAGAAAAGAGAAGACAAGATATGCCAGCCTGGAAGCCGGTAGATACATCGTCCTAGGTCCAGCAACGCGTTCTGAGCGCATAAGGAAAGAAAAGAGAGAACAATCTGCCTCGCATGTTTGGTCATTCTCGTCCGTAGCCGAATACCCTTTCTGTCTATAAGTAGAGCTTTGTTTCCCCTTTTTGGCTGTAGGGGAATCTGCTTCTAGAGATCCAAGGTGGCTGCAGTCACGTTTGTTCATCGATTACCTTGACAGTGAAAGAAGACGTCCAACAACAGAGTCGGCTCCTCGAACAGCCATTGGTCCCGTGCATGTCGACTTACGGGATTGGCATACCGTCTGCTACAGCTTTGTTCTGCTGCGCAGATCGAGTGTGCCGATGTCGGAAGAGTCATGCACTGTGCGGGAGCTAGATAAGTCTGCAGAAGACGACAAGCGGTCAATCTTCACGGCAAGAAAACGACGACCAAGAAGCAGCAGGCCAAGTGTTAGGCTTTCTTCTCGCTCGCACCAGGGAAGAAGCTCCGTGAAGACCGTCAAACCCTGCACCAACGCACCAACAGAGCAAGAGAGCTCACAAAAGGTCTCCGACCATCCGCAAAACCTGGGGCGATGGCTCAATGAAAGGCCACGTGAGACCTCTCTCTTGGAGACCTTGGTCGTAAGAGCCACAGAATCACCGGACCAACATCATGAGACGGCCCACATAGAGAATGGCTCAAACTTGGAAGATGTATTGCCGGAAACTTTACCCCTGCAGAGGTACCTTCCAGAATCAAGAAGTCCAACAAAGTTACAGTACTAACAACTGCGCCTAGTGCCTTTTGCGGATGCAACCGGCTGAAACACGGGAACAACGACAGCCTTCTTTGGTTTGTCGGGGGTGGCACAGGTGACGACCCGGGGTGCAATTGCCGATGGTAGATTGAAGACAGGATTGATCGTGTTGGCGGCCTCATGAATGAGACCCAGATTCATGTACCACGCCCGGGCCATCAGGGCCGTGAGAGGCCAGGCCTCTTCTCCAGTAACTAGAATCGATGTAAGAGGTGACGGCGGAGAAGGGGAGAAGGGGGGCGCAGGCGAGACGGCGTTGGCGTGGGAATGATGGACGCGACGCTCAAACGAATGACTGTGGTGGGTAATGTCGTACAGGGTATCCGTATAAGTGAAACGGAAGCAAGCTCTGTGTGGGGTGAAGGAGGAAGAGGGAAGAGGAAAGGGAAAAGAGAAAAGAGAGAAGGGAGAATGGAGAAAGGAGATGCCCAACGACTGCAGTCAAACAGGCTGCGATGCTTGGCTGATTTGATTGGCTGCCAGGCCTTGGACGCAGAGTGAATCCAGTATCCAGTATATAGATGCGCAGCCTTCAGTTGCGGCCTGGCTGGTCTACAAGGATGATTTCTCGTTTCTTTCACTCTCAGCTCACTCATCTGTCGAAGAGAGCGGTCATTCATCCTCGTTCCTCCATCAGGCAGATTTCTCGCCACCCAAACCCAACCATGGCACTTCCCCAGGTCCAACGCCCGTCGTATCTGATCATCGGCGCAGGCGCCTTCGGTGCACCGACTGCCCTAGCCCTGAAGAGAGCCGAGCCTGAATCCGAGGTCACTGTCGTGGATCGGACTCCTTTTCCATGTCCCATGGCTGCCGGCCACGATCTCAACAAGATCATCAGAGCCGACTACATAGATCTCATGTACATGAAACTGGCGCTGAAGGCCCTAGAACTCTGGAGAACGGACCCTCTATACAGTCCGCACTTCCATAACATCGGTTATCTCTACAGCTACGATGAAGACTTCCTCAAGGAGATCATTGCCAGATGGGAGCAGTTGCTCGGCAAGGGCAATGCTCAATCATTCCTGCTGGACCCAGTGGAGGCAAGGAAGAAGTTCAACGGAGTATTCGAGGACTCGGATTGGTCCATGGTAACCCAGTGTCTCTATAGTCCGACAGCAGGATGGGCTGACTCTGCCGCTGCTCTTCAAAGTGTCATGCAAGCAGCCGTCGACCTGGGGGTGAGGTATGTCGACAATGGCGCTGCAAAGGTCCTCTTTGGTGAGCACGGCAACTGCACTGGAGCCGTGACAGAAGATGGTAGAACGCTGACTGCCGATCGAACAATCCTGGCTGCGGGTGCCTGGATTCCATTGCTTCTCGCAGAAAGTGCACCAGATGTACCAGAGATCCATACTGGAGAACGACTGATCGCCGTGGGAGCTCCAATGTGTGCTGTCAAACTTTCTGATGAACAGCTGGAAAAGTTCAAGGAGTGCCCTGTCAACGCATTGCTGGCCCCTTTAGCAGGTCTGAGGCCACCCTTGATTGCTAGACTCGGTGATTGAGGAAGACTGACGCTAACACACACAGCCGAGTGCATCCCTCCGGGGGATAAGGGACTGCTCAAATGCACGTACGACACTGGATTCAGTAACAAGGTCTATCACGAAAAAAGTCGACAAGAGATGTCACTCCCGCCTTCCAAGATTAGCCAGTCAACGTGGTCTCAAGATATTCCTCAGACTCTCAAGGACAACCTCAAGTCAGTAAAGAATGAGCTCTTTGGGGGATGGGTCGACGACATTGAGCCAGAGTCCTACCGATTATGCTGGTAAGGCCTATGATGGCTGTCTCGTCGACAATGGTGGGAAGTGTTGACAGGTGTATAGGGATGGTTTCACTCTCAACCAGGACTGGTTGATCTGCCCGCATCCCAAAGCAGACAACTTATATGTCGCCGGCGGTGGCTCGTTTCATGGCTTCAAGTTCCTACCCGTCATAGGAGAGCTCGTTGTTCAGATGATCAAGGGTGAGCTTGACGAGGAGATGACAAAACGATGGGCATGGGATGGTCCTAGGGAAGGCGCAATATGTCCTGCATACACTCCGCACAAAGACCTGGGAGACTTGTCATGAAGACGGCACAGAGAGGGGAAGGACGATATGACCCCCAAGCCTGGATGCTCCAGTCTGCATGTCGACCTATCTGGATAGTCTGTGGGGAGGTGACACTGGCACTGGCACTCATCGTCAAGCTGCAGATGTCAACGTGAGAGGAGAGATTGCCTCCGATGGAGGTCAAAATCTACACGTCCCAACAACTGACATCTCTCGGGCTTTAGTAGCTGGGTGGAATGAGATTCTATCCTATATGCCTGACCCTGACGAGGACGCTTGTTTTGAGACTGGTTCAATTTCAATCGTGCTGCAGAAAGGGATAGGCCAGACCACGACCTGCGACACTGAATATGATATTGTTTAATTAGAGTGATTTCGTTTTGGACATTAGGCTGCTATAAACCCTAATGCTGCGCTAGTAAGTGTTTCGCCGGGTTCGCATAGGGCGGCATTGGCACATTCTAAACAGGTTAGGTGGCACAATATAGCAACTTGAACCTGCCCATCTGGCTTGGCAGGCTTCGTGCCTTGCCTGTACCGTGCAGCGAGACTTTCGTTGACATTTCGCTACAGTTGAAAACCTCTTGCTCCCGATCCTGTACCAACTGTCAAGATGTCAGGTATGCAAGTCCACTGGACGATTATGGTCCATTAAACTAACATCTCGCCAGCGACACAACTCCTCAACCCGAAAGCACAAAGCGCTCGCCGAGGCGAGGCTTTGCGAATCAACATAAATGCGGGCGAAGGCCTACAAGATGTCCTCAAATCGAACCTTGGCCCGTCCGGCACGCTCAAGATGCTGGTGGACGGCTCCGGTCAAATAAAACTGACCAAGGATGGAGCAGTGTTGCTGAAAGAGATGTCTATTCAAAACCCCACCGCCACGCTCATCGCCCGAGCGGCAACCGCACAAGATGACATTACCGGAGACGGGACCACGTCGGTGGTGCTGCTGATCGGAGAGCTTCTGAAGCAGGCAGACAGATATATCCAAGAGGGACTCCATCCACGAGTCATCACGGATGGCTTTGAGATCGCAAAGGCCGAGACACTGAAATTCCTAGATCAATTCAAAATTACCAGAGAAGTGGACAGAGAGCTGCTGTTGTCAATTGCCCGGACATCGTTATCAACCAAGATCAATGCGGCGCTCGCCGAACAATTGACGCCTTCAATAGTCGACGCCGTCCTGGCCATCCACCGACCGCCCAATAAACCCGACCTGCACATGATTGAGATCATGAAACTGCAACACAAACTCAGTTCTGACACACAGTTGATCCGGGGTCTCGTCCTGGACCACGGTGCGAGACATCCCGACATGCCGAAGCGGGTAGAAAACGCCTATATCCTAACCTTGAACGTCTCGCTCGAGTACGAAAAGTCCGAGATCAACTCTGGATTCTACTACAGCAGCGCCGAGCAGCGGGACAAACTAGTGGCTTCGGAGCGGCGATTTGTGGACGAGAAGCTGAAGAGAATCATCGACCTCAAGAACGAGGTCTGCGGCTCCGACCCCAAAAAGGGGTTCGTGGTCATTAACCAGAAAGGTATCGATCCGCTGTCTCTCGACGTGCTGGTGAAGAACGGCATTCTGGCTCTCCGCCGCGCGAAACGCCGCAACATGGAACGCCTGCAACTCGTCTGTGGCGGACAAGCGCAGAACAGTGTGGATGATCTCGACCCGTCCGTGCTAGGCTGGGCCGGTCTAGTGTACGAGCACACGCTGGGAGAGGAAAAATTCACATTCGTTGAAGAAGTCAAGGATCCTAAATCCGTGACACTCTTGATCAAGGGTCCCAACCAGCACAGCATCACACAGGTCACAGACGCGGTGCGTGACGGCCTACGCAGTGTGTACAACACGATCGTGGACGGTTGCGTGGTTCCGGGTGCTGGATCTTTCCAGATCGCGGCTGCCACTCATCTCTCCTCCGAGGCAGTACGAAAGTCCGTCAAGGGAAAGGCGAAGTGGGGTGTCGCCGCCTTCGCTGACGCGCTTCTCATCATTCCCAAGACGCTTGCGGCGAACAGCGGACATGACATTCAAGACGCCCTGGCCGCACTGCAGGATGAGCACGTGGAAGGCAATGTCGTAGGCTTGGACCTGGTGACTGGGGAGCCGATGGACCCTGTGCAGGAAGGCGTGTTCGATAGTTTCCGGGTCCTACGAAACAGCATTGCCAGTAGCCAGGGTATTGCCAGTAACCTGCTGCTGTGCGACGAACTGTTGAAAGCGCGGCAGATGGGTCGGCAGCCTGCGCCAGGTGGGATGGATCAGGAATAAGGTGCAGCAGACCAGCAACCAACATGATCGACGCAGGGAGCGCCCGCGCCCGCGCCAGCATTGCTCCCGGAGCAAGAGTCCTCTTTCCTTTTAAGAAAGGCCGAACCGATGAAGCGCAAACCCCATGAGATGCGACCACTAGGCCGAACGGAAGATGGGACGGAAGGAGACCACTGCGACCTCCGAGCCGGACAAGGCGGCGAGGGAGATGGAAGGCCAGGCTGGCTCGGCTCAGAGGATGTTGCGGGAAAATACCAGAAGAGAGGAACCAATGTCATGGCGCGACCACACGTCCTCCTGACATGCTGTAGCATAGCGTGGCCTTGTCGTCGGACCAGACTACGCCTGTACCACGAGTTTCGAAGGGACGAGCCATCACAGAGGTGGATGGATGATGAGAACGATAGGGATAGGAATGGGAAAAGCAAAAGCAAAAGCATCGGCCGATGGAAGCGATAGACTCGGCCAATTGCGATAGAGTAGACCACTCCTGTACCCTATATCCGTATCTGTATCTGTATCCTTGCCTCGTGCCTCGTGCCCGGTGCCTGTACTCTAAGGTACCTACCTATAGGTATTGAGTCGACCATCGTCCAATCTGTTCCCTTCTTCCGCCCTTTCCTTTTCCTTCCAGTATCCTTTCCTTCTCTGCTGGGTCCGGGTCCGGCCACGGCACAGCCAGGCCAGGCCAGCTCAGCCCCAAGGCCAATCTATCACTCAACGCACTGAGACTACTGAGAGTGAGAGTGAGAGTGAGAGTCTACCTACGTACATGTAGGTAGCTCGATCGAACTCGAACAGCAAAAGCCAGTAGCCATTCAAATCAATCAATAGAGCAATGCCAGTAGCCATTCCAAATCAATCAATAGAGCAACGCCAGGTGAAACGTGAGAACGTGAGAACGTGAGAGAAAGTCCGAAATTGTCAATTGTGATTTGCCATTTGTCATTTGCCATTTGCCAATTATGTGCAATGGCCTTCTCCATTACAGCGTCGGACTGGCCTGTGTCATGATCGTATTGTATCGTGTAATATCATAGGCTTAGAAACCCGAGAGCCATTGTGCGCACCGTACTTGGGGACTTGTAGCATCATTTCACGACCCGGGTGGACGGAGACTAGACCGACCCTGACTCTCCGGGTTTCTCGAGGCCCGCGAGGTTTGGCTGCGGCATCCTCTACGCCCTGCCTCACGCCATGTTGTGCACAGTTCAACACTTCCGCCAACCAAAACCAGACAGCTAAGACCGCCGTGTTGGATAGGCTGCATCAACCCGTCCGCAGCTCTCTCAACCAGTCTCTGACAACTTAATGCCGGTGGCCCCAGAGTCCACTAACGGTCTCGGCAATCTTTTTCTGCTGCCGTCGGATCTGGTCCTGTGTCTGGCCGCGCGCGTTACCCCGAGAATCAATCTCCATTGCGTCCGGGTCGTGGCCGCCGTCCCCGGTCTCCGTCTGCTGCGGAGGGCCTCTGGCCTCCTCGCCTTGAATTTGTTGACCTTGGTCGTTGAGCACTTTGCTGCCATTGACCATTTCAGCCTTGGGTTTCGGGTCGACGCTCATAGCTCCATCCATCTGACCGGCCATCAACCCTCCGGCTTCGCGGAGCTTGTTGATCGCGCGGACCGTGTCGATGGCCTTGTGGAGCGTTCGTCGGGCATTGAAATTCTTCTTCACGGTCGGAAGGAGATCCTCTCCTTCGCCGGCTGCTTTCTCGGGACTGGCGGGGTCTTCAGGTTTGATCCAGGGATGCTGGAGAGCTTGGTGCGCCGTCATGCGCGCACGCGGGTCGATTGTGAGACACCGCCTGATGAAGTCTCGGGCCGTTTCGGACACGTTCCGCCAGTATTCAACGGGGGTGAAGGAGTAGTCGGCGGCGAGGATGGCTTGCATTTCTTCGAGGTTGCTGTCGCGGTCGAAGGGCGTGTAGCCGCACAAGAGGAAGTACGTGATGACGCCAATGGCCCAAATGTCCCTGTAGACACCAAAAGTCAGCCGAGACTGTGGATGCGGGCATCTCGACACTCTGAGAGGACATACACTGGTTTGCCATGTCCGGTCTTTTTGAAGATCTCTGGAGCCATGTAGCCCGGAGTTCCACACGTTGTGGTCAGGACGTGAAACTGTTCCTCGTCCATGATCCTCGACAGACCGAAATCGGCAATGAGGAGGTCCGCGTTATCCTCCGGTGTCCGAAACAACAAGTTCTCTGGTTTGAGGTCTCGATGGACAATGCCATGGTCATGAAGGTACGCCACGGCTGACAGAGTTGCACGGATGAGATCTGCAGCGTCAGATTCATAGTATGAGCCCTTCCGGCAGATGCGGTCGAACAATTCTCCTCCTAGTGCCAGGTCTGTAACGAGATACACTGCTGATGGGTTAGACAGAAGCGGCCAAGGGTGACCGGGGGGGGGGTTTCTTCTTGCGAGGCTGCATACAATTGTTCATCGTCTCGAAATAGTCGACCAAGGTCAGGATGTTTCGGTGTCCCACCGAGACTCGTTTGAGTACGGCAATCTCATTGCGCACCTGGAAAGGCCTCGTCAGAGCAGTCCATAGTCCCTAGAGCCTTACAGCAAAAGAGCCGGAACGTACCATATGCTCCCGACCGGCCATGAGTCGTTTGTTGATGACTGCGACGGGTTCAGCGATGGACCTTGCGTAGATGACGGGCAGTGGAAACCTTTAGCAGCATAGTATCTTCCCGTGTCAATATGGACACATTCTTTCACCACCGAATATGAGCCTGCGCCCAGTGTTTTCCCTTGTACATGTAAGCCGAGAGTGCGGTGGCCACGAGACCGTCACGTCTACCTGTCTTGTAGCGACATGGTTGGATCTGGGGTTTCTGTGGCCCGGCCTGCGACGACATGGCGACGACAGTATATGCAGCGTCCACACCAAATAACGTCCGCTCTCTGAATCTGAATCCGAATCTGAATCTGGACGATGGTCGAGGCTCAGCTGTTTCCTGCACAGGGCCCGATGTTCAGGCTGAGGCCGCCTGCCAAGGGTTTTCGGCCGCGGATAGTAGTAGTAAGGCGATGGATGGAGGGGCGTACGGATAGTTGGCAGAGAGGAAGAGGAGGCCAGGGAAGACGGTCGACCGGCGTGGATGGGAGTGTAGAGAGCGAAGGAGGAAGCTAGATCGGCACTGCAGAGATCGTCGAGCCAAAGATGCCAGGTATATGGATGGTGTTTTGTTTGTTTCAGCTGGCGATGGTACAACTCACAGTAATCCGGATGGAGTTGCTGATGATGGCCTGGGGCTTGGGATGCTTCATTGGAGCTGACTGTGCCTAAGGTACCGTGGCTAAGGAGGCCCTACTAACCTTAGCAGTACGGGGGATACTGTACGGATACTCACGTACAACTGGAAAACTTGCTGCCCTAAGAGGCGCAGGCGCCTATATGTACGTACTCCGTAAACTGCGCCCGCCTGAGCCCCAAACTGCGAACACGAACCTCACACTGACCGATGGGCATCACCTTCAAGCTCAACCGTGCAAAGCGAGTCATCCGGGTGTTGAATGTGGCCTTCACTCTTTGTCTTCCGCTCAGCACGTCTCGGTAAGGTGCAACGCCACATGGCTCAGGCTTTCTCTCCAGTCACACAGAGTGTCACACGAAGCCTTGAGGCCTCAGGAGCCGTGGTGTGGCTCCTCAGGCCCATTCGCCACCTAACAGGTCAAGCTCAAGGACAGTCATGGGCACCGAACATTACTCAACAGGCAATAGATGATCGGTGGCCCTCATTACTACCATGCTACAATTAGTCTACTAACCTCATTCATTGAGTGAATGAACGTCGGAAATCGAAAAAGCAGGCCTCGTAAGTGTTCCACGTGGAATAACGAGTGACTATATACGGAGTACTATATCATATACTATATTACTTTGGGTACGATATCATATCATACCCCATGACACGCGATGCCTGGAAGGCGAAGGACAATTGAACCAACTTCCCAACCCCCCGTCCCAACTTCCTCCTGTCAGAGAGATGACCGACGAGACTGTCTAGATCTAGACAGTCCATCGGCCATCAGACCTCTCTCCCACCCACACCCACTTCCATGTTTGAGATGCGCCCAACAACTCTTCAGCAGGTGATGCTGGCGCAAGTGCTCGGTCTTGGAGCCGAGAGAGGGACAACGTTGGCGACGCCCTCGTCCACGGCGGTGGCGGTCCAAAGGGTATCGAGATCCGGCAGGACATTGCAGCACCGGAACTGATTGATGGTCTGCAGATTGCTGGCCACGACACCGGCGTCGCCGGAGTTGGCGAGGATGTTGCCGAGTGGGGTGAGCACGTTGTTCTCGAACCCGTTGAACAGATCGTCAACAGCAGCTTGCGCCGCGGTGCCCGGGTCCACGTCGGACTCGCACGCCAGGACTTGGAGCTGGTTCGGCTCGTCCTGCGCCGCGGTGAGGGCCCCTTCGATCTGCTCGTCGAGGCTGGCTGGGTCAAGGCTCGGCGCCACTTCCAGGAAGCTGTTGACCGTCTGCACGTCCGAGTTCCACTGGTTGATGGCGTTGATCACGCCTTGTTGGCCCGGGTCGCCGCCGCAGCCGTTGGGGCTGGTGCGTTTGGCGAAGCGGAGGGTCGAGGTCGAGGTGGATGGCGCCGCAGCCGAGGCGGCGACAAAGGCGAGGATGGAGGCAGCAATGAAGGACTTCATTTTTGCTTTTTTTTTACTTCTCTCTCTCTCTCTGTTCGAGGATGGTGTGCTGGTACAAATGCTACCGAATCGAATGTCGAAGTGGAAGTCGAGGATGGTGTGCTGTGCTGGTACAAATACGACCGAATCGAATGTCGAAGTGAAAGTCGAAAGAGCGTGACAAGGAAATAGTCGGACCAGCAAAAAGAAAGTTGAAATAACGAGGAAAGAAAATGTTGGATGGTGGTCTTGTCTTCTTGGTGTGCGTTGTGTCTGGTGAAGTCCGCATTACTATCTGCAGGCCATGTATGGTGACTTATATATCACATCGCATACATAGCATGATGCCTGCTTTCTGAATCCCACGCCTCTCTGACTTCAGGACTGCAATACACCACGCCTCTCTGACTCCAGGACTGCAATACACCACGCCTCTCTGACTTCAGGATTGCAACACACTACACTACACTGCACTGCACCACACCGCACCGTGCATCCTCTTCTGACTTCTAAATCCGTCTTTACCGACCCTGCCAAATCCTTGGTCGACCGGAGAGTGCCCGCTAAGACGACCATTGCTACCTACTAATCAGCCCCGAGCCACGGAGGACCATATGGCATACAGTAAGCAGGAAGGGCGAGGCTGAGCTCCAACCCCCATCAAGATCCAGCCCTGAATGGTATGGCGTGATACTAATACAGATTTCTGTCAGCACGAGGCTGATCCTGCTGAGAGGGTATACTACTAGTACTGGTATGATCCATGATGAGCGGCGACGAACTGATTACTACTCAATGGTTTTGTCACCGAGTCCAAGGCTGGAGCCTCCTAAGCCTCTGCCGGTGTGCGAGAAGGAGCTAAATTAAGCTTAGCATGGATAAGCTTACCACCTAAAGGCCTCAGATGTGTGGCTCGGTCATTTAATAGGTTGTTCTTGAATGAGTCAAGCTTCACTACTGATCCTAGTCTCCTCGTAGCGGCAGGGCTTAGGGGCTCGGCCTTCTAAACACAGAGTTGGCGGCTACTCTGTACTGAGTACTCGGTACACATACTCCGTACTTGGTCAGCCTCCTGCGCCGCTTCGCCGCTAGATTAGATGTCTGTTCTCTCTGGCGTCTCATCTAACACGCATGGGAAATGAAAATTCATAGGGAAAATAGAAAGCGGAAATGGGCATATTTGGCAGTGGTTATTGCCCTTTGGCCACGAAAGATGCTTGAGCAGATTGTAATCTTCTCCCTTGCGTCCGGCGTGGGAGGCAGAATACCTGTGACACAGATGATCCAGAATACCGTGACAGTGTATGATGAAAATGAAAGGAGGCGAGCTTCCTCGGAGTCGTTCAATTCGAACGTCGACCAAGAGGGAGAGACATGTGCAGGCACTCAGCTCAAGCCCGCAACTGCTCTCATGGGCTCTCATGGGCTCTCGTGGGCTCTCATGGGCCTCCCCAAAATGCCTATTGTGTCAATGGATCAGGCTACTGCCCTCGTCGTCCTCATTCTGATAGATGCCTGGCGAGACACGGACATTGGGGCTGTATCTTCGATGGAGGAATTGACAAACGTCCCAGTAAAGCTCATTAATCCCTTCCTCATGATGGGACAAGTTCTCGTACCCCGTCAGGAAATGGAGTCGTGACCGCTTCTCTTGAGAATAAACCCTGCTTGGGGAGATCAATCCTCATAATTTCGAGCGAGGTACTTCGTACTCTGTGCCTTCTTCCCGAAGGGTGTCCTGGGCCCTGTATGGGCGCCTGAGAGACTGTTGCCCCTTGCATGTATGTAATATCGGCTGCCCTGAGTCGTCGGCGTGGGAATTGCGTTTGACAGGTCACAGGTGAAACGCCCGAAGTGAGGCCTGAAGCCTAAAGTCGGGTTTGACTCACCCACTTACCTGGCCTCTGACTTCATGATCTCCGGTCAAAACATTCGGGATGGTTTGAGTCAAATCCATTTCGCCTTCTCCAAGGCGACAGGAGTCTATGTCAATCATTGTCAAAAACCAACAAAGCCTTCCCAAGTTCCCAGAGGGTGGCCAAGTGGGACACCACTGGCACTTCTTGATTTGTCGAAAAGGGAGCCCGCCCCATTTCCCGACCAAGTTAGACACGAAATATTTCTGTATGTTATGTAAATTGCTTGGACCCAGTCACCACAGTGGAACAAACTTTGTTCACCGCCACGCAGGAATCGCCTGGCGTGTCTCACATTCAACTAGATGAAGAGTCTGGATCTCAGTGTTCGTCACTGACGCTCCACACGCTGATCAGAAGTCGTTGAATCCAAAAGGAGAACCCTCCTGACGCTCCTGATTCTCCTGATGCTCTGATGCTCCCGATGCAAACTGCCCCGGACGAGGCCCGTTATATGGAGTATAGGACTCGGTCGGTACATGATATTCGGGGCCGAGGAGACAAGAGGTCAAACCGGGCGTGCAGACTAATCACGTTAGTCAAATGCCGGGCTCTCTTTTCGGTCCCAGCCTCTGTCCTAGCGTGCCATACAGTCGGGACTTCATCAGGGGCCTGACATATTGAACGACTTCCTGCAATACAGTTAGAGTTCAGCCATGTCTTTGAGGGAAAATGACTCGCGTTGTAAAGTCAGGAATACTGCGGGCCGACTCCAGGAAGAAGCGAAGGACGGTAACCCTCGTTCTTTGCGGTGGAACTGATTCGCTTTGCAGCGGATGCGAATGCGAAGGGCTTGTTGCTTCGTAACGTGGCTAGATTGTCACCTCAGGGTGAGACTTGGTAAAGCTAAATCTATAGTATTTTAATATGGTGCTCCGGAAGAAAAGGGGGATTCCGACGTGAAGAAACATAGGGTGCGAAATTTCTCCCCGACCAGATCCCTCTCATCCGTGATGTGTTCACCGTACAGATACTCCGTGCTCTGTACAATGTTACAGTGTACACATATGGAGCCGCGGCCCAGTGGAGTGGTTCGTCGTTTCGGGGGGTCGCTTCTGCTTGTACGGAGTAGACAGACATAGTCGGTCAACTGCCAGCTGGAGCCTCCTAAGCCTCCCAAGCCTCCCAAGCCCGTCTCGCGCGCAGCAAATCGGCGATCGATGGGAGGGCTCTTTGGCGGCACGACCCGCTCGCCTCCAGTTTCCACGGATGCGGGCCTCATGTTCTCCGGGCATCCTGGACTCAAGTTCAAACATCGCTTAGGACTTGCCACTTCAGGATTTATTCAGCCGTCGAGTGCACCCATGGAATCGGCGGTATAGCCCATATCGGTTGTCAACATCCGTAGCGGGCCACCACGTTTTGGCTTAGAGCGGTATCATCGTCCAGCCTGTTGGCGTTTCCTCCGAAATCCCGCCAATTGCCTTTGAAAGTTCATGCAACTGGAAAGAGGCCATCCTTAAGGTTCAGACGGTCTGAGTTCTGACAGCTTGCAATCTCACCATCGTGCGTGTTCAATGATGTACCAGTGGATCGTAGTAATTACCCGTTGGGCTGCCGGTTGCCGGACGGGCAGAGGCACGTTTCTGAAGCCTCCACTTGACACTGGTCCAACGAAGAGAGTCCACAGACCCCCTAACCTTTTTTTTAATGGAGCTTCGAAGTCCCTTCCAGAAATGACCGGTTGCGTCAAACAAAGCCACCAACGTCTCTTGGGTTCGTCCTCCAATACGGGTACATATCGCAGGTTCCGGCCAGGAGCCTCCAGGAGATCCAACATAAGAGGACAATTTCTCCGTCCAAGTCAATGGATGGCTGTCATTGCTGTTTGCCCTCTGTTCCGACTCTCAAGCACCTGCCGCTTGCTTGTGCGCTGGCAGATGTGAATTTGGGTTCGGTTTTACGTAGTCCGCTGGCTTATGGTCCTTGCTGCCAGCTTGTTGAAACTTGACGGGACTAGATCAAGAATGAGGAGCCCGTCATCAATGGAGCTCATTGTCTCCCGGGGTTCGCCGTAGTACAACCCCACCAAGGCCGAACTCAGGCCTCAACAGGAAGGCGACTTCAAAACTGGAGCAGTTGATATGGTCGCGTAACCATTCCATCAGGATTAGTGGGCTCCTTGTCATCAACAGAACATCGCCGTGGACAGCAGTGCTCGGCTTTGTGTACGCCGCCATACCTACTTCAGCCTCTGTCGGATGCAGCTTCCCAGTGAAATAGCGTTATCGGCAGACTCTGTGACTGTAAGATGCCGGCCAAGGTGGCTCGTCGGCTCTGAAGTGTCCGAATATGAAGATCCTCCGGACGGGCACTGGAACATCGTTTGCATGGACCGAAAAGTAGGTTTGCCAGCGTATTTAGGGCCTTGCCCGTTGGCGTTGCAGTAATGGTCTGACGTGGGCAAATCAGGCTCCGGGGAGTTTGTTTACTCGAATGAGCGCCCGCCATGGAGGAATGCAACATGTCACAGCCAGCAGAAAAGAAAGATCCCGGACGGATTCGGTTCTGCTGTTTTCTGCCAGATGTCGAGGCTGGAGCGTCACATAAGTATCAGCACTTACAGTGTCGATCAATCTTGAAAGTGCCAGGGGCCTTGATTCCATACCCAAGCCATCTAGCCAACCCCTTTGAGTCCACCGTAATGAATACCCGGTAACTGGGTCCCATATGTTTGGGACGTGACACAGAGTCGGATAATAAGACATCCTCTTAGGCTGTACTTCTGCCAGGGATTGGTGCCAAGCAAATCCAGTCCGTTGCATAGCCGTCGACTGGAATCGCCTTTGCAGCTGCTGATCATTGTAGTCTGCCCTGACATCTGCTTATGACCTGCGCAGTTGGTCGTAGCCCGCTCCGGATCCTAGAAGGAGAACAACTCTTCCAGGCCAGCGCTGAGGGTGGGTTTCATCAGAAAGCGCCCCTTTCTCGGAACGCTGGCGTTCATATGGTGGATTCAGGCTGTGGGTTGAACACCGTTCCGTATTGACGGTGTCCGTGTGCCTTAGCAACGTTGCTGAAGACGACACAATTCTGCCACGTTGCCAGCCCCTTACAGCGTTGATACGGATTGGTCAGAACTGTATTAGTTCCATTAGATGCGATGGCTCTTCCCTTCATCGACACTCTTTAGCTGCACAACTTTTGCAGCATTAAATTGTGGATGTCGATGCACTTTTTCTCGCGCCTCCGAATTTTGAACAAGAGCGAAAGTGTCTGTTGCTGATAAAGACTGTGAGCCATTGCATCCCCTGGAAAGACGTTTTCGAGCATTGGTTTCTTGAAAGGGTTCTAGCAGTGCTAGAAAACATGGCTGCCACGTCCGTCATCCCCATAATCTGAGCGCCGAGTCCGAGGCTGAAAGCATCAATAGGTCCTTCAACGGTGAACGATTCAACAGAAAAGTCATGTACCACGATCGAGAATATCAAGATTACTCTCTTAGACATGAGACATATCTTGCGCCCGTTGATCTTGTTAGTTGAGACCGAAGACAACCTTGCTTGCTGCTCGGCTGATGAACACCATAAAGGAAGAAGAGACTCGGCTGAGAGATCAGCATGAGATATTGAAGATGGTATACCGAGACTGGGACAATTCTTTGCACCCGAACTTCATCGAAGACCCAGAATCGATACTTGACTGTGGGTTTGGTTCGGGGAACTGGGCCTATGACCTCGCAGAATATGATCCCAATTGCACAGTCAGTCATCGCGTCTTCCTCTCCCGGAAGCCCATTGCTGAAGTCACAGGTTATGGGAGTTGACATCTGTCCTCTGATGGCCCCTCCAGATCAACTAGACAACATGGATCTCCAGGTAACGGCCCAACCATACTCTAGCTTGAAAAGGGTGTTGCCAGAAACACACATTTCACCGCTCCGAAGCTGGTCCAGGGGTGCTTGACGCAGCTCGCAGTTTGGATTGCATCTGCTGCTTCACTTTCTCAGGCAACAGAGAGCTGACGTTCGTCTAGATTGCCAATCTCAACGACCGTATGGACTTCGCCGAGCCTGAAACCTTTGATCTCATCCATTCCAGGTTTGTTGCCAGCGGTATCTCTGCGACACGCTGGCCGAACTACCTCCGGGACATGTACCGGTAAGGAGGGGAAGGCTGGCTCACATACACGCAAGCAGCTGATGGTTGTCAGGCTTCTGCGGAAGGGTGGATGGGTCCAAGTAACAGAGTGGGATTTGAATTTTCGCTCCGAAGTCGGGGATACAGACGCCCTCCAAGCACTCCAGGAATGGAGCAGGTTATACATGCAGTCTCTGAGTCTGACGACTCGTCCACAAGGTAAAAAGAGCGCCAGGGTCACCCAGGACTGCGAGACATGGCTCCGCATGGCTGGCTTCGCTAGTGTGACCACGGATATAAGGGATGTTGCGACGTGTCCATGGCCTTCCGGTAAGTGTCTCTGAGAAATCTTTTACACAGTACCACGGTTTCCTGTCCAAATCCAGGGCTAAGAGCTGGGCGGCAGATACCCACCAGCGAAATATCGGTGAAGCCAACCTGTCCAACATGAAGGACCTGATACGCTCCCTTGCGCTATATCCTGTAACGCAACGGCAGCTGCGCAGCATTGAGGAGTTCCAGGCTCTCGTTGATAACGCATGTGCTGAGCTCGGTAACATCCAGGCCGAACCATACATCAGACTGTATATCCTCTTCCCCTAACCTTCACGGATGGGTTTGCTGATCACCAGGACAGGTACACAACCTTCGGGAAGAAGCCGTGAGATGCAATGGAATTCCCTGTATGTCGACAGAAGCTTGTATGGACTGTCCGGTTGGTATATTTTGATGCAAAGTGTCTCCACCAGGCACCTTCGAACACACAATCTCCGAGGACCCTGCGGATATCGAGCCAGCGATGAGGCAAGGCAACATCAAAGCAGCTCATGGCTATTTGGTCTCAGGAAGGGCACCCATCTTATCGACAGCTGCCACATGCAACTCGACAGCAGCCCGACAATGTGAATATCAATTCAACATCGGCAAATTCGCTCTGTGCACTGATATCTTCCAATTCTCAAAGTGTCAGTGAGCAGTCCATCGTACCAAACCTAAGCCTCGAAATTTTTGGATGTTTAAGCAGGCGATATGATTGTCAGATCCACAAAGTTCTGAAACCAACCCAAACAAAGGAGCTCTCTCGAGATTTGCAATGGCACCGTTAGCCGAGCAAGATTGGTGGAATATGCAGCAATTCAACCGGAGGGCTTGCTTGGTTCCAGCCTGCCGGCAGAAGACCTCAAGAAGGATGGAATTACTGCAGCTGAGCTTGGTTGAAAAGGTCTGCCGAACTGGTTTCCGACCTTTTCTTTCTTTGAACAGGATACGAAAAAAATTGTTTGCCGGTGTGGCTGTGGTCCTGTGGAAAGAAAGTGGCAGATTCTGCAAAGATGACAAACTGCAGTCTACGCGGCATCGGAGTATCAGAAGATATCCAGGCTTGGCTCAGAATGTCGACTTCAAGTTGGCCTGGTGGCGACTTCGTTAGTAGGCACCGCCGACAATGGTGGCAGAGATTCAGGCACGCAGCATGAATCTGGCACAATCGTGTCTCGCCAACAACCCTGGCCGCCATCGCTACCCTCCTTCATCAGAGTGTGGGAGCGGCCAGTCTCTATTTCAGCACCACCATGGCCAGCCATTATTGAACGATGCGGAATCCTTGATCTCGGCTCTGTCTTTCGCGAGCTCTGAAGAAGGTCGACAATCGCAGAATTGATGCTGTGACTTATTCGGCCATGGTTGTATCGAATACTTTCTTTCCACCGTTCCTGATATGAAGAGGCCCTATTGAAAGCACAGGAGGACTCGGTGTGTTGATAGATACACCAACGGTTGACTGACGTGCGCTAGCATTTGGCAAACTGGCGGAGATGTGTGAAGAGCGACTAAGGTGTACCTGCGAGATTTCCCATTGGGTCGGCGCCGATCCATTCGTCTTTCGCAAAGCTCTTCGACGGTGCCGTCAGCAGGGAGCTGCGGCAGTTCCACGACAGAGAGGAGATGCCGGCAAGTACGGATACAGGAAGGCCGAGATCAGTAGCGGAGGCCGATCGATACTCGAGGGGTGTGACACGAAGCGAAGCGAAGGCTTGGTGCTGGCTTGGTGCTTCGTCAAGGAGCATCGTGTTGTTTGGCGGGTATCTTGTCCTCAGCAAAGTTGCAGAGGACGCTATTTTGAACAAGAACAGAGGAGTTGAAAGCAGGAGAAAACAACGAGAGTAATGGACTCCGGGGTCTAACTTGGATTGAGGTTGAGGTACGGCCATGGCATGATCACCGCAGTTTGCTTTCTATAAGACGCATACAGGAGGTACCATTTAGTAGGTAGGTTGGGAACAGGACATCACAATCTGAACACGGAGAAATTCCAGTTGGGCTGCAACAGTGCCTACGTAGTCCATGGCTCTTGCACCACCCCTAAGCATCAAGAATCGCAGCACTGACCTTGAATGCTAGCGACCACCCGGACAAGCTACCGGATACTTCCCTCTGCTGCAATTTGTGTCTCTACCAGGTAACCACCACACACCCTGAAACAAGGCACCTACAAGGTGACCGTAAGTAGAGAGTAGATAGGTACCTGCCTGTAGTCCTTGTCTACCCCGGAACTCCGCCTGTGGACAAATGGAAGATCGGGTTTTAGGGGCCCTTAGCACTGCGCCGGGCGCTACTAGTAGGAGATCGCCGCCCCTAAGCCTCCTTAGCCTTTCGTTCAAGTTTAGCAGGTGCTTGGCGCTGACTGCAAGGCTCCTAAGGCATCGACTCCACCACTGCAAAAAAAAAAGATCCCAGGCGCCCTCGATGCTTGAATCCCTCCAGGGAGGCCCCGACAGACAGCCTTGACATAAAAGAGCGACACTCTCGACGCCGCAATCATGCCGTCTACATACAAGAAGGACAAACCGTGGGATACCGACGACATTGACAAATGGAAGGTAGGCGTCCTCTGGCCCTTCGTCGCAGCTCTTCCGCAAGGACAAACCCCGCTAACCTCCTGTTGTCCAGATCGAAGATTTTAAGCCGGAGGACAATGTCGGCGGAACCTTTGCAGAAGAATCCTCCTTCGCTTGCCTATTCCCAAAATATCGAGAACTCTACCTGAAGCAGGCTTGGCCGTTGGTTACCAAAGCTCTTGAAAAGAAAGGCATTGCCTGCACACTGGACCTGGTTGAGGGTCGCATGGAAGTCCGCACCACCCGCAAAACCTATGATCCCGCCGCCATCTTGGATGCGAGAGATCTCATAAAGCTGCTTGCTCGAAGTGTGCCGGCTCCACAGGTGCGTCAGGTGGTCAAAAACTCTCCTTTCTATCACCTTCTGGCTGACCAAGACTCTAGGCCTTGAAAATCCTTCAAGATGATGTGGCTTGCGATGTCATCAAGATCCGAAATCTGGTACGGAACAAAGAACGATTCGTCAAACGTCGTCAACGGTTGCTCGGCCCCAATGGCTCGACCCTGAAAGCCCTCGAATTGCTCACAAATACCTACATCCTCGTGCAAGGAAATACAGTCAGCGCCATGGGCGGCTACAAGGGCTTAAAGGAAGTGAGGAGAGTGGTCGAAGATTGCATGAACAACATTCACCCCATTTACCAGGTCAAAGAACTTATGATCAAGCGAGAATTAGCAAAGGACCCGGCCTTGAAGAATGAGAGTTGGGACCGCTTCCTACCGCAACTGAAGAAGAAGACACTGAGCAAGAGACACACGCCCTACAAAATCACGGACAAAGCGTCGAAGCCATACACGCCATTTCCTCCGCCACGCGAAAAGAGTAAAATTGATCTGCAGATTGAAAGCGGAGAATACTTTCTTGCGAAACAAGCAAAGGAAAGAGCCAAGGAGCAAGAAAGACTCGAAAGACAGAGGGAGAGGAAAGAAGAAAAACAACGCGAGCGAGAGCAAGCTTTCATCGCGCCCAAGGAAGACCTATCCCAGAAGAAGACCAAGAGGAAGGCTCCGGTGGAGGCAGAAGCCTCGAAGCCTAAGAAGCATAAGAAGAGCACTCAGTAACGGGCACCAGATCTCTGGAAGCAGAAATCCTGGAGTATTTCTCCGCGGGTCTTCTCTAGCAGATTCCGTCGTTGCTTCGTGATTGTGCTGCTTGATCGCAACACGACTACGATTCGATGTCTAGGTGACCGCACCCCCATTCTCGACGCAAGGGCGAGGTCAGGGGACATATGCAATTTGGACCGCACTGTCCATACCAGACCGCAGCGAGGCGGGCCATGTTTAGGACGACCCGCAAAGGCCTCAAATCAGGGCATGATACACCGGACTTGGAACCTGGTATTAAGTCCAAGCCACTATGTCAACGGATATAAAACTTTCCTGTCGAAAGGGCGTGCAGTCTGAATGCCCTCGTTCCATGCAACAAAGCACACTGCCCACTCGTCAAACACCGACCGGCAACGGGGAATCTATTACCACGGGACCGCGAATCTGTTCTCTCCGGACTGGATTTGCAGTCACCATCATAATTTATATCAGATCCAGCAGGCAACAGCAACAGCTCCCACCAATTTGAGCGCCCCGGGTCTCTTTTCTTCTTACCGGAAAACGGTGAAGATCCAAGAACTCTTTTGTCCGTGAAAATCATGGCTCCTCTGCGGAGGGCGCGGAGTATGCGCCAGTAGGATTTGACGTTAAAGCTCTATGTAGCTACGAGCCCAGCAACCAGATTTAGCTCTCTTCTCACACAGTTTCCAGCTTGACTCAATCTACTTGGATATCCGGTCATTGTCTGCAACAGGTCACTCCCGTCACAGCAGTCGAAGAGCGTCGCCAGGTCCAAGAGTCTAGTACAAATTTGTCTAAGCTAACGTGGGAAGACAGGGACCGGCCTTTGAGTTCTGGTGTTTCTCTTCAGCTGGCTTGTTTTGACCCTCGTTCAGACTTTATTGCCGACACTTCCAGGTCGTTCTCTCAGTGGCTCGGCTAAATGCGTGACCAGACGAAAGATGGAGAAACGCCGAAGCTCGATGTTGGTAGGAAGGTTTCTCCGATCCGGGGTCGGCCTCGTGCATTGCAGCCAATCAGAGAGCCTCGCTCAAATCGACGCTCTTGGTGTGTTCGGGGGGTTTGGGCGAAAGAAACAACATGGGGTTTGCGGCAATTGTTTTGGCCAATCTCTCCTCCACAGGCACGTTGAGATGGTCCCTGAGCTATCCAGTCCCTCCAACAGCCACTCGTGCGTGCAGCTCTCGTAAGGATGAGCTGTACGATTGCCTCTAGGCTTAGCCTAGATCGAGCTGTAGGAAGTATAGCTCTGGACCCCGAGCGTCAGTTGACTACGGCTGTTCAGGACTCTCCCCGTCCATACCATGCAAATGAAACCTTCAAATTGCTATATAAGCTTGCCGGATCACCTTGCTCAGAGATCACTTCTTGGTCAACAGGATCACCCCTTCTTCGGCAGAACTGCTGAATCATCTCACACACGACAGACTCTGTCCCAGACGTATATGAGCTGACAAGCTTTCGCCTTTGAGAGTTTTGAAATCCTCGTTGGCAATCCGGCGTGGAAGGATACAATTTCAGAGTCATTCCCTCAGACCCGGCATTTCCTCTCTCAGCTTACCCAATACATTCTATCTCACCGCCAACCTCTTCAGGATGAATCATGACGAGACAATCACTGAAAGCCCGCCGCCATCCAATGCGGATGCGGCAACAAATCAATATCGCAAAAGCATTGTCAACCAAGGCCTCACGGGTGCTTCGGCCCTCACAGTCAGACAGTCCATCTTTCCCATCACCTTGGTCACCATACTATTCTTCCTTTGGGGCTTCGCGTATGGCTTGCTTGACGTGCTCAATGCCAAGTTCCAGACATCTCTGCACATCACTGCGGCCAAAGCTGGCGGGCTTCAGGGGTCATATTTCGGAGCGTATTTCATCGGGCCGTTGACATATTCGGGCTGGATCGTGCGCAAGTACGGATATCGAGTCACCTTCATGTCAGGGCTCTGCATCTATGGCGTCGGAGCCTTGATGTTCTGGCCCTCTGCCGTCTACAAGTCGTTTGCCGGCTTCTGTGGCAGCCTGTTCATCGTTGGATCGGGCTTGTCGACGCTCGAGACGTCTGCCAATCCGTTCATCGCCACTTGTGGGCCACCCAGGTTGTCGGAGTTTCGCCTGGAGTTCTCCCAGTCGTTCCAGGCTATTGGGTCTGTTGTTGCACCCCTTCTAGCATCCCGCGTATTCTTCAAGAATACCCAGTCGACCGACCTGTCCCATGTTCAGTGGACCTACGTGGGGATTGCGGCCTTCGTCTTCCTCCTGGCCGTGGTGTTCTTCTTCAGCCCGATCCCAGAGGTTACCGACGCCGACATGGCTCTTCAAGCGGAACAGTGCGCCGATCTGACCGGGTACGAGGAGAAGCCACTGCGACAACAGTACAAGCTCTTCTTTGGCGTTGCGGCCCAGTTCACCTATGTCGGGGCCCAGGTTGCCGTCGCGTCCCAGTTCATCCGCTACGCCCAGGAATCAGCCGGCCTTTCGGCAGACGTTGCCTCAGATCGATATGCGATCGGCCAGTCCCTGTTCGCCATTGGCCGATTCATCGCAGCAGGCTTGTTTATGTTTGTGAAGCCGCGGATTGTGCTGATGGTCTTCATGACCGCCATCATGATCTTTATTGCCTGCGCCATGGGCATCTATGGCGAAGCGGGCGTGGCGATGCTGTCGTTGGTATTGGCCTTCGAATCGTGTATCTTTCCCACGATATTCACGTTATCGATCCGCGGGTTGGGCCGGCACACCAAGCGAGGATCGTCGTGGATCGTTGCCAGCGTTTGCGGCGGTGCCTTGTTCCCGGCGCTGACTGGCCTTGCGGCCGACCACATGACGTACCACAAGGCCATGTGTGTTCCGCTGGCCGGGTTTTTCGTCAGCTTCGCCTACCCGATCTACTTGAACACGCTGTGCAGGAAAGAACTGGATGGGTTCCGCGAGACGAAGATTGGATACGTCGACGAGAGACGCGGCACAATAATTGGAGATATCCACGACATTGAGACTTTCGAGGCAATGCAAAAGAAAAGTGTGGTCAATTTTGAACAGGTGTGAAGGGGAGACTTGGATTCCGGTAGTGGGGTGGCCTTTTATGCCTTTCGTTCTCGACCAGGGTATGATGAAGAGCAGAGGGATAAGGGAACTGTGTTCTTGGGTTGGGGGGTGATGGCACGGATAGTTTGAGTTGATGATATGATACCAATGACTAGTCAAGGTTCCAACCGTAGACCTCTTTTGCCTTGTGTTAATTAATCATGGTGACAAGGTCGGGGAGGTTGCAGTGGTCGAGTCTTTGTACAGAGTGCATACGTAGCTTAGGCGTCAAGGCTGAGCTGTTCAGGGGCTGAGGGGCTCAGGGGGCTAGAGAGACTTGGGCTATTTATTGCTGAAGCCTCAAGTTCCAACCCCGCCGTGGAACTGCACATAACCCGCCACTCACTGTCCCTTACGAGTACGATAACTACTTCGCAGTGATTGTAATTCTCTGCATAAACATCTAGAATATTGTTGTGCTTGTATACCTATATGTAAAATGTATCCCGTATGTGATACATACACACAACTTATATCCGAGGGCGTTTTCTCTTCCAGACCTTGACGGGCATCTCACCCAACAGCCAATTCATGGTCTCCAACCTCTGAATCTCCCACTGGGGATGAGGCAGAGCAAATTCATAGCGGCGCAGCACAGACGCCAACAAGACCGTCTGTTCCAAGTAGGAAATATTGCGGCCGATGCAACCACGCGCGCCGGTTGAGAAGGCGAGGAAATACGGCTGGAGATTCTTGCCTTCCTCGCCGAGCCACCTTTCAGGGATGAACTGGTCGGCTTGGGGGAAGACCGACTCGATTCGGTGCGCGACCAGGGCCGATATGCCGACAGTGACCCCTCCGGCGACATAGTCTCCCATGATGTCCGTGCCTCCAGGCGGAGTTTCACGCGAGAGCGACTGGGTGTTGGGAGGAGCCAAACGCAGTGATTCATCCAGACAGGCGCGCAGGTATGGGAGATGTTTGACTCGGTCATAGGGCACAACCACGGTCTGGCTTGGCTCGTCGTCGTCATCGTCGTCGCCCAGAGCAGCGTCGAGCTCGTTGACCAGGATTTTCATCACCTTGGGGTTCTTGAGGAGTTGGTACATGACGTTCGCCATGGCAATAGCCGTGGTGGCGCTGCCGGCATTCATCATGATGCTGATCTCGGCCACGATCTCGCCCCATTCGAGGTTGTTCGGCTTGCCGTTCTTATCTTCCATGAGTGCTTGGAAGAAATCGTCCAATTGTTCTCCGGCACGGTACCGTTCCAGGCGCCGGTGTGCTAGCTCCAGCGGAATCCCGTCCCAGTCGGTCGCGAACTTGCCCATCCTGCCATAGAAGGGGATCACGTTGGCGATCTTGTTGATCAATGGGTACCACTCATATGGCCAGATCAGTAGGGATTGCTTGCGACCGGTTTGGTCCAAGCAGTCTCGGAAGTTGCATTGGTATGTGGTGCCGTTGGTCCTGCGGCCGATCACTCTGTCGTGGCCCGCGTCAAGAAGCCCAAACTTTTCAGACAAGCCAATGTCGGCGATGGCGTCGATGGTGAAGAAGTTTGTCCACGCTCGATAGTCCACCTTCAGGTCCGCTGGATCTGGAATCCGTCTCTCCTGTGACATGGGAGCCGTACAACACTTGTCAAAGTGAGCAATGAGTCTCGCTGTCGTGTCGGCGACTTTGTGTTCCCACCCCTCCAGGTTTTTCAGCGCGTAGGCCGAGGACAGCACCTTGCGTTTGCGTGCATGATCTGGTTTGTTGATGACATCGGCCAGGTGAAAGTGCGATCCGGCGGCCAGAGCGTAGAGAGCGTCCTTGGTGCACTTTGTACTGTGGCCATAAATGTCCCTGATTGCTCGTGTATCTGCGTATGACAGTGTATTTGGACCGGTCCGGATGACTGCGTGTTTCTTGTGAAGTTGAGAGAGATAGGTCGATCGGGCTCCTCCATGCGCGACTATCATGAACGGAATCGAACTGATGCCAGATAGCGGATGCATATTGGGGAATTTGCGCAGTCCTGGACAGTCAGTTGGCCAAGGCACACCCAGGGAGGAGAGTGGGACAAACCTTTGGCATCATGAAAGTACACAATGATCGGGTATACCACAAAGTATAGTAGGCAGCAGGTTCCCAGAAGGATGGTTCTGGGAGCGGCTGCAATTGCGTCCATCTTGTCGACAGCTCTGGAACGCAGGCCTGATCAAGCCTCTGCTCAGGCAAGGAGATGTAGTCAATGTGATCAGTCCTGTATCTGGTCCTGCTTCAGGATCTTTAAATACAACATTGCGGCATCCCAGATTCCAACAACCCTCCCCATGCACGTACCCAGGTGGGCCCATCATATCGCATTCAGACCCTCTAGACGCCGGAATTGATGTCGGCTTGCAAGCGAGCACAAGACCTGGGATTGAAAGAGTGGGACGAAGGGCGAAGGACTTACCAAAAACGGCAATCTTTCTCCGGTCGTGCAGTGCACACAAGACACATGGCTGAAGGAAATTTATTCCGATGTATCCACGTATAGGGCACCCAAGTCGCGTCCAACGTAGCCGAGGTTATCAAAGAGGCCAAAGGCTGGTGCAATTCCCAAGTCAAGCAGTGGACAGCAGGTTCAAGAGCGTACACAGTTGTTGAAGAAACAACCATGCTGCTCTACATCCGCCACTGTTCCTGGAGATCGCGCAGGATATGTGCCGTCTGCCAGCCCATTTGTGTCTTCAACCGCGTAAGAAAGTCGAGCGCCGCTTCTTGCTCTCTAGGGTCGGTCAGATACATGCCGCCTGGATGTAAAGTCACTCAGTTAAAAAGTGCGTCCAGGTCACATCCGGAACTAAGCTTACAAGCTGACAGGATATGTGATGCTTGAAGCATGGCGGTGGTGACGTGATCATTGCTGACTGCAAGACCAATTGCCAGTCGGAGATTCTCCCGGACAGTAGCCTAGAATGAGAATCCTCTTTAGTTCATGATGCTGGATCAATGGGCAGAAGAGGACGGACCTCGGAGGCTCTCCTAAGCCGCAGGGCGTCAAAGCTCAACCTTGACAGACGGGGATCATAGATGGCAAGGACAATCTTGGCTAGATAGTAATGCTGCAACCCGACGACTGGCGATGGTGAGCTGACATACGGTAGGGGTTTGTAAGGGACTTGTCTTACCCTGTGCGGGATCACACACAAACACCTCTGGCCAAACACTGCGCCGCGGAGAACTTGAGACTGGGATACCCGGACTCTCCATGAACAACGGCGCAAAGTGCCATGGCTTGCACAAGTTCCATGCCTTGACGTCTGCATCTAACTCGTGCCATGTGTCAATGGACAATTGTTGCTCGCCTTCGGGCCGGATGACTTGTGTCAGGATGATTGCGAATATAAAAATGATGCGGTTCGCCCACGACTCATCGTCCGAGTTTTGAAAGACATTTGAGTGGCGGTAGTTGGTAAGGTTGATGGTCAGCGGATGCTGCGAGGTGAGGCAGATATAGATATGCTGTCGCAGGGAGACCCAGCTAGCCGACTCGCGTAGGCCACCGTCGGCAGCAAACGACGCTATCGAATTCAAGAGCCGAGTCGTGCCGAACAGGTGGCATCTCTCGTCATTGTCTGGGAGCAGGTCATGGTCAGTATCGCTTATGCGTTCATGTCTGTACCGCCGTCTTCTAGGCTCGGGGCTCACCCGACAGTTCCTCATGCGTCCTCAGCAATATCACTGCTGCAAGAAGGTTTTCATCGAAATGACTCAACGGATCTTCCAGGGCTGTGATTAGAATGCGAAGACACTCGCTCACGTAGTGCGGTGATTCGCTATCCTCTGAACCAGCTAGCAGGCTCAAGTGGCGTGAGGACACCGCGAAGATGGCATTCTTAATGACGGGATATTGTGCTGCTCGTCTGGGAATTTCCCTGCCAAAGTGACGTTGCTTGTCGCACGAATCGAACTGGAAATGATGATACATTATCATCTGAAAATTAAGCCTGGGTTAGGTACGCGAATTACCTGTAGCGAGAGATGGGTAATGTAGTGATGCAGTAGGTGCGCTTCGTGGAGACTTTTGAAGGGCCACGATGCGCTTATCCCACAATTCAGCGAGGCTGTATCAGATCCTGCGCCGAATAGGACAGGCGAGCGCCGAGTGTTCGGAAATCGGCCGGAACCTTGTGCTATCGAAAGGCTGACAGACGCAGGGGATGATGTGGGGAAAAGAGAGTCGGGGCTGTGATGCTGTTGGTTGGAACGAGGGATTGGGCGGTGGTGAGACTCATGAGCATCAGACGACGACGTCGAATATGGTTCAACTGGGAGATCTAGCTGAGTGTTCGAGGCACTGGTCGGAATCAGAGGTCTCAAAGTCTGCAACGGTTCGTTATCATCTTTGTTCCCCTCGTCCTCCTGTTCCATATCAAGGTCGATTCTCTCGTGACTCTCGTCCTTGTGGTCCAAGGGCACGAAGCGCACTATATGTTTCCTCGAGGTCAACCAACATCTGTCTCATGCCGCATGCTTCCTGGCCCTGGCCCACCTACCTTCCGACGGAACATCGACCCAAACCTGCAGAGAGGTGTGTCTCAAGTCGTGTTTGACTCTTCTTCCACCGATGGTCTTGAGGCGAACCGACGTCACCGGGCGAAAATGCAGGGCTGTGTCGCGGAGGCACTCTCGCTGAGCTTCGATGCATTTCTGGCATTTCTGGAGACCCGGCAGCCTGACGCCTCGACGGGGTAAGACTGCAACCGCGAGGTTTCCACTCAGGAGACTTACACTTCACATGGAGATCACGACAACGCTGACTGACGGATCTATTTGTCAGTACTGGGTGGTCAAGTCACTCACGGGAGTATTCTCAGACTGACCATCCGCTTCTCGCACGCATGGCCGGTTTACGGCGTCAATATGCAGGGCTGGCAACAGCGGGAAGAACGAGAAGCACAAGAAGAATAAGGAGAATGAGAAGGAGTGAGAAGAGGAAGTCAAGCCCGCGTTTTGCGAGGATGGAACGGTACCTAAGGCAACAGAAGGGAGGGAAGTATGGAGAAGCGGGGGAAGGGGAAGGGCGCATCGTCCAAACAGGCAGCCAATTCCGCGGAGGAAATTGCCCCAGATGGATTGACAGCTCCTGCGCCGTGCCAACGCCAACGCCAACGACAACGACAACGACAACTGTATTTCTCAACGAACGCATACAAAAGGTACCTGGTAGTACCTACTACCTACCTACTTACCTATAAGAGACTAAGAGACAGACTCAGACTCAGAAAACTTCCCAATCACATCCCCCCACCTACCGCATGCGCCCAGCGAGATGCAGATGCACCGTCCGATCTGGTGAACAGCTCCGGCAGCCATGGTCGCCCTCGGCCAGGCCAATCTGCCCCCCTGTGAATCATCCTCCTATGCTCGCCGCCGCAGAACGTCTCTTCACTGACCCGTGCCCTCCGTAGGAACCAGAGCCCCCGCTTCACCATCAGCTGGATCACTTTGCAGTCGGCTTTGGCAGCAGTGTGTCGTCCGTTTTCCATGCACTCCGGATCTATGCACGGCCAGGTCTTCTCCAATGCCAGCGTGATGATACGAAGACCGTGGGCGAGATATGTGGATCGCTCCAGTGACGTGAGCGACGTCTCCATCACCGGACCCTTCCTGGCCAACTTCTGCCACCGCGTCCTTTGGCTGTTGGGTTTCAGGTGAAAGGTCGAGTGCAACTTGCTCTGATCTTTGTACCCCAGAGTCAGACCGCGCTTCAAGTAGCTGAGAGCCAGGCCGAACGAATCCAAATCCAGGAAACCGTCAATGGCTACACCAGCGTCTTTCAACGCGATGTGGTGCTCAAAGACCGCCTTGAACATCTCCACGTCGGCCATGAGCCGAGCCATATCGTCGACAATGCCTCTTCCATGGCATCCCGCGTCACCCCAGTTGAGCAATCCGGGAGGACCAGAGGCAGCTCCGTGCTCACGCTGTATGCTGACAAAGACAGACTCGAAATCGCAGTTTCCGTGACTGAAGAACTATTCATCTGGAAGAATTGGCCGCGTCGAGTCAGCCGTTAGTGCCTCACAAATATCGTTCAACTCGGTGGGGTTCGCAAACAGGGATGGCCAATCCTTGATACGGTCTTGCATCTGGGTAATTGCTTCCTGGATCCTCCTTGTTACGTGCTCCGATCTTCCTTCTGTGGCGTTGGACAGGTTTGGGATGGACCGCTTGAGTCGCTGGGCGGTCTTGGGATTGTGTACCCTGGCAAGAAATTCGCCGACCCTATGGCCCACAGATGTGAAGAACAGCTGGGATGCGACCTCGCAGCCCACGAGTGCCCGAATTGCAGCCCCCAGTTCAGCGTCTACAGTCCCGGATTTCTCCCCGGAACAGATGCACCTGAACAACGTGGACAAAGTGCAGAGGTCCTTGAAGTAGGATGTAGTCAGGACGCCTGCCGTGGCATCGTATAATAGTGGCTCTGGAATTCTCACACCGCTCTTTTTTTTAATGTCATGCAAAAGACCATCAATGCGAGAAGTTGACTGGCTTCGTGGAGGGCAGATTGAGAGGAATCTAATCAAGAGGTTCTGTGGTGAATGTCGTGGATATTCTGGCAGGGCAAACAATGACAGTGCTGAGTATTCGACTTGCTATAGAGTACATTAGCATTCGCCCTGACATGAGTGACCGGTCTGTCTTGATTGGCACGGGAGACTGGTGTCCGCAGCAAGAAGAGGTAGAGCATGGTTCGGGTCGAGCCACTTACCAGAGGAGTTGCCTCGTTGTTATCTTCATCTGCGGGCAACAGCTGATGATTTGCGAAGTAAGTGAGCATCATATTCTGATGGCCGGGAAAGGTCCCGAAATTCTGGGCGATATTTTGCCCGAGATCAGATGCCTGATGGAGTTCCTTCCGCGCGCTGACTGTGATGGAAAAAGGCCGACGAGAGATCTCCTTGTATGTGTATCGGTGTGCTGCATCAACCGAGTGGAGGTAGGCGATAAAGTCGAAGTCTGACGGGGAGGCATTTGCCCTTTCAGCGGTATCATGGGTATTGGCCGGCACCTCAAGACTAATTGGAGTGAGTGACATGATTGGAGACGAGGGACTTGCACAAGGAATGGGAAAAACTATGCTGAAGATGTAAGAAAGCAAAGAAAGATGCCAAAGATGTGATAGCTCAGTAATGTTGAAGATAACAGATGTTGGTGCCAATGTGATGAGTGTGGTGAGAAGAAGAAAGGAGAAGGACGGAGAGAGAAGAGAGACGCGAGAAGAGGATATTTCAAGGGTCGAGGGAGAGCAGGGAGCACCTGATGACAGGAAGTCACCACCATGTTGTCCAGAAGGAGAGAACCAGGCCTTGCGTGCGGAAGGTAGGAGCAGTCCTGGCACACATTTGGGGATGGCCATTGTTCCTAGTTGCTGCTATGGGCCAAGATAGCTGCTCTCCCAGGATGATCTTCCATAGCATCATTTTATTTGACCATGCATGCAGGCTGAAACAGGATTGAATTGGATCTATTCGTCGCCAAGTCGGCTGCCCAAAGAAATCAGATGTAGCCGCTGAGAAGGCCTGCGTCCGATTTGATGCTCGAGGCACTTTATTGTCATCAATCCGAGTGCCACGCCCGAAAAAGGGGCGGCCTATGCTGCCTTCCCGCAGAGCTGGCATTTCAGGGGCCACTAGACCATGATGAATCCATGACTTCGTTTGCATCCCAACAAGAGACACTCGTCGTCCATTACCGCAATGGCGTATTATGATTTGCGAGAGTATTTGGCTTTTCCGATGGAGAAAGGAACATAACGGTATTTGATCATGTGTTGAATTTGTCGTCTCACTGCGGTAGTGTCAGCGCTGGGCCCAGATCGATCCTAGGATTCTTCCAGAGTACTAACTTGTCAGGGAAAACAGGATCAGCCAGTACATGACCAAAACAGGCCAGAAGACCGGCAAGTTAAAGATCTCGAACCAACTGCAGACGAAGCTGATGGCCACGGCTCGGGTCGCTGAGTGCCAGAACTTGAACTCCGGCAACCTTCTGATAAAGGGTCGGAATTCATCATCCTGCTTGGTGGGTAAAGCCGATCCTTCACCGTCCTCGAGACCTTCATCTTGTGACAGGCTTGGATCGAACTTCGGTTGAAGAAAGGCCAGAAATAGGTTCAGCAAGTAGATGCCGAGGCAGTATGCGACGATGTACCAGCCTTGCGCGAAGACGATCCGAAGAAAGAAGAGCACGAGGACTACGCCGGTCGCAGTCCAACGGTAGGTAGTGTAGGGGGTTGATTTGTCGAGGTAGGTTTGGTATTGCTGTGCAAGGATCAATTAGCCAAAAGATGCGCGTAATCTGTCGCATTAGTCGCATACCCTCATCAGCTTATTGCTCTGGGTGGTGATCGCGTCAAAAGGCGTCGTGTCGGGCTCCGGTCCATCCATTGCGGCGACGCGTGTAGGCAGCGAGGAGGAGACGTAGGGTCTGCGCATGCGCTGGCTGGTGTGCCTGCGAGTGGACAAGCAGAGATAAGACACACGGAAAAGAGCAGTGTCGCTCGCGAAATATCCCCAGGAAACCGGTGTAAAGGAGCGACAAAAATAGAGTGAAAGTCTGCAAGTTCAAGCTGTTGAGGCACCGCAGTTCGTTGAAGCCACGTCTTAATTTTCTCTCATGAACCACAACGCGGCGGCGGCCTGCGCCCCAAAAGCAGCTCAGCTCTTCAGGGGAGGCAGCCACCATTTCCCGGAGGTAAGTTAATCCGCCCCGGCGGGCCAAAGGCGAATCATCGGTCTTGGCCATGATCCGCGGAATCGTAACCGAGGATGACGGTTGTTCACGGCGCAGATCGTAGACTGCAGAACTGCAGACCAGGACTGCTGGTGCGTCGGGGTGTTGATTGTGATGTTGAGCCTCAACGACTAGATGTGGTGAAGATTACTTGTCAGCTCTTGTCTATGCATGCAGTATCGACCATGGCTTCACTCAGATTTCTCTCGCGTCCCGTCATTGCTTTGACCTCTTCCGCGCCCCGAACTCTCCCTCGGCTGGTCCGATTCCAATCCACGTCGAGCAGTTACGAAAACATTCTGGTGTCAACCCCTAAGCCGGGTGTCGGACTGAGTGCGTGCTTCGGACCTTGAGCTCTCAGTTGTCTGCGAATCTGTCTCAATGAACAGGGTGCTAACCTCCTCTTTCTCTGCCAGTCACCTTGAACCGACCGCGAGCCCTAAATGCACTTTCCAGTGCCCTCTTTACGGAACTGAATGACGCACTCAAGAAGCTCGAAGATGACAAAGAGATAGGTGCCATAGTGTTGACGGGAAGTGACAAGGCATTTGCAGGTACGCTCTGAGGACAGGTCAATCGAGTCAAAGAACAATCACAGACTGACGGCACACGTCCAACAGCTGGTGCGGACATCAAGGAGATGGCACCTCTCACCTTCTCCGAGGCCTACGCAAAGAACTTCATTGCACCATGGTCCTTCCTGACTACTATCCGAAAGCCTATCATAGCTGCAGTTTCTGGCCATGCCCTGGGAGGTGGGTGCGAGCTGGCAATGATGTGCGATATTCTGTACTGCACCAAGACAGCCAACTTTGGTCAGCCGGAGATCAAACTTGGAACCATTCCCGGCGCTGGAGGATCTCAACGGCTTACTGCGGCAATCGGCAAGAGCAAGGCCATGGAACTGATTCTGACGGGGAACAACTTCAGCGGAGAGGAGGCAGAGAAGCATGGTCTGGCAGCGCGGGCATTTGACGGCGGGAACAAGGAGGTTCTGGAGGGCGCCTTGGAGACTGCGGCCAAGATTGCCAGCTACTCGCAGATTGCTGTCGTGGCGGCCAAGGAGGTTGTCAACAAGAGTCAAGATCTGGGTGTCAGAGAGGGTGTCGAGTACGAGCGGCGTATCTTCCACGCGCTCTTTGGCAGCCAGGACCAGAAGATCGGGATGAAGGCATTCGCTGAGAAGAAGAAGCCGGAATGGTCTCACTCGTGAACACCTGCAAGATACGCAATGGGCATAATAGCAAAAACACCTGTGTCAGGAGCTTGAGTGGTATACAGTATAAGGATATATTGAGCCACATCGGTCGAATACGGAGGCTTGTTCACACCGTCTAATTCAAAATCTCGAGGGCTGATAGCCTTGGTTGAAAGATGCCGATGGGGCTTACACATTCTATCCAAGTCATGCTCCGATGTCTGCCCAAATCCAGCGTAGGGATTTCTACCCGTCGTGTAATATTTCCTGCTATGTTGAAGCAGTCTTCCCATTTCGGCCTCTAGTGAAGTGAAGCATACTGCCTCACCCACGAGGCTGCCTGCACAATATAGATCAAAGACGCAGATTTCTCCTCAACAATCGCAGCTGCACATATAGGCTCTGACCTGATGTATGTTGGTAGCATCTTCACGTCTTAGCTTGTGCTCTGTATTGCATGGATATAGTTCCGCTTGCGGGGCTAGAAACCCATAACTACAAAACCCAACCTACGACACTAACGGTTCTTACCGACTATGAGGCAAGGTTAACTCCAATGCGTGAGATTTTTTGCTAATTCAGTCGGCTGCGGTTCGATTCAGTGTTGTCTTGCAAGACTTTACGGCTCGTGTGTGTGAAATCTTGGTGGGCAGAACGTGGGTGATTCTGCCGCACCCACGCTGTGCCTCTCTCCTCGCCTTTCCACCAAATTGACCTCCTACCGACGTTTCCGAACCTTACATGAGCCTATCTTGCCTCGCACGATTCGTTGTACGGGTCGTTCTAAGTCCCCACCAGCGTTCACAGGACGGCGCATGCTGATGTGAGGAATGAAAAGGGATCTGCGGTGGCCTGGCCCTTATCTCTACTGCTACACTCAGTCACGGAAGAATTGGGACTTGCAGATGAGACGAACACCGAGCATAACTCACAAACCAGGGTGACGCCATGGGTTCCTACAGGCTCGTTCATTAGCATCCTGCATGGCTAGATACTCCGTACTCTGGGGTCGCTTTTTCCATGGGCCACTTGCACAGACTGCCGCCACGCTCCTTCCCATCACCTCGTGACATTGTCGGTTTGCTCGATTCGTGCCGGTCGGTGCCAATGCTACCAAGGTATAGCCACTATCGCGAGGGACATAACGATGGAGGACGAGCCTGCTGAGCTGAAGCTGTGCTCGGCTCACCATCCTACAATTCAGATTTCAGGCGCCCCATTCAGCCCGGGTCTTCTGGAGGATGACTGCACAAGGGGCCCATATTTGGCCCGATCGGCCGATTTATGGAACGCCCGTACACAGGCATTTGCAACGGAGTTGGGAAGTCGATGGAGGTTGCGCCGCAATACGGACGAAGCGGCGTTACGGAGAGGATCGAGAGCAAAAGCCGCCAGCATGCCCCCTGCCTACCTAGCTAAGGTGGATACATATCTCGCCAACGAGCAGCATCTTACAGGCTCCAAGTCACTCTCAATTCTGTACGGATATCTTCTACCAGTAACGAGTCGAGAGAGAGGAGGGGTTAGGATAGACCTCATGGTTCACGTTGTATTCGTGTGGTGTGTGGACAGGGTACGTTCAAACGTGGCCAATCCTAGCCCACCCAGCTGCCAGCTTCAGGTACCAGGCGGCCGCATGTGGAGATAAGGGAGGGTATGCCATGGAGATGTGTCAGCGAAACTTCACTTACAACCGCAGTCGTCTAGTTGCTGACAGTTCATCACTAGAACGGATGCTCTGGGCCCATCAAGAGTGGTAGGTTCACCAGGACCAGCATGGCAAGTTTGTTAGATGATTCAAAGCCTCCTTGCGCCACCCGGCATCGTCGTCAAATGCTCGTTAGGCGTACCACCTGCTGGGACGATCAGCTTACTCCCAAGAAGAGCATTATCTCCAATTTGCGAGGGGCGACCAGTCCCGAGTCCCCAGGATGCTCTCGGCGTAAGTTTTAACCCTCTCCAGCTTGGTGGATCTTCTCACTTTTACTACTAAGAGCATACCCGCGTCATTCATCCTGCGTCAGGCGTCTCGAGAGAAACCATAATGGAACGATTACTAAATGGAGGCCAAGGATGTATGGGGGAGATGCCGTGAGATCGGCCCTGCTGCCCTTATATAAAGCGGCCTGCCTTCCCTGGGTTCCTTCGAAATGGATACGTTACAGCAATAGTCGTCTTTATTGATCAAGAGGAACTCCCGATTACTGATACTCTCAACGATGGCGCCAACAGCCACGGTCACAGCCGACAATGCTTCAAGCGAGGGATACAAGCCCAAGCACATCGAGGACCGCCTCTTCATCAACGGAGAGTTCGTTCCTTCGATTTCGGGCAAAAGATTCGACATCGTCAACCCAGCCACGGAGAAGTTCGCCGCTTCCGTGTACGAGGCTGGCGCCGAGGATGTCGACGTCGCCGTCAAGGCTGCCCAAGAGGCGTTCCCGGCCTGGTCTGCGCTCTCTGCTGCTGAGCGAGGCGGATACTTGAACAAGTTGGCCGACGCCATCGAAAACAACCTTGATGAGATTGGATACCTCGAGGCCATCAGCATGGGCAAACCATACGTCGGCGACTGTGAGACACAACCCCAAGAAGAAGGTCAAGATTGAGGACGCCTTCACTAACATGGTGCAGTCTTGAACGCTTTCGGTGTACAATTCCTAAGATATTTCGCAAACAAGGCCCTGGACGTTGCCGGAGACTCGTCATTGAACTCGGCCAACATGGTCAATCTCACGTTCCGGCAACCATTCGGGGTCTGCGGCGCCATCATCCCCTGGAACGGGCCTCTTCTCATGCTCATCAACAAGATCGGCCCTGCGCTTGCCACCGGCAACACTCTCGTGCTCAAGTCGTCGGAGAAATCACCGCTCTCGAGCCTCGTCGTTGGTCGACTCGCCCAAGAGATCGGTCTACCAAAGGGGGTATTGAACATCGTCAGTGGCTATGGCCGGCCCTGCGGTGAAGCCATTGCGAAACACATGGACATTCGAAAGGTCTCCTTCACCGGGTCCGTCATCGCGGGGCGAGCGGTCAAAAAGGCGGCGGCCGAATCCAACTTGAAAAACGTGACTCTGGAGCTGGGAGGAAAGAGTCCTCTCATCGTGTTCGAGGATGCCGATCTTGCAAAGGCCGTTCCGGCCGCGGCATTCTCGATCCTGGCCAACTCGGGTCAGGCGTGCATTGCCAGCTCGAGGGTGTACGTGCACAGCGCGATCTCCGACCGCTTCTTGGAGGCCATGAAGACGGCCATGGTGCAGATGGGCGTGTCGGGCGACCCTCTGGCTGCAGGGACCAAGCGAGGCCCCCAGGTCGACAAGCTCCAGTTCGACCGGATCATGTCGTACCTCAACTACGCCAAAGAGAACAAGTTAGACATCCCCGTCGGCGGCAACCGCGAAGGAAGCACGGGTTACTACATCGAGCCGACCATCATTGCCAACGCACCCGAGGACTCCAAGGTGATGAGGGAGGAGATCTTCGGCCCCGTCGTCTGCGTCAACACCTTCTCCGACGAAGCCGAGGTGCTGAAGCGCGCCAACGACACCGAGTACGGCCTGTACGCCAGCGTCTTCACCAAGGACGTCTCGCGCGCCTTGCGCGTCGCCAAGGCTCTGGAGGCCGGCTCCGTCGGCGTCAATTGCACCAGTCCCACCATGGCCATTGACCTGCCCTTCGGTGGCTGGAAGCAGAGCGGTGATGGACGCGAGTTGAGCAAGTACGCCACCGACTACTGGACCGAGCTGAAGAGCGTGTTTATCTCGTTGTGAACGACGTGCGATGTTGACCTTTAATTACATAAACGTAGACTATACTTGTGTGACTGATATACTATGGTATGCCATAAACCGCACTAGGTGCAGTCTACAGTACTCGTACCTCGTCCATCACCACCATGTCGTCGGTGTCTTTCCCACACACAATGCATGTACTGTATTCCACAAAACGGTGGTGTGGTCTCTGGCAGGTCGCATTCGCCATTCATTTCGTAGTTCCGACAGGGCGGGAAGGCCATGTTGACATGTTCTGATCAGTGAGTGCTTCGGTGATTGAGCCGGAAGCTGCCGCATCTGTCACTGTTCACCTCCTGATGCCGTGGCCTCAAACCTCATTTTCTCATCATGAGAGTCAATCTGCTTTTAGGCCAACTCTGGCTACTGCGAGCAGTTGAAGCTGTAGGTACCAATACTCTTCTCAATCCACTCCCTCTTCAAGCCTGGTATGTTCCATCCCAGCGCTGAAGGTAGCCTCATCCCCTCCATATGTGGGAGGCATCCTCAATCCAACCCCATTGGTATATCTGGCCATGGCCTCGTTCACATCCCACACCGGCACTCGATCAAGCAAGAACCTCACCACGTCGAAGTCGGCTCCTCCGCTGGCACGTCCCTTGGCTCCTTTGCCTTTGTTGGCAGCCCGCTTGGTGCCAGTTGTTAAGACGCTTAGGCTCCGCTGCCTTTGAAGCCCCTTCTCGTATTTGATGGCCATGTTTTTGGACATGGTCATGGTAGCAAACACGCTGGACCACATGACTTGTTTGAATCCCAACCTTTGAATTTCAAGGCCCATGTACCCAGGCGTCACCAGGATAATCTTCCGGTAAGCAACTGCATGGTTAGAATATTGTTCCAGCATTCGAGCGAAGCCGTTGTCGAGGCAAGCGGCGACAAAGACGGCATGGCAATTTGGGGTAGACAGATAGAGGTGGAAGTTTTCTGGTGGTCCAACATGTTAGCCAGTCCGGCCAGTCAAGCGTCGCCATCTTTCAATCGCCATACCTCTGATCTTGTCGTCGGCTCTCTCCTTGCCCCTGCCCGCGTCAAAGTAATCAAAGAGTGGCATCTTCTCGGTGAATTGGACGGCAAAGTCCTTCAAGGCGACCTGCTTAGACCTCGCTCGCTTGCGGCCAAGGAGCTGTCCCTCATACCCAAAGTTGCAGAAGACGCGAGTGATGACTTTCGAGGTGATCGGAATGGTTCCATCCTGCTTCGTTATATATTTGATGACTTCATTTCGGATCCTTGTCGCCGCCAGACCGCCAGGCTCGCTTCGATCTGATTCAGAGTGCCCGGCGAGATGATTGGAGTTCAAGAAGAGGTCCGGGTTCCACTGTTGATGACAGACTTAGAAAAGGAACGCCCCTCAAATTCATGGTGTACTCACCTTGTAAGCATCACCGTCCACCAGAACCACAACAAAAGGCTGGGCTGGAAGAGGAGCGTCTTGACTCTGGGCCTCGAGAGGATTGATGGGTTGCTGTTGTGCGTTCGAAGTGCACTGGAAATATTCGAGGTCAAGCTGCATGTCGACCATCCGCCGCTCAAGAGAACGCGCGTGTCTGGTCATGGTCTCCAAAGAGCCTGTTTCCTTGTCGAGTCTTGCTTGCAGCTTGGTCGTGAGCGCTTTCTGCTTTTTGATTGTAACTTGCTCCTGCTGGCTCTGTGCACGATGTTTCACGATCTTGTCCTTTTCCCTCGCCAGCTGGGACTGTAGCTCCTCGTTTGTCTCCCTCAACGTCACCACAGACCCCTTAAGTTCGTGGATTTCGACGCGGTCTTTTTCAATTTGAAGATTCGCTTGCTCAAAAAGATGACATGCGTATTCCAGTTCACGCTGAAGAGCCTCCACCCTGTCCGCAATTGTTTCAATGTCTGGAGGGTCACCTGGGGCAGGAATCTCTGGTGGGTGAACCACCTCGTCTGCATCATCATGGTCGCCCTCCCGCGGAGCCTTGAACGTAGGAAACCAAGAAGACAAAGGCATGATGGGCGGGACTAGAGAGTACAAGGAAGTACGGTTTCAATGAAAGTAGTCTGAACTTGGCACTGTAGGATTCTCAGCCAAAGCGGTGAATCAACCTCCTGCCTGCGCTTGTCGTTGTCGTTGTCCTCGTCCTCGTTCTCGTCGTCTTTACGACAAGAAGACGTGGCAAAGTTACCAGCGCCGTCAACAGTGGATTCCTCACCAGTCCGTCGAGATTTGCCGTCACCTGAAGACTGCGGCGAGAGGTCTAGACGTGTCCAACGAGGTTACGCCTGGAAGGAGAGGCTGGCAGTTGTCACCGATCCGACCTTCAGCGTATTGTTCACGACTGATAGTACATGGCATAGTCTGTCGAGGATGAATCACAGAGACAGAATCACAGTCACAGAATCATTTCCAAGCATGAACACTGGGCGCTGGTTGCTGGTTGCGGGGCAGGTTTTCCGGTGCACGTGACATCAGCCATCCGTCTCAGCCTCCTTGATGATTTCCACCACGGCTATGGAATTACCACCCACTGTTTGATATTACTCGGTAACAATACCGGCACCGACAACTCACGCCCTACCGACTGCAGGCAAAGTGTCAAATAGGGACACAGACAGAGACCGTCATGAGGTGCGAGCATCCTGTTGTTGTATTCAATAGCACCATGGTCCATAGCAGTCGCAGATAGTTGGGCACCGCCTTTGATAGCTGGCCATCTGCAAAGCATCAAAGCAGCCCAGAGAGTCTGTCATCGCGATCAGAACCCCCTGCCACTGGCCGCCATCCGTTCAAGACTGGGCACGGCGTTGAAATTACCAACTCCCATTCCCCCGTTCACAACGCCTCCGGTCATTGTTCCCATTGCGCCCGCATGCATGGTCCGGTTGCCCATACTTGGTTGTTCTTCCAGATCCTCGTATCTCAACGTGTAGATCCGTCGGACCTTCTTCCATAGCTTGGTGTCCCACCAGATGTAGTATCCTTGTTCGCTGACTTTGTCGTCTAACAGGACCGGGCTAGGCGATGCGTCGTCCCGTGTAAGCCATTGTTTCTCTCTCATGTGGTACCGCCATTTCCTCGCCACCAATTCCTGAGCTACCAGCATCTGTGTGTAGTCCCGAGGCATTGTATAAAATATGAAGAAGAGGGTTTCGTCCATGAATCCGTTGATTCGGCTTGCCAGGGGGGAAATCTTTTTGACCGTGTAACAGTCCGGTATGGTGTATTCAGAGTCCAGCGGTCGCAAAGGCTGAGCGTTTGGTTCGGCCCAAGGCCCGGCATACGTGACCAGGAGGGGTTCCTGAGAGCTCATGTTGATGCCCAGTGTCGACAGATCTACTCCCTTCATGATACTCCTCGCGGCTGGGCTGGCATTCTCCTGCTCGGCGATGTATCCCTTCATCCCAAACTTTTCTCGTTCTGTCATGCCGGCAAAGATGGCGTCCATGGATTGTTCTGGTCTTGCACCCGACTCTCGGTCCAGAAAAAGATCCCTGGACTGTAGTGCTACCGATTGTGACGGCGAGTCTTGTGAGTAGTCTTTGTTCTGAATCCTCCCATCCTGCCCTAAGAATCTATCTTGCCCTATCACGGCATTCAGACTCTGCAGCATGGGTGACCGAGCTGGAACATGTCAGCAAGACGAATGCCTACATATTTGGCGAGCTTACAGATATGAGTTTGTCCTGAAGGAGATGTGACTCTGCTTATGTCGCGGGAAATTCCATCATTCTGCTGATTCGGTGGTCGTTGCACTAGTCCAGGCGGTCCGCCGGGTATTTGATTTGATCGACGTACCGGCTGCGACGATTCAGAAGAAAACTCCATCGGCGCATTTCGCGAATACGTGTCTGTAGGATACATCCCGTCGAGATTGGTGCTCGCCGACTGTGGCTGCTGCTGCTGTTGTTGTCGAGTCTGCCCGTGGGAACGTGACGATTGGAGCTGCTGTCTCTGGCCTTGCTCGCTTTGAGGGGGGCCGGTCTGCCAAGCACTAGAGCCGACACTGTGATTCTGCGACTGTAGACCAGCGTTGTTTAAACTAGGGAAGCTATGGTCAGAACGTTAGCGGAAAGGGTGTCTGCTGATAGTTGAGACAGTAGATGCAGCTTACGAGGAGGATGACAGATCGAGTTGGGCGTTCGTCCTGGAGTTCATAGCTTGCGCCCAATTTTCCGGTGCAAGGGAATCGCGGGCGGGATGAGAGCTATTTGAAGCTCCTGAAATACCAGATTGCGCCCACGAGCCTACCAACGGGTCAGTCAAGATCACAAGTGCAGTTTTGCACGGTCATACCAGGCTTGTTTGTGAGCATTCTTCCGTTGCTAGGGGTTCGAGATTGCGCGGGTTGGTTTGTATTGTTCACTGCCGGAAGTGGACGTGTTTGTCCTGTTGAAGCGGGTTAGTCAACTGCCATAATCATTTGCGTAACGACGAGAATAGCAGAGCGTTTGGGTCAAAAACACTGGGCGATAAGGGTCCAATATCCCGGCGTAGGGTCATCGCAACGCGTGTAGCGAGACTTTCGAGTCAGTCTCTGCGGAAAGCCGTGGACAAAGCTTGGAGCATTCGGCATATGGTTGCAAACCCATGGTAGGAGAATCTTGTTTTGTGTACCACTGGGGTGGTGGTTCCAGGAAACGGCGATTTGAGAGGACGGTTTCTGTGAGATTGATGCAGATTCCGAAGATTTGATGATTCCAGGAAACGAGAAAGCTTGGGGTTTGATATCATATGTGTTGCTGCAGTCGCGCAATCAAACTCGAGATCTCGCACGGGGAGCCTGCCATTTCCAGCGACCGAGCAAAGACCGAGCAAAGGTCAGGGAGAAACCAGCCCATCTGATGCATGGGGGCGCTGCTCCGAGACCTTACGAGCGGGCGAGAGATATCGGAAGAGGCATGACCTGTGTCGCATCGTGGTCGTCGGACCGGGCTGGCCGCGGTCTGAGATGGTCGAAAGTCCATGTAATTGAGCATCGTGAGGGCTCAGTGTGTTTGTTTGGTACTCGCAACATATATTGTAGTCGACTCGTCGCGATTGCGCCTCGCTCCTGGGTGATCCTGTTCGCAGGGTGCAGCATTGTGGCGAACCAAGTTGCGCATTGAGATGCCTCTAATCTCAGACCCCCAATGCTTCCAGTACGATATGTACCTCCTCTTCAGATCCCCAATTGATCATTTGTTTCACGGAGGATGAATCGCGCGCGCCAGGTATTGGAATTGGAACGATCCGATCGCCTTGTCCGTGCTGGGGTTGATGCAAGAGAGTGCAGAAAGAAATGCGAACGCACCTTGTCGGTCCATGCCGAGTCCTTCAGCCTCGGGCCAATTCCGTTTCAGCTGTACAGCAGCTCTCGCGAATATGAACTCGGGTGGGTGTTGTGGCGATGACAGTGTACGATAGGGTTGTCTTTCAGCAGCGCTCCAAGCGGACGTGGTCGTGGTCGTTGTCGTGAAGGTGAACTGCGCTCCGGAGTTCAGATGCGGATTCTAGATGCGGATTGCAGGCCTTGGCAGCACGAGTTGTGAAACTGCAGCCACCAGCATTGGCCACTGTCCATTCAAAAACACCACCTAAGCAGACTACTACATAGTACAGAGTACTACCATTACTACCACCACCACCACTATCCACTCCTATTATTGCCACATGCACATGCGTGTCCTCTTCCTTAGGCCCGTGGGGAACTCAGGGTTCAACCCGATAAAGGCGGCCGATGCGCACGCGATCTTGGGTACCTTACAGCAGATGCCCACCGTCACAACAGGCACAGGCCAAAAGTACAATGCATCCACCAGGCAATCCAGTGTCCGGGCATCACGTCGGGGACAATCATGGTCAAATCAGAATTCTATCTTCTGTTATTCGATCCCCGAGAAAATGCTACATCAACCATTACCTGGCATGCAAAGCTATCCTTGATCTTCAGTAGGCTGTAAGGCAGATGCTCCAAATGCAACCAAACTCCAGGCTGGCAGCATGCATCAAATCAACAGGCCGATGGCCAACTCGACATTGCCATCGACCTGTCTCAATGCTGCAATTGCTTCCTCCCGGGAGAATCCCAATTCTGTGATTTTGGCGATTGATTCGGGGGTGATCGGCTGCGACGGGCCAAAATTACCGTGTCCTGCTGCTGCTGCTTGTGACGAAGAGGGCTGGGTTGGTGCAACGTTGCTGCTTGGCCCTGCTTTGGACTGCTCGCCTGTTGATGATGCTGAAGTTCCTGGCTCAACGGTGCCTGTGGTCGTGCCAATCGTGCTTCCGTCCGGCCCTTCAACCTTGGGCTCTTTTTCCAGGATATCCTCCATCATTTTAGGTATCTCATTCTCGGGCAAGAAAGATATCTCGTCATCATGGACACGTAAGCAGTTCTTTTTCAGGTCAATGCACATCTGATGCCGCTTGAGCATGTCGAGACCAAGCAGTAGATCCACATCCTTGCCTTCCATCACTGTGAAGCTGCTGGCTAAGTTGTACTGCCCGATCTGGATTTCGGCCGAGTGCACCCGCCCAAGGATGGTCGCAGTGCCCACCCCTCTGGCTATACCGCCGTACCGTTTATCGATTAATCGGAGGATTCCGCACCGCTCGGCGGCGGATGGAGACATGATAGTTGTTTGCGCGCCGGAGTCCACGAACGCCTTTATAGGGACATTGTTGACTGTGACATCGATGTAAAGCATCGTAACTCTGCCAAAAGCTGGAGACGAGTCAGCATTCTGCCCAATGTTTGCCGTTGGGATGACTGACATTCTGGGTTTTCCTCCATGGCCTTCTGCAAATTTTCCGCAACCCGTTGTTGCCGGATGATCTCCTCGATCTTCTGCTGTGCCTCGACATTGAAAGGGTCGGCTTCTAGTAGGGCGACTTGTTCCTCCTTCTCCCGCTGGACCTGCTCGTATTGTCTTTGTCTTATCCTCCACAAATCCTGGAATTTTTGAGGGTCGGAACAAGCAGCTGCCAGCTCAGGATCTTGTCTTCGGCACTCGGCCATAACAACGGGGTCACCCAAGATACGCAGTCTCGCTTGCTCCGGGTCGCTACCGCTCTGTGACCTCTGAGCGGATTGGCCAGCGGTATGTTCTTGAGCGGGACGTCTGCTAGACCTTGCGCTTCGAACGGCCATGGCTAAAACACCCCCTTCTTGAATATTCAGTTGAGCTAAGCTTTTAGAGGTATCTGTGACCGGTCGCCCATCTTGTAAGAAGTGTTGTGCGGACGGAGGAACGTTGATCTCAGCTTCGACGAAGGCTTTGATGTCGTTGAGGGTCATGTCAGGGCCGACGTCGAGGCTAATGAAATCAGATTGGAGGTCTATATCAGAGACGACAATTGATATTGAGATACGCCTAGCAGAAGATCAGGTCATGGGCATCATCAGGACACAGACTGCACATACATTGTTGTGAGCGAGTGGGGGTCAACGGCCAACAAAGTGTTGCTTTACGAGCGTATTGGGTTTCAAAGTGCAAGAATGGTATTGTTGAACAAGGATATGATCAGTAAATTCATGGGAAAATCACAGCGTCGCCCAAGAATGATTTCTCATCATGGGTGAAATGGACGTTGGTAGAAACACGTTCTTTTTCCAGGCAGTTCTGATGACGCGCTTTACCGGAAGTCCGTGGTACAGCAAGTAGCCTCGCCGCCTTTGGCACAACACCCCGCCCAAGGTTTCATTAGAGTGCATCGTTAACTGGTTTCAGGGTGCAGTGGCGCTTAACTTCAGTTAAGCATAAACTGTCCCTGCACGGACATCCACCCCTAAGGCTTGACAGATGGGCCCTGGGTGACAGAAGACTACTTTGGAGAAAACACATGGAGTTACCATGTAGAACAAGCTGTCCCTCCCGTTGGGGAAACTGTCGTATATTAAGGAAAGTATGCTTCTTAAGCAGAAAACACCTTCATTGTAGCTTAGGTACCTAGTAGGTAAGGTATCTGATTTCTGAAAAGCCAATAATAGCGCCTGATTGTTTAGAAGTGGCTGAAGCAGAAGTGTTCCTGCAGATCAGGACCCGGGCGGCTGCCGTTCGGCTGTCTTAGGCTGTCTTAGGCTGTCTTAGGCAGCGGCCTCACCGAGATAGGCGTCCTTAGCCCTCCGTAAAAATGCCTACCGCCTATAACATACCACCTGGGGAGACCTGGGCCAGCAGCCCCCATGCCTGTCGTGTGCCGTTTTCCTCATTTCCACCTAAGCCTGCGCTCCCGGCTGGCTTTGACATGACTCTCATGGTTTTCATGTGCCCACCGCTCGATTCCTTATTGTTTACGGTAAATGAGCATCTGTCGTCCTCACGTTGTCAGTTAAAGACATAACTCAGATTTTCTTTTCCAGCCGGACTGCATCTGTTGTTGTTTCTCCTCTGTTCTTGCCTCCTCCGACCCTAGCCCAACGCAGTCAGCAAATTCTGGACCCTCATTTGGCCTGGGGAATTTTTTTTCCTTTTCTTCGCTTTGACAGACCTGTCCAAACTGTTCGTCTAGCCCGCATCGAGCAAGAAACGACATTTCACATCCGTCAACACCGCCAATCTTGTGCGACCCCAACGGGTCTCCTATTGCTCCTCTTAAAGAACCCTGCAGACCTCGCTTCGCGACAGTGAGCGATTAATCATCGGACGGGAGCAGACAGTATGAGCCAATCAGATCAGCCTGCCGATCTCAAAAGCCCTGCCAAGGGCAGACCCCAAAGTGGTCAATCCTCACAAGACGAAGATGGCTTCATTGATATTCAGCACGCCGACACCGACGTCGACATGCAAGACAGTAATCGGAACGCTCAAACTAATTCATCTCGCCAGCTAGAGCTGCATAGGTACGGCAATAATCCTGACGACGCTGATGATGTTGTGGAATCCGAAGAAGATTCAGAAGACGATCGGGACCCTATCGCCAACCACCCCTTGTTGAGCATGCTTACCGGCCGCCTGGGCGCTCGCCGACGAGGTTCGACCCATAAATGGGACCATCTACATCCCGAAAATCAAGTTTTGTCGGTATCCAACGTGGATCAGTGCACTGCCCTTGAAAATGAGGCGTTTCCACCCGAAGAGAGGGCAAGTCGGGAGAAGGTACGGTACCCTTTCATCAATCTGTGCAACAATGGCCTTTAGGCTCTATTAGACTTTATATGTCAGCTTTGATATTGACGTTCGCTCTATAGTTTCAATACCGGCTCACCCGGTGCCCCGAATTGAGTTTGGGTTTGTTCACCCAGCCTACCAAGGCAGAGGCGGAAAGACTGTCGTCTCCTCCTCAACGAAGACTGATGGCACATGTCATCGCCACCAGAAGTCCATCACCCAGTGTGACTGAAGCTTCCATGGAGATCCCTCCGAACTGGAGAACGCGTCGATCGTCGCTGCCAGAAAAGGGCGGCGACGAACCTGTTGGCCATCAGGACTTTGGCGGGACAATTTGCGTTCATTCACTTGCAGTCGCTCCTGAGTTTCAGAAGATGGGGCTAGGTAACGTCCTGATGAAGTGTTACATTCAGCGCATGAAAGACTCCAAGATCGCGGATCGGATAGCCCTTCTTGCCCATGATCGCTTGATACCATTCTACGCCCGACTTGGCTTTGAAAACATGGGACGAAGCTCCGTTACCTCCTGCGGTGGGAATTGGAACAATTTGGTAAGTACAACCGCCATCGCAGTTCACTGTCAACTGGCATTCTGACTAGCCGACAGGTACTCGAGTTCACGGGAGATGATGATGATGATTGAACGCATGCCATGCTCTCACGTACGTCTCACGGATGGATACTCTGAGCACGGTGGGTGGGTTTGGCAAATTGGTGGGGGGGGCCTTCGCTCTCATGCGGATTTGGGGTGGCTGGATGAGAACTTCCTGGTGGATAGTCCGCTGAGGAGCAGCGTGGGATCTCCTGCGATTGTTCTAGTATAAGTTCGAAGAGACGACTTGTGACTATTATGCAGAGTCAACCCCATGTCCTATGTCCTGGGGCGCATGGGCTCGGGGGTTTGAACAGAACAGCAAATCGAGTACTCTGTAAGGTAGCTTTCTTGCCCACCAACTCTCAAAGCTGTTGATTCTCCGCGGTGGTAATTTTCAGCCACCCACTCATACTGTAATTGTACTCGTAATTACAGTGTACGCAACTCGGATCCGAGGCGCGATTGCTCTAACATTGCACCGCCACTGGCACTTCGGCAACCTGGAAGCTTTAGCCACCTCAGCCACCCAGCCATACAACCGGGATTCCCGCACTGGCAGTACACTGTACAGTAATAATTCCCAGGCTAGAGGCTAGAAGCGACCCCTCGCTTCCCGCTCGTGGTCGCTTCGGAACACCCGGTTTTGCCCATCATCGCCCGATGCAAGAGTGCAAGAGTGACGACTTTCACCTCGCAAACACCACACTCCTCCTCCACAGTCAAGATTAATGATACGTGGCAACTGCCTCTCTGTGAACACTTCCTGCTGCAGCCTACATTTGACGTCTTCGATATAACCTGTCCGTCCAGCGGCACAAGACAATCCAGTCGTCTCACCATTCCTATCAGTGCGCGACGAGACCCGGCGCTGATCCGGACCTGCTCCCCAAACCCATCACATCACCTTAACTGGCACGACGTTATTGAGCAACATTTGGTCACAGCCCTTCGGGACACCACTAGGGCTTAAGGCAGTGAACACCATTGCTTATCACTGTGGGCGAAAGAGCAACCAAAGAGCTATACATGGTCTTGCTGCAGAGAAATTCTGGATAAGGCAAAAGCTGGAAGGAGCGCGGAAGACAGCGGTTTGTCCTGTTCTCGGGCGAAGCCTATCATAGACGGCATTTACCACTTCATCAGTCTACCTGAGCAGTATAAGTCACTGTCTGCTCTGTTCCGACGCCACCAGAGGTCTTCATTTAGACCCTCGCACGCCCAGTTCCCATCCTGATATCATGCCGACCAACCGACCCTTCTTCGCAAACTTCTTCTCTGCCTTCCGGGCTCGGACCAATCCTACATTCCAGGCCAAATCAAGCGTAACATACGATGCCGTTTCGCCAGGGTCACTTGTTGCGTCCGCACATGTCTCCACGACCAATGCGACGGTGACCTCGTCAGGCACCAGGTCAATCACGACCAGATCAGCAGCGGAGACATCCACAACTTCGTCACAGCCACACGCCTCCCTCACCTCGTCTACGAAGCCCAGTACGACCAGCGCACCCCTACCCTTTTCCTCAAATCCGAGTTCCCATCGATACGCAACCCCCCTCTCGAGATCACCGGGGACGAGCTCACCGGGCGGCCCTCATTCGCACTCCCACACAAACGCTAACATGTCCATGTCGCCACCGGGGACATCAACACCGATGACTAGAGGACGGCAACGGAGAGGAAGCGATAGCTCCAATTCTTCTGGGGGATTTATCGACGCTCTAGGACCGGAAAAATGGTACATTGGTGGCCGGAATGCGGCTGGCGAAGAAACGTTCTACAAGCTGGGCCTGGTCACCGGAGGGGCTGGGAGGAGGGTACGCAGTCTAGATCGGTTGAGTCTCTGAGCTCGGAGCTAGGTTAGATTGCTGAGGGACAGCGGTGATGAATGACCACTATGGGTCCGGCTTGTCTGTATGCCGTGCACTCCATACAAAAGCCAAACGAGGCTGCGAACTGTATATGGCAGTAGATGGTACTTCCACATCTATTCTAAAGGCGATCCCGTCATTGTCGCATTTAGGCGTGGGAATCGACGGCCGGTCCCGCGAACTGGGTACGAGATTCGGGATCTGGGATCATGGGGTCTGGGCAAGGCGTCAAAGGCGTTGATGGATGGAGGTCTAAAATAGCCACTCATGCAGAAGGCTGCCAGCAGGTTTGATAGGTCGGGGCGTATCAAATGCTTGACATGCTGACCTTTGCGGAATGAGTCTGGAGGAAGAACACGAAAGTACGTGACGACAGGTCCCAGCTCACCCAAGGCAATCAAGCTTGTGTCTTGCTTTTTCCCTTGTCCAAGGTCCTACGCACGTTCTATGCTAGTTCGCTCAGTCTCAGCTTCTCGGTCTCAAGACAAACTGAAAGGAAGGGCGGAACACGGAGGGACAGAGAGCGGTACGCGGTCAAGTGGTGTATTGGAAGCAGTGGCACCCTCGAATATATCAGATTCAAGGGAGAAGATCAGATTGCAATGACGGTGAGGCGTTGTATGCAATGTATCCGTATGTGACCTGTATCTTCGGACGGTGAAGTGCTTGATGAGACGTCTGCGCCTGCGCAGCGCATGGCTATGTCGGCTGCCCACTTTGTCCCCTCATCCCTCGGCCGACGCCTGGAGCTGTTCGGATGGGGTGTTCCGGTAGTGCCTGTTAGAGCCCATGACGGCTGAAATAACGTAGCACCAGCTACGTATTCTGTGCTCTCTCTCCACGCTCCACGCTCCACCTCCCATTGTAGTACGTACCTTACAGTTGTACCTACTCCGTACACATGCTCGTACTCTGTAACAGATACCTAAGGCACCAGGTAGTAAACGATAACAGTCTGAAGAACTAGCCCTCAGGGCCGCGATCCTGCTCCATCGCCTTATAAGTTAGCCCTCGCTTTTTGACTTCGGTTGTTGTTGCCCCATACTGTAGGCTATTTATCGCCTGTCACTGACTGCACCCAATCTCGTCAAGACGCTCCACGGCTAAGCAGTCCTCTCTGGGGCTAGGGGTGTCTTTAGGGGCTTAGGGGCTTGGGGGCCCCTACTAAGGCCTCCTTAGCCTTCGCTCCAGGGCCCGTAAGCCCCGAACAAACCTGCAGTCGCCTATAATTACGTATGTCTGCCACTCGGCCTACTCAATAGTACGCCGTTACGGAGTATCCGTACAGCGAGTATCCGTACGGAGTACACGCTCCCGGACCTGAAGAGTTGAAATTCTCCTGTTGGTGACCATCATCTTCTTCGACATACCATCGTATCATCAGACCATCATACCATACATATCCGTACACTCCTTCGCTAACCGCCTCTCAATTTGTCCTTCAGTATAAACCTTGTTGACTGTTGCTGCTGGCTCCAGTCCCGCCCGCATTCTTTCAATCTCCGCCGCCTTATCCATACACCTGGGATCATTCGGCGCATCTCGTCTACCACAGGGGGGCTTCCGCGTAGACCCTTGTCTTTCTTCTGACTCTGACTGGTCCGACCTACGACACGCAAGTCAGTAACCACCAACTCCTGCTTTTCCTGGC